ATCCTCTGTAGTCGATTGAACTCTTGCCTGGCAGTATTGGACAGACAATTATTCATTTGTAGTTCATATCGGACAATGCGACCACCCGCACAGGCCATCTCGCCAGAGGGAGTTTGTCCTGTGCATGACGTATCCTGATCGACAGACCGGAGTCTCCTCCGTAAGTAGTGCGTTTGACGCAAAGCCATTCTCGTTTACCATCAAGGCCATAAATTATGATTACTGATATTTTTATTGGGCTACTCTCTTCCCGACCGTGAGGCACAGAACGATAGGAGGGGCCCCCGGAGCTACGGCTTTAGTTCGCGAATTGACTTTTTCGCCCATTCCTGGTCTTATTCTCGGCGTTATAGTACGGAGACCGGAGTCGGAGTGTATACGAAACAGATTGTGGGAAACCTTGAGGAAGGAGAGAATAAGCTGCGAGAAATAGTCCTCGCCAGAGTACGGAGTACACAGATTCAGTATACGGTCGAGTGGTACATGTACGGTCAGCCAAACTCATTCATCCCAAGACCCGGGGCTTTTTGATCACCCCCGGCTAACTTAGGGCTTTTCCCCCGTGGCCCGTCTGGAACCGTCTCTCGCTAGGCGATCCGGGGCGGTAGTGGCTCACTTAGTAGAGGCAAATCAAGTTGAAGGGGGTAAGCAGTGAGAAGAGGGGGAATCATTCTCCTGCTCTCAATCAGCCACTCTTCCGGCCCCCAGTCCTGTTCACAATTACCAATCGACACCCCTGGGCGGATCAACCGCAGCCGCTTTTCGAGACCCCATCATTCCACCCCCTGGAGCTTTCCCCGACCCTTGTCTTGTTGTGGTCCTTGGTTCGCTAGAATGCCCATGTCTCCCCTCTTCCCGTTTAGCCCCATCCACTAGGCCCAGTTAAGGAGAGCTTAGATCACTGTTCTAACGGTGAAACCATTCTGGTGCGGTACGACCTCGAAAATTCGCATGAGGCTGTCAGCTGTCTGTCTTCTCCTTAAAAGACGGTCAGGTTGGGGGCGATACGATGCGGGGCTTTTTCGATCTTACGACGTGCTTCTGCATGGTCAGTCTGTTTTTGGTGCACGTCAGTGCGTGTAGGGGAGAATTCATTGCCAGAAGAAGAAGGTTGTAGAAGAAGATTGTGGATATACGAACGGTCCTTGTTACGGAGCGTATTGGATCTTTCGCAGGACATGCATCGAGCTTTTTCTATAGGCGGCCACCTTATACTCGATATAGTAATCGCATCGGTCCATTCAACATGGTGGGGCATTGCCCAGTAGCTCCCCTTCGCCTAAGAGAAGCCTGGCCGATCAATGAATACTGTAGATACGGAGTTCGGGGCCGGAGTTAACCTAAGCTAATACACTTGAGCTTTTCCTCCGACCAACAAAATCCAAAGATTGAAAATCGTACGGAGTAAAGTAGTTAGCCTTCAACACATGAAAAGTCAATCATCAGTGGATGGTGGTGGGGACTGGAGCGGGTACGGCTTGTCGCGACGGACACTCGCGGACCTCCTCGACACCCTGCATCGATCACAGCCAGACGCCAGCGTAGTCCCGGTCTAGAATGGCATCGCTGCCCTCCGGCCCCACGCTAGAAACATGTTGAAAGTTAAAAAAGCCAAGGGCACGACGAAAGTCAAGAGAAAAAAAAAGAAAAAGGAAAAAAAGGGGGGATGGCCATGCGCTCCGCGTTAGCTCCAACCTTCGGCCCTGAGTTCCTGTCGAAGACTGACGGTTGCCCCGCTTAAGACGGATCCTCCGGACATTCAGAATGGACGTTCAATGTAAAAGAGTATCACAGTACCGTCCTGGGCAATGTAGTAGTGTCGGGATCGAGCGATGGCCATTGGCGAAGGTTTGGTATTGGGTCTTCCTGAATGGCTGATGTCTGCGATTACGACGACCCGTGGGACTAGCCTGGTTCTGGAAGCACTCGATCAAACTTACACACATCGCCTAGTCCAAGGGGCCGGTGAGACTGATTGTCTCTTACTTTGTACGGAGTATGTATGTAATTTATGAGAGAGCTACATATAGTTTGCGAGTCGCTGAATAGGAAGGAGTATGTACGGAGGGGAGCCTTGAGCATGTAAGAACCCAATTCTATTCCCCTCCGCAAAGGAAAAGCGCTGCTGCTGCACCAGCCCAGCCATCGTCATGCTGGGTATACCTATTTGGGTAGACTGAGCGTGGGTTCTTGAGCCGCAAAAGCCGATTATCCGTCCCTGGGCGGCTATGAAGGTGGTACTGACTGTACTCCGTACATTTAACAAGACTGACGCTACTCGAGGCTCGAGGGACACGGTCACGAAGGACCGGGGCTCCGTAAAATGAAAGGGTGGGCCCACGGGGAGATCGGGGAGCTGATAGACATCATCGACCTCGCTTGGGCGGATACCCATCTCCTCTCCATCACTACTCCGTACAATCGGCCTGACATCATTGCTTGGTGACTTTGGTCTCTCCCTTTGTTTGGGCCAGGAGATGGGCCGTCCAGCGGGATGGATTGGGGGCTTTCTCCACCGGAGAAAAGAGGGGACTATACGGAGGAGTATCGATTTCCTCCGTCCGGAGTAGTTGGGCAAACAAGCCAGAGAGCCAAGGTATGGCTGCAGTAAAGAGGCTGGGAGGGAATGTGCGTAGGTACCGCTCATACTGGATCGGAAAGATGGACGGACTGGATAAGCCTTTTGGTCCAATTCACATGGCTACAACGCAGCGTGGAGACCTGAGGGATATCAAAGGTGTCGTGCGTCGACCGCGTGCAGCGTCCTCTCCGGAGAAATAATTGGAAAAAAAAGAGACCAAGGGGGAGAGAGGAAACAAACTCGGTTAGCTGGGATGGAGGGCTGGATGGGCCCTTCATCCTTCCGTAGCTCCCAGATTGAGGTCCCGGGTGGCGCCTCAGCGCTTCTCGAACAGCCCGTCGATTGCAAAGCGCCAAGAGTCACTAACAGGCCCCGCTAACCTCCTCCAGGGGGGCGAACCCGGGTGGAGGCCCGCATCGGGGGTGGTGTCTAGAATGAAGGAAAGTCCTATTGGATGCTATGCTGGACTTGACTCAAGCACCGTCCGCGGGCTTGGTCTTTTGCTTTTTTAGAGGGGATGAAGGAGGGTGGAGAGAAGAGAAGAGACCAAAAGACAAGACGAGAAGGAGGGCCGGACTCGAATAGCCCTCTCGCTTGTTTTTTTTGAGGTGTATAGGATAGCACGTCTTGTTAGCCGTTTCGTCCCTAATTGTATGCAGTACGGAGGATGGGAAGTACTTTCGACCAGATCGGTCCTGAGTTTCCCCGTATCCTCCGTATCTCGGAAAGCAGCAGCAGCAGCTCCATTGGCCGTGGTAACGGGTTCATCGATCTCCGCGCCATGTTGAGGCTGGGAGACGAGTAAGATCAAGATCAGGACCAGAGACTAGGACCAGGATTAGGACCAAGGACCTAGACAGGGTTACACGGATGCTTGCTGATGCTTGCTGCCACGAACGCAGGCCGGAGGTGTGATAGGTGATGGGCGCCGTTAGGTTGTTTCGAGTTTATTTAGACGGGGCCGGAGGCGGGTGGAGTCGTGGCCCATCGAAGATCGTGGTGGTATGAAAGTTGCTGGAGAGCGTGGAAATAAGGCTGATGGGTTCACTACGTAGGACATTACTTTGTGGTAGTACATGGGAAATGTCTTCGTGAGATCGTGTGTAACCCGGTCAGCTTGCATGGCCTGTTTAAACCGATCCACACGCTGCTTTGCTCTGATTAGTTCTTCCTCGATATACTTTGCAGGAAAATCACTCAACCTACTGTAGCTTAGTTACTTCGTTTACCCTGCTCCAGGATGGTACCTGAAACTGTCCTCTGCACGAACCCGATGTCAACCGTTCTTTCTGAGTCCTCTCTAGTCAGCTGTGAGACTGTTCCCCTCCATCTTTCTTCTAATTTCTGCTTTCGACTCGTGGACCTGCATGGTGGGCCTCTTTTCTCGGTCCTGTTCTTCGTTCTGTCTAGCTTCCCGAGGTCCACTGGGGGCATTTAATCTCCACGCCGATCACTTCTAGACTCTGTCGAGGAGGAAACAAGTGTTTTATTCTTGGATCAGTTACCAGGGACCCCGTCTAATCATCCGATGCACAGTTGATTCAAAACATCATGGAACACCCTCTGATGTCGCTTAGTTAACGATAAAATATATACCTCACGCTGTGGGCGCAAACATTTGCCCTGCCTTGCTCCCTCCGCCCAATTGGCGATCGGGTCCAGACGGAGGGTTGGGCTCCAAAAGTCCAGGTGAGATTCAAGAAGTGCACGAATAGAAAAGGTGGAAAACCTTCTCCAAAGTCTCCTGCTTAATTTTAGTAGTCTCTTCATATTTGGTTTTGATTAAGAAAGAAATCTCACTTTTTCTGCGCCTTGAGGACCGTTACTTTCCTGTCATTGGCACTTGTCTGTATAGAGTATGGTGTATCCATTTATTCCATATTCCAGGTGAATCCTGCCGGGAACCTTCAGACCAATACAAAATCAATTTCCTCGGGTACATCACGTCACTTCTTTGTGTCTTCCTGTCCTGCCCGGCCTGCTTGTCCTGCGTCTGCGTTGACTTGCTGCGCCCGCTGCACCAATCCTAATTACGAAGGGGGGTCCCAACATCGAGGTCAACGCGGGCGCTCTGCCTTTGTTTTCCTGGACGTATCACCGTCCCTCCGTAAGCTCCGAGGAACGGTTCTTGCCGATATCCAGCTATACAGTTGTATTCTACACCCTAGGTGGGGGGTGGATGCGATGGTTGGTTCGTCCCTTCGATCCAGGCGCCATGCTTGCTGTTCCGCCGTTGGGAACCAATCGAGTATAGATCGACGCAAGACAAAGAATGTGGTCCGATAACTAACCTGCTTTAGTGTGCTTACTTTGGTGGAGACCTTCGAGCGTTCAATGCTAGGCTGTTGTTGGTATCATCTCTGAGTCTTGACAGTGGATGGAGGACGGGACTTGAAGCAACTTGTCCATACTCCGCAGTTTAGTGCGGGTTGTTCTGTTCCACCTTGTAGTCTTCAATCTTCCATGGTCCCAGGTCAAAGCAGCGATGACCTCGTTCCATCTCTTGATTTCCCTCGGCAGTAAGCCACCAGGATGGGGTCCTCCCCCAGTCTCCACCGGTCGAGGCTAAGAGGCTAAGCGGTGGCTTTTCCACACGATGGTTTTGATTTTTGGGATTTGGGTTTCTGACCTTGCTCGATTGCCTTTCAAGTGTGTCCCACTTGGCACTTTGTTTCTTACTGCCACACACGCCGTTCTGCATGCTGCAAATCATTATTTTCCTCTCTCCCCTCCTGCCGTCCAACCTGTCCACAGCTCGACCATCGACTGCGATGTACATAGATTTCCTGGTCTCATAGTTGGACTTCCATATTTCTCACCTGTCCAGTTCCATAAGCCCGCTCTTCCGCGACCAACCTCTCCAGTTTTGGCTAGGCACCTGTCATTGACTCCCTCTACCTGAGGCTTGGATGTTTACCGGACGAGTCGCTGGCGACGTAATCTCCCTGCGTCCTGCACTCATCCTGGTCAATATTACACTACTCTTTCGCTAGCGACCAGCTCATTCTGATACCAGATCGGTTGGCTAGTCGTCGCTCCTTCGAAAGTAGGCGCTCCTCTGGATTTCTAGTTAGTCGCTGGACGACGTGTAGTTGTCGTATACTGTAGTCGTGATGGTCTGTCCTCCATAACCCTTTTTAAAGCAATTCTTTTTTATCAATTTATCATTTTTTATTCTTTTAATTGTCGCCTTTTTTTTTTGGTTCGTGGTGGCTATTCCTCATCGGTCATTTTTGGGAATTTTATTTTCGATTTCCCCTCCTCTTTCTTTGATTATTCGATTTATGCTATCAATTTTATTTTCCTCGAGATTATTTTTTTTATTCTCGTTTCCTGTCGTTTTTTTTCCCTTTCTTTATGGAGATTTCAGATTTCTATTTTATTCTCCATCGTTTTCCTTTATTTCCCTGTCCATTCTACCGGCCGATCCTACCAACAACAACACGCTCATCCTTTAAATTAGAAACTCTCCATTCAAATTGAACGGGCATGGGTCTGACGAGCGCAGCTAAATAATCGATCATGACCCTGGACCCTCCACTTGCCTTCACACGCATCGACCCCCTCTATCGTGCCCCGAACCCCAGTCGCAACCAACCCCTCGACGCCATTCAATCCATCCGAGTCCACCACTTCACAGCCTCCGTTGTGTCGCGCAGCTGGTTCCAGGCTTGAATTCGGGATCTTCATCAAATTCTGGACCTCTTCCTTTCCCGATTTCTTTTTTTACATTTTATTATACCTTACCTGGACCTACAGGATCGACTAAACCGACTGGGCCGAGTATTAGACCCGTCCCTTTGCACCGTCCGACCCTACAGTACTACTCCGTACCTTATTCTATCTAACCGTACCGAACTGTGCCTGATCCTTTGGTTCTTCCGACTTGTCACTCTCCTCATTCCGCTTGGAGTCTTGCCAAATCCTCGGCTTCGCATCCTAGTTCTTTCCCTTATTTCTCTTGTCCCTCCCCTCCCCCCCGGTTCCTGTCCTTGTCCTTGTCCTCCCCATCTGCATCAAAGCTGGAGATTCTGTCCCAGACCACAACAGAGGCCTTCCCTGTGACCGGCATGGTACAGACTGACCTGGGTCCTCTTGCGGTGTCAAAATACAAGGAAGAACCAGTTGATGATTCAGTGAGTACTCCACCAATTCCTGTTTTCCTTCAGTGTTTTCTATTCCATTGTTTCCCCTCGACATTTTCCTCTGGGAATACATGATGTTTCTCATGCCTGCCCTTTGACTTCGCCGTTCTCGTTTTGCCCTGCAAGCACCCGCGTCATAGATTGAGTTGCAAGATTTTCCTACTACAATATCATTCCGATGGGTTCTTGGATTTCCCTTCCATTGTTTCCCTCCTCTATCATTGGGACGATCTCGCATCACGCGGTGGACTGCCCTTTTTTCTCCCCACAAAAACATCACCACCACACCCCGGGGGCATATCAAGCGGCATTGGCAGGGATGAGCACTTTATCAGTTGCACCAGATAGCGACCAAAGGCCCGTCAACATGAAAGCCAAGAACCACCTGATCTGTCAATTGAGATGAGGTGTCATTCTTCTGCCGTGCGGGGATCGACAACCGCCACGAAGCTGAAATTTCTCGATGTGCTGGGGGCCATTGCCCATGCATCTAGCCAGATCCAATTCAAAAGGCATCGCCAAAAGCCCGCAAGGATGGTCTATCCTTTACAAAGTGTGTTTTGCGCAAAACCAGCATGACATAGGATCAGATATCGGGGCGCAATTCCCGCGATGAGAGCTCATGCTCCCGAAGTCTGTGTACCAAGTGCATCATCAGGCTGGCTTGGTCCCTTCGGAACAAAAGTGAACCAGTCGCTGTGTCGCAACCTCTTCAGTGCTACACAGATCCGCGGGTTCTCTTTCAGCCCTGACTGGCGCATCCTGGTTACAATCGTGGCCATTCGTTATGCGCCTATGCCCATCCCTGCTCGAGGCTTCTTTGGTGGCAACCCTACCCATTGCTTACCCTCTCACCACATAATCTTCCAAAAAGCCGTGGAGCCTCTCTCAAATCTTTGGGAGCATTGGAAATCCCCGTTGTTGATGTTGTCCCTTGGAAGATCCTGTGTTCTCAAGTTCCCTCGTGCCCCCATTTCCTTTGCCCTTTTCCCACGTTCTGAGATGGTTGTACCACCTCTCTCGAACCTTGGAGGAGAGTCTCGAAAGCCTCCAGTCATACTGATATGTGCCCCTGCAATAGCTTCGATACGGTAGTAGTTCGGTGCGTCCGAGCTCACACCATTTGCAATCTCTCCAGCAGCCACGATTAGGTCTTCTCGCGCCGCTTGGGAAACAAAGCCCTATTTCGCCAACCCAGTCTACTTCCTCTATTCCAAACTCCACATACCCCCCTTCACATAACCCACTAGGGAACGGCCTTCTACAGTCCCATAGTGCGTACGGCCAACCGCCACAAGAGTCGCCTTACTCTACCACCCATCCGACGTCATATACAACCGCCACATCTTCGAATCCATATCCTTCTAGCGGTAAGCCAAGGACCTTTCTTTGTCTGTTCGGTTGCTTTCATTTCTTTTGCTTGAGCATGTACAATGATATTGCAGTTGCGCACTGTGTGTCTGAAATCTCATGTCATGTTTTGTACTTTGACATTCTACATGTTACGTGTTGAGATGTCCCACGATCTCGGAACCTTCCCAACTGATCCATAAACTGAGACCTAGGACCACCAGACCTCATGGCAACCACCGCTCAAATGCAGAGGCCTTCTTACCCACCAATTTACCACACTCCTCAATCCAACTCTCCCGCATCTGTAGCTTCGCAACCGCATGATCAGCATGGTCGCAACATGTACACCCAGTCCCCCCAGATGCCGCCTCAGATGTACGGCTATCCGCCATATTCGCCGATGCACCCAGTGCAACCGTCGCCTTATGCAGCGCATCCTTCCCCTCAATCACACACCCTCACCTCGCAATCCATGATGATGCCCCCTCAGACGGCGACGGCACATATGTCACCGCACCTATCATCACACGCCTCCAACTCCGCGCTGTCCAGCAGTCCGTCCATAAAGATGGATCCGAATCCCCAGCCCATAGCAGCCCAACGACCAATGCTGAATCCTCCTCTCCCATCAACCTCCAACACCGGCCTCCAAACAGGTAGCGTCCACCAAACATCACCGCTGGGAACGAGCTCGAGCGCCGCTCCAGGCCCTATCCCGGCCACTACGCCGCTCGTGGTGCGACAGGACAGCAACGGAGTGCAATGGATTGCATTCGAGTACTCACGGGACCGGGTGAAAATGGAGTACACGATCCGTTGCGACGTCGAGTCCGTCAACGTGGACACTCTCAGCCAAGACTTCAAAACGGAGAACTGCGTCTACCCACGCGCCTGCTGCAACAAAGACCAATACCGCGGGAACCGACTGGTCTACGAGACCGAGTGCAACACCGTGGGCTGGGCACTCGCCGAACTGAACCCCTCGCTGCGCGGTAAGCGCGGACTCATCCAGCGCGCCGTCGATAGCTGGCGCAATAGCAACCAGGACCCGCGTCTGCGCAGTAGACGAGTCCGCCGCCAGGCCAAGGTCAACTATCGCAAGCAGTCGATGGCTCCTCCCACGCCGCATATGACGGCTGCAGGCCCCGTAGGCACGGGGTTGCCTAGTACCCCAACGATGTCGGGGCCTCAGGGTCCGCGACATAGTCTTGGTGGTCCGGGACATATGTCGATGGGACCGCCACAGTTGCATCATCATCACGCTCAACCGGATGGTAGCCCTAAGATTGAGGAAGTCAGCGGTATGTTTCCACCGATGTGATATGTTTTTGATTCCTGTCGATGTTTCTCTTTGGTGCCACGCGCGCGGCGGAGTCTTTTTCCTATGAATATTGTATTTTTTTCGATTGTTGTTTTCTGTTCTATACCTTTTTGGATCTTGATGGACTGGGATGTATGTGAATGCCGCTGTTCGCCTCTTTCTTGTATGGCTTGTGGATGAGTGTTTGTGTACATGTGAGGAGTTGATCTATGGTGTATGTCGATATGTCGATCTTGATGGCTTCTGTACGAGACGTTGATCCGGTGTATCTCTATTATCGGACTCTTGGCTTTGGACTTGGTTACTTCTTCTGTTGGTTCCGACTTCTCGCTTTTTCTGTCCTCTTCTCTTTGGCTTTCGTTATTTCATACCCTATGCTGTTCTGTCTATCATCGATGCCGCCGCGCGCCTGATCGTGCTTTCATTTCTTTTCTGTTGGACCCGGAGAGGCCCAACACCCTCCACAACATGCAAGTTCAAGCGTAGGCTAATTTCTTCTCGTCTGGTTTCGTTTTTCTTTCCCATAGGCACCACAGACTACACCAGCGCTACTCAGCGCCCCGTTGACTCGATGCGCCTACCATCCGCGCCGCTTGCTAGTGACATTCGGACCGCTCAAGTCTTCCATGATGCCACCATTGTTCCCGTGTCCGCCAGCGTTGGCCCATCAATGCCACCCTTGCTCCGCGATAGCAGCCTCGGCGCACTCGGTCGCCATCATACAATCGCAACATCCAGCCACATGGACAGCACGAGCGCCGAAACAGAGAATTTCAACGCCAGTCCCAGCAACGAAGACCTCTTCGGCCAACTACCCGACGGCAAGCGGCGCACCTTCATCCTAGTCGAGGATCCGCAACGCGGAGCACGCGTCCGCGTCAAGGTCATGCTGGATAAAGTCAACATGGACGAGATCCCGGATTCCTATCGCATGGCCAACGCCGTCTACCCGCGAACATACTTCCCCGTGCAGATGAAGGATGCCCCTGGCTCGAGCGTACCGAATAAGCGGTTCTCCCGCGATGACACCGAGCAGACGGATGATTCAAACGCCACCATCGGCCGAACGAGTGTTCTTGCCCCTTCGCTCGATGGCGAGCGCGAGATCGACGTGCCCCAGCTCTCGCGTCGCAAACACCACAAAGAAGTTCTCTTGAATGACCTCGGATACCGACTGAGCTGGAGTCAGAGCCGGGTGTTTGCCGAGCGGAGGCTCTTTTTGCAGCGATCGCGTAAGTACCTCCCACTCACCCCCTTACTTGCACCTCGCGCTCGTGGCTAGTCTCGTATCACACTTATTTTTTTGTCGTTCGTTTGATCCCTCGTGTTCATCTCGTGTCATGTCATGTCATGTCCCTTCCATGCCGAGGACCGTGCTTTAGCGCCTCCACGTGCCGAACGCGGCTGAGACTTTGTCTCACTTTTTGCGCGAACGTACCGAACCGAGACAACCCGTGAGATGATGAAGGATTCCCCGCTAACAAATATGTTTGATGACTAGTGGATGCCTACCGGAATAAAATGCGTAGTAGTATGCTGGCTGCGGGTCAGGATGCGACCGAGATTCCCGAACACTTTGATACGCGGCGGGGGAAGCGTCGGTTCTTGGAGCGTAGGGAGCGGAGGTTGGAGATGGAGATGGGACGGCCGAGTGCGTCGCAGCGGAGTGTGGAGGAGGTGGAGAGCTAAACAAGGCCCGTATGGATGGGTTATAGAGTTATGCTTGGGGAGGAGATACGTAGACGATGGATGTTGATGAGATGATGGGTGATGCTTTGATGATGATGAGATGATTGTTTACGTGAACGATTGATGGTTGATGGCTATGGTTATGATTGATGTTTGAGGATGCTTGTTGTCTCTTTTTTTTGTCGCTGATACATCAGTTTCTATGACTGATACTTGGACGGGGGCTGCAGTTTGTTTGTTTTCGGCGATGTATGAAGGGATCGACAAACCTCCGCAAACCACAAAAGGACGCGTGGAAACTGGACAGACACTGGGAATGGCTTTACGGCGTAGGGATTGGTTTTCTCGATGATGAAATGATTATGATGGATGATGTATGGCCTGGATCTGATTTATTAGGATACGTTGGGCTTACGAGTTCCAACCATGATTGCCAGTATTCCTTCTGTCGTAAACTGTCTGCTTTCGATGTATGCATAGGCTGAGCTTGGATTCTCCACATGGACTACGGATGCAATCTTTCTTACCAATCATGAGATCTGTCCAATGCTTCGGTATAGCCTAATTCTGATTCTTCGCATGTCTTATATTCGTCTGTATCCTCCTACAGGAAGTACACTCCTCTGTCGCTGAGACTGGACCATCCAGCGGCAGTTCCGCGGTTGGTTCATGGTCCTGGCGTGGTCCTTTCCCAAGGGTCGCATTCTGGGCCAAAAATAGCACGGACACCAGCACTCGGCCAGGGACTCGCCAGGGTCTCGTCAGGGACTCGCCAGGGACGGGGGACTGGCCCCACACGGTCTGGTTATGCTCCACCTTGACAGGACCCTTCCGGGAACAGCGTGTGGACGGGGGTGAGACACGGGCAGGAGGAAGAGGACATCCAGAGACTCGCCTCATATTTAATAGTCCTCGGCAGTTGACTCGAGGGCAGGACTGGACAATAGGGGTATATTCAATAATCTACCATCAGGTATGCAAGACTAGGGAAAACTAGCCCTCAACGAACCCGTTGCTTAGCCCTCGAGGGCCCTGATCCACTTCCTCAAACGGTTGTCCCGGCCACAGCAGGACCAAAGGAGGACGAAGTGACCTGGTGTTTTTGTCGTGTTGACTGCGACCGTCATCAGCCATCAGCAGCCTCCAAACCTTCCTCGTTCCGGCCTAAGCCTCTTCGTCCGGTCGGAACGAAGCACTAGTTGTTTTTCTTTCAGAATACCGTCCTCATCCTTCGTCCGATCTACCTGACACACACTGCGCCTCAGCTCCTAAATCGTCCCGCTCCCCCTCAATCCTGGGAACCGTGGATCTCGTGGAGCAGTCTGTCTCCGTAATGCCGGCACGTTAATTATTATTCTGGCCATCTACTCTCCTCCACGTCACGTCCTCCTATTCCTCTCTCCCTTCTTCATCCTGCAAATTCCTCACAACAAAAGACCATCGACAAAAGATACCTCTCCCCACTACTACACCCGAGGAATCTCAGCTCTGCAACCCTTGCGTTCCCTCCTACGGACCCTTAAACCCGGACACCCTCCCGTCCGCCGCCCCCAACTGGGCGTTGTTGAACCCTCAAATGAACCGCGACGACAACGACATCCCCGCGCCGCCGCCCCATCGCTACGGCCAGCCCCTGCGCCAAAATTCCTCCGTCACCCCCGGCGTAGACAATCTTGGCCCTGCTTCGGTCGGCGGCGGCATCAGCGGAATCGCCCTCGGTGTCGCCAACAGCCACGATCGCCTAAGCGGTGTCGACGCGGTACACGGCATGGATTATCACGACGGTTTCTCCGGCCCTGCTGAGCGCGGTTATCACACCACCGGCTCGGACAATCCTTATATTCCATATACCCCGGGTGTGGGGAGCTCAGAATCGCTGCGGCCAGAGCAGTCGTATGGATCGAACGTGGCGTTTGGTGTCGCGGGCGCTTCGCCGGGCTTGCACACACCGGCCCAGTCATCAACACATCTCAGTGATGCGGGTTCAAACCGGCGCAGTATGTTGGACCAGTATCATGGGGCTTACGGTGGTGGTGGGATCGTGAGCGATGGGCCGTACCATCGACAGTCGCAGTATAGCACTGGGCATGTTTCTGGGGATATCAACCCAGAGGATATTGCGGACGACGGCGATGATGAGTTTATGCCGAGGGCGCAGAATGGAGCTGCGCCGGCTGCGGGCGCTGCAGCCGGGGCTGGTCTCGGCGGACTCTTTAATCGTGGCGGCAATGCCAATCCGTCATATGGACCCGTGCCAGGTGGTGGTTTGGAAGCTGGGAGACGAAGTGCGGCGGCACAGGAAAAGGCCGCGATGGGTGGTGGTATGGCTGCTCGCAAGAAGCGTGGTTTGATCGCGGGTCTCGTCCTCGGTTTGATTGTCCTGGGTGCGATTATTGGTGGTGCCCTGGGTGGAACGCTGGGAACGAAGCACAATAATGGATCGTCATCATCGTCGTCAGGTGACAATTCTGCAACTAGCGACACGGCGCAGAATGGAGATCTCAATAAGGATTCTGATGAGATCAAGGCGCTGATGAACAACCCGGATTTGCACAAGGTCTTCCCCGGCATGGATTATACACCATGGGGCGTCCAGTACCCGCTGTGCTTGAAGTATCCTCCCTCGCAGAATAATGTCACTCGTGACTTGGCCGTGCTTTCTCAACTTACCAACACCGTCCGCCTTTACGGCACTGACTGCAATCAGACCGAGATGACTTTGCATGCGATCAGCCAGCTTGGCTTGACGGATATGAAGCTCTGGCTGGGTGTGTGGATCGATCCCAACACGACAACCACTAACCGCCAGCTCGACCAACTGTACAAGATCATCGACGATACCAAGGATCCCTCCATCTTCAAGGGCGTGATTGTCGGTAACGAAGCGCTATACCGCGCTGGTAGTGACCTGCAGTCCGCGGAAACGAGCTTGATCAGCTACATCACAGGTGTTGCCTCTGAATTGAAGAAGCGCAATCTGAATGACATGGAGGTGGCCACATCCGACCTCGGCGATAATTGGAACGCTGACCTGGCTGATGCCGTCGATGTGGTCATGTCCAACGTACACCCATTCTTCGCCGGAGTCAACGTCGACGTCGCCGCGGCCTGGACCTGGGACTTTTGGCAACAACACGATGTCGTTTTGACCAAGGGGACTACCAAGAAGCAAGTCATCTCTGAGGTGGGCTGGCCCAGCGGAGGTGGTAAGGACTGTGGATCGAGCCCAACTTGTGACTCTAGTACCCCGGGCTCTGTCGCAAGCATTGACAACATGAATACCTTCATGTCTGAATGGGTCTGCCAGGCTCTGGAAAACGGCACGGACTATTTCTGGTAAGCTACCACCCACAACCCCCCCCCTTGCTTTAGTGACAATTGCTTACCCAACTCTCAGGTTCGAGGCATTCGATGAGCCCTGGAAGGTTCAGTACAACACCCCCGGCAAAGAGTGGGAAGACAAGTGGGGTCTCATGGACGCTGCGCGCAAGATCAAGTCAGGCCTCAAGATCCCCGATTGCGGAGGCAAGACTGCCTCGTAGGTCTTGTGTCGGACCTCTTCATAACGGGAATCATGACCATGAAAATACCCTTGCGCCTCACCACATTCGTACCTGTATATCCGTCTTGTCCTCGCCTTGTACCTTCTATTCACGTCTATCCTTTTACCGACTACCCGATTCCCCGACTCTGCTAAAATAATGACTCTTCGCGTCTTGTTTCTGCATTCACGTTATGCCTTGTCGATCCTTTCACCCTCGTCACCTTATCCATCGAGCCTCTTCATGGGGTATCTCATACCCTTGCATGGTACTTTGGTCCTTGTTTTCTTTCTTTCTTTTTTTTTTTTTACGTCTGTTTGGCGTTCTGATGCGCCACTGCGCTTCCTTGGTTTATGATCTTGTATTCTTCGGTGGTCTCCTCCAACTGGGGTGGACCTTGCATTGAACATTGATTTTGGGGATGATGTGTCCTAGTTTGTCTTTTACTGCGCCGATTGGGGGTTTCAATGTACATATGGCCATTAATAATGACCACACCCGATTTTGCGATGGGTATATTGTTGTGAATACGTAGGAGAACTCTGTTAGGGCTCCAAGGGTGACTAGTTATTATCCCAAATCAACTGGGACGAGATAGATCCAAGACAGACATGGTATTCCACTGTGACATGCAAGATCTCCAAAGGTCCAGTATATAATTTTCCCAACTCCGCAAAATGCAATGCAACCCAACCCAACCTTCCACCCTCCTCTGCATCTCTTCAAACCACCTCCACCCTCCCATCCCTCACCTCTTCCCCCTTAGACTCATCTCTAAAATAAAGCCTCGTCTTCCAAAACGCATACTCACAAACCTCAAACGGCACCAACACTACCGACCCAACCCTCCCCGCAAACCCTTGAATAACATCCGACTCCGTATCCTCCAACGGCCCGCCGAATACCATGCACGGGTTCGACGGGAGCAATTGCTCGAGGTGTTTGCGCTCGGCGCCGGGGCAGAAGAGGAGGGTTCGCGGGGTGATGAGGGTGAAGGCGGTTGGGTGGGTGATTACGTCTATGTGCAGGGATGAGAGGAGGGATTTGTCGAGGGCGTTGAAGACGGGGTCTTGTGCGTAGATTTGGATTGGGGTTGAGGGGGTGCAGACTGCGTAGAAGATTAGTTTAGCTTGGCTATGACAGGGGATGGAGAGGGTGTAAAGGGAGTGGTGCAACGAACGAGAGACCCGCTGCGCAATAGTTTCCAACGCCGCCAGTTGATACATCGATACGCTCCGTCGATCGACCCATCCTCCACGCAGGAATCCGCTCGGACTACCAAGTCCAACGCAGACAATGGCGTCCACGGGTCCTGTATTCTGCGCAGTTCCAGTTCCATCTTCAGCTTCGGCAGCAGTCATACTCGCGCGCTCCGTAATTCGCGCTCCAAGCTGCCCCTCCAACCGCTTCCACGTCTCCGAGCTCACCCATCTCTCGCGATACCCGCGGTACTGTGCCTGCAGCTCCTCCAGGGTTAATCGCCCCGGCGCCTCTGCTGGGCCGAGGACAGGCTCGACATCACCCGGATTAGCTTTGGAGAGGTCTTGCTCTTGATTCTGGTCTTGCGCTTGCACCGGAGAATTTAATTGGGAGTCTTGCTCGCTAGGCTTTGCGCGGGTACCGCGTAGCACACGCCGGACATTGGTGCTGGAGGTGACGTGTGTCCAGCTGTCGTCGTCGGTGACTTGGAGGCGCTTTTGGGTTGTGGCAGTGGTGCGCTTTTTGCGGGATGTGTGTGGCATGGTGTTGAGGGTAGAATTGGTGGTCAATTGGTTCTGATATGGAGGGGATTGGACGTCTTGGATTTGGGTGCTTTGGATGGTGGGGGTTGATGGATTTCTTCGAGGGCTTATCTGTTATCTCTTATCGATTGTTGATTGTGTTGTCGTTGACTGGTTATCAGTTTATCGATAAACTCTGGTTAGTCAGCTGTTTGTTGATTCCACTCGCATAGGTTAGAAGGTCCCTCCAAAGGGTATGGTTATTAGGAGAAGGAAAAGAGCGCATGATATTGGCGGGGCATATAATCTCTGAATATCATCAGATATCCTTGAGTTGCTTCTGGAATGCTTATTGGCAAAAATTTGTGTACTGACAAGTGCCAGCTTTGATTCTGGCTATGCAAATCATAGCCCCACGGTCGGCCTCCACTTGAACTGTTTAGAGATGAGCTCCTCCGTAGCTTATGTGAGCATTGGTTTGTCCTTTTTATAACGATAGATCTAGATCCTACGCTGTCTAAGCATTGTATATTTGAGATACTGGCCATGGTGGCCTACATAGTTCAACCACTCTTGATAATCTTGTCTTCAGGTAGCACCCCCACAACATCCCCCCTAGTATTGTCGGAGCAGTCTGACTGTACTGGTGTCATCCATAGCTCGCAGTGTAAGCTGTTAGCGCCAGAGACCAACTCTTCAACGCCCCCTCCCCTCTCAAGACCGCCCGCAGTTGGCGTAGCCCGTCGGCGCTTCCAACTCAGGGCACTCACCCAATCACATCCCAGAACCCAGTGACGGCACTTGCAGAAGAGCGTGATGGTCCCCAATATCCTTGCCCAGTGGTGCTCCGCATTGTCCCTCTCGTCCACTCAGATTCTGTGTAAGCTGCAGTCGCTGTCACATCTGGGTCCTGCATCCTGACTCGTCCACACCCCATGGCCAGACTGCACGTCGAAGCCCCCTCAAAAAAGAGGCCGATCGGCCCTCGACCGCCGTCCGCGGTTTATGCCTTGGTCGAGCTTCCTCTACAGCTACGCCGGATTGAATTCCATGCTCCATCGCTTGTCGTCTCTTCTGTACTACAATTAGGAGCGAGAGCAGAGCGACGCCGAGCGTCACGATTAGCGGTGACCTGGCGAGACTGCAATTTTGTTGCATCTTACGTGCCCGCCCGCGTTACTGTGTCAGCAATCCCCCGAGTCCTGCTACTGCCTGAATCGACCATACATATTTCAACATGGCTATGCAGCAATTATCATTGCGATGGGCGACTTTGATCGTCCTGTTGTGGGCAGCTGTTGCCCGCGCCCACACCATCATCACCTACCCCGGCTACCGAGGGAATAACCTGTTAACCAACGGTACCGTCGCCGAAGCAAATGGACTGGGTGTCGCCTACAACTCCAAAAATGACTCCCTTTACTATCCCTACGGAATGGAGTGGATTTACCCATGTAAGAATCTCCAAAATCATCACCCTCGGAGCACCCACTAAGAATCAACCCCTCTCTCTAGGCGGTGGAATGCCAACTTCTACGAACCGCTCGTACTGGCCCGTCGGTGGCGGCGCTCTCGCTATGCAGCCTGGCTGGTTCCCAGGCCACGAGACGGCCTTAATCTACATCAACATGGGACTCGGTGAGGTCCCAGAGAATATGAGCCACACTGTCCTGGGGCCTTTCCAGATCACCGGTCCCTCGAACAACCCCTACCCAGGAACCTTTTGTCTACCTCAAGTGCCTCTGCCGGCCAATATTAGCGTCAAGCCCGGTGATTTTGCCACAATTCAAGTGGTAGAGGCTGCGAAGCATGGCGCCGGGCTGTTTAATGTATGTTCAACTTCTCATACGCCTGGCTATTCCCATTATTGTGTACTAACATCGATTCATGCAGTGCGTTGATATCATCTTCGCCGAAAACGGAGACTCTAAGATTGCCGAGGTCACCACTGATAACTGCTTCAACTCCAGCGATCTCAGTTTCCAGTACGTGTACACGACCTCGGGTATCGGGTCCGGTGCAGCCATGCTGCAGCCCCCACGACACATGTGGACCGCAGTCGTGCCATTCCTACTCGCGGCAGCATTCATGTAGATATTTCCAGTCTTGTCTTCTGATGCATTTATGTGCGTGTTGTTGTTTCCTCTTTTGAACATACCCTAGCTTGGACTGGAATGATTGCTGCGATACAATGTTGAATATGATCGCTTATCATGCTTCGGATACTCCGATTTTGTGCTTCTTTTCATGAAATCATTTAGGTGTTTGGCGTGCTGGTTAACGAGTGCTAGGTTTAATGAAGAACACAGAGCATTTTCTCATCACACCTTTTTTTTCAAAATTTAGTTCTAATGTTCGGCGATTTTCCCCTGCATTTCTGCCTACTGGCATTGCTCTAATGCATATCATAGGGATACCCCAAATCCAATCATACAATAAAAACAGCTAATCCAACATCCTTTTAAGGGCAGGTATCCAATGGACGCCCAATGGACAGTCGCTGCACTCACCCAGCGTGACCATGGACTGATTGACTCTGAGCACTTTCATAAACGTGGCGGCACATGTAAGTAAGAATAGGAAAGCTCCTATCTCACATTGACTACCTACAAGTCTATCGACATCATGATTTCCCCATCTTCATCCGGCGGTGCAATCTCCTTAAAACCAAGCCTCTCATAAAACCTATGGGGCGAATCCTCAGGTTTCACATTCTTAAGCGGATTTTCGCTCTTTTTCCCTTCCGGTGGAGTTGACATCACCCCCAAAGTCTTTGCCCGAGGATTATGCTGTCGTATATGTGCAATCGCGAACTCCACACCCCGTCGACCATACCCAAGACCCTGATACCGGCCATCAATCATGAATCGCCAGATATAGTAGGCCTCATCCGGATCCCAGATCGCCATCATCAGCATACCGACAAGCGTTTCGTCGGCGTAGATAGCTCGTACCCATGCGTCTTCGGAGTAATGAGCTTCACAGAGAGACCACACATTTGGGGCGAGGTTGCCTGTCTGGCCGGGCTTGAGGCTTAAATTTGCTACCGCGCGCCAGTTGTCCTCGGTGACTTCGCGAAATGTGAGAATTGAGTTCCTGTTCGGGGTGGAATCGGTGGAAATTTCCCCCACATTATCTGGGAGTTGTCAGAGGAAGGAATTAAAGAAGAGAACACTGATCTAGGATTTCACTTGCAAGCTTTTCTTTTCTCTTCAACAGACCGCACACAGAAGTATTAGGCAACCATTCAGCTTACTCGGGGTGGATCAATTGGGACGCCCTATTGCCAAGCAATTCTGGAATCCAGGGAACCCAAGATCTGCAGCTAGTTAATTGGGTAGTTCTCTTGAGACGTTGACGATCTACCTGCAGACTCCAAGCAACCTTGTTAAGCTCTATCGTCTCCAGACAGATGTGGGAAAAGCCCAGCGCATCTGACTCAGGGCTCCGTCATAAACTTCGCTATAGCTGAGAAAGGGGAGCTGTGTCTAGCAGAAGAAATATGGCCCGTAGAGTGTTACTTGATGATCAAAACAATATCAAGTGTGTAAAATAAGAAAGCGAGGAGAATGGATATAATTGACATATAGACAGCATCGCAGTTTAAGCAGAACCCTGAATGTAATAGTCTAGCATATGGAACGCCATCGTTTACGCGGGCCGTTACGAATCATTCAGTCATAGCTGTTCCACTCGAACACCCGAGTCATGTGGATTGATACAGGAGTCTAGCTCAGTTACAACAAACAGTATCTGAAAGAGATGTTCATTTTGCACATATCCATCAATAATGGAGAACATTCTATGTTGACTGGATCCCCGCTCAATACATTGAACCAACTCAACCACAGAACCAAACTCCAAACAACCGCCCGGTCTTGGGAACCTCAGCACCGAAGGTACTGGCTTGGTGGAAGGCCGTACCTGGAAGGCATGCCTTGCACTTGCAGACGAAGTGCAGTAATTTGTGGCGCGTGTGACTGAGCAAGCAATCGAATTCTCCAAAGTAAGCGAAAGTGATCTCTTCGCCAGGTCTGATGTCCTTGATCGCAAAGCAAGAAATAGTGTCTCCCTTACCCATTGGCATTGATGCGTTAGGGATACACGATTGGTTGAAGCGCGAGAGAAGAACGAACAGACCCTGGGCTGTAGGCTGGAGCGCAGCCAGTCAGGTAGGTTCTCGAAACATCGAGCAGGGCAGTGCAACATACAATGATTCCACCAAGAGGGACAGTCAAGGTATCTGCCCTTGACCCAGTATTGTTGGTGATCTTTGGATAGAGGCTATTTGTAGTGTGTTAGTGGAGTTCTCTGAACTGGCCAAGCAGAGTGGCATCGTAGAGTATGCAAGAGGCGGAGGAATATCTTTCGCCAGAGGGTTGGATTCTGTCTGAAGAAGATTGCGAGGAGGGAAGAAAGGCAGAGGTCTTGATAGAGACCTTTTGCCTCGGATACCTATGGTTTGTTCCGTCGCTGTTCTCGTTTGCACTCCTTGTGGAAAGACTCGCGGATCGTGGTGTCGAGACAAACTCTGGACTCAGGCACATCCCGCTACACTGAGACCTTCAAAAGAACAGCTGTCTCCAATTGACTTTGAATTGGACAGGAAGATGATTCAACGCATTTTAATTGATTGTCGCTAGTTGCTCGTGGACTTCATTGGGGATTACAAATGAGGATATATGCGCCTATATACACAGGATTTTGTCCGCCGGGTGGGGCTTTCCTGTCTGGGCTGCCGCCGCTTTAATGAGGGCGATCAGGCTCAGGCTCACCGAGTAAATGTCAGCACGGGCCCATGCTCAGTGATCTGGTCAGTGCAGTCATGTGATCACTCAGTCACTGCTTACTCATCAGCTCTCAATTGTCCAGCGCGCTGTATCAGCGCTTCCCGCTTTGGGTGCGCCCGCAATCCTGACCTTTTTGTAGAGAAATCGTCAAATTTACCAACCAACTAGCTAATTATCAACAAAAAAAACCTCTCCTGCCTGCCTAGCCGCTTCCTCATTAGCAATTGCCCGCTGAATAGATTCCTCCGATCGCTGTGGGGGTTCGTAGCCATATATTTTCTTGAACTGCTTAGCTAGCTTCCTTTCCTCCTTGGCCAATTCCTCCTCCTTCCTGGTCTTAATCGATCGATTCGCATCGCGTGTAGTTAATATACCAGTCTGGCTAAGTGGTTTAACCTGTCGCTTGGTGTATTTTCGACGTACTGGGGCCTGCGCGACCCTTATACGCTGAATTGTATCCCGCGTCATCGAAAGCTCCTCCGCTATCTCCCGCTGGTGCGCCATCAACCTCGATAGATTTCGCTGTATCTTATCTGATAGATCCTCGAGGTGTTCAGTAACCTTCGCCTGATTCTTACATAGTGCTTCGATAGATTTCGGAGGGCTATTTTCAACACTAGAAGACGAGAGATTAGGTAGTGGTGGTAATAGTGTATGCGAGCCCTATGAGCGAAGATCTAGTGCGTATAGATTAGGAATCACTAATTCCTTAGCAAGGTCATTAACAACCTTACTACTATCAACTAGATAGATTCTACGATCTCTGAAGGATTCGCGGATAATTCGCTGTGTAAACGCCTTCTTGCGAATTAGCCCGATAATCGCGAGGAAATCTGATTTCGGCTTTCTTTGAGATAAAACCATTTGGCAGGCCTCGGCTATGCGAGATTCATCAAAAGTAGTAGATTTAGGCATCGTTGGTGGTTGAATTGGCTAGTAGAAGACTACTGGTAGGAAAAAGGTCAGGATTGCGGAAAGGTCAGGATTGCACCCAAAGCGGGTAGCGGTTTGGGTGGGCAGAAAGGCACGGATACCTCTTCTTCCAGTCCTAAGTGAATAGGGAAAGCGGTGAGAAATGACTTTAAGCCTGGCTCCATGCCCCCACCCAACTTTCCTCCAACCAATCGCACTCATTCATCATCTCCTTTGCAAGGCTTCAACTAATCGTACTTATCTATCATCAATCCCCTTCTCAACTATCACAGCTGATTCGGCCGCCTTGCTTTTACTGGAACTGCCATACCCTCCAGACTGGCCCCAAGCGCACCCAACGTGGGTAACCGGCAGAATGTCATCATCCTCAAAGACGGTGAGTCCTTCCGTGTTATCTAGTCTTCTCGATACTCATAATCAAGCTAGAAACTGGATCGAAAGCTGAATAGTTACGCACCACTTGAACCCACGGACAAAACCAAGGAATTCCTCCGTGACTTCTTCAAGACCCTTCCTCCTGACGGAAAAAAAATCTGGCGGGGGACGTTTCAGGGTGTGCAAACGATGAGACGCTTCGGCAACTGGTCCAAAGCATCAGAAATGGATTATTGATTCCTATGAAAGCACAGGGTGGCAAAACACCCACTGAAATCACTCCGTCTCCGCGTTCTGGCGTTGAAGATTCAATCGAGAATCTCAAGAGCCTAAACATCGTCCCTATCAGTAGAAGCTCTCAGTCGCAACTCCGGCACTACTGTTTAGAAAGGGATGGCAACAAATGTCTTGCAACAGGGCAGTACAGTCACAGCCATGCCTATCCACGGAACGCAATAACAACCCATCTTGAAGCGGCCCACATTATTCCATTTGCACTTGGATCCTTTCAGGCCAATGACGGCGAGGTAGTGGACAGACATGCGAAGATTTGGGTCAATTTAAGGCGCTACTTTCCAGTTCTTCGCAACATGTCCTTTACCTCAGAACAGATTAATTCGGAAAAGAACGTCCTGATGCTAGACTCCCAACTTCACACGGAATTCGGTCAATTCAGACTTATTTTTGAAGCAACCGGAGTTGCTCACCAATATCGAATTAAGACCTTTCCAGATACCGCCACAGGGCCAATACGAAATTTACCTAAAAATCGGCTTGTCAAGTTCAGAGTTCACAAAGGAAGTTGGGAACTTCCAGATCCTAAACTTCTCGAAATCCACGCTTGTATTGGAAACTTTCTACATATGAGTGGCCAGGCGGAGATAATCGACAAGGTCCTGAAAGATTTTGAAGACTGTGGTGGGCTTGCCCCGAGTGGAAGCACCAACATCGAAGACCTTCTTGCAGTGAGCGGCCTCTCACTACTACCCTCGAATGCCAACGAAACGCCCGATTCCCAAAAGTCTGCAGAGCAGCAACGTCCTCCGGAGAAGCAAGATACAGTGAGCGGCCTCTCACTGCTGCCCCCGAATGTCGATAAAACGTCCGATTCCCAAAAGTCCACAGAGAAGCAACGTCCTACAGAGAATCAAGGACGCCTACAGGCGAAATTTTCTGACACTGAGAATAAGCCATGGACATACTAACTTGGATAATCGGGAATGCGGTTATCACGGTCGCAGTTACAGGTTAGGCTAGGTGACGGACTGGGCTACTATCTTTAGCTAGCTTCTTAGTTCTGAACTCATCAACAGAGAGATCCAGTCTTATTGCTTCGGCTGTCCTCGTTTTCCGTAACAGTCGCATAGCCTTTAGAATAGCCATGATCAGCGTTGGCTTTCTGTATCTCTCTTTGTTATTGAAATCAAATATCACTATACTCTTATGTTAAATTCGTTCAACTTTTCGGTCATTGTGTGCTCCCAATAGCGTCTCCTACTGATTCCACTTAGTTTGAACTAAAAATGGACTTATCTCTGCGTTGACGTTTGAGTAAATCAGGGCCGCTCAGTAAGCAGCTTAGGGTCGCTCGGTCAGGTCAAGGTCAGTGAGTAAATAAGTTTGATTACATAATGAATAACGGACAGGCTCAGGTTGATCAGGGGCGTGCTCAATTCTACTCAGTGAACAAAAGCGGCGAGAGGGTGAGCACTAGAACGGAAGGGGACCGCCAAGAGTTGCTGGACATTATTTGGTATATATGCTTTTCTGTTGTTCTTAAGCCGGAGCTCCCTTCTACTATAGATCCCCGGAAATGGGTCATTGTCGAGCATTACCTGAGATGCTTCTATCTAGAAATATAGTCTACTACCATCTACTTTGAACAAAGAATATAAAGCAGCCAATGGATTTGGGTCATTTTTAAATGACCGAATCATCTGAAGGGAGACTAATTCAAGACTTTAATATAGCTAGGCTTCAAGCTGTTTACCAAAAGGTTACAAAAGAAAAAAAAATGTGGAGAACATGTAGATAATATGAACGTTCGCCAATGTGCACGTGGTAAACAGACGGCCGTGAGCGGTGAAAGCTTGGTCGAAGTCGAAGAGAGTCTTGGAAACTGAATTCCCTGATCATCCTTCAAAGTTTCTTTCCCCTCGTTAGCGAAGGACCACAGTGGCTGGCATTATTACCAAACATGTCTATCGATTCATCAAAGTCTTCCCTTCGGGCTCACCTCGCCTATGAACCACAGCCACTCAAATTCGGAACTAGCGGTCGACGTGGCTTGATCGTCGATTTGACTCAACTGGAGATTTACATCAACGTTCTCGGTGAAATCTGCCATCTTCAAGCCATTCCACCTTCTGAAGGTGGCATTAAATCTGGAGACGACTTCTACTACGCATATGACCTTCGTCCCAGCTCAATTCACTATGTCGAGCCCAACCGTGGCGGTCTCTGCCAGGCCGTTGAGCAGGCTTTGAGGGACGCGGGTATGCGGCCGATCAGCCTGGGCGCTATCCCTACCCCTGCTCTAACACTTTTCGCGTTGCAAAGAGCGAAGGGAAGCATCATGGTTACGGGTAGTCATATTCCCTTCGATCGCAATGGCTACAAATTGAATACCTCTAAAGGAGAACTGTTGAAAAAAGATGAGCAGCCTATCAATGAGTCTGTTGAGATTGTCCGAAAAATGATTCTTGAGCAGCCATTCACTGAGTCCCTTTTTGACGAGCAAGGCATGCTTCGTAACGGCGACTCAACCCTCGTGGCCCCTATCCCAGATGGGAAGACTACGTATATCCAACGGTACCTTGACTTCTTCAAGGGTGATACGCTCCAAGGGACGAAGATGCTGGTCTATCAACACTCCGCTGTCGGCCGTGATCTCATAGTTGAGCTGTTCCAAGCGCTTGGCGCTGAAGTGCTCCCTGCAGGCCGCAGTGAGACCTTTGTCCCCATTGATACCGAGGCGATTGATCAAGCTCAACTTGATACAATTCAAAAGCTCTACGACGGCACAGGCGGAAGCTTCGATGCAGTCATCTCCACGGATGGCGATAGCGATCGCCCCCTTCTCCTGGCACCGGAAGATGGCAAACTCCGCTTTTTCAGCGGCGACCTTCTGGGTATGGTCGTTGCTGAATTCCTAGGTGCCGACGCAGTGATCGTCCCCATCAGCACTAACGATGCCATTGACCGTGGATCCCTCAAGCCGTTCTTGGAGCCTAAGACGAGAATCGGCAGCCCCTACGTGATTGCTGGCATGCAGCATGCTGTTCAGAAAGGACGCTGCCGTGTCCTTGGATGGGAGGCCAATGGCGGATTCCTTACTGGCTCCGATATCCAGCTTGAGGGTAGAAGCCTTCCCGCTCTGCCTACACGCGATGCAGTTCTTCCTCTGCTATGCGTTCTTTTTGCGGCACGCAAGCGCCAAGCAACTGTCCCAGCGCTTTTCGAATCCCTACCCGCCCGGTTTAGTCGGGCCGCAGTCATTCGCAATTTTCCTCGGCCAACAAGTGCGAAGATTGTACAACGGTTATCGCCACTAGAAAAGGATATACGCCGAATTCAATATTCAGAGGATGGCATGATTCCGCTGGACTGCAATGGCAAACCCTCTGTCATCATCACAATGGGTGACGGCCGTCATATTTTCCAGATTCGTAAGGAGCTTCAGCAAGTCTTCTCTGTCGAAGCTGGCTTTTCTCCAGTTATACTAGCGGATTATACCGACGGAGTTCGTATCACGTTCAAAAATGGTGATGTCGCGCATATTCGTCCTTCTGGGAATGCCGATGAGCTTCGCATCTACTCTGTCAGCGATACCAAGGCTCGCGCGGATGATATCTGCAGTCAAGGAATTGCAGAGCCTGATGGCTTGTTGAGGCAACTGGCACGCTTGATCTAAGAATCGGCAATATTCTCCCGGGTTATCTATGGGTTCTCGCGACTGGGGTGGGGTTCTGTGGATCATGGCGCGGCCTATTCTTGCTTGTATGAATCCATAATTTGAAAAAGCGAATACATCGGCCAGCTACATTAACGAAACCAGCTTCGAAAAGAGTCTCTTGTAGCACTGCTTTATCTAATCACGATGTTGTATAGGAGTGTAAATCAACTGTGCTGCGGCGGATATGGCCTGAAACGAGGAACGAGTAAAGGGCTTACTAACCTGCGCGAGAGCTGCCCGCAAAGTTTGGCTGCGTTCGTACTGCAAAATCGTGAGAATTTTTGGCCGCTGATTGGTCAGTTTCGCCGCCAAGACGTGTTCTGGTTCGTCCGAAGTGTTTGACTTATCAGATACCACTGTGGCTGGCTAGGATCTACAACCCCCAATCCCCCTCTTTGATTTACATGTACTTTTACCATACCTGTGCCCCACGGGCTTGTAACCCCAGAGTCATTGGTATTCTCATAGCCATTTTAACCCCCATAAAGTTCGGTTGATTAGTTCAGCTGAATCAGCACTCATTTTATCTGATCTCTTTGCATTACTCTTTTTGATTCCGTTACTCTCATTAGCTGGTGAATCCTTAGTATTTCATAGCTTATACCGGCCGTTCCTGTTAAAAGGAATTCAGATATACTATTTAGCAAGAGTCAATATATAAGATAACGGAGAATACTCGAATCGCCGAGAGGTATAAGATTCTCCGGAAATGTAAAACGTAATGAAGGCGCGTTAATTTGCATCAATATTTAAGCCTCAGCGGCAGGCAGGGTTAGCATAGATGGCCACATAATTAGCAGGTCGGTAGCTCAGCTGAAGGGCTACACTGTATGGCAACCCCGCTCCCTTGTTACACGACATTTGTCTTTGCTTCTTTGACAATTTTCAGCCAACGAGAGGCTAAGATTTATGCGGAAAACTGTTCCAGGTAACTCTTCATTTGGCGGGATGTGTATATAATGACGCGTTGTCTTGACTTTGGGCCCTACGTGTTCATGATAAAGAGCTGCCTAATCCATCATTCTATTGCATTCTCACGTGAAACATATGTAGCAAACCCACATAGTCTATGTGATAGCTTTTTAGTCAATTTTGTGAATTAAAATTTGCTATCCTAGGCGTGACAGTCCTTGGCCACTGCTCGCCTCAATGCGCTGTACGCGCAGAAGCGAGGCTGCAGCATGAAGATCAGGCCCGTGTTTGACTGGTGAAGGTGCATGGCTTGCAATTTCGGAGCTGACAATTTTATTACGGCTTACTTCTCCCAGGCTGGACCTAGAACAGTGAAATCATGTGTTGATATAGTCACTCCAGTTAAGCGTAGCATAGACAAGGCTAAGGCCCGTCCTTATTAACTATATAAACCTCTTATTTCCCCTCAATAGGTCAAAGGCAGGAAGAGTAATTCACATGAACCCAGTCTTAGTCGAACGACACTAGAAAGCCTTTTTAACACCCCATTGCCACAACTCAACAGGTGTCCGCAATACCTACTAGTGACACCTGGCGAACTCCTGCCACCCTAAACTGGACTCATTATAGACAGTTTTAATAGCCATTTGTTCCTTGAAGGCACCTTCAGCATACGTCAGGTGGCCCTCACTACTCCCAGACCCCCCCTTCTCAGAGACCTTGTCGAGTTGGCCAACGGACATCATCGTGTGGCTTTTACCACTCGTTCCCTCGAATACACTACTATCGCCAGCCGACTTCCAGTATGGCTGACCTGCGGGCAACGCTCGCGAAGCTGCAGGCTGCTAGGGATCAACTAGCGGAGCAGCTGGAGGTCAACCAACCAGTAGCAGATCATGCAACACGGACACTATTAGGTGTCGCAAACAGGGCTTGTTCAAGATTATCGAGTAAATTAGACATGGACAAGCCCAGTCACGTCGGACATGGCACAGGCGCTTTTACTCGTTTAGACACTGGCACCGGCATCGATCCTATATCGCCAGCATCATTCCCAGCTATCCCGGAGGCTGTAATTCGCGCGAAACAGCCAGCCACGGAGCCAATAGCATTCTCAAAATACCTCCTCGACATAATAGCCGGATTTATTGAGGGCACACCAGTACAGAACGTAGGTTTCGTCAACACTTACGTTGGAAACATTTTGGCGCATACCCCCTCTGTCCCCAACAAGCCCTGCTTCGCTAGGCTACACAACCGGAATTGCAACTTCGGGCTTATTATATCTAAGATAAGCCTGGCCACACAATTTACGACTGGTTGGGTCAAGTTCCTAACACTCGGGGCCTGGTCAGATCTGTGGGAGGCGGCTATAGAGGCCGACCTTCGCCCGTCGAGCCTCTTACGCATCAGTACCCAGAGTATATTACTCTCCGCCACGTGTGAAAAGGCGTATTCAGATTCTCGGAACGATGTCAACTGGCCCTGGGATCTCATGAGTGATGAGGCTGTGGCTTGCCTGATCATGCACGCTGCCTCGCCCGATATACGTACTGGGGCAATGGGCGATGCTCTTCTACGTCGGCGCGTGTGCTCCTGCCAAGGCTGTCAATGAACCAGCCCCAACCCGTGAGGAGTACGTCCACATAAGAGCGATTGATGGCTGTATTGAGACTCTGCGCGCGAATTTACACGTCCTTGGGGGCGGCAGGGAGCACGACGATTCAGCCGTTGCGGGGATAATCCAGAACGACATATATGACGCTGTGTTTGACAGTCTCCAGACCAGGCGGTGTAATGTGATCGTGGACGCGTATGGCCGTGGCCTCCATGATGCGGGTGTGAGCGCCGGCATTGCGATTAGGGGTGTTATAGCAAGGGCTTTCAAAAGTGGGCGGCTCCATTTAGTCATAGCTGAGCTGCTCGTTTGGGCCTGTCATCAGCTAGGCCCCAGGTATGCTATCTACGAAGTGTGGCAACGCGTCGACTTCCGCTATACCTGTGACTGTTATGGAACTGAGCATCTGGGAGATAGCGGGGGAGTAGGTCTGCGAAGTATACCCGGATTTGCCAGTGTACTTAAGTCCCACGGACTGACTGGCTCCGTCGTCGATATCCATGAAGCCTGGGCGTCGTATTACCGCCTGACCAATGATGTATGGGCCGGGAAATCGGTTGATGACTGGGTACTTACGGCTCGCCCACTGTTGGAGTACTACGCTTGGTGCGTTGCCGACGGCTCTGACGCGGTGGCATACGGGAAATTAGCCGACCTGTCAGTGGGCGGATTCATCATCGGGAGGCACACGGAAGGCTTACCCACTGGGCGCACCGAGTGCCGCAAATGTGCCCGAAACGAGTGGTGCAATGAAGAAAACGGGGCTGTTTAGTTCCTATGCTGACATACTTGCTCAATTAACATACATTTAATACTCTACATAATTCTCTCGGGTTTTTCATCTCTTCCGCAGTGCTGATATTGATCATGCTTTTGTCTTCCTCATTGGTGTATAATACTTTACATATATATTAGGGAAAGCCTTACAAATTTTACTCATTTTCCATACTTACTTTCCTACCTCATTTCTTTATTTTCTGAATGAACGAAGTGAGAGAAAGGGAATTAATCAACACGGATGTACGTGCGCATGGAGATATTGTAAAACATCGTGGCCTGCCCTGAAACGAACGAAGTCAGAGGAAGGGGAACGACCCGTACGTGACAGGACCTTGAAACCTTATTTGTCGTGGGGATTCGTGACGCCTGTCAGCCATACATACAAAAATTGAGACGAAATTTGACCGAAATCGCGATGATTGGCTCTCTGTGCTTCAGTAATTTTGGTCGAGTGCTTTCAGTGCCATTGGACAAAGGAATCTACCGGAGACGACTCTAGTTTCCCGTTCTATGTCCAATCTGCAGCTCTGTTGGTGTTCTGTAGCTTTTCGGTTTTTGTTGCTCACTCCGACTCTAGTCGGAGCATTGGGTTTCCAGTGCTATTGACGTTTCGGGAATGGCGTTTTGCGCTACCATGATCTGAATGAATCTTATCGGATTCGGCTTTGCTTTTCCGGAACTTTAAACATGCCAGGACCCATCCAGCCAGAGTTCCTCTCCTCTCCGTGTTGTGCTCGTATCCTTGTGACAAGGAGTGATATTTAAGTTCTTGGCCTGGAGACCTCTTGTTCGATGTCATTGGAGGCTATTCTTACAGTGTAATTAGATGCAGCTCTTACCGGAAACCACTCGAGTTTGCAGTTCTCACAATACAGGTACTGCAAGAAGCGATCCAACGAAAGTACTTCTGTTGCTGGCAACATTCCTCGAAACAGAGAAAGATATATCCTCGTTGTCTCGAACCAGTGTGAGGCTCCATACTCTCCTAAATCCATGGCTTTATCAATACAATTCCCTGCATTCCGAGAGTTCCGCACTTTTTTGGGCTGCAAAAAATGGAAACGTGGATATCGCTCGATTGTCAATCGGAGGAGGGGCTAGCGTTATGGTGACAGACCACTTCGATAGGACGCCATTGTCTTGGGCTGCAGAGAAAGGGCACGAAGCAGTAGTAAAGTTATTACTTGAGGCAGAGGAGGCAGACGTGAATTCCCCGGACTTTGATAATCGAACGCCATTATACTGGGCCATCGTTGAGGGACAGGAGGGAGTGGTGAAGCTATTACTTGAGACGGCAAAGGCGGATGTGAACTTCAGGGACTCTGATGGGTTGACACCACTATCCCTAGCCGTGTTGAACGGACGTGAGGTAATAGTGAAGCTATTGCTTGAGATGGGAGAGGTGGACGTAAACCTCGAGGGATCTAATGGTGTGACGCCACTGTCCCTGGCTGTGGTGGAGGGACGTGAGACAATCGTGATGCTCTTCCTTGAGACAAGAACTGTGGATGTGAACCTTGGAGACTCCGATGGTGCGACCCCACTATCATTGGCAGCAGTTGAGGGACATGAGGCAGTAGTGAAGCTATTACTTAAGACGGGGAGGGTAGATGTCAACTCCCAGGACTCCCGGGGTCGGACGGCATTATCTTGGGCCGCAGAGCAAGGGTATGATGCAGTGGTAAAGCTACTACTGGAGACCGGGAATGTGAATGTAAATCTGAAGGATCTCGATGGCCGAACGCCATTGTCATGGGCTGCGATGAGAGGGCATGATACAGTGACAAGGTTGTTACTTGGGACTGGAAAACTGGAGGTGGAGCGTAAGGACTCAGAGGGTTCAACGCCCAAGACGCAGAGGCGGCGACGAAGATGTTGACAGAACTTGTATCGTAAACCATTGTCAATATGACCTTGAGCCCGCAAAACATGCATGAATTTGGGTTGGGGGTACTATAAAATCATACTTATTTTCTAGTTTAGCCCAGCTTCTGCCCTCCAATATCTACCTGCCCAGTCCCCTTATTAAGTCAAGGATGGTCTGCACAACTTCATTTGGGCTTTCCTGAGGTACCCAATGACCGACTCCATCAAGCAGACGAAGGATTCGGAAATCAGAGCACACTGCACCGCTGGTCATCTTGTCAAGTGCGCCGGGCTCTTGATAAATACCCCAATCCTGTTTGCCAGAGACAAATGCGCATGGACACTCGATCTTCTTCCCGGCAAAGGTGTCATAGTCTCGCGTATATCGACCGTTGGGAGCAGTGCGCACACGATACCAGTTCAAGCCTCCTTGGAAGCCGGTGCGGACATACTCACCAGCGTAAACTGCGAGTTCATCGTCTGGGAGCCACGAGTGGGAGCTCTGCCCCTGTGTGGGCTCATCTTTCATGTCTCTGTCCACGGTCTCTGGCATGGTAGCTTCCACTGGCATGATATAGTAGCCCGGCATCTGAACGAGTTCGTCTGCAGTCCAGCTCTTCAGCGGACGCGGCTGATTCCCTGGCCAGGATCCGCTCTTGAGATGAAAATATCCACGCAAGAAGCGATGCATTTCATCCCGAGATAACGTGGACATATCTGGACTCGCCTGTGGTGTCGAGTAGTACCATTTATAGTGCTTGCGGCCATGTTGGGCTAGGTCTTTGTGAATCCCCGAAGCCGCTGCGGATCCCTCCGTACCGCCGCCTCCACCTTTTATAGCAGCCGCACGGTGTTCTTCTGAGGTACCTTCATTAGCAGTGTTGAAGGGCAAGGTCGGACTGCCATTGAAAGGGTGGCTCATCAACACCACGCTACGGAAGAAATCCGGACGTATCAATGCACACGTCGCAGCCGTCATGGCACCGCAGTCATGGCCAGCAACGCATGCCACGGAACGATAGCCCAAAGCATGTACTAGAACCACAATATCGCGCACTAGCTCTGTCATGGAAAAGCTTGTCAAATCCACATCCTCATACGCTCGCGTATCCCAGCCCGTCGTTCGGCCGAAACCGCGCTGATCTGGCGCGACCGCGTGGAAGCCCGCAGCTGCGAGCTGGGGCAAGACCCGACGCCATGAGTAGGCGATCTCAGGAAAGCCATGCAAGAGAACGATCAACGGCCGATCGTGAGCGGGAGTGGCGCCAGCCTCGAGAATGTGGAACGTGAGATCGCGCGTCTCGATTAGGCGACTGGAGACGCCTTCGGGGAGGGGCAGACTGGGCTGTGGCTGTGATTCCTTTGTAGGAGTGGCATCCAGGGACGACATAGTGGAGAGTGGTGGGTTTGGGGCTGGGACCAATCTTGGAAGTAGTTACCGGATTGCCGGGACTGGGTCGGAACGTGCAGTGTGGAGAGAGGTATAAATAGGTTAGTCCAGTAAGGAAGTAATGATGTCAAAATGAAGACTGATAAATCGCGATCCGAGGGTAGAACTAGGGGAATCTGATTCTTGGGCAGGAGAACTATTTATGCCGATCAGAGGAGAGTGATTCGGGGGAAATATCAGCCTGTTTTTCATCACGTAGAAGATCCCCTCGCTTGGTCCCCTAGTTCCCGACATGAACCTAGGTTCAACAGTAGAAATACTTACTAACTACTATAAGAAGTGAGTGACTCGGTGGTTCACTCGGGGACGTACCAAGTTCGAGTCCGTCGTCATATAGTGGCACCTCCAAGCTTGAACCTTGCAACGAAAAACCCAACTGCTTAGAGATTAGCCATAGGCTATACTTTCAGATATCACTCGATAGGCACATAGTCCATCCGTCTAGATAACTATACTCCCAGACAAATCCCCTTCATTGACACTCAGAAACGTTCAACATCATCTCCTCAGTCATATACGGTAAAATAAGGGATTTTGTCTGGCTATCTAAAAAGACAATTCAAAAGACATTCGGAACCACCTTTCCCACAGAGAAAGTTGGAGCGTATTTGGATGGACCTTTGTGCCTATACACATCGTGGATGTACTAGTACACTCAGGACCAGTCCTATGCCAAGTCCGCAACGGGTACCTGAGGCACTCCAGTCATGACGCAAGTTTCCTCAACCCAAAACCTCGAACCTCTCTGGGCTGCTCTCCGCATGTAACATCCACTTTCTTGCTTGGCTCCCTTCTCCCCCGTTGACCGATTTCAATTTTTCCACGTCCCGCGCCATCAAATTCTTCTAATCCTCCCTAATCCCTTCCACCACCCCCCCCCCCATCCCTCCCTGGCCTACCTTCGTTCCTTGGCCCCCCGTTCGTTCCGACCGTATGCGACCTGCCCGGCCTTTTCTCTCTCGTGGTTCCACTTGATCCGATCTTTCACTTCTTCGTGTCGCATCACCTCGAAGCTTTCTATCGCCGAGTTGTAACGCCTGTTCCTTCGAATCCTACTTCATACCCTCGGACCCCGGCGCTGCTTTACGCAGTGTCCGGTCGGCTTTCTGACCTTCGTTCATACCCCCGTGCTCTCGGCAGCGTGAGCCATCATGTTCAACCGTCGCAAAAGAAGCAGAAGCTCTTCCCTTCGCCAGGTGCGTTTCCCGCTGAGAACCCAGACTAGAATGTATATTTGATGGACTGTATCCTATATCTTTTATGCAACACAAAGCTAGACCCCATAGGCAATGGAATCTCCAGTGCCTAGACAAAGACTAACTAGTCTATGTTCGGTAGCCACTATCTGGACCTGCATCGCAATCCGCACAGTCCGCTGCTAGCCATGCGTTCCTGAAATCGCAACCATCCTCCAACAGTCTTTCATCGGCTGCGGCTGCCGCTGCCCTGCGCAATCTCACACCCACCCCAACCCCGATAGAAAATGTCCAGACAAAGCGGATGGTCCAACGGCGGGCCTCAACCCAGTCGCCAACCAATCTGCAAGCTGGCCGTCGCGCCGCAAGTGTAAATGGCCCTCTGCGCCGGTCAAACAGCTCGAGTTCAATGACGGCAAGGACTTTTCGTGAGCCATCGCCTCATCGCCCATCCACCAGCTCCGGCCCTGGCGATAGGCGTCATACTCCCGTTGATGTGCCTCCGTTGCCGTCTTTGCCAACCAAATTTGCACCTCAAAATGGCTCGGGCCGGCGTGCTGTCAGCATGGAGCCATCATTGAGGTCGCCTCCGGCATCTCCGCGACAGTCCGGTGCGCCGACGAGCGTGGATCGAGGACAGCCCGGTAGCCCAGGGCATCAATCAACGCATAATCGAATTGTAAGTCTGGGCACAGTACCAGAAACAGACCGACCGGGCAGCCGAAACTCATTCAATTTCTCATATCCGATGGGATCACGACCGATCTCGCCAACGTCACCTGTGGAAAATCGTCCAATGAACCTGGATGTGGTATCCGTTCGCGAGTCTCCAGACGAGGGCTCTGCTGCGCGACAGCTTGTCTCCGAGAGATCCGGCAATACAAAGAGCAGCGCTCCTGCGGGCGGAAATGTGGAAGACTCACCTGCGGTCAAAGCCGCAAGTATTGCGGCTGGTACCGCTGCTGCTGCTGCACTGAGCTCGCAGAAAAAGAGCCCTCGAACGGATGCCGATTATGCAAAGGTGGAACGGGTAGACCATGGGGCGCCCGTCCCCACGGTGCCGGAACAGCGCATCGATCGCTCGGCTCCGTTTGTAGATACTAGCTCAGGGAGCGAACAACTGTCTTCTCGAGCTGGGCTTCAGCGATGGCCCTCGACAGTGCTCGAGGAAGATGAGCCCATGGCGGAGAATGCAGACGCCAGTATTTCGACCACTCAAAATACCGAAATCCGGTTGCCAAGCGCATCTGCAGCAATTGATCACAGAGAGGCAGTCTCGACACCGCAGCCGTCCCCTCAGCCCTCGCCGAAAGCCTCAAGAGACACCACACCTCAGCAAGACGCGCATCTTCGTCAGTCTAGCAGTCCTGGTCGATCAGCCCGATTCGCCAAATGGCTCTCCGTGACTGCCGCTGGTGATCAAATTCACGAGCCACCGTCACGATCCTTGTCCCCGGTCAAGTCGGCTTTGAAACACCCTCGCGGAAGTTCACTGTCTCCAGACCGAAAGGTCAGCACCGGTGGTCGCGTTTTCCAACCACCCAGTGAGATCTCAGATGGGACTTCGGTCGCTTCAGACGAAGGATCTCGGGTTGGCATGAAGAAACGGCCGGTCAAAGTGAGCTTCGACGACGAGGCTGAGATTGTGGGCGTTGCGGCCAGTCCTCCTACGTCTCCCGAAGAATACGTGCCAGAATCGCCACCCAGCAAGGGCAAGTCTCGTATGAGCTGGCTGGGTGTCGGCAAGAAGCGAGGGTCGCCACTGGACTTTATGACTCGGGACGACAACTTCGACGAGGTCATGAAGCCTAGGCCAGCGCTCCCGTCATTCGGCAGTGTCCGAGGCAATCGAGACGGTGGTCACCCAGCAGCGACAATTCCAGAGTTCAGTGACAACGAGTCGACAAGCTCTTCAGACAATGATATTGTGGCTCTCGGGTTGTCATTTTCGAATGATCACGCTCTTGGAGGAATGCTCCCTAAAATTCAGCAGAAAGGACCCGCACAACCCCATGATATGACAGCCTTGGAGCGACTTTCTGTCACTGGGGACCCATCACAGTATCAGCAAAAGCCTGCAGCGGAGGCCAAGCTGGATGGTGTCGCGTTTGATAATATCACTGATAAGCCACCATCCACTGGTGCGCATGCCGAGGCTCCTCTCCCTGTGCCTGCTATTGCTGTTGAGCCGGCTACACCTCCTGTAGACAGTGACCGGCCAAACTTTGAGCAGCGGTCCAGTCTGGAATGCCGTATTCCAGGTGGATTCCCTGCGTCGGGCTCTGACCGCAATCTCAAGGGCACGGTGACTACGGCTTCTACTGATACGACAAAGCCGCAACCCATCGCGAGCGCTGTGCCACACTTGGATGACACGGACACTGAAGGCGAGTCAGGTGATAGCGTCTACAGCGACGCCCCCGAGGCCATGGACGGCGATGGTTTCGGTTCGATCAATGCCATTGTCGATAGTGGACCAATTCCTCGTTCATCAGGGCCTACAAGTCACAGCCGAGATACCACTCCGAAACCTGTTGATCGAATTGCAGCTATTGGCAATCATTCACAAGATGTCACAGATCAAGCGAGGGAAGACCCTCGTTCTATCACACCGACTCAAGATTCTGTCAATCGCGAGTTGAGCGAGTCTCCCATGACCCCTTCGGCTGATCGGGGATTCGAGTCTGCGTATCCTCCACTGCCGCTAAATTCGCAGGCTCGAGCTTCATCACACAATGGAACCATTCAACCGACTGTCAACAAGCAAAATCGACCGTTGTCTTTGACTTCTAATGAGGACTCTCATCCACGGGACACGCATACCATTTCGACAAATGCTAACAAAGGCAAGAATCGACCCGTGTCCCTGGGAGCGCCGTTCCAAATGAGGACAACGAATGGCGCTTCGACCAGATTCCCGAATTCCCTTCGCCGTACCATGTCGAATGGCAGCGACTCTTCAAGCAGCTTCAAGCGCGCCAGCTCTTCTACCCGAGGTGACGCTTCCTTTTCTATGCGTCGGACTATGCGAGGCAGTTCCACACAACCCCAAATGTCGTCCTTCTCGGGTCATGCAGACTCTTCAGGTGACCGCCGGCCGCTTTCCTCCGGTTCCGGGGCCGGGACTATGCGAAAGACTCTACGAAGTCCAGGTGCTGGAAATGAGCGATATTCGTTCTTCTCCACCAACAACAAAGCGTCTCGGGCAAAATCCACAAAGGCGCCCCCGAAATCGATGCGAGGCTCGCGCTTCGTGGATTCAGATGGGGAAGGCGACGAAGCACCAGCTCAGGCCTTCCGCAGCCGATTCGCCGACTCCAGTGATGAAGATGAGCCCGGCAACAATGCTATGCGACCTGTCCGTGGTATCCCTCGCCGGCAAGGTTATCACGATGGAGACTCGACAGACCTGGAGGATAGTTCTGAAGAAGAACGTCAGCAGCAGGCTGCAGCCGTGGCTGCACGTCGACCGAATCCCGCACCTCCTGGTTCTCGGGACAAGACTAGCCCCAACATGTCTGGCTTAGCAGCTGTGGCCAAACAACGGGGGATGACCCAGCGAGAACTGGAAGAGTTCATCATGCAGCCTCCCCGAGGTCGAAAACCCGGTTTTCTTAGTCGTCTCGGTCTGAAAAAGTCGAAGAACCCGGATCATCGCATCCGCAAGGCCGACGTCGAAAGTCCGTCCCGAAGAGATACTCCGCTTGAGCGATCGCGGCTGGAACGCGAACAGTTACGTGGAGAGCCATATGTAAACGGGGTGAATGGGAACAGTGGCGTGGTGACCACTGTGAGCGCAGATCCGCCTGAACCAACCTCTCCACGGAAGCTGGGCCGGCGGCTATCAAAGCGACAGACCACCAGTGGTGATCAGTGGCCCTTACGTGTGGAGCCAAGTAACGAGACGCCCGAGCCAATCCCCGAGCACAGCCAGACCCTCCAATCGTCGCCCCTGCAGACAACTAGGGTCGGGCCGCCGGCGCCACAGGCCGAGCGCAATGGCAGCATCACGGTCAATGGCGACGAGGGGGCCGGGGCTATCCCGACTATCCAAGAAGAACCCGAGCCGCCCCAAGCTGGTCAGGCTGTCACCGATGTCAATGACGCTCGTTCGGACATCACAAGCACGACAGCTGAGGAGCCGGGCGTTTCCGCACGCGATGTGGTCATTGCTGGTTCTGGACGCAAGAAACGATTCCAACTGTTGCGAAAGGCCTTTGGTTTACGGAAATGATCGAATGAATGTCTGTCGAGGCCTTCGTCTTTTCCATGTTTATTCTTCTTTTCTCTTTTTGTTTTCTACTTCACTTTCACTTCTCGGGAAGCATTATGGTGAATCATTCTCACCGTACACGTTTAATGCCTCGCCTTTTTCTTTTCTTTCTGTGTTGATTTTTCCATCCCAACTCTGACTTTTCAACCAGGGTTTGGTATTATAGCCCTGAAGGAGGGTTCTTATTTCCCGAGTGGATCTAATTTTTAATGATTGATATATGCCTGCCACCTGTGTCCGTGTCTTGCGTGTATCTGTGTCTTGCCTTGTCCTGCGTTGTCCACAACCGACCACTCTTGTTTCTACTATGACACTCGTTCTTCTTTATCGGGTGGCAGATGGGCTCTAGGTTGAGCTGGCGGTTCCAATGGACACAAATGTCCATTTCCTCCAGCTCTCGGACCAGGTCCTGTCCCCGCTGGCGTTACGCTGGATCCTTCGTTCTTGTGCCGGGGAGGAGTTTCCGTACTATATACATTGATACCCTCGTTTCTCTCTGCTGGCTGTCGATTTCTGCTCTTACTTTCATTCTGGTTCTCTTCCCATGTACGATTTGTCCCTCGTTGAGGTGGTGGTCAGGTGGACCCATGTTGACTGTACTCGTCTTTCCCAGTTCTATTTCTAGACCTTATTCCTTAGATGTAATTGGATCTGGAGCAGGTAATCGAAATCTCGTGTTGCGATCTTGATAATACTTGAACCGGACGTGCCTTCTCCGTCGATTTCCCTGATTTGCATTGATCAGGCACCCATTGCATTGCGTATACAGATGGCGAAGGCGAACGCGAGTACACTGGGCTGCCATTGGAGCCAGAGCCCATATCAAGTGTTGTCGTACAGTGCATACGATAAGGATTGCACTCCAACAGAATTAACCATCCCATGAAGCCCTCCTGCTATTCTACCATTGACACCATCCTTCGGCTACTCTAGCTTCAAAACACCCCGGAGCACTCTCGCTCAAGCCAGCACCACACCCCAGCCACCGGCCCGTGCTTCTCACCTCAGGCTCATATGTACTACTGCACCGAGGAAGATCCACCTCCCAGCAGTAACCACACAAGATGATGAGCAATTGAGCGATGAGGGCAAAGTGGAGTCGCGTCAGTGGAGCGCACCCCCAGCAACAGACCAACCAACGATCGCCAAACCCTGAAAAATTCCCAGCCACGCCGCGTCCAGTGGTTCAGCTTCGCCTGCGTGACTGATCTGTGCTGCGATGAGGCGATGGCACTGGCACTGGCACTGGCACTGGCACGCCGTTCTAGCGCCGAGACTTCTTTTTGTTTTGGGGTGTTTCCCAGCCTCGGTATTATTATTCAATGTACCCGTAAATTATGGTCGTAATGCATGTGTATAGATCGGTGAGTGTAGTAGCGCCACCGCGTCGAGCAGTCTAGACGTCTGCAGGATTGCCTGAAATCTGATTTCGCCGAGACGGAGTCTGTGTTTGGGTGTTGTTATTGGGTATGATTGGGCGCGATTGAGTCCAATGGAATTGCCATTGGGTTCAATTGGAAGTACATTGAGGGGGGCTGGTTGGGCTGGAAGGGTCATCAATTGTACGGAGTCGTGGTAGGTGGACTCGAGCACGGCTTTCTCAGGAGGGGGACCATGGATAGAAAGTACGGAGTACGGAGAAGGTGATTATGATTGTATCCGTATGGAGTGAAGTGTCTAGAAACTGGAGTGTGTTGTTAGGTCCACGATTGTGGTGTGTTGTTTGGGATCCACCGATGGAGCCCGTGGCTGGACGGAGAGGAGGAGAACAGATCAGAAATACTCCGTACAGAGATACCGCAATAATACTGGAGTAGTACAGCTGACACGTACTGTAGAAAGCTGGGGCCCAGTGCTATGGAGCTATTTGTTTCATGTCCATTGCTCGGTTTCTCATTTAACGGAGGGAGTGTCCCTAATAATCATTGGTTTTGCCTGAATGTCTTCTACGGAGGTCAATTGCACCACCATCAGAACAAACCCGACGCGTTGATATGTATTCTCTGATACTTCGTACTGAATCTGGAGATAACCAGTGGAGCTCCAGCGATCGCCCCGATTTTTCCGAATCGACCCGCGGGCCGTGGCGTTGCCATGGCAATGGAGGCGGTTTCCATGGGAGCTGAGGCGGAGCTGCTGGGGCTGGCCAGCCTCCATGTGAAAGGACGGAGTAGATTAGTAGGTATTCTTTTGCGCTGTTGTCGATTGAGGAATTGAGCAAGGGTACTCCGTACACCGTACGTATATGTACTGTATGGTAGACAGCATGCCAGCGATCGGAGGTGTCCACATTCCCACCGAGCGGTCTGGAAGAGGTCAATTGTGACTATGTATAGATTAGGGATCTCTAGAGGACCGAGAAAAAATGTACTGCAAAAGAACCCCTCTTGGAACTCGACAATTGTAACCCCAAATCATAATCCAGAACCTAGTGAAAGAGAAATAATGATGGTAGGGAGCCCTGGTTCCAAGTGAACCTCGGTCGATCAGCCGCTCGATTGGGCCAAGGGGCGGACTGGAAAGTAAACAAACAGAAACCAAACCCGCCAGCTAAAATGGAAGAGCCCGCGAGATAAATAAGCCAACCTCCACTGCCGCCCTCCTCCCTCCCTCCCCTGGTCCTTCTCCTTCTCTTCTTCCATTCCTCGAACCTCTCCTTCTCCTCTCTTCCATCTTCCATTCTTCATCTTCCCCAGCATTCTTGCCACCCCCCCCCCTTCAATCTATCAGAAAAGCTTAGATCAACGATCTAACCTTCTTCTCCAAAAGCTCTCTTCTCTTCGAGAAAGACTTCCCCCAGTCAAGTCTTTTCTTGTTTACCTTTCGAGTTGTTCTTTAACAGTTCGAAAGGCATTCGAGAAAGGACGCCGCAAAGTCAGTCAATCTGGACTTTGACGCCCGCGTCCCCATCCCCTTCAGTGTCTTCCCGTCGTCGTACCGGAGTGACGCTGTCTCTGAAACTACTCAGACGAGAGTAGAGGGAGAAGTTCATCTCGATACCACTTCGCGCGTCGAACGGGAAGATACTCGAGCCTCTGCCCCTCTCCCCGACCCTCGTGTCTACGGAAAGGAAGAAGTCGATTTCCGCATCCAGCGCGACGATCGTACCAACTACACTCCTCGCTACGAATCTCACGAGACTCGCAACTACGGTGCCGAGGTTGATCTGACCCGTGAACGGTACGTTTTTTTTCGGGAATTTCCTTTCTTGTTTTGCCTGGTTTTGGTTTGGGGGGAGGAAGAAAACACCCTCCCTCCGAGCTGCCCAGACCGCGAATTGCGACATGGCGAATGGGCTGCTCTGGTGGAGCCACTATTTGACTCGGATGTCCCATCCCGGTCTAGAGTGGTTATGGATCCTAGCCCCAGACGAAATTACGTGTCACGATAATACCAGGCTCCACTTCCCCCAATGAGCGGTGACGGAGCTCGTGTTTTTGTTTATATGTTTACAACTTCCTTTTTGTTTTTTCTTTTCTTTTTTATTGGAAGAAAAGAACCTCGGGGCTGACATCTTTCTCTTTTTTCCTTTCCTCTCTTATAGCTACGCCAACAACCGCGAATCCTCTGTCCGCTTCGAGGAACGTCCCCAAGTTTACGACCAGGCCGTCGAGAACCAGCTCGACATCACTGAGAGAGAGTACCGTCGCCGGACCTCTCCCACCTACGAAGTCGACGTCTCTTACGACCGTCGCTACCAGGAGCCTTCCAACTCCTACGACTACCAGCCTACCCAGTCCGTCGACGTTTCGTACGACCGGTCTTACCAGCCTCAGCCCGCTTCTGCGTACCGAGGTTCAGAGTATTCCCGTCGCGAGGTCGAGCTCCAGCAGCCTTCTACCTCCTACTCTGCCCCCCAGGCCGACATCAAGGTCGAGACTACTACTGTCCGTAACGTAACTCCCGCATCTCGCAAGATGGGCTACTACGACGACGAGGGTCACTACCACTCCTTCCGCCGCGGCGTTGAGCGCGCTGCCGACCGTGTCCTGCACCCCTTGCACCACCACGACCGTGAGGAGGTCGTTGTCAGCGACGAGCGCGGTCCCGCCCGCTTCAGCAATGGCGTCCGGGAGGAGGTCCGCATTGTGGAGCCCCGCAACCGCGGTGTCTCCGGCGAGACCGTCCCCATCCCCTGCCACTTTGTCCGCATTGGTGACATCCTCATCCTGCAGGGCCGTCCCTGCCAGGTCATCCGCATCTCGGTCTCCCCCCAGACTGGCCAGCACCGTTACCTCGGTGTCGATCTGTTCACTCGCCAGCTCCAGGAGGAGTCTAGCTTCGTCTCCAACCCCTCCCCCTCCGTGGTGGTTCAGACCATGCTCGGCCCTGTCTACAAGACCTACCGCATCCTCGATCTCCGTGATGACGGCAAGCTCGTCGCCATGACCGAGACCGGTGATGTCAAGCAGGGCCTGCCCGTCATCTCCCAGGGCCACCTGTTCAAGCGCATCCGTGATGCCTTCGCCGACGGCCGTGGCTCCGTCCGTGCCCTCGTCATCAACGACGGTGGCCGTGAGCTCGTCGTCGACTTCAAGGTCATCCACGGCTCCCGTCTGTAAATCATTGGTCTGTTTCTTGGGCTTTTGGGTTGCTGTCTAGATCTTGAACGATGGGTCTGGCTAGCTGTCGCCTCTATGTCTTGTCACTCTGGTAGCCTTCTTCCCTTTGTAATGTCTTAGACGGGGAAGCCTGGCACCCGGGTTGGGCAGGGTTTGACAGTTAGGCCATGGCGTGATGAACCTTCCTATGTGTGATTTTTTATTTCTATTTTTTTGTTATCTTATTTCCTTTGTCTGATGATCTCTCTCCATATGACCTACGGTTGTGATTTATTAGTTGGACTTGTTCCGGTGAAAATGTGATGGACGTTTCTATCTCAACACTCCCAATGTATCTGCCTTTTCTCCATGTATCTAACTTGAAGCTCTCGTAATACAACTGGGTCCGACCTGTATTGCAACTCCCGCCTGTAGATAGGTGTTTTGTTTTGTGTTTGTTTTTCAGGTTTTCGATACGTAGTGGAGCTGGATATGTTGTCTGGTGGAGACCTGATGGACTTTCGGGCATGACTTGGTGATGGTGAGGCACTTAGATTCGATCATGTCTCGGTGCCCAAGTCCAGAGGACTCACCCTGCTTCCATGTAATACAAGAATTTGCCACTTTTTGATCTTTGCAGGTTTCCATCCTGGTTCCAAATAATTCAACTCCAGTTTTTCTATACTTCAAGATATACTGGTTGTCGTACACGCCCTTCGTCGATATTTCTATTCCATCCATAGTCTGCAGTTTAAGCTTCCATCAAACAGCATAATGTCCAGCAAGCCAATGGATCCAATTAAAGCTTCAATGGTAATTTACTTCGACTATAATGCTTTGAGGTGTTCGACTGTTGCAATTGAGGTTAAATTAAACCCCAATGGCATGCCGTGGTTCAATAACGTGGCTTGGAATGTCGGGGTACAGAGGAGAATGTGGAGATATATATCCGTGGAACTGTCAGCGCATCGGCCCACTTCTTTTCTCCTACGAAATCTAATCTATACCTTAAGGTGCTTTACTTTCATAAAGTGGGTAGGTTAGGTAGATAATGCATTTGGAAGCAATTTACACTGGAGGGGTACTGCTATATGGTGGTCATTGGGATTCTCATATGTACGTAATTAGGTGGGCGATCTTCGGTCACCACCACCTGAAGGCTAGAGGTAAGGACCTGTCCTAGGTAAGGTAGTATCCATTGACCTACGTGAACTAGAAGACATACCAAGAAGCTAGCTAAGGTTAGGTAAGATAGGTAGCAGTCCACAGAAGAGCAGTGACATTCAAATCCCACTACCTAGAGGAAAAAACCTCTTACAAAATGGATCCATATAAAAAACCAAAATCCACAATTTTCCAAAACACCACATCCAAGCACCAAAAGTACACAAAAGACGAAGACAAGGAGTTGAAAAAAAGGCGCAGACCATTCCCACGGAATCCATAAGCAAAGCAAGCATTAACGTGACAGGAAGATCCAAGTGACTTCGATAACGGGGGTAAAGATGGACATGTAAGAAGCAAGAATTGAATGAAAAAAGTGAGAGCTGGAGGTTTGTCGGGGGTCGCGGGATCGGAATGAAAGGGGCATGAAGTCTGAGTTCATGACTTACGCCGTTTTCGAGGAATCCCGTGACATCCCCCGTTGAAGGGTTTCTGTCGTTCTCCAGTATAATGCCATCCTAAGATATGAATCGATTCATGACGCCGGTCCGGTATGAGAGATATGAAAAGACGTAGACGTAATCGCAGACAGACGCCAGCAAGGCAAAGCAATCCACGAAGCACGTGGTTTATATATAATGTACAACGCGAAAGGAGCGAGGTGAAGTTGTAGCGCGTATGAGTGGTGAGAAATAAATGTGACAGATGATGAGTCGAGAAAGGAAGAAGATCGAGATGGCCGTGTTAAAACAAGAAGAAGGGGGTATCGTATGGTTGTAGGAACAGCTAGATGGTTGGACAGGAGCAGACAGGAGGTAGGGCGATCGCGAGCACACATGCCCGGAGGTAACACGCGGGCCGCTATCGCTCCCCGAACTTGCCATACTCCTGCTGCCACTTGAGCAGGTGACGCGTGAGCACGTCCATCATCTCAACGCTGCTCAAGTCTTTAAAGTCCTTTTCGTGTGCCGATGTCGAGGGTGCATCGCCATCGCCATCAGTCAGCGCCGGCACAGACTCGCCGCCATCACTGATGGTGGATGCCATTGCACTGTCGATCTGCTCGACCATGCTCTTCAATAGCAGACCTTGCGCTCGATCACCGTTGCCTGTTGGCGTTGACGAGTTCTCGCTGGCAACAGCCATCTCGACCTGCATGCGCGAGATAAACTCCAAGATGGCCGCAACACGCCGCTTCATCTCGTTCATCGTCGTGCGCTGCGGGTGCATGTGCCGCGGCTTACTGGGCCGGCCCGTATCTCCGCCATTCATATGTGTGCCGTTCATACCGGCGTATCCGACTCGAGGCGAGTCACTTCCAATGTCGTGGGATTGACCCCGTCGCGGGGACTCGGTGCCGTTCCCATTCGTGTCCCGGTCCTTGGTATATTGGTTGCGTCCGACTCGACCGCCGCGGCGAGCTGGGGGACGTCCAGATTTCCGTGTCGATGGTCGTGCGGGCGTCGGCTCTTGAGGGGTGGGAGTATTCGGGCTCGCCTGGGACGGCTCAGGCTCGGGAGGCGGAGGGGCTGGTGCTGCAGCCTTGGTTGGGGAACCAATGTCGTTCTCGGATTCTGGAAGTCAAGACGTGTGAGTACCTAAAATGGATTGGGATTTGTCAAAGGGCACTCACCATCTCCTTTGCGCCGGTTAGATCGTTCTTTCCGGCGGGTGGCCGTCTCCGGGACTTCAGGCTCAGGCTCCTCGGGCTCTTTGGTCGGCTCATTGTCGCGCTGGCCTCGAGAAGCTGCTCTTTGTCGTCGTGTACCGTTGGTCACCTTCGACTTGGACTCATCATCGGACGGAGGTTGGGAAGGTGGAAGGCTCTGCTTTGACACGGCTGTAGGCGAAGGAGAGGTTGTTCGGGGGCGTTTGGAGCCTTGTCTGTTTCTGAAATCATAATTGTCAGCCGCCGACCGCAAATCACCATGATGGGGATCATCAGAAGGAAACGCACGATTCACTTTCACTTCGGCTTCGCTTGTTCAAACGCGGGGCCATTTCATCGGTAATACTCTTCGTATCTTCTTTGCTTTCTTCAATCACTCGTCGGATCAGTTCTTCCTCATCGTAGGCAGCGTCCCGGCTGTTCATGGTCGATCGCCGTTTCGGATTCGACGCACCATCGCTGCCTTGGGACTTGGGGTCCCTGGAGCGCCGGGAAGTATCTCGCGAAGAGGCCCGGGAAGACGGCGCAGGTGATGATGCGGGTGCGACGGGAAGGTAGGTAGAGGAGCGCTGGCTGCGGGGTTGTCAGCATTGTCGTCACAGAGAAGAACCAAGTGAGGGAAAAATGAATTTAAAGAGAAAAAGCGAAGATGGAAAGTCAAAGGTTTGCTGCAGAAGCACTGCGTTTGCGCGAAGGGCTTCTGTTGCACTGAAGTGAGGAGCCCAGTTCGAGTCACCACAATGGTGACCACCAGCAGAACCGGCCTTGGCTGCAGCTCGACAAGTGACTTCAGAGCGAAGAAAGAATCAAGTGAACGCTGCAAAAAGGGATTCCAAAGAACTCTTTTCTCAAACTTACCCGTTGGATTCACCGCGGATCCTGTGTAAATCCTTTCGACACTCCTCACAGAAATATTCGTCGGGACTCATTTCCTCGTCCATGATGCCCACACAGCCACCATGCTGCCACACTTTGCAAGAATCGCATTGAATGAACATACTCCCAATATCATCGGACAGCAGGTCGGACGAATCTGTGGGGGGAATGCCGTCCTCTGGTTTCACCCCAACGCGACCGAGGGCGTCGCGACGAGAGGGGGCAAACCAGGGTAGTCCTGCTGCCCACAGAGACAGCGGGTGATCTCCTCCTCTTCATCCTCCTCAGGATCCTCATCGTCATCCTCGCGATGAGATCCATCATTGTCACCACGGGTGCGCTGGCGCTGGCGCGTATGTGGGAGGTCGGCTCTTGAGCCATTTTCGGCATCGTCGATGGACTGCGAGCGATGACCGGACGAGTCATGCGGGGAAGGGTTTTTATGATTTGATCGGGTGCTTCGCTCGCGAGTGAGAGAGTTGTTGGAGCTAGAGGAGTTGGTGTGCTGGAGGAGGGCCGGCGAGGGCTGGGTGGTGCGAGCCCGCGAGGAACGACGAGGCGTCATGGCGGCGTGATCGGTCCTTGGGAGGGTCTAGCCCGGTTTGAAAAAGCGAGTGTTTATCGAAGGCAGGGAAAGGATTCGAGGTGTGGACGTAGGCGAGGGTCTGACGGAGGGAGGGATTCTTCGTACTGAGCAGAACTGGTTGCGAGGGAGCTCTGCACGCGCGATTGAGAGCTCTGGGGGGTTGGAAAGAGAGGAAGGCAATAGTGAGAATCGCAGTCTGATCTGAAGTAGGGCGTCACAGGGCTCGAAGGAGAGCCCGATGACTACATAGTACAAGTGAGAAGGGCGAGATTTGGCGGGGGTTGCAGAGGAGAAGAAGAGAAGGAGAAAAGCGCCGGAACGGGACTCACTCCAAAAGATCCAATCGGCCGTCCTTCCCCGCTCTCGAACACTCGACGCCTCTCGACGCGCCTTTTTTTTTACCGCCCTTTGGTCGTGTCGCTGGGCCTTACATTTCTGAACGGAGATTGAGGATGAGTTGAGAATGTCGTGAAATTCGGATTTCATTTATTGATGAGAGGTTCAGACTGTCTAAATTGACCAGGACTTGTCCACGCAGAATCTCTTCCCTCGCCTTTCCGCCTTTCAGAACACGCTAATCCTGCACGCCCTCCCCCTCCGTCCCTTCGAGCACTTCAAGCACCGGCAAGATGACCATTGCAATTGACCTCCATAATAACTGCGGGGTCGAGATGTTCAGGTTGTCCAGGATCTGTATACATTTGTCCGAGATGCAAGACTCCAGCGTGAGCCGCAAGGAGGAAGGCTAGGTGCCCTCAGGCCAAAGTGGGGATTCGCTCAATGTACAGTGGGCAAGTGAGTTGGTGCAATCCTCGTCCTGCAAAGTGCTGCAATTGCTGGAGACTCGGTGATTTTCGACTGCTATGGATATGCAGAGCAGCTCTCTCTCTCTCGCAGTATTGCACTTGTTTCGGAGCTCGAGGGCTTTGTCTTGACACGGTCGAGTGAGTCACTTTCCACCCGTCAAGACTTCCGAGTCTCACAGAGGGATTGGGATTTCGATTCCTTCGAGCTCATCTTATACAGCCAGTCTTGACCTCATATGATGGGATGGTGATGGTGTTGTGCATCCCGGGAGCTTTGTGAGCGCGGTGAGCTGTCTGACGCAAGGCACTCACTGGGCTGTTCTCGGGAAGCTCACGGGTAAGAATGCAGGTACACAGTGGACAGGATCAGTCCAAATTTGTGGCAATTGTAGTCTGTAGTCAGCAGAGGTGGGAGCGATTGACTTGTAATGTGGCCCAATAGCTTCCTGAGGGAATCACCTCTTTGCATCACTGGCTGGGTTCCCCGCTGGAGTCCCGGCTATTGCAGGATATGCAGCCCTGGTTGGTTGGGATGGAGGGTTTCTTAGCCTCATGACGGTTCATTCAACACCCTAAATACGATCAGTCCAAGAAACCCAATCCTTCCAGGGTACCTGTGTGTTGTGTTGGCCATGGTATCTTTGATCTGCTGCGTAATGCGACAGCTCCAAGTCGCACAGAGAGGACTCCAGACCTTTTGGATTTGGACTTGGCTGGGTTTCCCGCTTGGGTGCCCGACCCAAACGGGCTAGCGTGATGGGTTCCGAATTCCCGAGACTCGCTGGTCTTTCGCTTCACCAACTCAACCCCTCCGCATCGTCATTCGACTCTTCCTCGGTTCTCTAGCTCTCCAGCTCTTGAGAGCCGCTGGCAGACCTTCTTTGATTTGGTTCTACCTTAGCACTGTGGTCCCGAGTGTCGCCTGTGCTGGTTCATTGCATTGTGGGTTGGCCCCGATCCTATACCCTATATTCCGTGTCCTATATCCTCCGTGATTTGTGGACGGCCGAGATAGCTTTGTTTGGAGATGAACTTTGACTACTCAAACGATCTACCTCAAGTCTGGCTATTTCAGCCGGAGTGCTGTCTCCTGTCTACTACGTTTTTCTGTTTGTATGAATACGACTGACTCCCCCTCTTCCGAAATACAGTGCCTCCCCGAATCGGCGGGTCCCCGACATTTCCAGATTTCGAATATATTTAAAGGATTGGACTCATTCACTTCGACGAAGGTGGAGGGGGAACAAGGAAAAGGACGAAACGAGTTGGCAAGCGCTCATTCCACACGTATTGACGTGGGTTGAGGGCGTGGAGAACTTGCAGGATGACTGCTACTATGAGTATGTCTACTCGTAAAAGGGCCATGTCCGGCCAGTTGCCTACGGGCCCCTTGGATTTCGATTTGTCCTCATCAACGAGGTAGTCTGCTGGTATACTCGGTTACTGACGTGGTGTGCACTTTGTGTAGACGGGACGTTCAACTCGGCCCCTGACACACCTTCCCCCGTCTATCCCGATCGTCTGATCCGGCCTCTTCCCCGACGCACCCTGCGTTCTCGACTGTCCACCGATGCCGCCGACACCATTCATTACCCACCTACACCGCCAGCTTCGCAGATTTTTTACGGCGTTGGAGACACAGAAGAGGTGGCCCCTCATGGGAAGGCCTATGCTCGGCAAAAAGCGTTAGAGAGACACGAACTAACTCCGGAGGCCGACTCACACGGGTTCGAAACGGCCGTGGAACTGGAAAGCGGAGACGAAGACGGACCGGTTGTGGTGCGGCGGAGTGCAGGATTTCGAGGATCGATGTCCCCGGGTTCCAGTCCCCAGCGGCCAGCCTTCTCTGGTCGGCCGCAAAGTCAAGGTCAAAATCAACAGCAAAGTCAAGGTCAGGATGGCTCGCAGAAATCCTCCGGGCAAGATGGGTACGATGCGTTCGAAAACACGAACAACAAGAAGAAGCGGAAAATCCCCACTCCGGGGAACATGGGTGGTCACCACTCTGCCCTCTCCCCAGAATTTGCCAGCATGGGTTTAGCCAACTCGGTTCCTTCACCACCCGCGGCCAGTGATGGCATGTCGACAGGTACTTACTATGGAAATGGCAACCCAGCTTCACCCTTGAGCAGTGGAATCTCCGGCTCTGGTCGAGGTCGTTTGGGAAGAAGCTCCACTCGCAGCAACAGTGGGCGAAATCCGTTGTCTGCGAACGCGCAGAATGCGTGGATGAACAGCACTCGGGCACCCAGTCGGCGAGATGGCCTGATGTCCTCCCCTGGACCATCCGGTATGTTTGTCTGATAATGAGGCTTTCTTTCGCTCATCAAATGAGGATGTACTGACCAACATCCAGGTGAATCCTCCGATCAAGGCATCATTTCGACTGCTATTGCTAATGCTGCTACCTTCTCGTCCCCTCCACGAGGCCCCAGCAATGTCAGCCTGCTGGATCAAGAAAACACCACCCCCACTAAGACTCAGTTTACATTCACCTGCGAGTCTGACTCATCCAAAGGAATGGCCATGCAGCGGAACTCATACTCCGCGCCATACCGCTCCCCGACTTCCCCTCTAGCCCCCACAACCCAAAACCCTCGAGGTTTCTCCACCCAAGGAACGCAAACGAGCCCCAATATGGCTGCACCAATGAACCAGCAGGCTCCACCTGGAACGCAACCGTCACCACAAGGAGACCAAGCATCCGTGGGCCGCAAGAAGAAGCGTTCTCCCGGCAGCGTCTACGCCCTGGCCGCTCGACAACGCAAGATCCAGCAGCAATACACTAACATTCATCATCCACCCAGCCTGGAGGACATCTGGATCTGCGAGTTTTGCGAGTACGAGAGCATTTTTGGGCACCCGCCGGAGGCACTTATCCGGCAGTACGAGATCAAAGACCGCAAGGAGCGCAAGCGGCTGGCTGAGAAGAAGCGACTTCTCGAAAAGGCCAAGATGAAGGGCCGCAAAACGAAGAAGGCGACCAAGAATGCGAAGAATGCCTCCTCCCACCAGGGATATCAACAGGGCTACGATCGCGCCTCGGTTGACCACTCCTCTGCCGCCGGGTCTGGCCTCCCGGACGACGAGTACATAGGTCATGAATACGATGACGACCAGGGGTCCATCCCAGGCCCTGACCCTGCATCTCCGACTGATCTCAAACCACCGCTACCACCAGCGAATGATCCGCCTAAAGCCTTTGCACCTGGCGGGACCGCCAAGGCCGCTGCAGACGCCGGGGCCAGTCGACCAGCCTGACCTTAGGCCCGCCGTGACACAGGACGACTTCTAACAAGCTGAAGCTGTGTCTAGTCGGTGCATTTAAGGTTGATCTTTTGTTGAAGTACGTGTGCACATCTTTCTTGAGAGCCTCTCTATTTGCGCGGGTCAGATGGGATTCATGTCCGTTGGACGGCGTGGATTGGATGTTTTACGAGTACTTGCATCTTGGAAATTCCCCCTCCAGTAAGCATTTTTGGGTTGGCGAGCGATTTTTCTTTGGGCAGGGGTTCCTTTTCTCTTTGACGAAGGGTTTCGTTCTCTGTAATTGTAATGACAGACCTTCCCGTGTTGGGCATTGTGCATACAGTCACTAGCGAAATCTGCTTCCTCCCTGAAGACTACTTTTCTTTCCTCGGGACCCACTGCCAAGGCACTAGCGCTAAAATTTATTTAACGGACATAAGTATGAATAATTCTTAAATGTATTGAGCTGTTTTATGACAGCAAAATTACGGTTTCAAATTTACTAAACATTTGTGAAAATAGCCCCCTAGCTAGGGTGTGCTCAGGTATTGGATAATTCACATGATTGATGTCTTGTGTAGGACGATTGACTACACATCCACCCCCAGTTGCCGCCCTCAACTTATAGACTAAACGTTGAAAGACGCGTGTATTAAAAATTCAACGTTAAATCGCATCAACGCTTAATTGTCAAGATACGGTATATAACTCTTTATTTTAATAAAGATCTTAGTTTTCAGCTCAAATATCCATGAATTCAACTGTCCTGATCGTATAAATAAGGGGCAAGCCGCAGAATTGTGAGGAGGTTTCAAAATTAGATGCTGACGTTTATCTAAATAGGGAATAGTAGCTGATCATCCTAATGGAATACTATAGAATTTTGAAGATCTACATATAAATAAGGCAAACACTAGTGGATCACCTAAGGGCGTTGTTAAAGCAACCTCCTTTTGCAGTATCTCAACACCCACAGCTCAACCCTATCGCACACCCTAAGGTATCTTCATTACTTCAAGCTCGAAGCAGTATCGCATTTTCCGGAACCTCTATCGTCTTATGCTATTCAATTCGTAAACATTGCTGTTCTCCTAGGCCCTGTTCCCTTAGATCGCTTTCTTCGGGTAAGGTATAACGGAATCCGATCGACAGACCGCCTCAAGGATCTTTTTATAAGTAATTACGATAATAATAACTCTCTTTACAGCCTAGAAATATAAGCACTAGCCCATTCGATACCTAGAATAACCTACCGCTCTACGACTTATATAACTAAATTGGTCAGTCGCCGCTCTTTGCCCTAACTCCAGGATATAGCTTCTACTAAACCCCCTCTATGATAAATTCCATAAGCCCCGAAAACCGACTAGGCGACGACTTTTCCACACAATATCAATCTCCACAACTAAGCCAGATTCTACTCCTTTAGCTAAGTGACTAGGAGGAAGGAAGGTTCTATAATAAGTATCTACCTACCTGTCTCCACTATTCGATAGTGTAGAAGGTCACCTTTAACAACAAAACTATCCGGAAGAATATAGAGCAAGACCTCGTTTTAGCTCCGCGTTTTTATTAGCGTCTATTTTTAGAGCTAAAATTAAAGGAACTCGCAGGCAAGAAATTTCCGCAAAAGAGAGTTGAACTAGACGACATAACTATCGTTATATCGGTAAATCACCGTAATTAACCGGACCTTACTCTTTTTTGTGACAAAACTAAGGTAGATTAGCCTGCCGTAGAGAAACAACTCCTCGGGTAGGGTAATCTTTTCCGTACAGGGAAGAAGCTAACACTAAATATGTCGGACTTTGTAGTGGGGCAGAAGGACAGTACGGTCACATGATATACTAAGTAGGCCAAAAATGCTCCATGGGCGACATTCGTAGCTTTCTTAGATATATATACCGTATCGTTCAGGGCCCGGACTTTCTCATAAGCGTATATGCTGACAAAATATATCATTCAACTATACTAAGGACAGCTACACCTAGAGTCCCGGTCCTAGAGCAATAGATAAACGAGGCACTTTATCTACTACCTAGTATATATTGCTTAAGCGGCAAGCAGAGATTAATACTCAAGAACAGGTTACTAGATGTTGGATTTTAGGTAGTGATCATAAAATCCGATTGCACACAAAAGGATATGTGTGTCATAAGCAGGTGAAGAAAGACTATCATGAGAGAAATAGAGGTCGGCTAATTAGACCAAAAGAAGAGTATGATCAGGTATGCCAAAGAAATCTACTCATGAATCAAAAGAGATGTCAAACTTGTTCAATTTAGCTAGGAAAGCAAACAGAATTTATAACACGAGGTACATAGTAAATATCACATGAAGAAATCAAGAATATCCGAGGTTATCTTGGAGTGTTGAGTAGTCTCCGGCCAATATAGGCAGTTCAATGCGAGATCGTTGAGGATCAATATAAATCAATGTAGTGGTCATGAAGGTGATCTTCCGGGGAAAAGATGGTGGCGGCTTAGTCATCTGCGGGAAGACCCCACATAAGTTGACACTAGATAACCTCCTATCTAGGATTATGTTTATAGTGTGTCGGCATGTATGGCCTATGGGCCAGATATGCATCTTGAATCCTGCCTGCTTATTAAGCATTCCTATCTTGCTTACCGCTAGGAAAACCCAATCTTGTTTACCCCTAGATTCTGATCCTAGATTCTGATCTTCAACGATCGTGTCAATATTGCCCGACTAGGCAAAGGAATGTTCAACACTCCAAAATGACCTCGAATATTCTTGATTACCTTATGTGATATTTGCTATGTTCCTCATGTTATAAATTGCACTCTGTTTCCTAGTTAGAATGAACAAGTTTGACATCCTTTTTATCCCAGGAAGAATCACCGGACATAGTAGACCATCTGAATCAACCTTCCACTGCTTGATCCTTCTGTCTGATCAGTCGATTGTGATCTATCCTGATTCGTCTCTCTTCCATAATCGTGGCACTAAGATTAGTGCGCACGAACGATTTCCACCAAGGCTTTATACACCAGACGCATCGCCAATTCCAACATAGTGTGATACGGTATTCTAATAGAGTATATAATCTAGGGCCGCACTATTAGCGTGACCCTATTAGTAAAAAGTATATTAAGCTAACTATGTAAAACCTAAGGGCTCTTGTGAGTTATATAGAGCAGGGTGGTGTTTTGACCTTATATAATAACGTTCCTAAGTTAATTCGTGAGAAACTATATACACAGGAGTAGCAGCGACTCGAGAGATATAAGGGAGGCGCTTAATCCCTAACGGTATATCCTCCTATAAGTATTACTAACGTTATTCCTACGTAGTTATCTCTACTTTCTATATTGAATACGCCGACTCTTATGCCGACTATATGTCCTGGAAAGTATCTTACTGATTACCTCGAAATACCTAGTCTATAGGACCTTGCCGTTACTAAATATAGTAACTAGTAGTAATCACAAGTTGATAATAAAAAGCTAAAGGCAGAGTTTCGTAAAGCCCGTAATACTACGCTTAAAGACGGTCTAGATCTTATATAGGTTTACAAGGATTAGGATCCGGAATTTTTTATTAAAAACGGCGTTAAAAGAGGCATTGCTCGGCGTTTTGTTAGGGATATTAAGTATTAGGTTAAATATTGCAAGTGCAACGTAGAAGACGGAGCAACTACGTTATCGGCGTGAGAGAGATACAGGCATTAATCAAATTATAGGAGGTACAGTGCGAGATATATATTCAATAATTTAGGGTTCTTCAATATTCCAACCTGTATATCGAAAATGCCCCTCCGCGCTTTTCTCTCTTGCCCCTATAACATCAATATACTATTCTAGAAAGTTATTAAATCCCTGCTCCGGGTTCTCTTTATACACTAGCTATTGTCGTTTAATAAAGGCTTTTAGCTTAGCGAATAACTCCTCGATCGGATTGAGATCGGGCGAGTAAGGCGGCAAGTATACCAATTTAACCCCCGCCGCTAAATAAATCTGCCGAATATCCTCCGTACGATGAAAAGATGCATTATCTATAACAAGAACAGACTTCGGTTCCGGCTATCTCCTATAGTGATATAGGAGTTGCCGTATAAAATCCTCAAACACGACCGTATCCGTCGATCCCTAGAAAACCCGCGAAAAAACAACACTATCCTAGGCATATACGGGCAGTATCTGGTATCGTTGCCCGCGGTGAAATCGAGAAATTTAGACAGGCGTTACCCCTAATAGAGGGGTGCCACTGCTGGCACCAGGTAGGAATTTGGGCCGCACCAGGTAGTGCCTGATTTCTGCCTGAATTCGCCTGATTTCTGCCAAGCCCGTTACGGCCATTAATTACGAATTTAACCACCCCCTTCCTTCTTATACTCACGCATCTTTCCTCCTTCTCTTTCTATCTCCTACTAACTACTAGGATTATCATGTAGCCTCTCGTCTACCCTACTAGAATCACATGACCCACATACCAATCTAATTTAATTCAATTCAATTCAAATCCTTCTAGGCCTTCCTAATTAGCCAAGGGCTAATTCGGAACCTACTAATCTGCCTTGCCCTTTTCTTCAACTGCTTCTCTGTTACCACCACTTCCTTAGCCTTACGACCGCGGCCAGCCCCACGCCCTTGCCGAAGTTCTGTCTCCTAGTGTGATGGAATTCGCCTTGTCGAAGTATTGGTTCTCTTTGAAGGCGGTGGTACCACAATTCCTATGGTTTTATCCATAGAAACGTAGGTACCTCGACTTCGCTTTCCCCCTAACTTCCGACCGGTGAAATTCCTCCTCCCCCATCTTTGCCAGCGCTTAACAGTCTCTAGTAGCTTCGGCCGTCCAATCCCCTTTACCCGACTCGGTTCATTGATCCTTCTAATCCTTCTAATTCGCTGCTGATTAATCTGAATTGCCTGATTTGGTAGGCGAAGCCAGTGTTGTTGGTCAAAATGGGATAGGAGAAGGGACTTGCCACTATCTATAAGATCTTTGATCACATGATTACATGGAAGACCAAGAGATCTTGTATAGTATTGGGTGCAAGGGGGTAGTGCCTTCTCTGATTAGATATAGTTCACCCAGGCGTTATGCACCTTCCGAATTGCGATTGTTGAGACCCGGCCAAGGATATCGCGGAATAATGGGACTTGAAGAGAGACAGGTAGCCGATGAATCTGGGATTCAATTGAGCTAGAAGCCTGCCAATTTGTGAAGGAAACGACTCGAGAGATTCCCTGCATTACCGCAAGAATGTCACCGGTTGAGGTTCGAAGTTCATGCTTAATCTTTGCATAGGCGCCTTCCACGCGAGAGGAAGTAAGCTCATCGTAATGGAGAATTCCGTTAAGATAACACCGCATGAATTGCTTTGCCCTATCACCAAACCACTGGTTTTGGATGTATTCGACTGCTGATTGGTAGATTGGGTCGCTTAGGGCTTCTAGAAAAGAGGCCTTTCTTGCTTCCATCCCCTCTCTAGTAGGCTCGAGGACAATTTGTATAAATCTAGCCTTCGTAGACCGCCATTCACTGATAGTCTTCTTTTGGTGTTCCAAATTAGGAAGGTCTTCTAGGAGTAATTGCTTTGCAATCATTGGCCGAACGCGTGTTTCAATGTTCTTCATGATATACCAGAGACAGAGTATGCAAGTTGTAGCCTTAAAGACCTCCCTACACGCATTTAGAAGAGCGTCTGCGTCGTCGGAGAAGATAACACGTAGGGCTTGAATCTTTGCCTGTATAAGCTGTGTATAAAGAGTCTGAAGTGTCCAAAGATATGACGACTCCTTCTCATCACTCACAAAGCAAAGGGCCACGTGGAAGGTTCGTCTTGTTGAGGTTTGTCCAATGATATTAATCAATAGCATATTATATCTAAATAAGTTAGCTATCTCTTAGTAATCTCTTACTTATCTCTCATCTCTTACCGATTTATCTTATATGTTGCATCTATCCATAGTAAATTTGGATGAATACGAAGAAACTCAAGGCCTTGCTGCGAGATAAAGAGGATTCTGCTTGGTCGCTGGACACTATCCAATTCATAGTGGGTAATCCATCCAGATAGGCCCTCAATCACAGCCTCAATTGATGTACGGCCATGAAGGAAAATTTTTCTGGCCTTTGCACGGTAGTTGTAGAGGTCGTTTAAGTTCAGAAGACTCTCCTCAGCCTTTAAAATCATCCAAATCCCCATAGTTTTCTGGCCTTGAAGGAAGTAATCAAGGAGTCGCTCTTCCTTTTCCTTCCTCTCTTCTTGCCGTAGTTTAACCAAAAGGGTTTGTGGTGTAGGCCCATGATTATGTTCACTGTGTTTAACCACAACCTCATGCCGATCTGGATTGATGTTTTTCCTATCCTTCCGTAGCCAAAGTTGAATCCGAAATAGGCAATTAGTTCCAATCTTATTAATCTCTCGCGATTTAGCAGGTGCGACCGACGAAGGTCCTCTCTTAGTAGGGTCTGGCCAGCGAGAGCAAGAGAGGTCAACCCGCCAGTAATCTGATCGCTTTACCACTAGGGCATAGCCATGTTTGGCAGCAAATCTCTGGAGGGCCTTCTTTCCAAGCTCACGGGTTTGGTAGGTGCGAATTGATGGTGGTGGTGGTGATTGGAACGTGCGAACTGGTAGATTGGTAGATAGTATAGAGGGTTGGTGCGATTAGGGTAAATCAGATTGAGATTTAGCGGAAGATACCATCAAAGAATCCATGGTTAGTAACAAGGGGAGGGTGGGGCAGCTAACCTAAATAGTAGAGGATAGAAGGAATTGAATTAAATTAGATTGGTATGTGGGTCATGTGATTCTAGTAGGGTAGACGAGAGGCTACATGATAATCCTAGTAGTTAGTAGGAGATAGAAAGAGAAGGAGGAAAGATGCGTGAGTATAAGAAGGAAGGGGGTGGTTAAATTCGTAATTAATGGCCGTAACGGGCTTGGCAGAAATCAGGCGAATTCAGGCAGAAATCAGGCACTACCTGGTGCGGCCCAAATTCCTACCTGGTGCCAGCAGTGGCACCCTAATAGAGACCATCCTGTTCGTCGGAATCCCGCTCGTTTGTCACAGCCAGACTTATCTATATACACCAAGTAGTAGGATTGGAACGATGATATAGTATAGAGGTAGTAGTCTCGCAACTCGGCATTTCGCTCCCTCGCTATGCGCCTTACAGCTTTCTTCGACTATCCAACCGATACGAGCGCTCTGCTAATGCTATATATTATCACAAGGACGCGGAACGTATCCTACAAGAAGACCGCTATCTCATCCTAGTATAGATCCGGCTTTTCGAGGAGACGTTCGCAGAGAGCTTCAAGTATAGGTGGAGTGATCGTTCGTCGTCTGCCGATACCGTTGGCCGGGGCCTTGACACTTCTAAAGCATCGTAGGTTCGAGCGGATAGTGCTGACTGATCGTGGGGTATAATAGGCAGCTTCGGCAATCTGCGCGTTAGTATACGGTTGAAGGTCTTGGATCATGTCACGGATGAGTTCGAGTCGCCATGCTTCAAGTGTGGGTGCCATAATCTCTACCACTGACGCTGCTCAACCCACTAGTACTGATTAAAGTTGGTAGTGCCCTAACAACGGTCGGTCACGGACTATATTGTCACGTGTAAGGCACCCTGGCTAGCGCTGGTGGCTTTCTCCAATGGTAATTGCTCGGGTGCCGCGCGACGCAATTCCCTGAGCCTGGGCTGAGTTCTGCTTTGCTAGTGACGGGGCTGCTCCTGTCTGCTACGCGATGGGGCTCTTCCCTCGCGGCGACCCCGCACAGGAGTCATTAACCTCTGTTCTTGAAATTTGTTTAAGCTAGTATGTTCCTCTCCACGCTGTCTCCCGCCCGTTTTGTAGACCAGAAACTAACACAGCTCTATGGTGCTATCTAGTGACCTCGTCGTCGCCTCTCCCCATGCGCAATTCGCCCTTCCCGAGGTCCTTCGAGGACTTTTTGCCGGTGCAGGCGGTCTTGCCCGGGTTGTTCGGAATTGTGGCATGCAGATCGGCACCGAGATCGCCTTGACGGGACGCCGACTTTGTAGTGAGGAGGCTGTCAAATACAACCTGGTTAACAGTGTGGCTGCCACTCCCGAGAGCACTCTACCGGAGGCTTTAGAGCTAGCCAAGTCTATTGCAAGCATGTCTCCAGATGCTATCATTGTCTCGCGCGCGGGATTACGGCAGGCCTGGGAGAATGGCAGTGTCCTTGACGCAATACGCGCAACCTCGGACCAGTACTCGGGCGCTCTGCGTTCTTCGGAAAATCTACGTATTGGCCTAGAGGCGTTTGCTAAGAAGGAGAAGCCACAGTGGGTACCTTCTAAGCTGTAGAATCATGTTGAGTTTGAAATGCTATTTTTTCTAGCTGCTGCAAATGCTTCTCCTGCAACCGACTGGATGATATCTCGTGGAATTAACTGGCTCTAAATTGCTTCGTCATTCGACGAGACCATTTCAACGTGTCATTGATCTCGAAGTCCTACAACTCTTGCCGATCATCCTGTGCGAAATGACAAATAAAATTTCCGCGCTTCTGCAAGCAAGTCTTCAATCCCGCACGGGGCGCTGACTCCACCCGCGAGACTTCTCTCCTTCCCTGGGAACTTCCGGCAAATCACAGTGCGTCTCTTACTAGGGCAGTGGTATCAGCTCCAAGTCGCAGGCTTATAGACATTACGCCTTCTGAATGCGGTCTACGAGTGGTTGGATACATGGCGGGAGTCTCGTGCCAGCCTATACTCTATTGCCAAATGCACTCTACAGACTTTTGGCCTGGTTGGTACCGGAAAGCTAGCAACTCACTATTGGAAAATGATCATCCGGATAGCATTCTAAGCCGACCACAAATCCTGAGGCATCAACATGGGAATAGCGTCGTGGGAGGTTAGTCTATCATAACACATTCCTATTCTGTTAATTCAACCAAATTTCAATGACACTGGTAGAAGCAGCGCAGGTAAAGTAGAACGGACAGTCCAGGCATTGCCTATGTAGCGTTGAAGCGGATGGGTTGTGTAGGGGTCGCCCGCGGATCGGTCACCTAATACCCTCATTGTGAGATTTGAGGGCATAGTTGCCTTACCCGCAGAGAGGGTCTTGGCTGAGCACGACCCTCGCGAACGCCACCCGCTGGTGATCAAACAGGACAAAGGTTAAAAAACATGACATTTCTCCTCTGAACGGGGTGAAGTAAGAAATCTGCCCGTCCAATCTAGGAACGGCGTGGATAATCTCCGACAATGAGGGTCTAGGAGGGTCAGCGACGGTTACCCGGGCGAGAGTTGGCGAGGGTCGAGAGTCGGGTAATGGTCAGAAAATTTGAGCTGACCCTCGCGACGTCAGGGTAGAGGATCTGGATCTTGGACCCTTGCGGGGGTAATTCCGGGGTCGGGGGCTGTGCTCTTACTTTTGGCCGGCCGTGACTACTGCCCAGAACTACTGTAATATCGAACCAAGGCCCAGATCTTTCATAGTCCATGGTTTCATAGCTACCTCCCCGCACGAATCCGTACGAGTCAATATTTAGATTTCTCCGAACAAAGAAGCTCTATAATTAGACGGGTGGGGTGCAGAAAGCTTATAGCAGGGTTAGGTGAGAGTGTCAATGCCAAGACTTTCCAAGCGCCAACATGATCTGAGGAAGTCCGATACAGAGCTCACCAAACCCCACTTCCCCAAGCAAGAAGGCTTGGCAAAGTGTATTCTGATCTAGACCGATCAACGGATTGCCAAAATGGACTCCACCAATAAGCCGCCTTATCCTGCACGTCTCATTATTACTCAGTCGATTCATAGATTTTCCTGCTGTTCGAGTGCCGGTTGAAGCGCTAGCCGTGGAAGCACTTACCCAGCTCCACTTGATTAAGTTTCCGTGATCTAGACTGACGTCCAGGATTATTGACCCAAAACAAACAAACTGGCATTTGTTGGGCTTGGCGTATCCTATGCGTGAGCGCAATGACCAAGGTCGGAGTATTTCAGTCCAGTCTCCATATTCCTAATGCGCGCGATTCCCCGGAGGCTCATAAGTAGGTGGTATAGATTTGGTTCAAGCCTACCGTCAAAGCCTCAGGCTCTGCAGTCCATGGAACTGATCTTTATGGCTGAAAGCCACCTGTTGAACATTTTCGAAGCAGATACGAGAGGTTCGTCAACGACTTGACGGACTTCAGATTGCTATTAATAGACACTTTTCTATCCTCGGTCTGGGCCCCAGAAGTTAATTCTTGGGGTATAACGTGAACTTCACAATGATTCTAGATACTGGCATCTGTTGGAACAAGTATCGTAGTTGGAATCTTTACCCATGGCTCAGAACCAAAGAGGTGCCTTCTCCAGGTTCATGAGACATCTGTATTGTATGCAGGGTTCGAAACCAAGGAACTCAATGAGACATCTGTATTAAATGCCGGGTTCGAAACCAAGGAACTCACTGGAAAACGCGGGGTGCTTGTTCCAAGATCCTCTTTGGTTCCCGGCATCGGTCGATGGAAATCTTGCAATTGATATGAGCGGCGTAGGTCTAAGACATGTCGCCACTAGTCAATATAAAAGCTGGCGGTTAACCTCTCTGTATAGGTTTGAATTTTGAAAAGCAAAGATTGTGTTGAATCATCTTTGTATAACACCTGAATCCTTCGATATGAAGTCTGTGCTCTATTCCCTCACTGTACTGCTCCAAGTTGCTACGCACTTGGCAGTCGCAGCCCCGGTTGAGGTATCCCGGGATATCGACCTCTCTCTGGAAGAGAGAACGGAGAAACCTCCCCCACCCGCTATTCCAGGGGTTCCAGGCAGTGCTGCTGCTGCTGCTGCCGCCGCCGCTGCCGCTTCTGGTGGTACTGGAAAGGATGCTGCTGCCGCCGCCGCTGCCGCCGCCGCCTCTGGTGGAACTAAGGAAGAGGGTGCTGCCGCTGCTGCTGCCGCCGCTGCTGCCAGCGCTGGTGGTAGTGGACCGAATGTCGCCGCCGCCGCTGCTGCTGCCGCTGTAGCCTCCACTGGAGGTAATGGAGGGGCTGTCGCCGCCGCTGCTGCTGCCGCCGCTTCCGCTGGAGGTAATGGAGGAGCTGCTGCCGCTGCCGCTGCCGCCGCCGCCGCGTCCGCTGGTGGTAGTGGAGGTGAAGTTGTCACTGTCTCCGTTGCAGTTTCAGTTGCCACTGCTGGTGGTAGTGGACAGGCCGTCGCAGCAGCTGCAGCAGCTGCTGCTTCTGCCGCTGGTAGCGAAGGGAATGCCGCTGCCGCTGCCGCCGCCGCCGCGGCTTCCGCTGGTAAAGGCGGACAGGAAGTCGCTGCCGCTGCCGCTTCAGCCGCCGCTGGTAGCTCTGGCGGTAAAGGCTGCAAGATCACCAAGTCATTCTTCTACTACAAGGGCCCAACTGGCTGGAGCGGTCATGCCGGCAAAGCTAAGCCTGGCGATCAGTTCCAAGCTCTCTGCAAACATCAGTGAGTTCGGCATGGACGTCAAAAAGTACAAACCTGCGCTGACCACTATCAAAAGGAATTGGTACAATACTCCAAAGGGATGGTGCAAACAGGAGTTTAAGCCTCAAGGCTGCCGTAAGTCATTTTACGTTCACGGGGCTCTCTATCCCCAAATATTGTTGCTGATGCTGTTCCAGCCGAGCCAATTAAGCAATGCTAATGGTCTTCAATCATCCGTATTGGGGGTGCCAGCCAAGGCCATCCAGATATTCTCTTGAAGGCTGGCCTTGATGGATTGATTTGGGCACACTTAGATCTGGATCTGTCAGCCTATGTGAGTGTTTACCTCTGTGAGTGTTTACCTCTGTGAGTGTTTACCTCTGTGAGTGTTTACCTCTGTGAGTGTTTACCTATGTGAGTGTGTGCCCATGTGTGTGTGTGTGTGGTGCTTAAACAGCTGTTCGGCCCGTGGCCGGACCGGACCATCATTTTTCCCCGCACAGAAACCCCTCTACCAGACCCCTCTTCAACAGAGATTCTCTCCCTTAGCCGAATTGGATAGTTGACCATGGATTATAACATCCGTTTCCTTCTGGTTTGCACAGTGGATCTTGTCCTCTTTCCTTGAAGAAGACCTGCTGCCTGGACAACTACATAATTGTGTATTCAAAACGCTCCTTTACCACTGTTTAGCTAGGGAGCTGAATCGACTTTTTATTCAACTCAAGATCTTCCTCTCTCTCTTAGATAGTAGATTCCTCTTTGACCATAGGAATCTACTATCTTGACCCGTTCGTTCTATGTGGATAAGCCCCATATAAACTAGGATCGGTCCGGATCTGATGTCAAAATTATCATGTCCATTCCTACTTTGTCTTTTGGATGCCATTGGAATCGATCACGTTTGTGATTGAATTTTGAGATTGATGTACCTTTTGGCTACTACAAAAGGCTAGCACCTACAAGCTGCTGTGTGTGTAACAATTACCGGTGGAGCTGGTGCTGTTAAAACTTTTGCGTACTGTATGGGGATCCGGAACTGGGGTTAGCGATGCGGGGACGACATAGAAGACGGAAATACGGAAATGCGGCCTGCCATTCCGGGTTTTTAAGCATGTTTCCGGGCATAATATGCTTTTGTGTACTTGGATACCTTTTATGCTTATGCAGCAGTCTCTCAGATCGGGGCGTGGGCTAGAGAGCTTACAACTTGGCATCGATTCCAGTGTTCGAGTCAAGGTTAGATTGGATATTATCGTACACACACGAAGCCAGGTACAGAGAACGACCAATTTATTTTGCCTCCTGTCTAAATCACGTTGATTCATATTTAGAACCCCAAGCCATGGCCAAACTTGAAAAGAGGCAGCTCGGTGTCATAAGGAAGGTCTTCTCTGCTCTTCTCCACTGCCTGCATGGAGCTAGGAAGGCCAAAGGGAAGCTTGCCTGCAGGGGAGTGTTGCCAAAGATGACGTCGAGGAAAGCACCCTATATCCGTGCGTTTCTGCCCACCCGAAGCGCTTCCCGCTTTAGGTGCGCCACAATATCTTCGTGATCACAATTTCTTCGTGAATTTTCGAATAAACCATGCAATTAACCAACCACACTAGCTATCTATCAAAAAAGAATGGCTCTCCTCGCTCTCTTGCTTCTCTCTCATTATCAATTGCCCGTTGAATACTCTCTTCGGTCCTCTTGGTAGGTTTAAACCCATACACCTTTTCAAACTGCTTCTCTAGCTTCCTCTCCGCCGCGGACGCATCTTTGATCTTTCTATCGTGAATTGACCGATTTGCATCGCGAGGCTTCAATATACCATCCTGGCCAAGCGATTTAACCTGCCGCTTAGTATATTGCCGCTGTTGAGGCACCTGCGCGGCCCTAATTCGCTGGATTGTATCATGGGTCATGGCAAGGTCTTCAAGCTTCTCCCGCTGATGGGTAAAAATTTTGGCAAGATCTCGCTGCATCTTCTCTGAGGGGGAATTGAGGTGTTTGTAAATTTTCGCCTGGTTCTTCTCTAGTGCTTCAATAGATTTTGGAGGGCTATTTTCAACACTAGAGGAAGAGAGATTAGGTAGTGGCGGAGAAGGTGTAGAAGTAGGCGTTGGTGTACGCGACCGAAGATTTGGTGCGTAAATATCAGAAATCACCAATTGGTTCGCAAGCTTCTCAACAATCTGAAAGGGTTTGATTAAAAGATTGGATATTGCAGATGCCTTTATCCCTGATTATATACCTCTCTGTCGACGGCCTACCCCGGGCCCTAGGTATCTAGAAGCTCTTGTTGATCCTAAAACAGAGCTTATTACCTCCCCGATCGCAAGAATTGATAAACATAGTATTGTTTGTGTAGACGGTACAAACCGACCTGTTGACGCAATCATTTGCGCGACAGGATTTAATACCAATTTCTTCCCCCGGTTCCAGATAGTAGGTAAGAATAGAACAAGTCTGTAAAGTAAATAGACGGAGATAGGGAACCCGGGGACCTATCTTTCTATGACTGTAGATGATTTTCCTAATTTCTTCATGAGTCTTAGTCCGAACGGTACCGTGTTGGGCAGCCTTCTATTTATAATCGAAAACCAGGTTGATTACTTTATATCTTGTCTGAAGCGGATGCAAAACGACAACATACGATCTATGACTCCCAAAAAATCTGCAGTTTTATCATTTAGGGGTTTCTGTGAAGAGTACTTCAAAAAGACTGTGTACGTCTTGGATTGTCGGAGCTAGTACAAAGCGGGGATAGTAGATAGCCGTATAGTTGCCCTTTAGCCCGGTGAGTGCGCCGTTCAATAATACGCTCTATCTAGGCAACGACAAATATAATATTAAAGGCTCTAGTATTTATGCCTTAAAGGCTTTACAAACCCTACGTTGTGAAAATTATGAATTGACTTATATTGATGATAATCCTATTGGGTAGTTAGGAAATAGAGAGACTGCGATGGAAATATCTAGAAACCTCGATATCTGCTAGTTGCAAGAACATTCTGTCTAAGATTATAGCCTCTACTGTGACTAAAGAGTGATATTTTATATGTACTAAACTTATACTCCGTTTTGCTTTTTACTTTGATAAGAAGTAATTATTTCTAACCTTAAACAATACTCCTAAGCCCTTTTATAGCCTAGTACATTCTGTCGTGATATAAGGCTGTTGCTGCTTAGAAATGAAGCCGCAACATCGGAAGTGATTCCTGCTCAATGTATAGGAAAGACTAAGTTGATTTACAATCAACTTGGACTCTATAATATATATATAGCCTCTTATTATTCCTCTCAAATAATAATTAAGCTTATTTTTTTGTATTATAACATATTCAAATAGCCATCCCTATCCCATGGGGGTAAATAGAATGGTGGTTGATTCGATTTGTTTATATGGCTCCACTATTCTGATTTTAAGTCTGTTCGATTTTCAACTTTTCCTACTACTCATCTTGAAAGAACTTCTTTTGCAAAACCACACTAGCCTTCTACATGGCCCGTCCTCCCAAAGATGCCTTCCAAATCGGCTGGATCTGTGCCCTTCCGATCGAGGCTACAGCTGCAGCTGAAATGCTTGATGAGAAATTTGGAATTCTCGACGAGCAAGATGCAGCCGACTCAAATACCTACACGCTAGGCCGGATCGGCAAACACCACGTCGTAATCGCCTGCCTCCCTGGAGGCTAGTACGGAACTACTTCGGCTACTACGGTCGCAAATAATATGCTTCGCACCTTCTCCAAGTCACTTAGAATCGGATTGATGGTCGGTATCGGGGGTGGAGTCCCCTCCGATACTGTTGAGCACATGCAGTTGCCGATCTACTGTCTTCCGTAAGACCTAAAGCTCCATGACCCCACAGGCCTCTGGAAAACGTAGTTCGAGGCAGTTCCTATTATCCTTTAATACATTATCTCGATAACGATGCTATGATTTTTGTCGTCCATACGTAACTCCGCATCTGACAGGAGACGTACCCGAATCTATCACACTTTGTCTCTTTACCGTCGTCTGTATCGTTATAGGATAAATAGCATAGCTGACATCAATTTTAGCTATTTCTGCCTATTGACTAACCAGATCTGTGCTGGGTGTTCTTACCAAGCTACATTCATGGTCCATTAATTTTTAACCCCCAGCCCTATTCCTTTGATTACATAATATTCTGCTGGCAAAAAGCTTGCACTCAAGAGTCTAAATACCTGATTTCCAAGCAATAAATACAAAATTGAATGAGATATGGGAGTTAGCTATACATACAGCTTTCTATACCCATATTATAGCGCAAAATTGTGGCCTCATCGTGGGTTTCTTAATCTTGCAATTTTCGAGCTACCTAGTTATAGTAGGCGGTAAGGCCGATACTGGGCGGTGTGTATTAGGGGTTTAAATATTTATGGAACGTCACTGTATGATAGGAAGAAAGTCGTTTTGTAACCTCTTTACATTATACGGTATTAGTATTGTTATATTCACTAATTATATCTATTTTAAATGGCAGTGGGGTAAAGGCCACATACTAGTGCCTTGGCAGTGGGGCCTAAGAAAAGTAAAGCGATCAGTAGGGTAGAAGCCGTTTACGCTATCGACTGTATCAGAAATATCATTGAGGCCTAGATCAGAATTGGGATATCCTTTCGTAGACGCTTCGAAGATCGTGTGTCAATCATGTTGTCTAGAAGAGGTGTAATGAAGCTGGTGAAGCTGGAAATGGGAGTTGAGGCAATCCTGGTGGTTCCGATTGATTCTTTGTTTCCCGGCTATTGTTAGCGCTCTAGATCCGGATCGCCCTGCCAAAACTCCAAATATTAAGGAAAAGAGAGACTATCCAATCATGCAACATTTCGTATCGTATATTTAGCACCGCTAATCTGATTGGATCTCAATTGACGAAGCAGTTCAACACTGAAACCGCAATGCTCCTCCTGTTGGCGCGCGCGAACTGAACCCTAGCGCCGATCCATCTCAGACCCTGCTAATCGCCATCCCGTATCAGCTCCCGCGTCAGATTCGGCGGCTCCACTTCAGACAAGGTGCCTAATGTTTATTTCTGTCTAGCCCTACGGAAGCTGCGTTTCATCTTTCTTTGGCAGCCCTTCAGTGTGTGGAGGAGCGGAACGGACAGAATGAGTAGCCGACGCGGTGGAGTCGCGAGCTAACCCGCTTGCCGTGCCAAAGAGGCGCCAGGGGAGCTTGGTTTCAGGCATGACGGAAAATAGAAACACTGTTCTTTGAAGAATGGGATTGGAACTTATTGCTGAAGAGGATGGTTAGAGTAGTGGGTTGAGGATTGTGTATAAAGTGGTGAAGAAGACCCAGTATGAAACGAGAATCAGCAACGACGACGACTTTCCTTTTGTTTCATTACACTTTTCTTTGCGCATCTCTTTCATTCGAGACTCGAGTCTCTAATTCATCTGTTTGATCTTTCATTGATCTGGTCCAGATACTCTTCTTTCTTTGAGTCGGTTGTTGGTCTATCCTGGTTGATGACCGCTGCCTATTTACTTGCCTAAAACTCGTCTTTGCACTTCGACGCTTATATCTGGACTCTAGGCTGCCCTGGTCTATTCAAAGCCTGCCGCCTTTGCATTTCTTTGGCTTTTCATACATTTATATACCGTACACATATCTCAGCCAGTCCTGACGACACATCTCCGCGCTGTGCGCAGTCCTACCAACCTTTGAACAAATACTCTCGAGTCATTCTTTGAGATACAAACATACATTCCCTTCCAAATTTCCACTTCTTCAATCGCATTTCTCTATCCCCAACAATCCATCACCAACAAAATGTCCTTCCTTGTCGTTCCCCTGGTCAAATTCGGCCTCTCCAAAGCCAAAAAGCACCACGCAGCCAAAAAACAAGCAAAGCAAGCCGACCAATTCCAGCAACCCGGCTACGCCCCCAACTACGGCCCCGAGCCCCCCATCCAAATGTCCAACTATCCTCCCAACGTCGGACCCGGCGCAGACATCCAGTACCCAACTAACGCCGAACCCATTAGCAAGAGCACCAAGCTGATGGGCATGTTCGTCTCTGGCGTGCGGTTCCTGCAATTCGTCTTTGGATTGACCGTCATTGGCCTATATGGCAAGGATGTCCGTCATGACCATGAGGACGGACATACATGGCATGCGAAATGGGTATTTGCCATGATAACGGCCTTTTTGGCGACCGGCACGGCTGCTATGCATATAATCCTGCCTTTCCTGACACGCCGTGTCAACCCTCCGCCTAACCCGAAGCTCAAATTGCCCCAGTTTGTCTGGGAATTTATCCTGTGCATCCTGTGGTTGACGCTGTTTGGAATATTTGGGAAGATGTATATCGGCGTGTATCCTTCCGCCACTAAGGACTCCGGGAAGCGGGATACCGATTCGACTTCAACTTCGACCTCGAGTTCCGATTCGGGACTCGGTGATGTGTCGAAGATTAACCGGATGCGCCATGCTGTCTGGATTGACCTGGTTAATCTTATGATGTGGGTTGTTACCGCGTCGTGGGTGTTGCTGCGCTGGCTGAAGAGTCGACGGGCAGCGGATGGTGCTGCGATGGTGGATGCTGAGAAGGCTGAGCAGATTTGAGTTAGCTTTCATAGTGTAAGATCTTCTCGATGAGCTTATTGAGCTTATGATGCTGGGCCATAGAGGGGAGGATGTGTGGAGATGAAGATTTTCTCGGCGTTACTTATTTGTCATCGTCTGATGGAGGGAGTTCAGGTGTTTGGAGTTCTTGCTAGGTTTATTAGCTGGAAACGGGGGTATTCTACTTCATTTTACAATGGTAAATTTTAAGAATCCAGATTCTGTTTGTTCAAAAATTTTATCCAATCTCATTGTATACATAGTGCGCCCTGAAGAGGCCATTACATGGTTAGGGGGATCTCAACGTCCACCGACCCCAGGGTAGCCTCCAACTCGGGCGCGGGGCCTCCACAGAATAAGGCGACTTCATATCGGGGTTAGGGACACGCCACTTAGTGAAGTTCCAATCAATGGTTTTTCGTTAAGATAATCATTCGACGAAAGGCTGAAGTCATGTATGTGTGAAGATGCATGATGCGGAATTCTCAACGGAATGAGATTCAAAGAGAGGTAGAAAACGGAGCGATGTGTTAGGGTATGAGCAGGGGATCTTGTCACTACTACTTACTGGCTACCCTCTAGCTGTCTTTTAGACCTAGATGAGGCCTGTGGGGTTCTCGATGCGCCAGACCAGCTGCATCAGAATCTCCTTATTGACATTTTTCTGGAGAGTACGATTGCTCCAGACTCTCCAGAAGAGATTCTTCAGCCGCCGGTTGGTCTCGGTAGCAGGTAGGCAGCTCTATACTATGAAATAACGTCAGTACAGCAGTAGATGAAACGGGACCAGGTAAAGACATACTTGTCCAGAGGCCATAAATGACTGGAACGTTGTCCTCTTCGAGGGCATCGATCTTGTCCTGGATGGACGGCATATAAAGGTCCTCCAGGAGCCCCAGCTCGACGTCTGGGAGCGAACAAGTTGTAGACATGGTTGTGTTGATGTTATTTCATCAGAAGAAAGATGGGATGAATGTTGCAGAGGAAGGTCGAAGTCTCAAGTATCACGATCAGCATCTGTACCTTATGAAGTATGGGCTCTCATATCGCCGATTAAGCGAAGCCTGATAGGTCCTACGAGTCGCATCATTCAGACTAACCACTTCAGGACCTAAAATGCAAACGTTGTGCCAGATTGACCACCGTACGCTTCTAAAACTAAAGTCTGATAAAGTTCAATGGTCCTACAACAAAGAATATCAGCGTTTCGGATCCAATGGTGTATCATGTTGTTAGAATAATCAGAAGAGATGTATTATTGGTATTATTTAGATCTCTAGGTAAGATGGTAGAGAGGGAGAATAGATTCATGAGTGCTAGCGTAACTACTAAAGAAATAAAACATTAAGACATGATCAATCCAGCCTGCTCAAGTTCGTAGAACAGTCCAAGGTGCGGCGGTGAAAAGGAAACGAGGACGAGGAAGACTTTAGCATGAATGATGTTCGTTTAAGCACAAGAGATAAGGACTTACAAAACAGCTAGAAGGCTACATGGTATATCGGGAGGCTTCTTTAGGGCAACGGTTAGGGATGATAATGATAATACACGCTCAGCAGTGAGACGGGTGAAACGGGAAGGCGTTCATATAAGGAAGTTGGCATCACCCTCAACTAGAAACAAAGAATGGATTATGTATCATCAACCCCGTGTACCAACCTGAGGTTTAGAAGATTCCAAGAATCATTTATGAATGAAAGAGGTAGAAATGTTGATCTCTATGGCGGCTGGAAATATGGAACTCACGGTGTCAAGCACGCTGTGACAGTACGTGTGGGTCCTTGAATTCAGGCAACGTATCGTACTCATTTACCAATGCCTTCGTAGATAGCTTTGACATATGACTCTGCCCGTGGATCCCCCCTAGGGCCAGAATTCTGCATGCGCGACGGGGCATAGCATATCGTCATCTTGTTTTTCGGGTCCATAATAGCGAGAGAACCTCCCCAGCCACCCCAGTAGCAACTACCTTCACGAATCCAAGCCATTCCACTCTCCACACGAAGTCCAAATCCCATCCCGAATCTGACATCAGTCCCCAGAACCAGATCCTTCCCGCTGACCTGCTCGCTGGTCGCTAGTTGCGCCGTTTCGGAACGGAGAAGTTTCTTGCTGTCGACTGTTCCACCCAGTGATATGGCGGAAAGGATCCGAGCTATGCCTTGAGCAGTCCCAAAGCCGTTGCCAGAAGCCATTTCTGCATCCCAGAATGCCGTAGTCTCGGCTATCTCTGCCTGTATAGGTGGGGTGGTAAGTGCGCGCCCTGCAATCCCGTCTATGTCGAAGTCGGGCTGCGGATCTAATGGTGCGGGAGATATAATCTCTGCCACACGAGAGCGATCTTTCTCCAGCACACCGAGTTGAAAATCGGCGTTGAGTGGCCCCGCAAGCTCTTGTGCAATAAATTCTCGCACACGCTTGCCCGTTACTCGCAAAACAAGCTCGCTAATGATATGCCCCTGGGTAATGGGATGGTAGCCGGTCACGGTGCCTGATATCCACCACAGTGGTGAGCCAGCGAGGCGCGCATTTGCCTTCGTCACATCGTATACTTCCTCGATAGTCGTTGTTCTTTGCCAAGCAGGAAGACCGGCGGAATGTGTCAGAACATGCCAAACCTGGACGATAGTCTTTTCGTTGGTTGCAAATTCGGGCCAGTACTTAGACACGCTGGCGAATGGGTCAAGGAGCCCCCGATCAATCAATATGAGTGCTGCAAGATTGGTGATACATTTCGAAGTTGACCAGACAATTGAAATTGTATCTTCTTTCCAGAGCTTTGATCGTGCCCGATCGGCAAAACCACCCCATAGATTGATGACATCTTGGCCGTCAATGTTGACACAGAGAGAAGCACCCAACTCCTCATTCGAGAGAATGTTTTGTTCAAGGAGATCCCGCACTTTGTTAAATGCGGGCTCGCAGTGTCCATGGATGATCGACATGCTGTCGAGATTTTTCGAGATCTCAAGGTAATTTGGTCAGTTAGATGGATATAAAAGTGAAATGCTAGGGGGTATTTCAGGGCGCCAGGTTGTTAAGTAGCTGTGGCGACCCAATGTTACGAGCGTTAAGAGACAAACCTAAACACACATAAGAGGTTCCTCCTCTGGTTTATTCCGAAAACAAAGAATATGGACTACTTGAAGATCATCTGCAGTGACGCAAAGAATGACCAGTATCCCCGGTTTCCGTGTCTAGACTCAGATCAATACGAGTGACTGTGGGCTGCCGAATACGAGTTGTCTTGGCGAACGAGATGTGGGCATGCATGCAAGGATAGCTGGCCTATCACTCCGTAGATTTCCATGCATTCAACTTCATTTTGAGAGATCGAATACTACCTTGACCAACACGCAGAACATCATTCGCATAATCTCACCTCCTCAAGCGATGCTCACATTCTTGAATCCCATATCCGCATATTGCAACCTTGAAGTATCCTATGACATGGGTGGCCTGAAATGGACAAGATCTAAAACGCAACGAAAGCCAAGGGTGTAGGATGAATTCCGAAACTCTGCAAGATCCCGAAACTTACACTGGGCATCATGATACCGCTGATCTAAAATTTGTCAATTTGCGGCAACCAACGGATCGGGAGAAGCTCGGCTTTCGATACAAGTTCTAGATTGCGAGGCTTTTAACGATTTCATGCGCGAGTGCTCTGAACGGTCTCTCAAGGATGAGGTGTTGTCTTGATAAACAAAGGTTGCACTGACTAAACTCCAACCAGTTGTACCTCAACTACTTGACCACTATACGAGATACCATCAACAGTTCCACCGCGCGTGGTCACATATAATGTTCCATTTCTCCCAATTTGAACGGAAGTAGGCCCGATGATATCTTTGGTCCCTCCTCCACCTGCAACAATAGCCTGTTGGCCATCCGGCTCAACTCTTGCGATGGAATTATCAGGCTGTGCAACATACGCGACGCCGTCTGTATCCAAGGCGAAGTCATCCCAGTCCCCACCGGTAGCGTCCATGTTCAAAGTAGCGATTAGCTCCACATCGCCAAAATCAAGACCATCCGCGCTGACTGAGACCCGTGAGAACGTCCCCCGTGCTGTGTTTGTAAAGTACACGTAGCCTCGGGCGACCTTTAACCCATTGATACCGATTGGAATGCTTGCATTCGCGGGGGCAGCTAGAGAATCGTCCTTGAAGGCTATTTTCGATATACCCGTTTTTGTATCGATGCGAAACAAACACCCAAGCCGCGAGTCCGCGATCAGAACGATGTGTGGTTGGGTTGGTAGGGAAGCCATGCCGTTCAGCATCGCAGCATTAGGGATTCGAGCGACCGTGTGGATGATCGGCTTAACAGTATCTCGGGTAAAGTCGACAGTATAGATAGTCTCGTTTGTGTAGCTGTAGCTGCCTCTGATACCCCCAACGATCGCAAATTTGTCATGGTCAATGGCTGTTATTCCACATAGAGCGGTGGCTCCAGGGAGGGCGGCGACTAGATGAGCCTCAGGGGCGCGACTAGACGGGTCAAGGGTGTAGAGGCGGCCTTGGTCGAAGGTAGTGAGGAGAAGATGACCATTGGGGCGAAGAGCGCTATTTTCGATATCAACGTAGCTAGAGAAATTGAATAGCTGAAACGTGGCCTGCGCAAAAGTAGAGCTGGCTAGCAATGCCAGAGCTAAATTGGCACGCATGGTCCAAAATTGACTGTGAATGAGTCGGAATGGAGACGAGGAATATCCAACATGTTTATTTAAGCTTGAAAAATCTCGTATGATTTTCTCGCAAGACAATCCGTGATATAGAGGGATTAGTAGTCGGAGATAACAGAGAGATTAGGGTAAAGCCAAGAATGATAATCCCATCTGCAGTATGAATAAGGTAATCAGGGCCGAGCTGGTCGAAATGATTTCTGTCAATCCCCGTTTCATATTGAGAGCGAGGATGTAAGCATATATTGAGCACCACTCCTTCGCTTCAGCTAAATCTACTAGGGTCACACACTGAACGATCCCATTAGAAACGAGATATTGCAATACCTAGAGGTCGTGGGGTTTCACCAACAAGCTTAGTACTCAGCATAAGTAGCCAAAAGTAAGATAGTTCGAAACCTTCAGATAATCAATTTACGTCTGCTTTCTTGGATCCTTCATCCGGATCCGATATCGCATTCCAGAATAGTCAAATCGTACATAAATCGATACCAACGGGCTCGGCTTCAAGGTCAGACTGACATTTCTTAACACGGTTTAGAATCATAGAATCCATATCCCCAGCGACGCCAAATTCAGCATTTCTCTGAAAGCTGAAAGACGTAGTACTAGTAACAGCCTGTCTTTGTAGATACATAGACAGCTATGTATTTGTTTTTGTATCTAGTACTTTATCTACTCCTACGTACCCCATAAAGTTCATCTAACAGCTCAGGGTTCCCCGCAACCCCGACACGCTGGCCAATCAAACCAAGCTATTACCCCCAATTCACGAGGACGATGATGTCAATAAACCTGGAGGATCAAAACAAAGCAGGGCCGATCGAATGCCGCTAAATAAAAATCGCTGGCCTCAAAATTTGCTATAATCAATCAGAACTTAGACCAATGAGTGATAATTGCAGGCAACACAACTTGTTTTACCTGCCATAACCGACGAATAGACTTGTCTGAGAGGGGATGATTTGGGAAGATGGACAGATGCGCGCAGCTGAAGTTAACAGAGGAATATTTTCGGTGTACATATGTAAGACGAAAAGAAATGAAATAATCAAAAGCAGAATCGCTCTATATTGCATTCATGACAAAATCCAGAAAAAAAAATCGTATATCATGCAATTTAGCTGTTGATAGATAGACACGCTCGAAAGGGCCCAGGACCAAGCGTGCCGCACACCTAAGTCAGGGTGTATCCACCGTCGACACGGAGATCCGCGCCCGTGATGTACTTGGAGGCATCGCTAAGAAGGAAGGTTACAGCGCCCATCAGATCCTCAGGGGTCCCCATTTTTCCAACGGGAATGAGGGAGGTCCACTTATCGCGGAGTTGGGGGTTCTCGTCGAGGATCTTACGGGTACTGTAGTGAAGGAAGAAATGAACGCATTAGCAACAGATACTCTGCAATTACTCCAAAGATCTCACAGAGAAACACTCACAGTGCAGTCAACATGTAACCCGGGCTGATGCAATTAACCCGAATGCCGTGGCCGGCCCATTCGACAGCCAGTGATGCCGCCAGGTGGCGCACAGCAGCTTTGGCCGCGTTATACGGCGCCTGAGGTTGAGGCACGTTAACGATCGAACCGGACATGGATCCAATCATTACAATACTGCCAGGAGCCTTGCGCTCCATGAGATGCTTGGCCACGCCCGTGGCGAATAAGTACGTGCCGTCCACATTGACGCCCCAGAGCTTCTTCATGCGGTCGAATGGGTAGCTGATCGCGTCGAAATTTTCAGTAAACCCGGCAGATGTGACGAGATTGTCGATGTGCTTGTGTTTGGCTAGGACTTCGGCGAGGGCTTCGTTCACGGAGCCTGGATCTGCGACATCGGCGTAGTGTGCTGTGACCGTGGGCATCCTGCGGGATAGGCTGAGTTAGCCACTTGTAGCAAGATAGTCCGATAGTGATCAGGGTGGGGAGGGGAGTATTTAGCTGGAATGGTCGGAACTTACTGCTCTAGACCTGGGTTTTCTTTGCGGAATTGCTCGACAAGCTTCTCAGCCTGCTCCTCAGCCTCAGCCTCTGCATGCAACAATTAGTACCTAGCCAGAAATATAGATAGAGACCCATAGCGGGGCTAGTTAAAACTGGAGCAGCTTTAGCAAGGGCAAACATACTATTCAGATCGACAATAGCCAAATCCGAGCCTGAGGCCACCAAGCCCTGTCCCATAACTAGACCCAAACCACGCGCACCACCAGTCACTATGCTGACCTTACTTTCAAGGGAGAATTGGGCCAGAGTGCGCTTGAAATGCATGCCGCCGCGGCCCTGCACAACGGGCTGGGCGGGCATCTCGCTGTCGGGCGGGTACTCGATCTGCACGCTCTCATCGGTACGGGCGAATTGGCCCTCATGTTCGCCGGATGCGCCATCTGGGGCTTGATTGGTGGCGGCGAGTAAAGGGTCGCTCTTGGGATCGTTTTTCTTGTTGGCGCGGGTTGAGGTGTAGGAGAGTGGGCGGGTGAATGTTGCGCGTGTTGCTGGGCGCGCTGTTGTGTTGAAGGCCTTTATGGCCGAGCGAGCGACCGTACGGTTGAACATGATTGTGAATAGCTTCGGATTTCTGAAGCTTAGGCTGCAGGCGTTAGAGGGATTCAAAAGAGGATTTGGGACCAATTGATGGTATATGTTGCAGGACGATTGGGTCCTCGTCAGCTTCTAAGGAGGAAGTATGCGTGCGCAAAAGTAGGGATGGTCAAGAAGTCACCAGGGAGAACAGATCGGAAATCAAGGAGACGTCAGAAGAGGGGAAGCTACATGTACATTTGTCAGATTGCCAGAGAAGATATCCAAGTTTTAAAGGCTGAAAAAAAATTAATTCTTTAACTTTCCTTTCCATTGAAGGCTGACCAAGTGACCAATTGACAGGGATGGAAGCTCGAGCTTCTGGACCAGGAGCTGGGGAATGCGCCACTTGCGGTCAAACACCCACAATATTTATAAGAGTTAATGATAATCATACCTAACTAGTTAACACGAACGATAAATGATTAGTGTCTTATTATCTAATACCTTCTATCATATTTCTGACAATGATAGGCCCAATCCTTCGAGACGTCCGCTTCCAATGGTCAATGGACGTGGCGTCAGCGAGTGGATGAGCAATTGAGTTCACGGAATTTATGGATTGTTTCGACTAGCCTTGAAGTATGGACTGTGCAGGAGTAAATTATGGGTTAAGCTAAGGTGTATTCCCTATGAAATAATGAAAAAGGAGGCCAGTTCTTAAAGCAGCGCTAAGTAGTGATGTCAGGTGGACGCAGTTCTTACAGCCCCAAACGCCCAGGCCCCAGTCGATCGATCGAGGCTGTGGACAAAAGTACGGAGTCAGTCCAATAATGCAGAGGACAAAGTCTGTATAGTAGAAGAAAAGGCAGATTTTGCAATCTTCTCCTTTATACACCTCATTAGACTGTGTTATTCCGAGACTGACCATTTGAAATGAAAATCCTACGGTAGCTGTTCAATTAGCCGTCAGAATATCTCCGACTACACCACCCACGGACTTTGGACTCTTCTACAATATCGTAATTGCAATTGCTTTTTCTGCTTTGTTTGAGATCTAACCCCGCTACGATGGCGCATTATCGCCACCCTATCTGTATCCCACCACTAGTAATGCCCTCCAACGCATTTCTTTCGCCACGTCCTGGGCCCTTAGACCTGTCGAGTCCAGGTACCAAGTTCCCCTGCCGGGTAAATGGCCCCCTATCCACATGTACCAGTTACCCGTACCGAACATGCCGGATGCGGTATGGTGCCTAGGCGAAGGTGGCAAGGCTCCCACGTCCTAAAATGACGATATAGACTATGCGATTATGCTTGGTGGGGGTCAGTAACTGGTTGCCAAATCAGATGTGTACAGGTTGGATTTGCACGTATACAGTGGATATTATTGGAAACACGATTTCTTGAAGGATGGATGTTTTTGGCTACGGCCGAGCGCGTTGGTAACCTACTGTATTATTGTATGAACCGGTTCCACTTGCCTCGAGTCTCTGTAATTCACATCGTGAGGTCTGATTAGCATTGGCCCGAGATAGCAAGATCCTCGTGGACGGCCATGATGAGCATAATATGACGAAGGCCTTCGTAAGGCGCAGACAGGATCAGCGCCCCTGCGATAGCGATACATAGTAGGTAGCTGAAGTGAATCTCCAGAGGGCCCTAGTCCATGATTAGTTTATGTAGGAAAGGTTGCCAAAACAGCTTGCTGGGTACGTGCAGAATCTCACCGGGCGGGGAAATACGGTACGTACAGTATGCTGCTCTTCCCAAATGGCATCCCCATCGCGAGCCTTAAACTGACCAACAGTCATAATACCGAGGATCTTATTGCTCTAATGAAATATCACATTCATAAAAATCAAACTATACTTTATGATCGTAAATACAATGCTCCCATAAACTCCAATGCGAAAGCACAAATTTATCTTTTACGCAGACTCTGGTTCTTCGGCGAATTCGACCAAGGGAGTGCCACTCTTGCATTGATCCTGTAACGCACGTTAGTCAGATCTTCATAATTTTGAAAAGATAGTTGGCGAATTTTGGTGCTTTTTCTCCCCCGAATTGCTCGCGGGTGGGCATTATCAGGGGCTGCTGGAGATTCCCCCGCAATTTCGGCAGTGAACAGATCACAGCAGGATCACGCGACCCGACCACATGAGCTGCCCCCAACTGCGCAATGGCCACCACTCGGTCCAGACCAGAACTCGAGGAGCAGAGGTAGCCCAGGTTGAAAAGGCCAGCCGCAAAAGGGGAAAGGGAAAGGGGAAAGAGGGGAAGGAACCATGTGACTTACACCTTGTTGATGAACCACGCGCGCAATCGTCCCCTGGTGCGGGCTACGAATCACGGTCTCCATCTTCATGCTCTCAATGACCACCAACGGCTGGTCCTTCTCCACCACATCGCCCGCCTGCACTTCCACCCGGAGCACCTTGCACGGCATCGGCGCTAGCACGCTGTTCGCCACGTCCTTCATGCCCAGTGCCTTCTCCATCCACTTGGCCCGCGGCACTCCCAGCCGGTACTGCATGCCTCGCTGGAACGCGATAATCGTGTCCGTTTCCGCGTCCTGGACGACGGTCGTGTCCAGCCGGGTATGGCCGAAGAACGAGGTCACCACGCGTGAGACGGGGTCCATTGTGCTGGTTACTTGAGAGAAGACGCGGGAGCCGACCTCAACGTCGAATGTTTGATCCGATGTTTGTTGCACGCGAACGTTGAAGGTTGTTCCATCGGTGTTTGGCCCTGTAGACGAGGTAAAGGACAGCTGCCGTTGTTGGTAGCTGGGCGTGAATCCGATCGTGGTTCCTGCGAGGCCGGCCGAGGGAGCAGCGGCGGCGGAATGCATGTCACGGTGCAGGCATGCAAGAGCAACCTGGGCAAGAACTTCATCATCGATGGTTTTAGGAGCGAAAAGCTCGTCGCGGTGCTTCTCGATATAGCCTGTCTCAACTGCGCCTGCAATGAAATCAGGGCTCCGGCAGATGGTCTTCAGGAACTCGATGTTGGTGACAGGACCAGCGACCTCGTACTGCTCGAGCGCCGCCCCGAGCTTTCGGATGGCTTCCTCGCGTGTCTCGCCACGAACGATCAGTTTAGAAATCATCGGATCGTAGTGGGCAGACACGTCGTCTCCTTCCACGAAACCGGCGTCAATACGAATATCCTCGGTAGTCGCGGGTGTTCGGACATGGATCAGCCGTCCGGAGTCAGGAATGAACCCCTGGTCAGGATTCTCGGCGTAGATGCGAGCCTCAATACCGTGTCCACTGCGAGCAATACGCTCTTCCACTTCCTCTTGCGTCAGAGGCAATGGGGCCCCTTCGGCCACCATGATCTGCCAGTGCACCAAGTCCTGGCCCGTGACCATCTCCGTGACGGGGTGCTCGACCTGAAGACGAGTGTTCATCTCCATAAAGTAAAATTCGCCAGAGTCATTGTCAAAGATGAACTCCACAGTGCCTGCACCTTCGTATCCAACTGCAAGTGCAGCTGATCGGGCCTTGGCCCAAATATCCTTTCGCGTAGCATCTGGGAGATGAGGAGCCGGAGACTCTTCTAAGATCTTCTGATGTCTTCGCTGAATACTGCAGTCTCGCTCTCCCAAAGCAACAGAGTTGCCGTGCTTGTCTGCAAAGACCTGAACCTCAATATGCCGGGGCGTTGTGATGTACTTCTCAACCAAGACCTGGTCATCTCCAAAAGAGTTCATAGCTTCCGACTTTGCCGACTCCAGCTGAGCCTGAAACTCGGCTTTTGAGCTAGCAATGCGCATGCCCTTTCCACCGCCGCCTTTGATGGCCTTGATGAGGACGGGGTATGTGATTTTGTCGGCTTCGGCTTCGAGGAAGGCAGGGTCTTGGTTATGGCCGTGGTATCCCGGGACGCAGGGAACGCCCGCCGCGAGCATAATCTCTTTTGAGCGACTGGATATCTGTCAGTAACAGTATAGCGGGGCGCTCGGTTGGTGATGCTTCACACACCTCTTGTCACCCATGTCCTCAATTGCCTTCCATGGTGGGCCAATGAACACAATACCGGCTTCGGTACATTTTCGAGCAAAGGCGGAGTTCTCGCTCAACTAAGGAGAACAAGAATTGTTAGCCACAGTAGTCTTTTCGATTCCATATCTCCAACGCCAGTAATAAACTCGGGATGTAGTCGTATGGCTCAGATAAGGGCGACTCACAAACCCATAGCCGGGGTGAATACCTCGACACCCTTCTTTCTTCGCAATCTCAATGATACGGTCGCCATCCAAGTAGGCGGAAACAGAACCTAGGTTAAATGCAAATGGCGTGCTCAAGGCATGTTGCGCCCGACTATCGGGATCAGTGTAAAGTGTCGTAACACGGATTCCATGCTCCGCAGCGGTCCGTCCAACACGCCTAGCAAAATGATCAGCCCATCCTCCATACAATTCAACACGGAACTCTCAAAGAGACTTGGTCGTACGTACAGTGCAATCTCCCCACGGTTAGCAATCAGAATTGAGTCCAAGGTCTTGTTGCCTTGCGATGTGCTAGCCACCGAGGATGCAGCCCTTACGGTCCTGCGGGCCGCGGTCGGCGTGAGGCGGGGAGTAATGCGGAGAAGGGATGAAAGGGTCATGGCGGAAGATATGAGCAGCGCAGGGTTGTGTATAGCTGCTGGATGAACTTTGCCCACTAATTCTGGGACTCAGGCCACTTTCATGATCAAAGACAGAGAAGATTTGAGGAAGCTGGAGAAGGAAGGGCGGTCTTGATCTTTTGGGAGAAGCTCTGGAGGGCCTGCTTGAGCCGACGCAAAGCGAGATTGCGGGGAAAGCCGAGGCTGACCTAAGCATATACCGCTTGCCTGTTTGGGAAGTATACTGGGGAGGAGACCAGCCAGGCTCGTTTAGTAAGAATCTTATGGGAAGGGCTTAAGAAGGGGGGATGATACTGCTATGTAAACTCATAGGATTTGAGCATCAAATCTTGTTTGTTGTCGACGGACATTGTTCCACCTCATGATGGCAACAATCATTTCTGAAGATACGATAACCCTTAAAGGCACTATCTTGGCTTGATGAAGGCCCATGTGACGGGAAAGAATGATGATGCAAAACATCGAGTAGTCCTCAGTTTTTGACTACAGCCTCGCCGTTTCTCCACACAATCTTGATATTGCCTATGGCCTCAATCGACTCTGTCGGGTTTCCAGCCACAAGTACAAGATCTGCGAGTCGACCCTCCTGGATCAGACCACGGTCCGGGAAGCCAAAACGATCTACAATCTTGGAAGTTGCCGAGACAAGTGCTTCGAGGGGCGTGAAGCCACACCGATTCACATACATCCAAAGCTCATGGTGTACAGAAGCACCAGCACGAGTACCAGGGAGGTCAATAGAGGTATCGGTTCCACTATAATGATGATCAGCATGGATATGAAAATGTTCTCTTCACAATAATCTCACCAGAGAATGTCAATTCCCGCTTTCTTGAGAGTAGATACCTGTTCATACACAGACTTGATAGAGAACTTTTCTGATGTGATGTGGAGACATCCAAGCAGATGTTCCTTTTCTGGGCCTTGTAGGCCACTGGCAAATCTGTCTCGAGTCTCCTGCTCCTCACCACTGGAAGATGCATGAATGACTAGTGTGGGAATGACAAAAGCATTATTCTTCTTAAATGCTTGAATAATCTCCTCGTTGATTGGTTCGATAGATGCATGGGCCAAACCATCGACACCCGCGCGTAGAACATGGAGAGTGGAGTGATTGGTTAGGGCATGGGCAACAGCCAGCATGCCGTTCTCGTGGGATGCATCGACAATCATTTTTTGCATTTCCAGCGATGGGGTTGGGACAGGTCGCTCTGGAAAAGGCAAGGTCATGGTATGGCCATCCTCTTGCATGAGTTTGGTGAAGCTAGTACCATGAGAAGTCAGCTAATGCTAAATCTTTCTTTGTTCAAATTTTCCACCATACGTAGCTCCTGCAGCTCTATTACGAGCAATGTAGTCCTCGATGGACTTTTTGTCTGTGAGATTGGGCCACTTGGAGATGCGATCCTCCAGCTAAAGAGAGTCAGAGAACTGATGTCTTGGCAGAATCGGGGAGTTTCGGACATTTTGTTCTTGTGAAACAAGTCTAACAATGGCAGACGGCCAGCCATTTTTGATTGTCGCGCCATAACAACATGACTTGACATCAGCCACATCGTTACGCTGGTTTGTTATCGCATTGATCTCCTTGAACCATTCGCGCTCGTTGTGCATATCCAGGACCGTCGTAACACCATGCTGAATGGCAGTCTCAAGGAGCTGGACGTCACGGAAAACGTGCACATGGGCATCAATCAAACCAGGCAATAATGTACAACCACTGGCATCGACAACCGCACAGTCTGCGGGCGGCGACAAAGGCTCTCGAAGGGAAATTTGTGAAATACGACCAGACTCAACAAGGACGTGACCGTGCTCTGATATGACTGAGACACCATCAAAAATACGAGCGTTTGATATTAGTGTCACCGACATTGGAATGTGGATAAATCGATGTGAGTTTGAACCTGGAGGACGAGATGGAAGGAAGAAACTTCGATCTTAAGAGAGCGCAGCCTTGTCCGTTGACAAACAAATACTCAGTTGCAGCTGAAATAAATCCCCACCCCCTCATAACTCATGATGTCTGGGCAAAGTAGCACTAGTAATGCCCAATAGCAGGGAATTTAGGTGGTCATTTCCTAATGCGGAGCCACTTTAGGCATAAGCCCCACAACCCACGTCAACGACCACCTATCCACTTTCTCCGGAACGAGTGACCGCACTGGCGGGGAGTCGGCGGGATCGGTCTATGTTTCCCGACAGTTCCGATGAAGCCGAGAACCCAAAGGGTCTGTCTATATAAGGAATGGAGTCGCTATTGAGGCTTCATGAGATGAACCTGCAAATATTGCTGTAAATCTTAAGAAGTTTGAGAGACAGAGAGAATGATGGAGAAGATTGACACACATTGTCATATCGTCCCTCCGGGCTGGAGAAAATGGTGTGAAGAGCTTGGCTGGGGGACGCCCGATGGCATGCCATGTATCCCAGTATGTCTTGATTTTTCCCTCCATGCTTATTTCGACCGAAGTACTAACGTAACATTGTAGGAATGGTCTCCAGAAGGCCATATTGCGCTGATGGATAAACTCGGCATCAAGAGATCCATACTGAGTATTACCTCGCCTGGTACCCATCTCAAAGTAGGCGACTTCGAACTCGCGAAGCGAATCACCTTCGAGACTAACGAGGAAATTGCCGGGATCTGTCGCCAATTTCCCGGTAGATTTGGCTGGTTTGCATCCCTTCCCCTGCCCAATGTGGAAGGGTCTCTCGAGGAAATCGACCATGCGTTGGAACTTGGTGCCTCGGGATTCGCCGTTATGACCAACGCTCAAGGCTACTATATGGGTGATCCACGTTTCGACCAAGTCTTCAAGAAGATGAACGATCATAAAGCCGTCATTTTCATGCATCCGACCCAATGTTGCTCTCTTGACAATCCAGATGCTGATAAACCTTTGGCACAGTACCCGACACCAATGATGGAGTACTTTTTCGACACTACTCGTGCCGTGGTCAATCTACTTCTTTCGGGTACGGTGACTCGCTTCGAGGGCTTGACTTTTTTGGTTTCTCACTGCGGTGCCACCTTGCCTCCTCTTGTGGAAAGATTTACTGCTTTCTCGACCAGGATGCTTCAAGGATGTGAGAAATTGACCAGCGAGCGAGTCAAGGAATTATTCACCACCCGATTCTTTTTCGACTTGGCTGGCATGCCGTTCCCAGATCTCATTCATGGTTACTTAAGAGTAGGCCAGGCAGATCGCTTACTTTACGGTAGTGACTACCCCTACACCCCGGGGCCAGTTGTCGAGGGGTTAAGCCACGTTATGGATACTCAGTTTAAGGAGATGTTTGAAGAGGCACAGATTCAGAAGATCTTTTCTGGAAATGCAAAGTCGCTTGGGCTATGATCGTCTCTGGAATTTCAAGACGATGGAAGCAAGCTTTTTCAGAGGACGGTGGTGAAATAGTCCTAAGATCTGCATATGTACTGGATGATGTCCGATAACGTTTGGCCCTCCCCTACTGTGCTCACGGGCTCTGAGACTTACTCCGTTATGGTATGCCGCCTGCGAAAATCTATCTTTCCACCAAATTCAAGTGTTGGGCACTCCTGATATCTGCAGAATCCTATCACTGGCGAAAACCACCGAAAAAAAAATCATTCTCTCATCTTCTCGCCAACCAATGATCTAGGGCGAAATATAGTTGTTGAGAGAAAACTACGCAGTGCGCTATCTAAGTTTTCCCTTGCTTTAGTCCACCTCTTTCACAATCTTCTTATCCATGTTCCGCCATATCAAGCTTGCAAAAGGAAAGTGGCTTCTACATATTTCTTGAATTGAGTCCCAGGAATCACTTTCAGCGTTGTAATTTCGGTCCAGGACTCCTTTACTTTAAAACAGGTACTGCTGTAGCCAGCGATCAATGGAGACTAGCGGGAATATGAGCCATGTTGCTGTGGAAAAGGAAAACCGCCAAAAAGGCCAAGAGAAAGGAACACCACACAATTAAAAATCGAGATAAGTATTGATGTATTACGCACACATTAATTTAAAATAGGGATCTGAACAACATCCATCTTCCATCTTATTGCCCGCGCTCACACCTCCGTCCTTTTCCTTCGAACATATAACGCTGGATAGACAAAGAAAGCAGTCGAGACTGTCATGGAAAGGCTTGCAAATAACTGTGCTCTCCACCAATGATTGTATCCATCGCCAGTCTCGATCAGTGCCCCCGCAATAGGGCTGCCAATTAACATACCGACCCCCACCGCAGTCCAAAGCATCCCTGTGCGAGTCCCCACCAGCCTCAAGGTTGGTGTGACTCGCGGTACAATGGCTCCGGGTAAGGCAACGATCGCACTGGAAATGAAGCCCCAAGCAATGCTCCAGACGATCACCCCAGCAGGTGACGACACGGCAAACCAGCAGAAGAGGAGCACAGTACTACTTGCAATTGCAAGTGCGCACGTCTCCACGGGGCCAATAGCAGTTGCAACAAATCCACATAAGAGACGCCCAAATACAGAAGCCCCATTTGCAATAGATACGAGATAGAACGCGACACTCGTATATTGAATATGGGCCGCTGTTGTACCGTAAAGTGGAAGGTATAGCATCGGAAGATAGAATACCATTGCACTAAAGACAGCGCCACATAGAATGGAGATAAAGGGCATATCTTTGAATGCAGATGCATCTATCCAACTTCGGATAAGACCATTCCTGTTCGGCTTATAAACATACAAGACCGGACTGGCCAAGAGGAACAAAGTAAGCATGATGAAGGCGATGGCGCGAATTGCCCAGCGAAAGCCGATGCTTGTTACAAGCTGTCTGAAAATTATCGGATATACAATACCACCTGAATAAAGAGTAAATGTGGATATTAGCATGATTGCTCAGATATGTGAGAGGAATGGTCAATATGGAAAAGGAGGGCATACCAATTCCCGTGGTGGAAGAGGCGAGACCAATAACCTTCGCTCGTCGAGCATCATCTAAGGACACAGCGACGGCGGATAGACTTGGTACAAATATCATTCCCGATCCAAGGCCGATGCAAATGCCCTGTGACAAAAGCACCTGGTAGTACTCCGTACTAAGACTAAGCATCATGACACCGAATACCTCTAAGAGGCTGCCAGCCACCAGTAACGGGCGAAGGTAGCCGTTGTCAAATAAAGGGCCAGTCACAAGTCCACTGGCTAGGAGAATGAATGCAGATATTGTCGATATCCATGCCAATTGTGATGTGGACTTTTGCGGGAGGAGCTGTTCTTCGTAAAATGTCTGGAAGACTCCGAAAGCAAGAAGCAAACCCCTAAAGAATTTCCAGGTCAGTGATTCCGCGCAGTTTTGGCTCCACTATTATGAAAAGAAAGGAAATACTACCACGTGTTGAAAAAACAAACAGATGCAGCAAATATCTGCCACCACTGGCTTCCAGTCAATGGAGAAGGTCCCGGCAAAAGAACTTCCTCGTCATGCTTCGACATATTCTCAGGACTGGAAGCGACATGTGGAATGTTCAATTCACGAGTGAGTTCTATATTTTGGGCCATTGGGATGAAGAAATTATGACACTATTGAAAAGCTAAATCTCCTTGGAAGTGGGATCTTTATATGTTTATAGATTGCTCTCTACATTGAACCTTCTGTCTCCTTTTTGTTGGACTCAAACCCGAGCGTTTTGAAAAGTCTATTTTTGGGTCATAATCATGAGAATTCTTTTGCTATATACTGTAGCCTATCTTACATTTAGGAGATAGCTGAGATCTGCGGAAGTATGAAGTTTTTTTCGAGCTGACTTGATCGACAGACTGCATCTTGCAAATCATTACCTCATTTGTATCGATTTGCGAAGGCGTATGCCCAAAATGTCTAGGTATCGTCACATTTGAACCTGATACCTCTGTCAGGAATCGATGGGGGGAGGGAGAGAGAGAGGAGCAGAGTCCGCAGTCAGAATTGAATTTGCATTGATTTGCTCTGGAAAGCTGAAATTCTGGAACTTAGGCTGCACAGCGTCTAACTTGTCCACTTATATACAATATCCAAATAAGCATCATGCCGTTGGAAAGCATGAAAATTCAGAATTTTTGCCCCAATGAAGTGAAATCATAAGCGTTGAGGTAGAGTACCTTGGTATCCTTCTACGCGAGGCCAATAGTCATCTAGCTACTGCGAATCTGAGTCTCTTTAGTCAAATTCCTTTCTACAACTTAGGTTCTTGACTTGTCCAAATTCTTTTGGTAATATTTGTCTTTTCGTCTAATTCCCGCAAGAACCATTAAAGTGTGACAGAGGTACGGGTCGTGGTGAGGGGTCATGAATTTTAGCATTCTGGCGTTCTTGCAAAGCAGAGGTAGGGGAAGAAGACACATATTGACCATTTTCAATCCATAGGTGTCTATTGGGGATAAAACTGGGATGACGCCTCGTAAACCGATTCGTATTCCGTATACTACAGATGGAAAAAATGAAAAAAGAAATGGGCACGCTAAACCTAAAGTAAGCCAATTTGCGAAGGTGGTAGCATTAGAGTGCGGCTGAACGTGGCTGAGGATAAGCTTCTTTACCTTCACACTTATCAGTATAGACCAGAAGTATTGTGCAAATACGCGTTTATTACTTATTGAAGTAATGACTGGGCTTCTCCCCATAGTATCCTTGAAACAGTCATGGTTGGAGCATTACTGAGCAAATGGTTCGAGACGTGTAAAGAAGGCAATAAAACTTGGTACCAAGGCCCCGGGACCAATTATGGGTGGATTGCATTTACTGTGACGGAGCTTGGCCAATACGCGGGGCGTGTGAATGCAGTAATCAGGCTTTTTCCTTCGCGCACTTCATTGAAAGTAATCGACCTCAGATTCCAATTCCAGATGGCTGCAATGGGACCCAATGATAGAATGAAGCGGCTGTATGAACACGCAATGGAGCACTCAGATAGTGATTTATCACGTGGGAGAAATTTCTATTAGTATGCCGGTCCTAATCACTGTTGTGTCGGTTCTAGGGCTGCAAATCAGGGATTCTTGATTGTGTTTACAAGTACTTAGGGATTCGCTTTACCATATGCCTTGTCTTCGGGGTCATTTGTAAGCATTCTAGAATGTAATATTAGGGATGATTTCCTCCAATACGCAATATCTAAGAGGTGATAATCCTCTACCCATTATGTTCGAACGAGAGACGGTGGCAACGATAGTAATATCTCACTACACCATTTTAGCGTTGTCATTGCCGAATCTTGATACATTAGTCTACATCGACTCCCGAGGAGAGGCTGAAGCTTAAATCTTATATCCTTTCCTAGTGTTCCGACGGGTGTGAATGCCCGATGAATATAGTAGACTTCATAGACGGGAGGGGCTACCAGCTACGCAGGTCGCGCTGATATCCACATTCGAGAGAGTACAGGATCAAACATAAAGCAGAAGATTCTCGATTCACTGAATAATGTCGCCAGTTGGAAACTGGGGAAGGGTGTAATGCTGGAGGATAATGGGGCGTTATACACCGCGCGATCACTGATAAAAATGCCTTTACCTGTGCATGGAAGACAAAAAGGACTCGGTATCCATGTCTTTGTCTTTCGGGTGTAAATCCCCGTTAACTGCTTGCCTTTTGGGCTTCCCATTTCTTATACATATCATTAATATGACCCTGGTAAGATTTCTCGATGTCCTTTCTCAGAATTGTCATTTTCAAAGTGCGCTTGAATGGCAACGCTGGGTCGGTCAGCATGACCATTTCCCGTGGAATTTGAATTGCTTCATCATCCTTTTGGTTGATATTGCAGATCACAAGCCCGTATATCTCGTCAATGAATTTCCTCGGGTCAATTATCGTACTGCGGTCATGTGGCTCAATGATAATGTATGGCACATCGTGACCTTCACCTCCCACAAGTGCCGACTTGACCTGATCGTGCTTGGCAATTGCGTTTTCGATATGGGTCGCATGGAACTTTGCAAGCCATACGAGTTTCACCAGATCATCCTTTCGACCTTGGAAAATCCACCTTTTTGAGCCGTATTGATCAATAGCAGATGAGTAAAGCTCTGAAGTCGTGGTGGTGTTGAGGTTCGGCAGGGTGTGAAAGATACCCTGAAACATGTCACTCTCAGGACTGCGATCAATGTGCAGCTCAAATAGATCATCACCAACAGGCTCAAACCGAGGCCCTGTTTCTGGGATAAACTCAAAGCTATTCCACATTCTGGTATCTTCGGTTTCAAAAGAGATTTGAAGTCCACGCTCAGTTGATCCGATAGCCGGGACTAGGTGAGTGAAGGGTGCCAGCGCGTCGCCAACCGATTGACTTAGGCCGGCGCCAACCCAAAGAATATAGGTGAAACTCTTCAAAAGTTCCAGCCCAGCCTGATCCCTGGAAAGCTCCTCAATCAAAGATGGAGGCGTGATTAGGCCCTGGATACCTGTACGCTTGCAAATTTGGATTATCAACTCCGGATTCACGGTTGCGCCAGGAGGAAGCATAACTGTCGTCAATCCGACGAAGGCTGCAGCGTTGAGGCTAAATGCAAAGCCAGCTGCCCATTGGGGAGGGCAGGCTGTGAGCGACACTGTGTTGACCATATGACGGTAACTGAGCTTTCGCGGATGATGCCGCGACAGAGCGGGTGTCCAATCCAAAGTTGACATCCATCCGTTTCGAAGGTAAATTGGCTTTGGAAGGCCTGTCGCACGGCGTATAAGCAGAAGCCCACTTTGCTGATACCACATCGAATTAATGGGTCGTACCTGTCATGCCCGACGTATGGATTATACAAACAATGTCATCTTTGGCTTGTTCCCACCCCTTTTCATAAGGGTACTGGTGAACGTCACCATTTTCCTGTGAGATGAGATCGTCTAGAGATGGTATGTAATAGGACTTCAGCCCTTCTGCAGGGCTGAATTCTTCAACCGTAGTAATCCAAGCAGTGCAATTGATCTCTCTCAGTATCGATCTTAACCCATCGGTTGTGATTCGCCCATCAGGTATAAACATCTTTATACATGTTAGTCAAGAGTTGACGAGCTGATAGTTTTATGAATAAAAAGCCGGGCGATTAAAAGGGGGTATGCCCTACCGTTCGTTCTGAGATAGTTGCAGCGACCATAAGGATATAATATCTCGCATCGTTTGGTCCGCAGTATGCAAAGGTTTGTCGACCTGAGCAGTTCCGGGGTATGTTTTTGTCTAACCAGAAAGCCATCTTGCTGACTGCATTGGAAAACTGCATCCATGTGATGGTATTGTAGCCATGCTCCTTCCAGTTTATTGACTTAGCATACAGTAACCAAGCACTATCAGGGGTATCACTGGACTTGGTCCTGATAGCGTCGACAAGCAATCTTGGTTGGGACATGTCACTGAAAATGATAAATCGAATGGAAAGCTTCGAGAGTTGTAGCCCTCTGTACACAATAGACGATGGAAATTTAAAAGGTAAATTGTTTGAGATACTAGAGGATTATATGGACAAGAGGAGTAAGGGATCATAAGCCAAAGCGCACAGATTCGCAAATACACACTCTTTGCGTTAGCTCTACAATTTATCTCTTTATCTCAGCCCCGTTGAGCTACATTAGCAGTTCCGGGAACGGCAAAGAGTTCCTTGGCTCCTCGAAAATCAAGATAAACGCTGAGGGCTAAGGTCCAGGGAATGTATACGATGGGGCTGTTCACTTCCGAGATTGCGTTTTGAGACGACGGTTTGAGCTGGAAAGCAGCCGAGCTATACTTATTTTGGGTGGAAATGCGAGAAGTATCAAAGACTCTGATGGAAATTCGTCATTAATATCGCTTCAAGTCTTAAAGGATGTTGTCTCTCCGGTATTCTCTAATATTGCTGGGGCAGTCAAAATCGATGCCCTGGCTTGAATTTTTATACATGGAAGTAGTGGTTGGCTGACAATGGTGAGACTGGGTAGTTATTACTGCCTACGCACTGGTTATTGAACCCTGCCAAAATCTGTCTATCGGCAGTTATTCAAAAGGTATGTGTAGATTAGCTTTTTTGGACGTCAGAAGATAGGGGCTCTACGAAAGAGAGCGAGGATTGAATAAGCAGTTGATTATCGGAGAACAGAAGGTGAAAGCTACCTAAAAAGCTATACTACAAGGGTCAAGAGCCTTAGGACCCACACCTGGTCTCAATAATAATAATTAAAAACAAAATGGCCAAAAACACTTCCATCCTGGTCGATGTCTGTACTCGAGGGTGTGTATATGATCATGTCCAAGGTAGACTCTCGACGCGCTTCAGACACAACGAAGGTTCTCACGTTATCAGGAATCGATTTCGAGAGAATAAGTGCCTGGAACGTTGCAGACAGTATTTCCGGAACCATCACTAGCGGGGAAGCAGCCTGGCGTGTTATCGCTGGTGGGGATGGTTGTACAACTTTCGCTGCCGCACGCTTTCCACTGGTGGGGTTCTCCTCCCGCTGGCCAAATGAGGCATTGTGTTTGTCCGACATAGTATGAAAAGCCCAATATCCCACCAGGTGCAGGGGGAAGGTCATATGTTGTCACTTGGCCACCGCTTTGGCAGCCGGAGCTGGTGCAGCCTAAACTGCAGGTGGTAACTTTGTAGGCAAAGACGCCAGGCCCCATACCCACAATAACAGCTAGGAGGGCGAGGCATCGCACTGCGCCTGAACGTGTTCCGTGTTTAGAAAGCATCGGAGAGGCCTTAAGGCTTTTATGCGACTCTTGTTTAGGGTAGAAATCTTCTGAGGTAGGAATGGATTGTTGAAAGATATGAAGTGTGCAAGGGATTCGCACTGCACTTTATAGCGTGCCCCGAAGACTACTCTCTCACTATATCCTAAAATTAAAAACCTAGGTGGCGATACCCTGTCGATCAGTTTGATATTTTGCTGACCAATTATCTCGGTAATTCGAGACACAGATGCTTCGTGAAACACAGACTGGTCCTATTCTCGTTGGCCGGTTGAGACTCACTTTTTCACGCTGGACCTAATGAAAGTCGAGAACTCTCCGGAACTTCGTTTCGGGCAACGAATCGTTGACTGTTTTAGTTCGCTATGCGAATTCACAGGGTATACACAAGTTTAACGAAAGGTTTGGGGAGCCCGAAAATTGGGTCATATTCCGAGACTACCATTACGAGCACCTGATGTTCTAAAGCTATGAAGCTGGGTCCTTGTTCTAGATTCGGCTCTATTTGCGAGAATTTCGGTCTTTCTGAGACGGTATATTTTCGCTGGAGGACTAGTTTGTCCTAATTGACTATGATCTACGGGAAAGATAAGTAAATCTTCGAGAACACGCAGCTGAGAGCTGAAAGGTCGCGGCCGTTGAGATAGCCCTGCGCTTTGACTATTGCAACAGGCTGGCTTTGTGCAGATAGTGCCGCCGTCATACTCCATAGTAGCGTAGATCGCATCCTTTCGACTACGATAGACAGGGTCCATACGTCCTTTCCCGAAACGTTTTGTATACACAATCACGTTAGCACTGAACTTAAATTTTTTTCACTAAACCAGATGGATAACAGTTTGCGAATAGCGGTTCGGATACGGCTGAAGTAAAACTCAAGTAAGCTGCGGCTGAGTGAGACGACTTGGCATTCCTGTGTTTCAGGTCACGTGGAGATATACCACCTTAGTTTAGCTTCTAGTCCAGTTTGAGGCCATTTTGCGACAAATTCTAAGTTGGATCGACAGATGTCAGATTGACAAGTTGAAGTGGATCTTTAATGAAAATAGTCTACAGAGCCTAATAAATGAGATTTTGCGAGCATACAGGCTGTGCAGCCCTATTCTCCAATAGATAACGATATCGGCTTTTTAAAAGCAATGTTTGGTAAGCTTTATGCTCAGTAGATTTGAAACTATGTTCTCCACATTCAGCCAAACTCTACCGATCCACTTTCGGTCTTCTTTTTGCTGAGATGAATTTTGCTGCGAAATTATGCTGTAATACCGTCAGACCATCGTATCTATATGTTCGTTTGGTTGTGGTGTTGTTGTGGTGTTGTGGTCTCCCCAAGTTCGACACTGGAAAGACAGTAAGAGCACAAAGTAGGAGGCTATTCAAGAGTTGAACTTGGTTGACATTCCAGTAAGGATATATAAATAAGCAAGTCCCTCGGTAGGTATTCATTTCCCACAGCATTTTGGATCATACTCTACCACGGATTTTAGTATCCATCTACAACTCGCCTCAACCTCAGCCGACATGTCGTCCTTCAAAGTGTTTTCCATCTGGCTCCTAAGCATAGGTGCCTTGGCATATGATGGGCATAAGGTACTGTTTCCTTTCGCCAGTGTGGAATATAATAATGAACGGGGTTCTTTAGCGACGGGACTCTTGTCCTTCCGGATCTCAGATGATCACCCAAATTACTCTTGGTCGAACGTACGAAGTCTGCTGCCCAGGCACACCTGAAAGCATTGGGGACACCCAATACTGCTGTGTAAGCGGTGATAGCCAACAAAGCAAGAGAGACATCTGTTTCCCTTATTGTTATCATAGTGATGACAGTACAACGTCGACAACTTCGTGCGTCACCAAAGTTCCTGTCACCGCGGCGGATTTTTCGGACCTTGTGTCCAGTGCCACAGCGACTGCAGCAACTGCCCCTGCAGCGGGTACTACTATATCCGAGTCGAAGCCCTCTAGTAACGCTGGATCACCACAAATGGGGACCATTGCTCCGGCTATGGTAGAATTCGCTCTAGCCCCCTTTTTCAGTTTTATTATGCTCTCCTTATAGTTAATCGTGGGGTTGGTTGAAGGGACAAATGGTTATCTCATTCTAGCTGTACGCTGTTTCTCACATCGGGCAATGGAACCATGCAAGCGTTCAATAAAAATACTGCCATAACAAACAGACAAAATGTCTTTGCATTTGTTTTCTACCATTCAAGAGCTCTTAGGGTAGTTGGAAATAAACACACGAATAGGTAAGCAATTTAATGCTCGCTGACTTCGTGAGCAAACATTCAATTATATAATTCTGCTTTCAAAACTGAAAGCAGAGATAATCCGTTCATATACATAGCATGCACATCGGGAATTATGTGACTCTCGTATATCGAGACGTTTGACGATTGCCAAGATTGTCACTCCCTCTTTGCATCAAGCCTTCTCGTTCGGAAGATCTGTCGCCTCCACATGCTTGTTCGCACTGTCGATTGCATCGTCGGAGGCGGTCTTAGACTCATCGACACCCGAGTCCTCTCCAAGAAGTGCCAGTAGACCAATTTCTCGCTCGATACGACGCTTTCGGTCTCCATCAGCAGCAGCCATACCCGTAACACCAAACAGTTCGTCCATCTCCTCGAGAGTGCGACCTTTGGTCTCAGGTACGAAGAAGTAGACCCAGACGGCGCCGATGAGAGTGATGACACCGAAGAAGATGAAAGCACCGAATTGAGTCTTGGAGATGAATGGCGAGGTAGCCATTCCAACAGCAAAGTTGTTCAGCTTGTGATAGATGTTAGCATTAAAGCCGATGCCATGAGGTCGCGTTGTATAACTTACCCAGTTACTGCTGCCACCAAGAGCTACACCCTTGGCACGCATAGAGAGTGGGAACACCTCTGACACAACAATCCAAGCCACTGGACCCCACGAGTAACCGAAGTTGATGCAGTAAATCCAAACAAAGACAACTCCAGCCCACGCAGCAGACTTGTGGGAGGCAAAGTCATCCTTGAAAGCTCCAATAATACCAGCAACAATAAAGTGGCAAGATGCCATGCCAATAGCACCTGCGATCAAAATACTCTTTCTTCCAAACTTATCCACCCAAAGGACCGCGGGAATCGTGAAGACAAACTCCATGATACCTACAACACCGGTCGCAAGAAGGTCGATGGTGTTTCCCGTCAGTCCAATGCCCTTGAAAATGAATGGACTATACATCTATCAGCATTTATTCGGCCAGCAGTCAAAATAAAACCCACGCGTAATAATTTATAGCGTTGATACCATTCCACTGTTGGAAAACCATGATCAAGCACTAATTTAGACCACGAGTGTTAGTATTCGTCAATGACAGGCTCGTCGAGGTACTTACTGCAACTGTCGAACGTTTGAATAAGGACGGATTGGTGACAAGCGACTTGTAGTCGTTGATAAGGATCATGAGTCTACTCTTTCGAGAGCCATCTTGATACTGCGGATACTTGGCGGCGGAAGTTTCCTTCTCGAACATGTGCATAGCCTTGACTTCCAGGAACTCGATGCGCACCACCATATCATCTGTGGATTTATTGCGCAGCCAGGCCAATACTTCCAAGCATTCCTCTTCGCGGCCAGTGTTCATCAAGTGACGAGGTGATTGAGGCATGAAGACGGTCATGCCAATTCCCAGAATGATAGCCGGGGCCAGCTGGATGCAGACAGGAACCAGCCAAGCAGCCCTTGATTGCGTATCTCCAGTTCCGCCAATGAAGTTGCAACCATAGCCAACCCAGAAACTGACCATGATACCGAAGGTAATAGCCAACTGTTGAACAGCGACAAGGGATCCACGAATTTCAGGGGGAGCCTAGACATTTTGTCAGCCCAAACATCAAGTGCTGTGTGGCAGGATTTGGCAATTGAGACATACCAGCTCAGCATTGTACAAGGGCACAATCATACTCAAACTACCAATACCAAGGCCAGTCACGAATCGACCGCCCAGGACATAGCTGACAGCTTTGGTGTTCGCCTGGACTATGACACCCACACAGAAGACAACAACGGCGAGAACAGTTGTGTGACGGCGACCGATCGCGTCGGCAAGCCATCCGTTTAGCAGAGTGCCAACCCATGCTCCGAGTTCAAGAATGGCAGTGGTAATGGCTTGTTTAGTGCCCGTCTCGGCGGCATAGCCTTTGATCTAGGTGGCTTGGTTAGCGACGCCACAGGCGGAACTCAATTATTTGTGGGCTTGCAGTGTTTACTCACCTCCTTTTGGAATGAATTCATTGTCAGGATGGACGAGAACATTCCTTGATTATCTGTAGCAAGTCAGCACCAAGGAAGCGCTTTCCAAATTCTGAAACACCGCAATACTGATAACTCACAGCCATACACCAGACCACCTAAGGATGCGAACAGTGCGATCGCAAATGTCCTTTTATTACTGACAAGTCCTTTGAAGCCAGGCTCGCCGGCAAACTGCCGGCGCTTGGCAGACAACTCATGGGCAACACCGCTAGGAGCCATCGTAAGAGATTTTTTTCTTCAGGCCTGAAGAAGCTCTCAGTAGGAGAAATTTCAAATCAAGAACTCCTCCCTGCCGACATATAAAGGGGCGTGATGGGCTTATTGGGCGTCCGGGTAAGCCGCCATGTGCCGAGCGAGTGGCGGGTAACAAGACATCTCCGAATTGCTTGCGATACTTGATATTAACCGGACCACTCAAATCTTCCCATGGTCTGAATTGTCCTGGTAGACAACATGCGACGGTGGTATCACGCTTGGGCTGCATTGGTCGCCTCGAAAGACGATCACCCAGCGATTGGCCCCCTTGGGATGCGGCCCCGCCCAGGCTTACGCGGGGAAGCATAGATGCCGGGTTCCGTTGGCTTTTTGCCTTAATTGCTTCTCCCGGAGTTTTTACGGGCATCTTCCCCGGACTGTATTGTGTACGGAGCATGTTGCCGGGAATTTTGGGGCTGATAGAACGATTGAAAATGAAGCGGAACCTTCCATGGTGGCGTTTTGAGCAGCGTACTGATTCAACTGAATACTCTCTATTAGATTTGAAAACAGGCTAAGGCACCTTCGCTGGGTGTATAAGAGCACAACCAAAATAAGTCTGGCCCTAACCATTTAGCCTATTTGTCCACAACATATCATACAATTGATCAGCAATGGAAGAATGCTCGTGGTCTCCATAGGAGTGGAGAACTCGGTTCTTTCTCCATGAGCTTGACTGGGACTAATCGTGAGCAAGCTCACAAATCAGTGCATCCTGACGAACACACAGCAGCAGCTCGAAAATCTGTGTTCTGAGACCAGGATAACAGTCAAACCAGGCATGATATTCTTCAACTTCATCCCTTCCAATGAATTCTTTTATGTCTATATTTAAATTTGTCCTCCTTGGCTACTCGGGCACTATCCTAAGTCTACCTATTAAGCTCGATTCACCAAGATTATTTACAAGTGTTGTCGGGCGTTCGAATCTATAGACTTGATTGCATATATTTTTGCATCAATGATCTCCCAGTTGTAGATACTTCTATGTGCGACTAACACCACCACGCCGTATCTGATTGGCCTCCGTGAGAGTCATAGCCTCATTGTCGGCTTCATAGCACTCATATCTTCGGAGATTCTGCAACGGCTTCCCACCCCAAAGGCCAATTCGGTTGATCGGAATGAGCGCATTTTCCGCAACAGGACCCACATCCCTAATCACACCAGGAATTTCGTCCAGCTCTTTGATATCTTCTGTCTTATGCGTTATAAGCATCGGGAAGATCCCCTCGCCAACTGCGGCGCCGATACGAAGCATGGCAAATGAGTCGAGTCGATGTGTCCATCGCGGAGCCCGACTTCCATACCAGGCAAGTGCAAGTAAGAGCACGAGATATGGCCCCAGGAAAATGCTGACCACGATCACACCGGCCAAACTGATGTCGGGAATTTCCATCTCAAGCCCAGGATCCTGGTAAATTGCGAAGGTCGGCTGCATTGATTCGACCCACTGCTTGTTCGAAAGGAAAGCGGCGGTAGTGAAAATATTTGGAAAATTCCCTGCCGACCTATACATGAGATAGAGCCAATTTGCAACAAAATAGTGGGCATTGTTGTAGTAGTATGAGTCGGTATTGGTGTAAATCGATACACAAGTATCTTGTGGTGAGAAATACGCCCGACTGGAGTAGAACAGGTTCATCAGAGGCGCAAGTTCAACGCAAACGGTCTCACTGTAGCTATAATCAATATCCTCATCCTGTAGGCTGCTTTGGATAACGTTCAGCGAAGCAAAAAAGGTGTCCAGGAAGGAACCTGGTCCAAAGAGGGCGAGTGCCGTGGTTAGGAGAGGCCCTTTATTGCCGATATACAGTGACGACCACGGAACATTTTGAGAGATGTAGTTTGTTGCATTTCCAATGATGGTCTCGTTGGTATCATCACGACGAACGCGGTTGTGATATGCATAAGAGTTGATCTGTTGCATACACGTCGTATCACAAGTGGAAGTCGGGTCACTTTCGAGCAAAGCTCCAGGTGTGCCATTGTTCATGAAATTGGGCAGCTCAAAATAACCTGCCGTCGTCCGAAGATTGATCTCATACAATGCGCCGCTACCAGGTATCTGATCTGAACCAGGGGTTGGATCTTGGACAGAGATATTGAGATAGAGGGATTCGAAGAATTCTTGATGGTTCCGGGTTTGTGCCCAGGGCGACTTCGTCGTAACGTTAGGCATACAAGCGGTAATAGCCCAGATTTCGTTGCCGAATTGGTTCCCAATAAGGGATGAATAATTGGCGAAAAATCCGGAAGATTCCGGGTTACACCCAGACGGGAACTCGTCAGCTTGTATGGATCTGGAAGTGGCACTCGAATTGATGCGCATGGCGAACTGCTGCAGAACGCCAGTATGGAAACCGTTAGGTACAGGGGCGTAGAACGGATCAGTCAATGCAGAGAAATTCTGGAAATTTGATAGTTGTTGGCCTGGGATTCTTTGCCACAGCTGTGGCTGGAATGTATGCAAGTCCGCATTGAGAAAGGCGGCGCGAGTCCTGACAACGTCACTGCCAGCGGTAGAATCGTAGTAAGATGACTGCTTGACAAGGTCACCGACCGAGCCCATGTCATTGGTGGAAATCGGCACGTGGATAGTCTTGGGGTTGACAACAATAGACTGAATCGGGTAGATTATGGCCCCAAGGAAGTGAAGGGTTATTGCTAGAAGTAGAAGATGGCTTCCATTTCGTTTCCAAGTACCACTGATCACATCAGACAACAATGAAAAATCCAGCCATCGGCGATCTGCAAGAGCCATGACTTGTCGCATAGTCAAGCCCATGCTATCCTTTTGATTCTGCATGAAGGTAACCGCAGCGTGGGCACATACAGCCGATGTCCATGGCAAAATGATCACACTGAGAATTGACTGAATCACTCTGGCCGAGCGATATAGCCTGGCATCGAGACCCCAATTAAAATGCTGGTCATATCTCTGTGTAATGCCGGTATTTTCTTTCCACGAGCGAGTGCTGATAGGGCGAAATGAGAGAATGGCAAGGATAACCCAAGAATAAACAGCTAGGGCCGCAAAGAGAAATGTGAGGAACGCAATGAAACCAGAGCGATGGAGGGTTGTGCTGTAACCGAGTCCTAGTGACTGATTTCGTGGGGGTGCCCGCGAGTATGCTGGGAGATCAGCATGCTGGTCATTCTCTGAAGTCAAATCATCGGGTAGATGACGAGAGGAGTGCCTCGACGTCTCGTCTTGGGTGCTTCGCTCCGGATCTGAGCCCGTTGTAGGCCTTGAAAGCGACCTCAAATGGATCGCACTGTCGTTTTCCGCCATCGAATGTCTGAACATGGATTTCTAGAAGGGAGATCATCAAAAGGGGCAGCGAGGCTCACTATATTTAAAATGAGCCCACTGCAAGCCCGGTTGTCGGCATCTTGCAGTAATAAGAGGTGGACGCCTAATGGTCAACGTTGTGCTAATAACGATTTGGCCCTCATGGGGCTGAAAGGGAAAATCAACTAGACACAAGCGCCTCAGGAACTTGGCCAGTAAAAATGCTCGTCAAAGGCTACCGGGGCGCTACTTTCGAAGCCACAACATCTGGGGAGGTCTGTGCCAGAAAACTAGGGCCAGAGATTGGGGCGCAGTCTGGGGCCACGCACTAGGGCCGACGTTTCAGTCTCCGGAATCGCTAAGCGATACATGAATGATCTTGTGGTCTGGCTTGACAATAAAAGGATCCATAGGTATAGAATAATCCGGGCTTTAATCAATCAAAAAGAAAACGTTCGGGAGTTGATGTTGTTAGAAAACCTCTTTCAGTCTGGCTGATACTACCAGAACATCACATCAAGAGCCTCCTCCAATTCAGGATTATATTAACGACACTACAAAACCGACAATGGCACTAGTATTAATCTCCAATTTAACGTTCGGTCCGAGGTAGATCTATAGATCACTGCTGACGGGGGTTTATCTTGAATTTTGACGTCTAGGTCCTGCTTTACTCGACACTTTGACAATTATCCAGAATGCTTCATCATTGTGCATGGAAAGGAGTTTAGTTTTAAGTAGTAATATAGTGGGCAGCACGTCACAGTCCATACCGTCAAGGAAATATGAACAGCAGTTCAAGGGTGAACCTGATTGACTACATATCATTTTCATTGAGCCACCTCATAACGCCAACCTATCCCCAGCAACCCTCGATCTGAGGGTAAGTCCAACCAAATCAATTCTGCAATAAAGATCCCCGAATAGCCCCATCATTGCTGATCTCCAACAGCACTATCTTGAACGGTAGCTTTAAGGGGACGAAGCAGCGCACTGAACAAAAGCCGCGGACAATGATGACTTCAAGAGACAGACTTCAAGTTTGCATAGACACAAACATGAATCAGTTCTAGCGAAAATAGTAGAAAAGGAAAATGGTAAATAAGGCGCAAAGAGCGAGACATCGTTCTGGCGAACCTTTTGTGGCCGCATTGATTAGCATGGGTTGTCGTCCGATCCGGATCTCCGAATGGTCTCCAACACGGTCGGCGTATCTGCACAGACGTGATCTGTTGCAACCGGGTCCACAATCCAGGGAGCCCAGTCTCGCTTTGAGGAGGATTCTTGAAGGTCTGGTCCTGCCGAGGGAATTTGATGGCTAGAGGCCTCGTCTGCGAACTCTGTAGCGCCATTATCGACGGACATCTTGTTTCGTAAGAAGGAGAATCGAGACCACAGAACCGATCGGTGTAAGCAGCTGGAGGAAGATGCCGGATTTGAAGTATCTCTCAGGATTCGATCGGACTTTTTATGATGCAAAAATTGGCTTATGGAGCATCATAGACTACCCGCGTTCTTATTGCTGCCCCGAATCCTCATTTGATATGTTGGTGTCGCCCGATTAGGCTTAGAAGTCTCAATGTATGAGTCGGAGCCTGGTGATATGGGCCGTTTGACCTCGTGGTAAGGGCCGAAAACATGATATCTTTTCGGAAATTTATCATCGAGGGCTTAATGATAGTCTTCTTTTACATTCAGAAACTTCGATGGATGGCTATGAATAGGGGCATCCGCCTCTCATAGTTAAATCCCATTTCAAACCATGGGATAGCGTTGATAGCTAGAAACCTAAGTCAATACAATGGTATAATTCAAGAAGTGTATATGTTTCATTAAGAAAGCATATATTGTACAGCTTAGTGCGCCGTTATACCAACCCCGTTGGTGAAAAAATGTACAGTTTACGTAGACAAAAAAGTGGAGCCTCGGCGAGTGAAAATGCCAAGGCTTACATTAGCAAGGCTCCTCTTGAATGCAAAGATCAGCCGGATCTTCATCATATTTCATGACAACTTCACCTCTTCGCCTTCATTTCGCTCCTTGCATAATTCTTGCATTTAGTACATACCCATGATCCACCAGACATTTGTTTTATACCTTTAATCCCGATCTTCTTCCTCTTCGTCTTACTCCGGTCTTTCATTGTCCTGCCCACCGAGACCGATTGAAACATGTCCGACGACGACGACTACTACGAATGGGAGGAGGAGTACCTCTTTGAGGATCTCGTACCTGACCTTGTGGTATGTGCATCTCATATTTGTAGAGACGGTGCTATGGCGGTAGAAAGCTGCGGTGCTAACGGCGTGGTGGATATGTGCAGGACGAACTCGCCGCATCCTCATACTACGAAGCAGCCCTTTACGAGGACCCGAAGGCCGACGTGGACGAGTATCTTAGTGACTGGGAATACTATTCGGATGACTACCATGACGATGATCCGACCGTGAAGCAATCAAAACGGGCCTTTACCGCGCCGGATTCACACCGAGCAAAACCTACCACGCGAACGAACCGAGTCTCCCTGCCGCGGTCTTCTCTAGGCCCCGATGTTGCTTCATTTCAAGGGGTAATTTGGCGGACACCAAGTATGGGGGACAACCTAGATGTTGCTGTGCAAATCTATGAGCCAGGAACCGGCGACGAGGTGGCGCTCCTGAAGAACTGGCGTGAGATCTTCAAATCTGCTCAGCCCGCGCTGGACAAATCCCGGCTACGCAAGAGGCGGGCAATGGATACTTCTCCGATGGAACCAGAGTTCGCGGACGACGAATTTCCCTGCGACGACGACGAGGAGGAGGACAGCTACGATGGGATGTCCGATATCCTGTCGACCGACAACACGCCCGGGAAGGACGATACAGGAGATGCATCGAACACTACACCGGAACCAGGACAGTCGCTGCGGGAAGCTCAGAACCAGGTGGATTCGGCGCCCGAGAAGAGAGGCCGCAAGCGAAAGGCCGACGTTCCTCCGGAGGAGCCGAACAAGGACAATCCTGGCGCCGACACAACGCGGGCTCGGGCGAAACGCGTGGCTTCGACAAAGGGGGCTGAGAAGGCGGCAAGATCGGGTACTTCTTCTGGCCCAGTACGGAGATCCGCGAGGCAGAAGAAGTGAATCTGATGAACATTTGGACATGACCTGGCGTTTACTGAACGAAAATGCAATCACTCAGGTCATGACATCTAACGAACTAAATTAATGCATGCCTCACTCACGAGCACATAGGCGATCTCTATCTTCTATAAAGCAGGCATATACGAGTACCCATGCTGGCCTTACAAGTGTTATAGTAGGTGTTTCTCAGGTTAAGACAGCTCTACCGTGTCCGTGAATGAATTAGAGAGACTAAGTTGGCCTATCTAACAGAATGATTATCCGCTTCCCGAGACATGTATAAACTGTTTCCATCTGAGTTAGGTCTGTCTGTATGTAGGACCTAGCCGCAGAGATGTCTCATGGTTGATAGAGCTGGTTCAATTAAGGATGGGAAAGCTACCTATGGTTGGCTTTATATTATACTCGAGATCAAGTAAACAAGTCGACAAAACTCAGTAGATATGGACACCCCTGCTCCGGTAAGATGGTCTTGATTACAGCAAGATTGCCGACAAAAAGAGACCCAAACCCAGCCATCCACCCGGAGCACTTAGTTTGCTTGCGGGGTTGAATGTGGAAGTAGCAGCCCGACTGGAGATGGAGCTAGACGATGCTGAAGTTGGCATCACACTCGAAGGGCTCTCAACTGTAGAAGAAGTCCCCTCCGTAGTCACCGCCATCGTGCTGGGTTCCACGGGCGTGGCGGTAGTCTCAGGCGAAGTCGGGCTAGGAGTAGTCTGCACCTCTGGCTGCGTCATTGCGATAGTCGTAGTCACCGGTACCAGACCGCCAGTAAGCGGGGATACAGCATAAGGGGGATCGAACAGGCCGAATTGACCGCATGCATTGCAAGGCGAGGCCCAAGACTTCACAGGCTCGGGGGCCAAGAGGATAGGGTCACATCGGCCGTTTGGCTTCGCAGTTGCGATTACTGAGGGAGTTTCTGTTTGAGGGCAGTCTGTACCGAGATCATTCAGGGTGAGTTGGCGAGTAGCAGAATTGGTGACATCGATAGTCGAGACTTGGTCTAGGTCGAGTGGGAACACTACGCTGGTGCCGGATGGCCCAGCGCGACCTGCAGTGTTATATCCGTATAGGGTGTCGACGACCATGTACACCGAAGGTGAGGTACTGTGGAACTGAACTTTAGCCCAAGGGAAGCAAAATTGATAGTAGAGAGAGAGATCTTACAAGGTGTAGTTCAGATACGAGTCAACATAAGTGGACGGGTAGATAAGTTCTGGTTTGTTTGTTGGCCAATAGAACAAGTTCACGGTACCGGCAGACCTGAAATAGCGTCAGCAAGATATATTGACGAGTCCATTATCATGAAGCCCGAATACTTACATGCTGCAAGTGGTTGGACATGGATTCGGGGCCACCGTGATTGTCGTGGGCACCGTAATTGTGGTCGAATCAGTGGTTGTGTCCGTAATAGTGTCAGTTTTCGTGTCCGTGGTCGTTAGAATGATAGTTTCAGTGGTCGTATCCGTAGTAGTAGAAGTGCATGTGGTGGTCGACCAATCCGTGGAGACTATCGACAAGAAAATGGTCGTGGTGACAGTCTCATTGAAGCATACCGTCGTTACTGTTGATGAAGAGTCCATGGGCGGCGGCACTCGGACTGTAGTAGCGGTTTGGATTGTGGTATCACTGTAATAGACTGATGAAGGGTCAATCTGCTTGGATGTACAGGTGGTAGATCTGCCTTCTGCTGCATCATGGACCGGGGAGTGTGCATTGTGAATAGCTTCAACATATCAGCCGCGCCCGGAGGACCTTAGATTTGAGTCGATTGCGTACCATGGTCTTGAGAGGCCTCTACAAAATAAAGTAACAGCCCGAGGGCTGCCAATACTCGCAAAGTAGACAGCATAGCGACTGATTTTCCCACAATTGAGTGGACTGTCGTGATGTTTGCAAATAGGTAGTGTAGCTGTTGCAATTGAGCGATATACAGCGGTGGAGAAAGGAGAGTTCGCCTCTGGAGGTGATCATAAACAAAACTAGGAACAGATATGGCGTAAACAACGACCATATAAGTCCAGTACTTGGAAAATCGTCATCTCAATGAGCTACTCGCCTCTCGATGCGGTCATCACGCCCAACACGAACGGAGTTTTGACTTTGAAAGGCAAGGACATGCAGACTACTAGCTAAGAAGAGTAATGATGTTGGGAAGGCCTTACCGTTAAGTTCTATATCGCTTCTAAGGACAAGACCATAAACGAGAATGTTGACGTTGGTTCCTGACCCAAAGGGTGGAGCAGGTTTTGGCCGACCCTCAGCCGGTTTTGGGACCCCGTCCGTGCGAGGGTCTCAACGTGTCAGGGCCGCTGATTGTCGCCAAGCTCCAATTGATAAATGACGATATCCGTGAATCAATTGGCTCTGAGGAAAGTGGATTCGGCAGTGAGGTGCCTGTTCGAATTAATGGCCTGGATCCTCTTGTTTTGCAGGTCCCGGTCGCCACATTAGCCACATGGGCATTTCTACTCCTGTCGTTGATGTATCCTAGATTACTTTGGAATTCTCTATGTGATATTTCAGCTCTTTTACAAAATCATTTGGCTCAAATGCTGTTAAAGTTGGTCTTTGGGATCTGTTGGGCGTTGAGATGCTCGGCCACTGACCTGGATAGACGGTCTCCATCTGCTCTCGTTATCTCGCCCAGCGAATATTTGTATCTGCCCACCAAAGGTTCCAGATTGTTATTTTCGGCCATCTGCTAATTCTTCAGTCTAGTGAGGGAAATGATGGACCTTGGAGCAGCTTTTATCTCCGAGTTGGAACGCCACAGCAATCAGTTCGAGTCCTGGTCTCGACTGCCTCCCCAGAGTCAATGGTCGTCTTGTCAGACTACGGTTGCTCGACATCCGTATTTACCAATGCGCCGTCAGACTGTGCAGTTTCCAGAGGTACACTGTTCAATGCGAACCAGTCTTCTAGCTGGTACGACTTGGGTCTTTTCAGTATCAACGAGAATGGGGTCGGTCTCGAAGTCAACCTCGGGTATTATCAAAGAGCAGACTTTGCTCTTGAAACCCTGAGTGTTGGCCTGGCTGGTCCGACACTAAATAATCAAACTGTCGCTGGAATCGCAACGCCTGAACCTTTTTATCTGTTAATATAAGCCTCAGTCCTCTGCTGTTTCCCTGGTTGGCTGACCCGAGTATCTAGTGGGATCTTTGGCTTGAACCCCCAGCCCGTTAATTTTACTTCTTTGGGGAACTTCTCTTCACCTTCATTCCTTACAACACTAAAGAACCAAGGAAAAATTCCAAGCCTCAGCTGGAGCTACACGGCTGGTGCTCAGTACCGTAAGTACAAAGTGCGAAATGGGACCGCAATTATTGTCTTTAACCACGACCTCACGTCAATGCAGGTTTAAAGCAAGTCTACGGCCAACTAATCTTCTCCGGCTATGATACTTCCCGGTTTGTTGAGAACTCGGTATCATTCACCATGGCTGGGGATATCACCCGCGATCTGGTAGTTTATCTTCAGTCGATCAGCTATAGTGGATCAACTTCGGCGACATTACTATCTGACCCGATTCTCACCTTCATCGACTCTACGGATCCCAACCTCTGGATGCCAGGAGTGTCTGCGACGCCTTCGAGAAGGCCTTCGGGCTTACAATGGACACCGAGAGTGGTTTATACTTGGTCAACGACACCCATAACGCTGAACTACTTGACTCAAATGCGCAGGTGTCGTTTCGATTGTCTGATGTAGCCACTGGCGGAGCTGCTGTGACGATCACCCTTCCTTACAATGCTTTTGCCCTGACTGCGAAGGCTCCTCTAGTCAATAGCAGCAGCCACTATTTTCCGTTGAAACGCGCGGCCAATTCGACACAGTATACACTGGGCCGAGTATTCTTGCAAGAAGCGTAAGTGGACAATGTTCGGTGTGTCTTTGTACCATCGCTGATTCTTACAGATATCTCTCCGTCGATTACGAGCGAAACACCTTCAACGTATCCGCCTGCTCATGGAATGAAAATTCCCAGCAAGATATTGTCACAATCACTTCCAAAGATTCGGGATCTACGTCTTGTGCTGGAAGTGCGTGCTCGTCCGGTACCAACAGCTCAGGTGACTCTTCACCACTCAGCCGCGGCACAGTAGCTGGCATCGCTATTGCAGCCCTCGTCGGTGTCGGCATATTAGCAGCCATCCTATTCTTCTTCATCCGCCGCCAACGCCAGAAGACTGCATACAAAGCGACCCCGCCGGAGCCAGACGTATCTGTGCTCTCTGGCCCGGTACACAATGCACCTCCTTCTGGTCCGAGCGACCAGTCTTCTCCACAGCCGCCATTTTGGTCTCCCGACGCAATCTTCGGAGGTGTGAGTGACAGCAATAACGGACGGAGTAATAACGGGCATAGCAGTGGGAGTGGTAGGACCCATGAGCAAAGCGTGGATGACAGAGGTATGGAGCTGGATGGCCATGGTACACAGATAACTCCAGTTTATCATGAATTGCCGGGCAGTGCGGTTGAGAAAACACGGCCCGAGCCAGAGCTAGAGCGACCCAATACGCCATATGTGTAAATTTCGGTGTTATTCAAGTAACCAATGCCTACTTACGCTGATGTTCGATGGCTTCTTTCTAGACCGTACCTTGGGACGTGCATTTCCAATTTACGACGCGGCTACTATGAAGTGTATTTAGACTCGAATAATACCTATGCGTTTCAACGGAAAATAGAATACCTATGTGGCAAGTAGAAAAACTTCAAAAATAAAAATAAAGTGCCCCCTTTTATGTATGTATGTATGACAAGCCTAGCCCCAAAATCTAAGCAGCGTACTCCTTATTAAACGCACGGCCAATCACCATCCGGCGAATCTCACTCGTACCAGCGCCAATCTCGTACAACTTCGCATCGCGCAGCAATCGTCCAGCCGGGATTTCATTGATATACCCATTTCCACCCATGAGCTGGATCGCATCTAGTGAACACTCAGTAGCACGCTCAGCGGCGTACAGGATCGCGCCAGCACAGTCCTGCGTCCGAATGACCAAGGGATTAGGTGATGCTGCGCCGTTGTCGACTTCACGTGCCGTGGCGTAAGTGTAGGCCCGCGAGGCTGCCAGCTTTGTGTACATGTCGGCGAGCTTGCCCTGGATCAATTGGTTGTGGGCGATGGGAGTGCCGAATTGCTTTCGGATGTGGGTGTATGGAAGGACTAGGTCGAGGCAGGCTTGCATGATACTGCAGGGGGGAGTTAGTTTTGAGGATTTGGTATTAGAGGTGGGGAAGTGGCATACCCGAGTGGTCCTGCGCTTAGAACGAGTCTCTCCAAGTCCAGACCTTCCATGAGAACCTTGACACCCTTGTTCACCTCGCCCAGCAGGTTCTCACGGGGAACAAAGACATCCTCGAAAATGAGTTCGCCAGTGTTGGAACCACGCATACCAAGCTTGTCTAACTTGCGAGCACATGAGAAGCCCTTGGCAGTCTTCTCGACAACAAAAGCAGTGATGCCTTTAGAGCCCTTCTCCGGCTCAGTCTTGGCGTAGACGACAATAAAGTCTGCATCAGGACCCTAGAGAGAAAGCTATCAGACTTTTATTCCTGGAATCAAGGCAATTATGCGGTCTCACTCACGTTGGTGATCCACATCTTGGTTCCGTTCAGTACCCAGCCACCGTCAACCTCCTTCGCGGTGGTCTTCATGCTGACAACGTCAGAGCCCGCGGAATGCTCAGACATGGCGAGCGCACCGATCTTGTCACCGGAAAGCAGACCCGGCAAGAATCGTGCCCTTTGTTCAGGTGAGCCGTTCAACGAGAGTTGATTGACGCAGAGCTGGGAGTGAGCGGCGTAGGAGAGACCGATACTTCCTAATCAGAATAATCGGATTAGACTCGCTCTCAAAGCCATATCTCCTTGTGTCGGAATCGGTTAGTTCTTACCAGAGGCACGACTAATCTCTTCCATCACAACGCAGTGAGCCTGGTAGCCCATTCCCAGCCCACCATATTCCTCGTTGGCAGTAATTCCAAGGAAACTACACCGCAAATACTCGTTAGTGATCTAGATAATCTCGAATATTCAATTCAAGTAGAATACAAATAGAACTGGAAAGACTCACCCAGCATCGCCCAACTTCTTCCACATGTCTGCAGGAAATTCATTCAATTCATCCGTCCGTGCGGCAACCTCGGCCGTAATCTCTCGCCCTACTCCGAGCATTAGCACAGGCTGATAAAAAGGAGAAAAAGATGCCATTACGTGTGAATTCCTGGACTCTCTCGCGTAGCTCTAGCAGATCTTCTTCAGTTGGAGGCTCAAAGCCCACTGGGTGTTTCGTTGATAGGTTGCGCGCAAAACCTGGGGCGAATGCTGGGAGAACGGCGCTCCGCCGCAGTGAGCGCGTGGATGTGCGGAGGAGGGATGGGAGTGTGATGGAAGCCATTGTAGGGTGTTGCTACAGCTGGCGAATGGGTATTGCTATGGGAGGAGAGGGTATCGTCAAGGTGGGAAGTGGCGGCCTGTGGAAATATTTAAAAGATGCGGAGAGAGAGCGGCATCCCTCGGCGCGCGGAGAGACCGCCCAAGTACACAAGTACCGTAGTACATATGACGATCTTTAGACCTGGCTTCTGTATAGTTCTGAGTACACTGATCTTCAATGACAATACACTATCTCTACATACAGTCTCTCTTAATTTGTAATTCTCTTTCTCTTTTTTTTGGCCTCTGTTCTACCATCTCTTTGTCCCTCGATAGCATCCGCCGGGTCTGCGCCGGAGGCGGTGATGAGCTGCCTCGGGTACACGCGGCAATCCTCGCACCTCCGCACGATCTGGGGAAACTGACTGGGCATTTGAAGGTTCTCCTCGCTTTCTCAGTTGCTAACCGCAACCCTCGATTCAAATACCATTCTCTGGAGCATGTCTCTTGACTTGCCCATTCTGATCTTCTAGTCGACTCTACACAACCACCTTCCCCATCAACTGTCACCTCCTCCAGAGGTACTCATATCTTCCCCCGCAATGCGCGCCCCATCCCCGCTCGTCCTCCGGAGCTTGGGCTCGCGTGCTGGACTACACAATTATCGCCCAGCAAACCTCCAACTGCCCAAACCCCTCGTCCGCATATCCTCACGATCAGTCGCCAGCTACACGCATCCCCACCATGCGTCCGCACTCTCAGTCCTCCCCACGGCAGTGGACACCTCCTCGCCCGAGTACAAAGAGAACACCCAGCAGATGCAAGAACTTCTCGACCGCATGAGCAGTCTCCATGCCAAGATCGCACAGGGCGGATCCCAAAAAAGCCCGCGATAAGCACGTCGCCCGCGGCAAGATGTTGCCCCGTGATCGTGTCTCGGCGCTGATTGACCCAGGCACCTCCTTCCTGGAGCTATCCCCGCTTGCCGGGCATGAAGTGTATGAAGGGGAGGACGTGCCTGCGGGAGGTATTATTACAGGCATTGGGAGTGTGGAGGGGGTGAATTGTATGATTGTGGCGAATGATAGCACCGTCAAGGGTGGTACCTATTACCCGATTACGGTGAAGAAGCACCTCCGCGCGCAGGCTATTGCCCAGGAGAACCGGCTGCCGTGTATTTACCTGGTCGATTCGGGCGGTGCCAATCTCCCGCACCAGGCTGATGTGTTCCCGGATCGTGACCATTTCGGCCGTATCTTCTTCAACCAGGCGCGGATGAGCTCTCTTGGTATTCCGCAATTGTCGGTTGTCATGGGGCCCTGCACTGCTGGTGGCGCCTACGTGCCCGCAATGAGTGATGAGACTATCATCGTCGAGAATCAGGGTACTATCTTCCTAGCGGGCCCGCCTCTGGTCAAGGCTGCTACGGGTGAAGTCGTCTCTGCGGAGGACCTGGGCGGTGGCCAATTGCACTCCACCATCTCTGGTGTGACAGATTACCTGGCCGTGGACGATGCGCATGCCCTCGTCCTCGCTCGCCGCTCAGTGGCCAACTTGAACTACCCTTCCACGAAACTTCCACAACAGCTCGAGAATGCGGTTGTCAAAGAGCCTCTCTATGACCCCGCTGAGCTGAATGGCATCGTTGGCACGAACCTGCGCCGCCAGATCCCAGCGCACGAAGTTATCGCACGCATTGTGGATGGTAGCGAGTTTGCCGAGTTCAAGCGCGATTATGGTACCACGCTGGTCACTGGGTTTGCAAAGATCCACGGCCACAGAGTCGGCATCGTGGCCAACAACGGTATCTTGTTCTCCGAGTCCTCGCTCAAGGGCGCCCATTTCATTGAGCTGTGCGCTCAGCGCCGTATTCCTCTCGTCTTCTTGCAGAATATCTCGGGTTTCATGGTTGGTGCCGATGCTGAGAAGGGCGGTATTGCAAAGAATGGGGCCAAGTTGGTGACGGCCGTCGCGTGTGCTGACGTGCCCAAGTTCACGGTGGTCTTTGGCTCGAGTGCTGGTGCTGGTAACTACGGCATGTGGTAAGTTTTCTCTTCGAATAGTTCCGCGATATATCATTGTATCGATGTGTCAATACCAATGTCTAACAATCAACTCTAGTGGCCGTGCCTACTCCCCTCGATTGATGTTCATGTGGCCCAACTCCAAGATCGGAGTCATGGGCTCCGAGCAACTTTCCTCCGTCATGGAAGCGGTTGGCAAAACCGCTGATCCCGCCCTCAAAGCTCGGATCGACCACGAATCCGAGGCTATCTTCTCATCTGCCCGCCTTTGGGACGATGGTGTGATTCCCCCGGCGCAAACGAGAAAGATGCTGGGACTTGGCTTGGCTGCCGCTCTTGGCGGAAAGGAGGAGCCAGATATACAGACCCGATTCGGAGTGTTCCGGATGTAGATTGGGGGCGTGGTGAAAGAAACAGACATAATTATAGAAATGACGGTAAGGAAATGTACTCAATCAAGCATGTTATTTTAGTTTGGCCCATCAAGGGCTGCGAAGAAGAGATCATAACTGGAAAATAACGTAAAAGTGCAAAGAAGAAGACAACACAGAATATTTTGTGCAAAGACCAGAACTTTTATATCGTCAACATCATCTTTCTTGGTGGCTCGATATGAACCAAGAACTAAAGCATGTCAGAAGTGAAGAGTTAGAAGATACAGCAATGGAAGTGGATCTGAAAATGAAAAATAGAAGGGTGAAAGGAAGAATGGCAAAAAATAAAGTAGAAGAGAAATGACGAATAGAAAGTTTTGAGAATGGAGAAGTGGTGGTATAAAATGTGATGATGACAGGCGGCGACGCGTCTTTCTATCAAGAGGTGTAATGTAGATGCATGGGAAAAGCGTAGAGAAGATATCATGAGACATGTCAAAAGAATTGCGTAGAGACGGAGACAGGCGTGACTTGGCATAGCTCGAATCAATAAATAGAGTAGTCCGGGGGATCAAGAACCAAGATCATAAAAGCAAGGCGCGGCGCAATGACCATCCTTTCAAAGGATGACACATGGAGATCGCCGACGGCCCTGTGATCTATTCTCTCTCTTTCGGTCAAGCCTGCTTGGTCCCTCGCGCTTACGAGCGATGTCGGGATTCCCGGTCGGCCCTTGCAGGTCCTTGCGGATGATCTGGCGACAGAGGTCGACGAAGACCTCGTTTACGTTGGCACGCCGCCGGGCAGAGGTCTCGTAGTATGGGGCATTGCCCCAGTTCTGGGACAGTCCGAAAGCGCGAGCGCGGGGTACGGCGCGGTCTTCTTCGAGGTCTGATTTGTTGCCGACGATCACGAGGGGGACGTTTTCGTCATCTTTGATGCGGATAATTTGTTCGCGGAGCTCGGAGAGCTCGTTTAAGGAGGACATGCTTGTGATGGAGAAGACGAGGAGGAAGCCTTGGCCTTGCTTCATGTATAGTTCTCTGTTGTGGGAGGAATGGGTTAGGGCTGCGAATGACTCTCGTGTACACCGGGTTGATTTACCTCATAGCCGCTGCAGAAACCTTGTTAGCCAAAGAAGCAAGTATGATGATCGGTGGTACTCACTGAATTGTTCCGTTCCAGCGGTGTCAAGACTGCATGTCATATAGTCAGCCACCTCGTATCCCTGCGCCAGCACTTCCACTTCCACGTGTATAGGGAACCTACATCTCGAGTATGCATTGTCGGCCCTAGCGAGATGTTGCGTCAATGAAAAGTCAACCACAGCACGATTGTACGACACTCACATCTACTTCGATCTGTTTGCGATAGGAGTCTTCGATTGTCGGGTCATAGCTCTCAATCCAGACATTCTGGACGAATTGGGCTGTGAGTTGATTAGCGACTGACCCTGGAAATAGCGGGCAGCCTCTGCGAAACACCGCGAAGGCGCAAGAGGGAATATGGAGAGCATGGAAGGGCTATATATACCTGTCAGGCAGCTCTTCCCCACGCCACCTGCTCCCAGCACAACAATATGATACTCCCGTCTGCATCGTATGATTAGAGGCCGGCATTGACCAACGATCACGACCACCCAAACCCTGACAATGACTTACTGGGGCCGCATTGAGAAATCTCCGCCAGTCTTCCAAGTATATCTCTGCTGATAGGGAGGAGGAGGAGGAAATGGTGTGATCGACGAGACGCGAACGGGTGGTCAATGGCAGCGGAGCCCAGACCGTAGCAGCGTGGAGTTGTGGGTGGAGAGCGATTTGTCGCGGACGCGGTCGACTGCCGAGCTTTCCAAAACAATTCGGCTGCAGGAATCCAGATGCAATGAGCCAGGGGCCTTTTTCGAAGCTGTATATTTCCGTCCGCACCGTGTATCGCGGGCGTTGTACCCCTCAATGGGCTGCACGGTCGGTTTCCAGCTTCTTCTGGGGGCCGATAAGAAGAGCAAGGAGAAATAAGGGCGGGACCGGTCGTCTAGCGGATGTGCCCCTTTGGACGCACGGACGTCGCGATCACAGCGCTTCGATGTCGATTCGAAGGTCCACCGGAGGTTGGAAAGTACCGGCCGGGAGAGGGGTGGGGGGACGATAGGCGTGGAGGAGAAGGAGGACAAAGAAGAAGGAGAGGGATTGAGGCCGAGGAGAATCTAACGGGAGGAAGAGAGGGGAGGAGAGTTTGAATGTGGTGGGTGTGGATTGGATTGTGTTGTGCGGGCCCTTTTGTGAACTTTAGTTTAAGGCGCCTTTAGTGGTTCGAGGATAGGGGAATTGAGATAGAATGGTTGAGATGTGGACGAGGAGGACTGGTTAGAGGAGGAGGATAGGGGATGATAAGAGTCCTCGTCTGCAGCTGGGAATTGGAATTGGGAAATCCAATTGGACTTTTGGGGGTTGCCCCCCTGTTCCTGTGCACCATCGCATCATTGCCGTTGTTCCTGGCGGTGAGTCGAGGCCTTGGGCTTCGGCTTTGGCTACTCCACAATGCCTTTCTCAGTCCTCACTTATTATTGGTACTGTATTATGATTATTATGATGGTTATTACAGCTAATATACAGCTAACAAAGACTTTCTCCGGATTACTTTTTTACTTCAAACATCCCCCTACTCGCATCTCATTTAAACCTGAAGATTTCATATTTGGCATTGATACTTGGTACTATGTACCTACAGCTTGTTATGGAGCAGTTCGACAGGCCGCATGTCCACTATTCTTTTTGTATTAGCCATCCTAATTCCATGGCGGGGTCCCGTATCCAACGTGGGATCGTCGCCGACAGGGGGATTAGCCTGTTCCCTGGGGCCGGAAGAATTCACAAGCACCAAGGAGAAAGAATATAGCCTGTAGGTTCTAGACGCACAGTGGTAATGTCAGGGCCAGAACTGAATCAATATCTGGACTCAATAATATCGGCAGAGTTAATAAGAGTCAATCTCCACTGGCATTGAATCCAAGTCACGTGATATAATACTGTGGGTCGAAGAGGAGTAACTAAAAGTAGAATACTTCATCTACCGGAAATCATTTCCATCGAGAGTGACAGGGTTTGATTGTATTGAAATAGTAGTGTCATATACTCAACGACGCTGTGGCTCATGGTGAAAGAATAGGAACACGGAAACACAAGAATATGTAGATGTGGCATAGGCACACAAAGTATCCCGTCAAAGAGAGCAGCCTCTACACGCTGGATGGTGCACATAGTGCAACCAACAACCCACGCGACCTGGTCAAACAACCAGCATATGTCAGGCACAACAAGTAACAAGTCTATTTCTAGAAATGTGAAGATGTCATTCTCGTGGCAGTAACAGGTCGGCTGGGTCTGTTCCGTCTCGTGGTCTAGAACAGCCCTGTACGTCATGTATGGTTGCTGTGCGGGATGTACCAGGCAAGCTTAGATCTGTGGCCTCATCAGACTTAGGGTCCTCAAGAAGCAGCTATATCGTCAGTGTTATACATAGATCGCGTAAGTGCAGGTTGGACGATCTTGTGAAAAGTGGGTATTCTGAGACATATATCGAGGGACTCGTTTGTGTAGCTAGTGATTTTGGAATGCCCACAATAGATCGGAACCTTTTTGGGCTGGTGTCACACTGCACTGCACTCCTCCATGAAATGCATGGGGCAGAGCTACACTGCAAAGACAAAGCACAGACAACCCTCCCGAAGCCTACCCTTAGACCTCTTCAGCCTAGGCACCTTCTATAAGCTTCGAAGAGGAGTACATATTCACATGGCCCTCGCAGATGATCGCAGGCCGAGTACGTCATGACATCACGTGATTCCGCACGGGCACAGCCAGTAACCGCCAGCTCGACCGGTTGCATCCTCATCATCCCTCGTTCATATTTGCTATCCTCACAGCTCTCACCTCGAAGATATCGTGAAATTTTCATTCGCCTATCCCCTCAAAATGGCCTCATTCCAGGATCGTGCTCAGCACGCTGTTTCCCAGCTCGACAAGGAGGTGCGTTATTTCCTGCTGTGATTGTGTGAATCGGTTTCGCTGGTGCCTCTTAGCTCGAGCCCTCGGACCATTTGTGCGCCGTATTGCGTGCAAACCCACCCAGCATGAGCTGCCGAGGACATCAGCAACTGCCACCAACCGTCCATCCCAGCATCACGGCTGCCCACTTGTGCGATAAGGGTTTCTCTTGCTGACTGACATTTTTCGTCGATAGCTCTCCAAGTACCCTGTCCTCAACAACCTTGAGCGTCAGACTAATGTCCCCAAGGTCTATGCGATCCTCGGCCTGGTCGGAGTCTACTTCTTCCTTGTCTTTTTCAACATCGCTGGCGAGTTCCTCGTCAACTTTGCCGGTTTCCTCATCCCCGGTTACTACTCCCTCCAGGCCCTCTTCACGTCGGGCACCGCGGATGACACTCAGGTAAGTCTCAATGCCCTCGGTCGCTTGCCCCTTCTTCTCATGAGACTCAATGCTAACTTGTGACTGATTATAGTGGCTCACTGTAAGTTCCCATGACCCGTGTTCCCTGCCAGCATCATCTGGCGGTTGCGACACAAGACACTGCAGAAGCGGCCTTATCAGCTGCCACGTGATAGCACCATCCATTCCAAATCCATTTGACTAACCAATGCATTGATAGTACTGGGTTGTCTTTGCCTTCCTGACCGTTGTTGAGAGCGCCATCAACGCCCCTTACTGGTTCCGTATGTGGAATTGAAGCGTCCATTTTCGGCTTTCAGCCAAGAGTACCCGCTAACTTGACATTCCAGCCTTCTACTACATCTTCAAGTTCATTCTGATCCTCTGGATGTCTCTGCCCCAGACCAAGTAAGATGAATTCACAACCCCCGAACCTTAGGCAAATGACTAACCCAGCCCAGCGGTGCCCAAGTCGTTTTCCACTCTTTCCTCCAGCCTGTGGTCGGCCGCTTCTTCAGCCAGAGTGGAACCTCCGCCAACCTCCGTGCTCAGGCCGAGGCTGCCGCCAACAAGCCGCACTCCACCTGAACGGCATCCGCGGAATGAGTAGTTCCCGAGAGTCGTCCCGATAAGTTGCAGTGGCCGTCGTGACCGTAGCCAGCGAACAGGCAGGTGACCGGTCCCATCGATTCTCGGCACTCGCGCGAGTACCGTTAACGAAGAGCTTGAGCGTTTTGACGTTTGTAACGTTTTGAGTGTTCATGACAGCTTTTTTTGCAAGTGAGATGATGATAGAGTGGGAGGGGAATGAGAGGGAGGAAAGTGGGTCGAGTCCGGGGTTGAGGCTGATCGTCGGAGGGCAAAGGTGATTGAGTTTGCTTTGTGATGTATCTTGTCCCATATTTGGAAGCGTTCGAATCGTAGCGCTTTGGTTGGTCTGCTCCCGTGTCGTGTTTCATCATTCACTTAGTGTGGATGGCGGGACTCGCATTCGGCTTTCCGATTGTTTCATACCTATAGGACAATGTTGCTACGTAGGTGATCTAATTTTTTGACCCTTTGCACTAGAAACCAACGTGTAGAAGACAACGGTGATACACTATCGTATTTATTGTATTAGCTGCATCTCATTTCAGCTAGCAGCTGTTTCTTCTTCATCGACAAGATCAAAATATCGGCCACCGAAACAGAGGCACACAAATGACATAACGCCAGCCCAGAGCTCCTTGCGAACGAGTAGCAGAACGCCAAAACTCCCGTGACGCATTCTAGAAAATAGGAGAAGCACAAAAGAAATTCGTATATCCCACCACCGAGCAGGATGCCAGTCATGTCCATAGATCTAGTGAGTGAGTCACGACTCACTGCCGGTCTAATAGAGACCTACGCGATTGCCCCAGCTGTCCGTACGAGGATTGACGACAATCCGATAGGGAAAGGGGTTCGAGTCGCTGGTCGTAATTGGCGGGATATGATCCTTGTCCCGGTTGACAACGGTCAGAATCTTCAATGCCGCCTTTTGAAGCATGTTCCCCATCGCCTTGCGGACCTTGGCTCGCTCTGTCAAAAGCACGTCAGAGTAACGATCAATGTAGATAGGAATATATGCCCGTCCTCGGCGCGGTAACACCTGAAGATATTCCCGCGAGCAATATCACGTCCAAGTACATACCAGACTCAGTGCGGGGTGTGGCAATGGTCACATCCAACGTCCACATCTCCCAGCATACCTCCTCCTCGGCCTTCCCAGCCAACCCACCAAACCACAAGCCCGAGCGACGCCGCTTCTTCTCGTAGAACTCGACTGCGATCCGCCCGCGGACTCCCCCGCCACCCCCACCGACAGTGCCATCTTGGCCACCAACCGCCGAGGAAAGGTGCTGCCGGACTAGCGCATTCACACGCGACTCAATCAGAGTCTCCAGGTCTGCGTCGTTGATGGCGGGTAATGTCAGATCTAATACGTCAAAGGTGACCGGCCGGATGGAGGGGAAGTAGCGGTGGAAGAAGATGAGATTCAGGACGCCTGTGGGAGGGGGATGTTAGCATGGCGCACTTGAAGAATAAAGCGCCGGGTGCGTCGCAGCGACACCAGGACAAAATCGAGGGCGCACCTTTCAATACATCGCGCACTGTGGTGGTATCGGCGAAGATCTCCAGGAAGTACTCAGGAGGGGTTTTGCGGGGCTCCATTCCCCGCCCGCGAAAGAACGGCTCAGCGCGCGGCGGGCCGTTGGTTGCAAAAGAGCCTTGGGGGGGGGGGGCGAAAGAGGAATGGTTCACAGGAGCTAAGTGCCTGGTGGGAGTATGCTGGGTAGCGTTGACGAGGTCATGAAGGGGTTGCTGGTGGGTAGTTGAGGGGGGATGATGGAAGGAGGATGCGATGCTCGGAGCGGTTGCTATCGGCCATCGGACTGGGCCGAATGACGCTTATCGGCTTATCATTGGCTGGGAGACGCTGGGGAATTTGGTGATGGGAATAGTCAGCGGAGTCGCAGAGGACAGGATTAGTTAACTATTAGATGATGATGAATGATACCTAATATCCGGACTAGGACCGAGGGAGCTTCGAGAATAAATTGGAAGGTCAACTGGGCGTGTCAGAGCGACCGGGGCCTGATCTCTGCGGGATGGCCGGTCGCGCCGAATCCGGGGGGGGAAAACTGGTTAATCACAATACTAAGCACATAGAACATAATAGAGCAAAGCAGGAGAAGAAGAATTTGTATAGAAAACCAGAATCAATGGAATAGTCAATGGAATATTGTACATCCAGTATAAAATCACTTTACTCCACTGTGTCATTCATGAAAAGTACATCCTACTCGGCTCGTCATATCTGGTATGTGACCAAAGTCCATGGTCAAGTCAACTAGCCGAGGCCGCTGAAGAGTCTGGGGTCAGTTCCCGCCCGAGGCCTTCTGCCCGTCTCCCACCTATCTTCCTCATCCAACTCCATTCACTGCACATACCATGATCTCCGGAATTTGACAACTTGATCGTCCCGAACAGAGTATCTCCAAGTATCCTCATCATGATCGGTGCCGCGAGGCGCTGGTTCCGGCGCAATCGCAAGGGTCTTGCGATCGGGGCTGGTGTGCTGGGAGCTGGCTACCTGGCTGGGCAGTATGTGTTGTCGAAGATCTCTGAGGCGCGCGAGCGCATGAGTAGCGACCGAATTGCCCGTGAGAAGTATGTATTCCTGCCCGCTTTGTGCTTTCTCCTCCCTGCCCTGTCCAGCCCCGGTTGGCACGCGAGCTTGTGACAGGCTCTGGATGCAATGACTGCTCAGGGTCCAGATAGCTAACACTCAGGCTACTAGTTTGCGGCGACGATTCGAGCAGAACCAGACAGATTGTACCTATACCGTCCTTGCTTTGCTTCCCACTGCCACGGATAATATTATTGAAGCGCTCCCCGTCGAGGAGCTGACGAAGGAGCTTCAGAAGAAGCGGGCGGAGAGACTGGCCCGGTTGGGTGCTGGGGATACAGCAGGCTCGGACATGACTTCAGTGTCACCCAGCACGACCGAAGACGACCGGAAGAGTCTCTCGAGCTTCCAGAGTGAAGGCTATCTCCACACCAGCCAGCTGGGCGAGTCGGTGATTCCGGAAGCCCAAGCCCCGCCGAAACGGAACAAGACGCAGTTGTGGAACGAGGTTAAGATCACCTGTATGCAAACCGAGCCCTTGTAGCAGTGACCATATGTTCTCATGGTGACACGTTATTTCATTCGCTAATCTCTTTCAGCTATCACACGATCATTCACCCTCATCTATACCCTCTCCCTGCTCACCATCTTCACCCGCATCCAACTCAATCTCCTTGGCCGTCGCAACTACCTCTCCAGTGTCATCTCGCTGGCTACTCCCCCGGCTGACTCGACGATCAGCCTGGAGGATCATGATGACGAACTGACTCAGACCCTCGGCGATGACTTTGAGACAAACAGGCGATACCTGGCTTTCAGCTGGTGGCTGCTGCACCGAGGCTGGAAGGAGCTGGTAGCACGAGTTCAACCTGCCGTGGAGGAGGTCTTCGGTCCTCTTAACCCTCGTGAAGATATCAGTCTCGCCAAGTTGTCGGAGTTGACCCTCCAGATTCGCAGGAAGGTGGAAGGAAATACCGAGGAAGAGCGACGGTATGGTAGTCCCCAAGCTGCACAATAGCAAAACACGAGGTAGCTGACAGATGTTCCTCATTAGTGCCAAGAAGTGGCTGTCTTGCTTGCTGCCCCCGACAGAGGAAGAGGAGTACGTTCTACGTGAATCGGGTGTCGAAGGAGTTGCAGACCCATCTTCCTCGCAAACTGCCTTGAAGCTGCGCCACCTTCTTGATGAGACAGCCGACCTTATCGATTCACCGTCGTTCTCCTTTGTCCTCACTCTACTCAACAATGAAGGATTCTCCACCCTGGTCGACGCAAAGTGCGCCAGCGAGGCCTTCCAGGCACCTGACTCGGCTGCTACGACAGTGCCACAGTCATTTGACTCCATGGCCACTGTTGTCCCCGCCTCATCTGAGCGCAAGACTAAGCTTGCTAACCTGCTGGCTGTGCTGGCCCGCCAGGCTCATGTGATTGGGAATGGCACTCATCCTCCCAATGAGTATCTGGTTGCAATGGACCAGAATGTTCGTGAATTGGAGGCCTTCTCGGCTGTGATTTATAGCTCCAACTTTGAGCTTGAGCTCCTCGGTGCTAGCAAATCTGTTGCAGCGGAGAATGGAGACTCGCCCGATTTTGAGCCTGTTTCTTCGTCATTTGCCGACGTGATGGTTGAGAAGGGCCCGGAGAGTCAGCTCAGCGAAGACATCTCCCAGAGCGTCCCCGTACTAGTTGACAACGACGTGCAAGAAATCAAGTCTGTCACTCCTGCTGAGCAGTCGGCATCGGAGGTTGCTGCAGACTCGGCATTCGAGCAGGCGTGGGGCAAGGCTGTAGAAGATGGAAAGAGCTCTTCCGAGACTGAGGAACAGGCCGCCGCTTAGGACTTCCTCCGACGATCTCTGTTTCATTTCTTGCCAATACCCTTATTTCGTATCGATCTTGTTACCATCTACCGGCGCTGCTTTTGTCTGACTATTAGACGAGGTGCTAATGATTATATGTCTATATCAAATCGCTAGATCCAATTCAATCATATCTGTATAACTCATTCCACAAAACTGACTGTGTACAACGTCCTGCCATTCGTTCCATCACAGCTTTGTATCCTGCTGGCCCTCAAGGAACGTCTTGACCTCATTTGCAGCCTTCTGCCCACTCTCAATGGCTCCGTCCACGAACCCTCTCCACCCATCTGCCCAGTCTGCACTAGCGAAGAACACCCTACCCTCTGCCTTTTGCAACTCTTGAACGTAGCGACTAAACTGATTAGGCCCCCAGCAGCTCCATGTTCCCTTGGCGAAAGGGTCATTCACCCAATCGTGCGTGAGGTACGCCTGGATGTCAGCATTGGGGCGAATATTTTCCTGGAACGCTGCAATAATATCTTTGCTATTCTTCTTGTCCTCCAGATGCCCGTTATACCCGAATCCGATGCACCATGTTCCCCGCGGACCGGACGGCTCATGCCCATTGTGATCAGAAAATGCAAAGACGTACGGCGATGTCCCAGAAGCGCCGCAGGTCGCAAACCAGCCCGGCTCGGTGCGAGCGAGTTTGAAATGGATCTTGGCTCCCTTGTTGATATGACCGGATGCAATGGCATCGACTTTGAGAGCGCGCAGTGGTGGGTTGAATTCGACATCGCCGAGACAGTTGCTACTTAAGGTTAGTCCTAGAACACAATCAAGTGAACTGAAATACTGACAGGGGAATGGTTGACACCACAGCCTTGGCATCAATGAGTCTGCCATTCTTCAGTTGTAGGAAGACACTCCTACGACCTTGCTCAACTTTCTCCACCACAGTGTTGAATAACAGGTCGCCCTCAAAGTCTTGCAAAATAACTCGCGCAAAAGCCGTCATTCCCCCATTGCCGAGCTTATAGATGCCAGCTCGCTCAAAGACCCCAGCCATACTATGTCCACCAAGGGCAAACCAGCGAAGTGCTTCGGTGAAACCGAGTTCACTTCCAGGAGCACTACCAAAAGTGGCTACGTTTGATTCAAAAAGATCTCTTTCAAACTGCGATATGCCGTCCAACGCATCAAGTCGCTGCTTGACAGTTAAATGGTCATATCGTCTCCAAACAGCCGGCTCCCGGAAAGGCTCATGAGGAAAGGGCATCAGAGCGCGACTATCCATCCCATCAATAGAGAAGAACTTCTCAGCGACTCGTTCAAGAGAAGCTACACTTTCCTCAGGTGCAATCTCCTGGACCGGCGCTTGAGCCTCCTTGAAGTAATACCTCTCCGGCGCTATAGTTCCCGCGGAAGTCTTGAGATAGCGGTGCAGACCGTAACGATGAAGTTCATGGTACAAGTGAGGCTGGTTCCAATGGACCCATGTCCCGCCCATCTCGAATTCTTCGCCAAGTGCTTTGGCAGTCCACGTGCGTCCGCCGATGCGATCGCGTGCTTCGACAAGGAGGACTCGAAGGGTAGGGTCTTGTGCTAGATTGCGTGCGGCGATGAGGCCTGCGAATCCACTTCCGATGACGATGACATCGTAGATGGACTGTATATTCTTGGAGCTTTGTACGATGGCTTCGGTTTCTAGGCCTTCTTTTGTAGTTTGTGGAGTCCAGAGGAAGCCTTCTTTTGATCGGGGCATGGTGATGTTGGGGTGTATGGGGTATGGTTAAACAGGCATTCGAATTTTGAGGACTTTGACTCGTCAAATAAATACACCTTCTGATAACTCTAGAGTAGAATCGACTTCGGACTATTTCTACGAACGCAGTTTGTTCATAGTTCCATCGCACTTTTTGGCTTAATTTGGAATGGCGCGGAATGCATTTCTGAGGCAGCGGAATTCCTTCCGGTCGAGATGTATACTCAAAGAAGGCACTCGTCTATATAAAGTAACAGAAGAACTTGATGAAGTCTGTTCAAAACTACCTAATACCTCGTTCCTTAATTTGAGCTTGTTGGCTTATTTGCCAGATTTTGCCTTGGTAGCAAACAGCAAATCGGCCCAACTCATGAAATCAGTGGGAGAGGTCTGACCCTCCACCGATCCATCATAAAGGTCCTTTGCACGTTTCGTCCAGGGAATATCCAAACCACGAGAAAGACCCTCATAGTAAGTAATACCCCAGCATGCCGGATTGGTCCTTCCATCCTGGTATCCAATATACCGATTCTCTGCGGAGATATTTGCCCATGGTCCATTGACCAAGACGGCTTCGCATCTGTAGAACGATGGATCATAGGGCACGGTCCCGTTCAGGTTGTACTTGGCCGCGTATTCGGATCCCTTGAACAGGAGATTGTTGTCCAGTGAGAAGAGATCATAGCCTTGGTTCTTCACCACTTTGGAGGCCATTGATAGCCACTGGAGTCCATCCTGTACATGCGCCTGATCTCGACCTGCCTCTGCGCTCTGTCCTGTGGTCTGATCAAAGTTCGCAGATAGACCGGCGCAAAGGTCGTTCTTGTAAGCATAAAGAGCGTAGTTGTACAGGGCTACATCATCCAGGTAGACGGCGAAATTGAGTAAGCCCATAATGCTAGCCACACCGTAGTTTGCTTGTCCGATGATGATGCTTTGCCGTGCGAATAGCCAGTACAGCTGGATGCTGAACCCAGAGCCGCCTTTCCAGGATGCACCCTGCTCGACCCATCCGCCTTCCCAGCGCATGATCTCTGCAGCGTTGACAAAGGGCAGACCGTCGATGCCGATTAGCAGAGAGCGATCAGTGCCAATAATATTGGTTAAATTAGTACCCCAGGCATCCAGAATCGTTGTGGATCGATCCCAGTGGGCCTGGTCCTTCGTGATGTACCCTGAGTGCGGATCTGTTAGAATTAATGGCGTTTCCTTCCTGGCATCAAAAGTTCTTACACATTATGGCATTTTGGTAAGCGGCACGTGCATCATTGGTAAAACTGGTGTAATTGCTGATCGCTCCCCGGCTAATAACAGCATGAGGACCTTGCATTTTGTATGTCGCCAAGGAGTACGAATCGTTGGAGAATCGCGAGTACGCCGATGCCCATGGCTCGACTCCTCCCAAGGCATTTTTTCGCATTGTTTCGAGGTCTGCATGGCTATGCCAGAGACCTGGATGCTGGAAATCACTCGTTCGTTTCTTCGAACCTTCGGTTGTAGGTACGACGGGAACAAGTCCTGTGAGATTGCTATTAGTATTGTATCTCAGAAAGTGTTTGAAGGGGGCAATTTACCATTCAATGACGGGACATCACTGACCAAAGCATTGACGGCTGTTATAGCCACAAGAAGAAAATTGAGATACCGCATTGCGCACCTGATTACCGTTCAAACTAGCCCTGGTAGAATTTGACGCACTCCATATCTGTGGTTAGGGGTTGACACTATATATACTGCGAGGCATACAGTGCAATTGTTCGAGTAAACTGGAGCATCAGAGTTAACCCCGCATATTTTTCTTCACTAGCCAATAGCAATCTTCTTCTAATTTTTGACTTCGAAGGAACCCCGTGGGGTAGCTTGCCGGGATAATCAACGGGCATAAGCCGGCTCAAAAATTCCGGCTCGGGATATCTGCCGGACAACCGCCGGGAGGTTGAAAGCTCTCATAATTATACGGAGAATTACATGCCGGAAACTTAATTCACGCTTAGCACCATGTCGGATAGGTAAATAGATCAAGTGCAGGAGGCAGATGGAAATCATATAAATAAGTCTAGTGCGACCACAGCGCTAAGTCTCCCTGCATCCTACCTTGGCCACTCGACTCAACATGAGGCTACTCCTTGGCCAAGTCATCCTCATACAACTTTGGGTATTGTCAGCCTTTGGCATCAAAAACCCTATAATTCCAGGATGGAATCCAGATCCTTCTATTATCCGTGCCGGTGATGAATATTTCCTGGCGACTTCGTCTTTCGAGTACTGGCCAAGTACACCAATCTACAAATCAAAAGACCTTGCAAATTGGGAGCTTTACTCTCACGCATTCACAAGGCCGAGTCAGGCTCAACTATATGGCGTCCCAACCGGTGCTGGTAAGTATACTCATACTTTGTGTCCCGAGAGAACTTATGATCTAAGAATGCTCCTAGGTACATGGGCTCCCACCTTGTCGCTTGTAAATGGCAAATACTATATGGCAACGATGACAAGGTGGACCTATGATCCCGTTGCAAGAGTATGGCCCCGTGTAATGTGGGTGTCTTCTCATGATCTGAAGACATGGTCTGATCCTATTTGGGGTGACGCGTGGGGAATCGATCCTTCCCTGTTCCAAGATCCAGCAACAGAGAAGGTTTATCTGAACCTCATGGCTCCAAATAACAATATTGATAGGATCTGGGGTATCTATCAGTGTGAAGTTGATGTGGACAGTGGCCGATGCGTCGGCGAGTATCGTCCTTTATGGAATGGGACCCTGCCGCATAATTCGAGTGCTAGACCCGAAGGACCGAAGATGTTCAAACGGGATCAATGGTATTATCTTCTCATTGCTGAAGGTAGGTGTAGTCCTGCATGAACATCCCTGTTTAGTGCCACACGGAAACTGATTCATCTAGGCGGCACGGATGACCTTCATCGGGCTTCAATCGCACGTTCCACTTCACCCGAAGGCCCGTGGGAAGCAGCGCCCAACAACCCGATTTTGTTCAATGGTGCTTACGGATATGACAACCTCACAGTACAGTCGACTGGTCATGCCACGCTGTTTGATACTCCACAAGGAGAGAGCTATGTAGCATTCCTAGCCCGAAGAAAAATCAATGGCTCGTCACCACTTGGGCGAGAAACCTTCCTTTCTCCCGTCCAGTGGAAGAATGGGTGGCCTATCGTCAACGGAGGGGAGCCAATTCGACTCAGCCAATCGTTCGGCAACACAACGGACCAGCTTTCACCACGAAATGCCTTCACGGATAGCTTTGATCGTGCAAACCTCGATCCATCATGGTATCAGTTACGAGTTCCGTACACACAAAACTTCATGATGAAGGAGGATGGCGCCAATGGAATCATTTTCAAGCCAAACGTCTTCGGCCTGAGCGATAGAGACACCCCCGCGGCTATATTGCGGAAGCAAACATCACTAAACATGACTTTTAGCGCGCAACTCCTGCCAACTAAATCCGGCCTTGGATACGGAGAGACAGTTGGTATCAGCGCTTATCTGAGCGAACTTCAACATCAGGATATTGCAGTGTCGGGTTGTGTGAACAGCACAGGGATGTGCATATTTACTCGACTCATGATGAATAGTATAACAGAGGTAATGACTTCATACCCGTCCCGGTCCTCGAATTATGAATGCTGATTATAATATAGTACAATCAAGTGAAATTGAATTCGTCGACCATTCCGTCTGATCTGACACTTCACATTCGGGCCCAACCGCTTTCCTACACCCTCGGGTATAGCTTTGGGATGAATGGCACAATAGATTGGATGCAAGAAGTGTCATCCTCCTGGTTAGCATTTGCACCTACCAATTGGTTTGTTTTTGAGGGTGCCAGTTTTGCTCTTTTCGCTACTGGAACTGGTCAACCCTGGCCACCTCATGCCCCGGAAGTGGGATTTTCCAGAGTGACGGAGACATTCTATGAGGAGAATATTCCTGATTATGATAAATGGTAGTCAGTGATCAGTAGACTCAATCAATTGATTACTCACTTGACTTTTGAACCTTGCCGAGAAATGTCCGCCAGCTACCCCGGACCGGGAAAATGTAAAAGCCGAATATGTTTTGTCTGAGGCGAAACTGAGGCGTGAGCTCTGGTGGGTCTCCGGTTGGTCACATGCATGACGCCCTCGGTATGACGAACCTCGACCAGACTATTATTGTGAAGCTGTGCCACCTCAGACACCTTGGCCCCAAAGATCTTTGAATATGTCGACAGCAGCTGTCTTTGGCTCCACTGGAGCAGTGGGCTCCCAGATCCTTGCAACCCTTCTCGCGTCAGATTCATTCGCCTTCGTCAAGACGGTATCAAGGAGAGCCCCAAACCTACAGTCCTCAAAGCTTGAGGCTCTGCAAGAAAGTGACACCTCGAAATGGGGTGACATGATTGCCCCATTGTCACCCAAGCCGTCTGTGGTATTCAACGCGGTGGGAACCACTCGAGCTGCAGCTGGCGGCATTCAAAACCAGTGGAAGATTGACCATGATTTATGTATCGAGAATGCCCGGGCCGCCAAGGCTGCGGGAGTGAAGACATATGTCTTCATATCCAGTACCGGGACCCGGGGCTTCCTCTCCGCTCGTTTCCCTTATTCGAAAATGAAAGTCGGTGTGGAGGATGCCATCAAGGAACTGAGTTTCGATCATGCCATTATCCTGAGGCCGGGAATGATTCTCGGGCGAGACGTGCCCAAGGCTGCATTCTTTGAAAGCATCGTAGGAAACCTCAACAAGCTGGGACAGGGTCTCCAGGACCGACTTGGTATGAGACAGCTGAGTGAATGTGAATCTTCTTGGATTGCGGTATACTGATACATTTATGTGCAGGCCAAGACCAAACTGTTATCGGGAGGGCCGCTGTAGCAGCGGCGAGAATTGCTGAAGAAGGAAAGGCTCCTTCGGCGTTCTGGACTTTGGAACAGGCTGATATTGTCAGATTGGGCAGAGAGGAGTGGAAGGAGTAAATTGTGTTGTTCCCTGCAACTGATATACAACCAGGACAGATCATATTTTTCCCTATGTGTACGTATTGGTCCAGTAAAAAGATTGCTAAGCCACCAATTCTTCTCCTCCTTCCAACGATAGAAAGAAGGGAATGATGTAAATAATCTGGCCTACCTTGATTCGACGCCGCCTGAGAGACAGAAGATGACTATTATAATCCAAGAGAAATTCAATGAAGCCATTGGGAGATCTCATGGACAGCCAAAAACTAAGACCCGTGAGAAGGCACTAGCACTATCTTATCTGAGGTTGAATAATGTTTGTCCACAATTCAGGGCGGAACCTGGTTATCTAACTATGTATGTTTCTTTACAGCTTGGAGCCTCCCTTTGAGATCGTAGAAAAGCAATTGACTCCCTTGAAAGAAAACTGAAGGAAATCGCGTACAAATTGTGGGAGGGCCCGTAGATTTTGCTATTCAATCTGAGAAATTTGGGCGTAATTTGACTCACTTTAGCATGAAGTGGAATATGTATCGCTGACGGATCTGAGCTGGGTTCATGATGATGTACTCCTTGGTGAAGTCGTTGATTGCCACGCTTGGCCGGGGCACATTGGGGATCTGCACGCCTTTCAAGTCGGGATGTATAAATGCTGCATCCCTCCAATTTTTATGAGATAGACCGTCGTGGAGGTAAGAATCCGCAATGCTTGATTGGCCGTTGTAACACCACTCCCCTCCTTGTCGACCGAGTTCAACATCGCATAAGAACATGAATCCTTCCTCCCCGGAGAGTATTTCGCAGAAGCCAATAGACTTTATTGCCCAGTCAGCAAAGAATATTCCCTGAGAAGGACCTATTCGAAAGTCGTGTCGCAAGATGCTCGCGAAGTTTGAGACCTCCGAGCCATGCCAAAGAAGACGACGCTGGCTCAGAAAGGACTTATGATCCCCTCTCCACTGAGAGAATCACTCGGCTTCTCCATGGCGTTCAATTCGAAAGACATTCAAGACCTGATAATCACCAGCAAATACATGTCAACTTTAGTAGAACATGGTGCAAAGACCATAGGGGTGGAGGGGGCATACCGTAACGGGGTAGTAGTAGCCATAACTGCTGTTTTCAAAGTATTTAACAAGCGCTTTGTACTCATCGGTGTCATCTTTTACTGTTTACCAATATTTTAGTTCCAATGCCCAATTTAAAACCACTTTGAAGAGATAGAGAAGTACCTGTGGTCATTGCTTCCAGGTGCAGCAAGCCAAGCACATGACGCGAAAGAGTAGGACTTGGTTTGCTCGACTTCTTTGGAGCATCTTCAACTCCCTTGAAGTCTTCCAGGTCTTTGATTAACCTGCGTGAACGACTGATCCAGTCAGTCTTGACCTTGGTAGGCAAAGGTGTGCCCTTGGGCCAAAACAACCCAAAGAAGCATTGGCTTAGGCTAGTTGTAAGCCTTTTGGCACCACCACTGTCATCTTGTGTCCGTCTCTGCAAGTCAGAGATCTTGTTCAAGAGAGAAATTGCAGTCAATATGGAGTGCTCGAAGGTCTTTGCCTTTGTTTCAAGGAGCTTGTTGGGATAAGGCTCCAGCAGGGTGGTTTTGACGTTGAGCAAATCATGTATATTCACGAAGTTGCTTAAAACATCACAGACTGCCGACTCAAGCTTTGGTTGATCATCGTAAGTCACAGACTGAATGAAAATGGCCTTTCCACTTTTTGGCTGTTCCTGATGTTCACTCCAGATAAGACCAGTAAGCCGCTTGAAAGCAGCTTTGAATTCAGCAATCGCTCGTGAAAAGTGGCCATCACCCTTGCAAGTAATTATGTGTTCCCGGTGCAAAGACGTCTCACGAATGAAGGTATGGTAAATGTCGCCTGAAGTGTCTATGATCATCTGGATTCGAAAGATTCTGGCTGAAGGCGTCGCCGAATTTTTGATGTTATCCACAGGCGTCAATGATTTGACCAATGTGGCATCCCAGATCACACCACCCTCGTCCATCCAGACTGCAGGATTTTTTCCTGCTCAAACATGCATTAAATACTGGCAAATTTGGCCCACACTTCTGGCTAACACATGGTACTTACTACCTTCGGCGGGGATCCCCTTATCAACCAAAGCAGAAAGCTTGATAATGTTCGCCATAACCCTGTCCTTCCCACCTTTTGTGCGCCGGCTGGCGCTTTGACTTAAATCGGAACTGAGTTTGCGTTTGTGAGTTGGTTTGGACCCGGAGTCGCTCGTGGTTGATACTAGGCGCTTCGAACCAAGCGCCCTGATCAGGAAGCCCCTTACAGCGAGAGGCGCTTTTGCCTTGACGGACGAGAGCAACCAGTCAATCGAAACAATTTCACAGTTGGGGTTCTGTTGAGCCTCGACGACTGTGGAGTTGAGATGATATATCAATATCTGGGAAACTTTTCAAGTTGGTCTGTTACTAACTTTTGGCAGGGACTGTTTTGCTGCGATAGCATCCAGCGGTGGTGATGAGATGGGTGCATTCGCTGATATTCATCTTTTCGAACTTCGCGCCGCATTCTTCAACCATTGCTTGAATTTCGTCTACCAGTAAGATCTCATGTTAGTATGTCGAAAGCAGCGTTTTCCTGTAGCTGGATCCGACGTACCATGCTTGTAGTCAGGAATTGTCCCACTTGCCGAGATCACAAGTCCCTCAAATTGATTTTTGATATCCTTGACACTTGACTTGGTCTTTGAAGAAGCTGTCACGGAGCTATCAAGGCTCGCACCCTTAGGAGCCATGTTCCAAGAAGATGAGCGGTGACCAGTTTACTGAAATAATGAGATCAGTCTGCCAAACATCGAACACGATGGGAGAAAGTAAGAATGCCCCGTTGGGAAAAGAGTCTCACTGTTTTATAGAAAGCCCATTGGGGCCATGCTTCTTCATAGCAAAATATTTCCTGCTATCTTGAGCAAAACTGCATCAAATTCAGGGCAATGCATCAAAGGAGGTAGAAAGGACTTTATTCAGACTATGCGATCATTGTATACTTCCGCATGTATTCGTCGCCATGAAAGCTAGTATAAAGAAAACACAATGCTTATGTGGTAAGTTAGTATGTAGGCATATTGGCTTCTACGCTAGCTACATGCCGTCTACAGTGTGTACTGAAGAGGATAAATCCGGAAGAAATCTGTGCAGCAAGAAAAAGTTCGAAATAAATTGAGTAGAGAGAATGTCTCTTCGCCGTCGAAGTTGTGCTTGATGATGAAATTTGAAAAGAAATCTTTTGTCCTCCTGGAATATAGAGGTTTCTGTCTCAAGCACAGTGCCAGATTTGGTTCAACCAGTCTTGAGATGGAGAAGGTACCGCTGCTGGACCTGGGCCGGGTTGTATACCACATACTCGTTGTATGCCAGGTTTTTCTGGCCACGCTTCTCCCGTTCTTTTGAAACATCAGGCATCCAGATACCGTCTAGGCGCCGATGGATGGACGTTGCGTTCATCCATGCCTTGTGCTTTGAGCTTCCGTGAGCAACCACCCCGACTTTTCCCTCGTTACGCAGAGTTGTCTTCGCAGTTCGATCACATTCTTGGAGGTTGAGAGGATTGGAGCCGATTTCAACCTCGCAAAGAAGCATGAACGTCACATTTGATGGGCCAGTGCAATACCGAGCAGCCTTGCCAGACATGTCGGCGAAATATATTCCAGCACCAAACATTCCACTCGTGCTCTTCTCGAAGAGACCAACTCGCAATCCCTGGCTCAGAATGCCAATGAACTTTTCACATCCGGAGCCATGCCAAAGCAACAATCTCTGTCCGATTTTGTCACTATTGGCTGCCCTCCACTGGTGGTATCGCTCAGTGTCCTCCTGACGTTGGATTCGAAAAATGTTGATGACCTCCTAATAACCTCATAAGAAAATTGATCCTTTGCAATAAGGCTCCCGTATAGGATCCTTACCTTGTAAGTGACCGTGTGGAGTGACCCAACCGACATTTTGAGATAGTCAACAAGGCCGTCGTATTCTTTAGTTTTCTTCCGAACTATACAGCATCGTGAGCCTCCCATGACCCCAACGATATACACAACTATACGTACCTTGTTTGATTTCGGACAGTCCTAGACAAAGAAAAGCTTGTTGTAAGACCTCACTGGACATTTCTCTACCAAAGAGGTGGGTTCTATCCATCGTGGTCCGCAGTTTGAGCATAAGTTCAAGATTTTGGAGCTCCTGCTTAAGCCAGTCGGGGTCTGTAGCTAGTGGTTCTGAGCTAGAGCGACTGCAGATACCGAGCAGACCGAAGTAGCATTCCTTTAAGTAGGTCGCGCGACTGTGCTTGATCCACTCGACGGGCGAGTTCCGAGTCTTTCTTTTCACAGTTTCCGCCAGGGTGACGCGGAGTTTATCCAGGATGGCCATTGCGGCTCGCAGGGTATTGTCATCAAGTTGATTATGATTGACTGTCTTGATTCGGAATCTAGCCATATCGTTGAAGAAATGGCCGACTGCCAGTCTATTGCTGTGGCCGAAAAGGACTTTCAGAACACCTGGGACTCCCTGGGGGATCGTTACAGGGACTTCTGCTTGTTGAACCCCTAGTACGATGTTCTTCTTTTCTTCCTCGGACAGAGGTTGGAAGAAGATGCACCGGGAGTCAATTGGCACCCAATCTTGCACCCCGTGCGGGAGGGAGTCGCGCTTATCCCAAGATAGGAAGGATTGTTCGTGGAAAAGCCTCTTGAACTCGACGAGGGCTGATTTGAGATCGCCAGTACCATGAAGTTCTCCCTCCTCGGTCTTATCATCCACCAACCGGAACCACGTGTGAAACTTTCCAGAAGTGAAGTTGTATAGAAGTTGGAGACGGTGCAGGGAGATTTTGCGGGTTGGCGCAGTTGGGTCCATCTCACCCGCCGGGTTCTTCGATAGCTTGTTAATTAGTATGGCATCCCAACGGATCTCCCGTTCGTCCATCCAAACTGCTATTTCATCTCCTGGTCATTGATCATAGACAATGTCAGTAAAACATGTTAGGTTTATGGTCAATGACCTTAAACCTACGGGGAGTGCTTACCATGAGTATCATATCGATCGTCCACAAGGGCGATCAATTGCTTCCGATGAACATGCAGGTTGCTTCTGTGGACTTTCGATTGCTCCTCAATTGTGTCCTCCTCTGGCTCAAATTTGCGCTTGTTGCTCTCGGGGCTGTCCGGGGAGCCTTCTGTTACCTGCGAACTCTTTGGAGCATCGTCTGCCGCCGGTTTGAGCAGATACCCGTCAGTGTTGACCGGGTGTTTGCCGTTAATGGAGTCGACCAACCACTTTATACCGACGATATCGCAATTGGTGGCTTTCTGGACTGCATCAACTAGAAGACAGTATAAGCTAGTACATACAACACATCTTGCAGTAATCTATACTAACCTTTCCTTGTGGCATTCTGCACATATCTCGATGTGGTAATGAGATGCGTGCAGCCAGTCACATTGAGTTTCTCGAACCTTGCACCACACTCCTCCACCATGCGCTTGATATCGTCTTAAAGCTGTCAGTGACCCTGACAATATTATGACAAGCACCCACCCTCCAATACTCCACTTCAACGTACCATGTGTCTGGCCAGGAATGGTTCCGCTGGCCGTGACGACGATACCAGCGAACGGGTTTGGCGTCATCTTCGACCTTCACAGTAGCACTGGGCGAGGGGGAGGTGAGACTGCTTTAGGAGGTCAGGCTTGAAAGGCTACCGTCGTGAGTCTTCAGAGGCGAGCGAGGCCAGGGAAGGAAGTCAAACCAGAGAAACTGAACTGAAGGTAGAAGATGAGGGTCGCCTCTTCTCTGGAGAGTTGGTGAAGTCCGTAGTGATAACCGGAAATGCCAATGTGAATGGATATAGAAGCTACCTGGATGGCTATAGACGTACTTTCCGGCGGAGTCAAGTGGTTTAGAACATTACGTGGCAATCACTCTAGCATCAGAAGGTATGTTTGCTATTTCTAGCAAACCTGAACTTGCCGCAATATGCATGCATCTACTGCTACCTGGGGGTTTATCCCGGTATTCCTAACAATGTTGTTGAAAAGCTTATCACTGCCAGGACGTCTTACGGGAACATGAGGAGTAAGGTTCAGAGTTGAGAGGTATTTGGGCAAATATCAAATCTGGTTATTCCCATCGTAATCAGCAAAGGGAGATACCAATGGGAATCATAAACCATAAATCATCGAGGTACTCCTTGAATCATTGGAGCCGCATCCACCTAGTTGCTGGTGAAGTAATTGAAGGCCACAACAGGGCCGAGGTTGATCTTCTTGGCCCACGCATCAAGGTCGTAGCGCATGCGATTCCAGTTGCTCAGCTTCTGGCCGTTGGGAGGAGCATGGGCTTTCGCATCGAAACCAGCAGGCTCTTCGTACAGGAAGAAGATGTAGCGGTGAGGCGAGCTACCGGGAGGTGGTGCAGGGCCGATGTAGTTGGCGACGAAGGGAGCAGTAGTGTCAAGGGTGCCGGACTCAGTGACCTTCACACCAGGCTGGATCCAATGCAGGATGGGTCCGAGAACATCAAAGGATGGGAAGGGAGCATCAATGTCGAGGCTCACGACGAGATATGTCTTGCTCGAGTCGAGGCCAGCGAAGGCAAGCTCCGGAGGAGATTGGGCGTCTGTAAAATGGTGGTTAGATGGTGACCAGATTATCGATGGATACGGGTACAGACCTGCGCGAGGAACATACTGGCCTGGCTGGACGTTCTTGTGGTTGCCCACATTAAGGCCCAGCACCTTGGACTGATCGTCCTTGATGAGAGCCAGAGCTGCTTTGACCTGCTGGTCGGATGGCATTTTGGATGAGATGGTGGGATGTGATCGGGAGGGATGCGAAGAAGACGTGAGTGTCAGGAGTGAAGTCGGCAGATTTCTCGGGATAATTCAAACGTCACAGTCGCGCCTTCCCTTGGAAGGGTTGCCAGGTTTAAGCTTTAAGCATTCCCAAGCTTCCGGAGATAAGCGGCGTTTGTGTGACGCGCCTTCCCACGGCAGTCTCCACTCTCCACCAAGTGGACGCCTTACACATCCAGGAACTTCTTTAAATAAGCTTCATTGGCTAGCTAAACGAAGGCACCAGTAAGAATTTCCATACTCCGGACAGTGCTCCATAAAGTGCTCCATACAGTGGACCCTTGCCATGTCGGCAATCCCACCCACGCGACCTCAGGGTGCCTAACTTTGATCGTCTCTCAGCTACCTCGCCTAAAAACTAGTTCATTCTTTGACAAGCCTCTTCACCTGCACCCGAATACTATAATTCCCTTCGTCGGGGAATGGAGTTCCAAAGTCACGAGCAAACTCGATATTCTTCTCGGTAGTCTCAAACAGCCCCAGCTCGAACCGGCGAATAAGAGCTGCGGTTGCAAGGTATAGTTCCGCGTAAGCAAGGCTGTTAATCCAGTAGGTCAGTATGGATAGTTCCAGTATCCAGGAAAAGAGTTTTTTTTGGTGATATCCAAACTAACTTCATTCCCAGACAGATACGACTCCCTTTTGAGAAATTCACAAGGTATCGATCTAATCGCTCGCCCTTGGCGGCTGCTCGCGTCCATCTTTCGGGATCGAAGGTATGTGGGTCAGGGAATATGCTTGGATCCATAAGCACAAAATAGTTCGTTTGGCTGATCAAGGTCTAGTATTGAAGGCTGTAAGCACCCATTCTAGCTAGCAAGGATCATCGATATGGACCACTTACGCCGGGCGGAATGGTATAGTCCTTGTACACTAGTGCTTCTGTAGGCGCTTTGCGCGGAGATCGACTCGCAATTCCCGTCGACAGACGAAGCGTTTCTAAGATAACTCCGGTCTAGAAAAAAAAAGAATCAGAGATGCCGCGGCTTCGTAATATGTGGATGGAACTTACTAAGTATGGCAACTGTTCCAGCTCATTCCAGATAGGCTAGAGTCAGGCGTGGGCATTACCGATCGTAATTCTTCGCGCAGTTTCTTTCGTAGGTGTGGTTCATTGATTAGATGAAACATTCCAAGAGAAAGAGACCTAGCGGTGGTCTCTGTGCCCCCAATCACCAGAGAAAAGCCTTCATCGGTCAACCGATCGGCAAGTCGGAAGTGATCCGGTACGTCAGAACCGGAGAGCTTTTCAATGACGGATCCAGACTTGCTTCCCTGCCCAGAAAAAAACTCATCTACTCCTCTCCGGATATCATTTTTCTGGTCTTTCAAAGGCAAGGCGTATGGATGGATCATCTTTATCACATTGGGGGGCAATGTGTTCATAATGGTTTGTATGATCGGAAAGAAATATGCAACGTGTCCCATCCGGAACAATCCACTCACTCCATCTCTTAAGTTCTCATTGAAGTCTTCCTGGTCAAGATTCCCACTGTTGAATCCAAACACGTATTGGTGGATGATATCCGCAGTCGTCGCAGAGAAGCCTGCATCAAGGGTAATCACCTTGTGTGAATGATACGCACGCTCAAGGTGCTGGACGAGCTTGTCGAGACAAAACTGAATTGTGCTTTCAGTTTTGGTTACTGCTGCTTTCGAGAAGAACTTTTCCACTGGTGCTCGACGCTCGCGATGAGTCTCGGGTGTAATGCTGGAGAAGGATGAGCCAGGGATGTCGAATCGACCAACTGCAGCGGGATCTTTCTCCCGTCTCCGGCCACTGGAAGCGTATATTTCATCGTAATAGTCAGGATCTTTGATATGAACCTCACCTGGGCCGACGCGAACAATGGGACCTACCCAGGAATGAGGGTAAGACAGCACGATTGAAATGAGATGGAACACCTACCATAAGTGTCATGTAATTTTTCCAAATGCCATATAAACGTGCCCCGTTTAATCACGTTGAAGTAAAACTCGTAGTAGCTGCTTATAGCTGCCAGCTTTGGCCCTGGAATTTTCTTCAGTGGATGGAAATATAGTCGGTAGGTGGCTACAGTTATCAGGTAAACCAAAGCCCACCAAGTCCCCAAACTGTCAAATTGGTCATGGTGCTTCTGATCCCTAGACTCAAGAGAGGAAGAAGGGTTAGATTTGTATCTTCGGGAATCGAAATGCAGGAGTCCGCTTAGGTTTATATCTGCTTGCCGGCATCACAAGCTTCAGCACATCGACGCACCAGCAAGAGCTGGGACTTGAGACTAAAACTCTTCCTCATGCAAATGAAAATAACCAGCCATATGCTATTGAAGGAAGATAGAACACCGGCAGACACAGGGTAGCAACCAAAACTACTTGATGCGGCTAAGCCTTTAGTTGTCACTTGCACTAGCCAATGACACACTACTTTGGCCACCGAGCTCTCGGCGGTATAGGGGTGATTGGCTCTTTGACCTGCACAGGACGTGCCTCATGCATCAATGGCTCGCTTACACGTCTCGGTGTTATATTGTGTCAGATATAGCCGAGCACGTTGATGTTGCCAAAACAGCGCATTGGTCTTCTTGCTCCTTCTGTAACGCATGGTCAACTAATTGGGGATGGGGAGCAGCCGCTGACATCCAGAAAAGTGTGTTAGCTGAGGGTTGTCTGCAGACCCCTATGCATGTGCAAAGGAAGTGACTTAATTCCACCATGTCAATGAACGGGTCGGCACTATTCGCCACTTATGAAACTTTTTAGTTATACGCGACGTATCTTGACAAATTTGATAGCTGCAAAGCTGCTGGAAACACCACATTACCACCTACAAACTCCGCGCCTGCGCAGTCTACAAGCAGGCTTGGCCACCTCCGAAGTTGGGTCGTACTCTCGATAAGCTCTGTTGTTAAGATGGCAAAAGGTAGCTGTTTTGGATAGACTGTAATCGGACATTGCTTTGCTAAAGATAATCACTTTATCTTGAGCACAGGAGTCATTACTGGATTTTATCCTTTGTTTTCCAATCAGTTCCAAGAAGGTGGAAATTAAGTTGGCACGCGGCAAAACGTTTGTTTAACCTTATTTTCACTCATAGCCCCTGGTGATGTCACAAGAACGTTGGATAAAGGAGGCGATTTTAGATGATCTACAGGTATACAACAGGCCACCGAGGGAGTAACGATGAATGAAGAGTATCCACTGCATGAATGAATTTAAACACAAGAATGGCGGGTCGCATCCAATCCAGAGTTTCCATATAAGACCGTCCACCCACTAATATGCAGAAACGCTAGACATGCACCAATGAACCCTGTCGAACCCATATCTCCATCGAACACGCCCCCGTCACATGGTAGCGAGGCCCTTTCCAATGCAAACTGCAGCCCAGGCGAACAACCGAAAAAATAACTATGGTATTTCCAACTCCAAAGACAACCAACCAAAGAATATAGACGAGGTATCATAAAAATAGGTACGGAGAGAACGAGGATAAACGACCGAACACAGACCAGAACACCTGAAGCAAGCTTGAGAGCATCCTAATTACGCTTGGGTCTTAGGACTGATGTCAGGTGAGTGAACCTTCTGCTCGGCAGAGGTCTCGATCGTATCGTCCGACTCCTCGTCGACCTCCAGCGGCCCAAACTTGTTGTCAGAGAACGGCTTGCTAGTGTCCACCTTCTCAGCCTGTGACTCAACTTCAGGCGAGGGGAACTTTTCTTCGAGCTGGCTCAGCACATCCTCAGCACCCTCGACTTCTTTCTTCTCTGCCTTGGTCTCGGCTTTCGAGGTCTCGGTCTCTGCAACAGACTCCTCGAATTCTGCCTTGGGTTCTTCGGCCTTCAAGGCCGCGAGTCCTTCAGCTAGAGTGTGTTGCTCGTTATCGTCCTCATTGTCGCCACGAGCTGAGAGGAACTCGTCCTTGTCGGTAGGAAGCTCAGTGTCTGACTCGTCGAAATCAACATCGTCCACAATAGCGGGAGCGACGGTGCTAGTCTGAAGTGTCTTGACGTTCGAAGGGAGTCCTGTGGACTCAGTGGACTTTTCGGTAGACTCGGTCGCCTCAGCAGGAGTTTCGGTCTGCTCGGTGCTTCGGCTAGTGTGCGAAAGTGCGGTGGGAGACGTTGATTCACGACTAGAGCCAGAGCCCCAAGTGTGTCGAGGGTGGCGGGGAGGCAGGGGTGGAGGAGTTCCGCGTTTGTTGATGGTGACCAGCTTGGCTCTTGTGAACGTGGGCGACATGCGTCTGGAGTCGACAGCGTCAACCTCCTCCTCCTTCGGGCTCTCCTGCCTCGTGATAGTCGCGTTGGAGACTTCATGCACTTCAAAGTCGTCGTCGTATTCAAGAGAATGTTTTTTTATCGGCCTCGACTTGTCCATTGAGACCATTCTCGTCTAGTTTATCGTCGTGGGCAACCTCCTCTTCCAACTCGCCACCATGAATAGGCACCGTATCCCAACCAGCCTTCTCATACTCTTCCCACGGGTTCGCAGACGGCCCACTGGCGGATTCCTTCGCGCTCAGTGAGGACTCTCGGCTTACTGACGTGGGCGCAGTTAGCGATGCGTCCTCTGTTTGTGTGCCACGGTCAACGCTCCTGTAGCTCTGTACGCTGGCCCTCCAGCTATTCCGCGGTGAGCTATCGAGGCTACGCCGGGAGAACGTCGCATACACCGGGCTACCGGGGCTGGGCCGGAATTCAAAAGCTTCATGACTTGGCCTCACCTTCGAGCCGGCCTCCCGGATAAACATGCCCTCGGCCTCCAACGCTTTCACTCCATAAGGGTCCGGATCGTCCATATGTGGCACGCCAAAAGGATGGTCATTCCCTGTGACGTCTAGATCACCAGGGGTTTCACCTGGAGGTGGAACCAAGCTCTCGTCGACATCCACATCGCCCTGGGCTGCTTTGACGGTTTGAAGAAGCGTCTTGATCGAATCTGGTGGATGGCGCACTTTGCCTGCCAAAATGTCGGTCACGGAGATACGCTCGCCGTAGAATTTCTCATTTTCGTCGGTTCGCTCAATGATGATCGTTCCATCCACGGCCACGCCAGCATATAGACCCTTGCTCTTCATATATGTCCAGATCGGGGACTGACGTTTGTGGACTTCGGAATCGAGTACGCCACCCATTCCTACGGGGCCGGCGGCGGCACTGACCTCGCCACCGAGTGTGCAGCGCACTTTCTTAAAGGCTTCGAGGGCTTCGTATGTGTTGATGACAACGACGCAGTCGTAAATGTCGACACCAGCCAGGAATCCAATGGCAGCAGTATGAAGCATGATACCCGAAGGTGGACTCCATTCTCCGGTCTCGGGGATACGGGCCAGCAGCACACCACTACCTCCCGAGCCACTGATCCAAAGACCAGTCCTCATCGTAGTGAATATGGCGAGACCCTTGGCGTTTTTAACGACCTTAGAGGGAATTTTCTTGATCACCCGTTGCTTTCCTTTGGGTCGATTGATCTTGCCATTCTCGTCGGTGGTCTCTTCGGACTCGGGGGCATAGAAGCCATCTTTGCAGAAACTGCGCAAAATGCGGGCAGCTTTGTCGCTTTCCTTATCAATTGACATGGGCCAGAAGGCCTCGGCGCCGAGCTTGTTCGACAGGCGATTGACGGGCCCGCCCAATTTGTCGACGGTATCCCATGCCTTATCGAAGCCCTTCTTCGAATAGCGCTTTGTCTTCTGCCACGCAGACATGGCTGGCGCTGAAGGGGGAATGTGCAGTTTCAATCAGATCGGGCAAGACAGAGAGAAGAAAGAATCTATCAGCGACACGCTATATGACACGCGGAAGTTGCGCTGCGAACAGCAATAATCATGGAACCCGGAGAATGCTTCTCAAAACGATCCGGAATGTCCAACCAGCAATCGGGTAGGGATGTTTTTGGATGAGAAGAAGAATCCGGCGCGATCTGCAGGGTCGCCACTGGAGAATGCGTGCGGGGAGGAATGCGACAGGTCACTTTGAAGTCGGCACGGCGTGAGGAGTGGGAACCCCAACTGGAAATCGAGTCAACATCCATCAAATGGCCTGATACAAGAGAATCGAGAATGGCATGCCCAAATCACCAGGTAGTAGCTCTGCTTAACTACCACACGAAATGGTGGTGGCCCGTGGCGATCCAAAGGCTGGCAAAGCTGGAATGCGAGCAAAACACCGGAAAAGAAAGGCTTACCACAATGGTGGATGACGGGCGCAGAGCTGGGGATCTGAGAATCTACGTTGATCGCAGGATTATGTACAGGATGCCCAAATGGAAGTTTAACAAGGCTGTGGATGGTGGAAAAAGAGGAAAAAGGAAAAAAGTGGTAGATCCGGAAGGACCAGGCACCAGGGCCCAACTTATGAGTCCGCCAGCGCTGATGAGCCACGACGGATGACTATGACACAGTCTTGGAGAAGATCGGGTGAGACGGAAGGCGGGAGTGTGCCAATTCGAGTGGCATAAGAGGCCGAGTGGCGCCGTGGCTAACGACAAGGCCTGCGCAGACCAACGCAGACCAACGCAGACCAGCACAGAACCCTGCGAGGCCCATGGAACGCGCGGAGGGACGTCATCATCGACTCGGTCGATCGGCACTTGTGCGACAGCCTGTGGCTCCACGATTAACCATTATATTTCCGACGATTTCAAATCCTCTACTTGTGTGATTACTAAACTATTAGCCTTTTGCGCAACTGCATCTGCCCTGCTCGGACTTTGATAGTCCCGGCCAGAGACGATCCAGCTGGGCTCAATAAATGGCGTTGTTCACCTGTTCCGCCATGCTTGTCACCGATAGATCACAATGCCCCACTCGCCTCTGGTAACTGGTAATCAAAAGCTTTCCACAGAGATCCGATAGTCGAGGCCTTGGCTTGCCTCGGTCCGATTGGCCTACACGGCCAAGGCAGAAATTGAACGAGATCTAGATTTGGTGTGGAAGATTATTAAGGGTACAAAATCATTTTGGATCCCGCCGGATCGACATTATAAGGCTTGCTTTTTCATCAAAACGAAACATGGCGTAAATTATTCGAAATCTATGCAGAGCAGCGAAAAAGTAATTCCGCAAGGGGAGATGTCGATGGCTATTCTACAAAGGACAGTGGTATATTGGTCAAATTAGATATCAGAATGCCCTGAGATATTCCATACCACATCGTTGATAGTGTTGGAAGATCATTTTACCTCCTAGCATGGAGAATATCAAATATGACCCTTGTGCTTTGGAACATCCAGATCTCAGCGAGCCACCAGCCTCATGTATACCCCGCGCTGCGGCTGAGGTGGATTGTAGACTCGCCACAAATAGCCTCTTTCAACCCCGACAAAAAAGAGCAAGATATAGCGAGAGTTAATGATTGCCCTTCTCAACACTCAGGTACAAATGATTTGGGTGTTCTCCATCGAGGAAAATTATCATAGCTTCATGCTCTTCGAATCGACGTCTTGGTGTCTAAAACCAAGCTCGCAGTGCTCCAACCATCACCAATACGACCGTAGAGTAACTATGGTAGTAATGTCCATTCATCCTTAAAATGGCCTTCACTCCTTCTGGAATCTCCAATCGGCTCGCCAATTGCCCGATTACATTTCTCCCACCGGTTCTCCCAACCTTAACACACCAGGCGATTTGCAAAGTCCTTCGTTTTATGACCAATATAAAGTTTTAACATGTGGGCCTTTAATTCTTCGGCTATGCTATAAGCAGTCTAGAAGCCACCGGTACAGGACCCGGGCCAATGGAAGTCGCAAAGGGTTTCATGCCCGTTTGCTCAAGCTTCTAGAACATAGTAGTCCGGATAGGTCAATGAGGTCGAAGAGAGAAGATGTACAATACCGAAAAGTAATTGCTCGGATAGGAAGTGCAGTGGTGCTCCATAAGTCTGCGTCCACCCTCGTCCTACCGCCTAGTCTTCCGCTTTCGGTGTAAGCTTTGACTAGTGTATAACTTGTCATAAAAGACACTCTAGTTTTGTTTATCATGAAATTGAATCAAATTCTAGCTTTGGTCTCTATCTATCTCCTTGGAATCATGAAATTTGGGTAAGTAATGCAGAAAGCAGTAAGATTATTTGCCCGGCAGAATATTATGTCATCACCAGGTGGACGAAGACTTATGGAACACCACTGTACTACGCATTCTCAGTGGCAGTGCAAAACTAACAATCTTAAGAACCAGAACAACAGGCGAACCAGCTATGCTTGTGCTTCAACTTCTACCATTTGGAATGGTCTTTTCAGACGCATATAAAATCGGGCTTCCTGACACCCCATGAGTGATGTTTAGGTCTACTATTGCACTCATGACTGATGAGATGATTTGAAAACTTGACGCAGTTCCAAACGCATGGGGTCTCAGTGTACCGGAATCAACAGAAACAGTTCGAGCCAAACGAAGCAGCATGGTCATATAGTACGATGACTGCCGGTCCAAAATTGATGATGCCGAGTAGATATGGAGGTACCATCAAACATAGCGTAGTTTCAATTAAACCAATCGTGACTTGTGATGCTCAGAACAATCTGATTACATATTGGCAAATATCAGCACAAGAGAATTGGTATATCTTCGAAAATGATTTCTGAAAGCTCTTTTAATTTGTTCAACAAGACATTCCAAGTGCATAGGTATGTCACGCTAGCCAGTATGGTCATGAGAAGACATCAGAGTGTTGAAAAGAAACAAAATCCAAGTCTAGCCGGATCGTTCGTTGGTATAGAAACACATAGGACAAAAATATAACAAGACAACCACAATATCCATCACGTTTACAGGGCACCAAGCTCCTTCAGCTTGGAGACAAGGCCATCAACATCTTCGACCTTGCCGCCACCAGTGCGGGCTGGGGGCTCTGTAAAGCAAAAATATGTTAGCGGAGGTATCTCTTAGATGCGATAATCACAGGTTTCCAACGTACCAGTGACCTTAATTGTCTTCAACCGCCGGGTATCCTCAACGCCAAAGTCGGCCAGGGTCTTCTTCTCCAGAGGCTTCTTCTTCGCCTTCATGATGTTGGGCAGACTAGCGTAGCGGGGCTCGTTCAACCGCAAATCGGTGGTAATAACCAAGGGGAGCTTGGCGCGGAGGGTCTCAACACCACCGTCCACCTCGTGGGTAATCTCGACGGTGCCGGCCTCGTCCTTAACCTCGACCTTGCTAGCCTGGGTAGCCTGCGGCCAGCCCAGCAGACCAGCCAGCATCTGTCCGGTCTGACCCTGGTCACCATCAATAGCCTGCTTGCCCAACAGCACGAGGTTGATGTTCTCCTTCTCAACGACACCCTTCAGCATCTTGGCGATGGTCAGCGGCTCGGGGGCACCGTCTGCTGAATCGGGGACATCGATGTGGAAAGCACGGTCGGCGCCCATGGCCATGGCGGTGCGCAGGACATCGGGCGTCTTGGGGCCACCAGCGGAAAGGGCCAGAATGTTCTCAACCTTGAGGGGACCCTTGCGCTCGCGCAACCGCACGGCCTCTTCAATCGAAAGCTCGTCGAATGGGTTCAAGGAATGCTTGACGCCGGCAGTCTCGACACCGGTTTGCGCCTTGTTGATGCGAGGCTTGATCTGTAGATTTCAACATATTTCGTGTCAGTCTAATACGCCAGGAATTGGGCCATGATTGAAGGGCAGAATGTCCATTTGAAGTGCTCTCGTGCAAGATTCCGATCCCCGGTCGCCGGCACGCAGCATGGAGGGGGAAGATACTACTCACCGCATAGTCGATCACCCGCTTGACGGGGACCAAAATCCGCAAGCCGCTAGCCATAATGAACTTTCTCGGGAACGTTGAACAGAACAAGAGAGTCCAATTCCGGGGTTTTGTTGGAAGGAGGAGCCCGGGGTTGAAGTTGGAGAAGTTCGGAGGAGGAAAGAGTTGACTGCGGTGACGGAGTGCCAAGACCTCGAAAACGCCGACGCGGCCCGAGTGTAGCCCTCCTGGTACCACCGCCCCTGCCGAGGTTAAGCACATACAGCCTACGGTCTCTTGGACTGGTGGGGGATGGGGAAGGTTGAGCGAATATTTGAGATATCCAAGGTACTTCGTTGAAAAACCAAGCTAGTGGATATTGGGGAATGTCGAGAGACATAGTCATCATCTTATCATACCATCTATTGAGCTGTATACATCACACCTCTGAGAGCACGAGAACACATGTAAACCTTTCATGTGCCAACCCACTCGAGCTTATTTTCCTTGAGTAATGTCCTATAGTAACATGAATATTCCGAGATGGAAACGGTATGTATTTCAATCTACCAGGTCTCCTGCTTATACCGCCCACTCTTCTCCATGCCAATCAGATACTCCTCAGCCTGCGCCCGGGTATATGGCTGCCCGGTCATCGGCGCTCCTCCCTGCGCAAATGCCTCAATGAGTGCCTCCCGCACAGCTTGTGGCATACGCCCGGAAGAACCACAGATATACACAGAGCCCTGCATGTCGTGTAGAAGACGGAAGAACAGTGTGAAGTTTTGATGAATCGTATCCTGCACGTAGATCTTTTGTTGCTGGTCGCGTGAGAACGCAGTGAGCACTTGTAACGGTATGACTCTACTGAGATGCTCCCACTCTTCTTCGAAGAAGAAATCTGCGGTGCGGTTGCGACCTCCATAAAGTAGGACGGTGGGACCGATTGGGGGCTCGACGCCTGGATTCTGTTCCCGGAATGCTTGGACTAACGCTGCCTTTTCCCATAGCATTGCGCGGAGAGGTGCAATTCCAGTGCCCGGTCCGATGAGAATCGTGGATGCAGTCAGTTGTTGGACCGATGAATTGAGTCCACCTGGCTGCAGTTGCACCCGAAGTGTACTTCCGGGTCGGAGCGTGGAGAGGTATTTCGTGCAAACACCCTCACGGATCCTTTTAATAACGGTTTGGTACTTGACGATGGCGATGAGAAGCTCAAACTGTGTCTTTCCGTCCTCGGTCTGTTTGCGCTCTCCACCACTGGCGATGCTGAATTGTCGTGCACGAATAACAGGAAGGACAGAAGCCGCATGCTGCCAGGGAATCTTCACCGAGTCGAACTCGTGCAGTACCTCGAGGATACTACGTCGTGGCCGAGACGTATAGTCCCATAGTTCATCGAGGTATTCGGGATTCGTGAACTCAAACAGTCGCTCTTTATGCATGGTATCGTGGGTGTAATGAGCGATATTGGAAAAGAACGATCGACGAGGAATTGCCTTCACATCAAGATAATCAATGAGGAGAGAACGCAAGGTCAGGTTGGGATAAGATTCCAGTCCAGGAATAGGTGATGGTGCAAGAATATTCCCTGTGGGGACAAGAGCAATTGGTTTATCTGCTTGTTCATTCCAGCCCATGATATCGATGAATGCTTGAACATCTTTTGGCGAGGTTTTCGGGGTAATGGCGATCATGTCACCAGGTACATATGGAACGGATTCTGGCACGGTGATGGAGATTCGGCGGACGTCCTGCCAATGCTTCTGTGGAGTGACACGCCTGTTCTCTGTCAGAGTTGCAGTTATCGTGTCGGGAAGCGGACGAAGATCATAGTCCAGATGCGTCAAGCCAGGATATTCGTCTGTTTGCGCGACATCACTTTCTGGGGCTTGTGGCCGAGTAGCTGCAACGGGCACCGCATTACTTTTTGGTTGTAAGATCCATTTCGGGGGTAGCTGGACATCATCTGGAATAGGATGTTGACCGGAGGGAAGGGGATGTCTGTCCATCAGGTGCTTTCGGAAGTCGGTCATCCATGGTATAAAGGTGCCTTCCAGCCTATATTACCAAAAGATTAGTGAGACAGGACCTCAAAACGATATGAGGTAAATTAATATGAGTACCGACCCTTCAGGATGTTGCTGGTCTGCCTCACCAGTTGGGTATATGTCATTTGCTCCCAATTGCAGCAACCGCTTGTAGAGCTTCCGAGCTGCCCAATTGAACCTGAGTATGGTGAGTATCTCTTCAGGCTAAAAATCATTGCTCACACACCAAAACGTACTTTGGATACGAGCTATCTCCCAAGCCAAATGTCGCAAAATTGACCCCTTTCAAGTATGTTGGCGGGAGCTTCTTGAGCAATAGCGATTTCCAGAACGTCCGTGCATTGGCTGGCAGGTCACCTTGTCCGGTTGTCGAAACCACAAAGATGGTCAGTGTATACGAGAGAAGGGCCTCCTGAGGATCCGAATAACGGTGTATTAGCCATAGGTCCTCCGGAAGGGCGCAAAAGGCCAAATTATGGCAGTCGAATCGCACTTACGGGCTTTGACTGGTTCAACTCGGAGACATGCGTCGCGAAACGCAGCCTTTCTGTCAACGCGCCCAATTCCTCAGCCACCTCCTGCGCATTGCCAGTTTCTGTGCCATAAAGAATGAGTGCCGACCGGTCATGGTCGGAACCCTGCGTGCTCATGCTGGTCTGAGATGTTAATGGCCTCCCTGGTTGCGTGCCCCTCTGCATCTTAAAATTCCCCAAATTCGGCCGCGGGGTGGCCGATCTCGCTGGCTGACGTCATCCGCGTGTCCCGCTTCGTAGGGCAATTGTATAGTTACTTCATTATACTGACTGCGCTGTCACCAACTGCTCGATTATAGAGACATTATCAGAGCGCATCAGATGATGTAATTGGTCTTTGCTTTGGTTGGAAAATCCTTCTTGGCGTTACTAATCCCCTTTCCGTCCTGGGGGAAAGGTCAAACCCAGCTTTAAGTGGGGGCTTCGTGAACTACGCCTACTGATACGCTACGCTGTGTTGAACCCCTGGGGGGGTTGAGGGTCCATAAAGCATTTATCAGAAGTCATTGACCATTTGGATTGAAAATTGAAGCCATATTGAATAGAAAGACAACGCCCGAACAGCCTTAAAGGCTGCATGATGCAGATCGAATGAGATTGACATATCAACTCACGAGACCATAACGCTCAAGTTTAGCAACAGGAAGAAAGAAGCGCAGGAAAATATGAAACAAAGAAGGTTAGGGAAAGGGTATCTCGAGTTCGCGCCTCAGTAGGTATCCTCATCACCGCCGCCTCCACCATCACCGAAGCCATCGTCCCCGAATTCGTCGTCACCACCATCGAAGTACTGTTCTGCATTGTAGTCGCCACCCATATCATCTTCGTCATCTTCGAAATCGTCATCCACAATTTCTTCCTCGGCCTCCTCATCGCCATCGAGCAGTTCGCCTTCGTCGGCATCTCCTTCTCCGTCATCTTCATCTGCCCCAGTAGCGCGTCGCTTTGTTGCTTCGTCCTCCTCATCGTCGTCATCTTCAAAACCACGTTTGAATCCGATCGCAGCAGTCTGGACGCTGTAACCGTCGACGGAGGCGTTAGGGCGGAAGTTGGGCATCATGGTCTGCCAGAGCTCTCGAGGGAAGTATCGTGTTTCTACAGGAGAGAGACAATCAGCTGTTGGACTTGCAAGGAAGAGCCAATTTAACATATCCCAAGCTTACCATATTCGCGACCAATGTTGGCGACCTTAGGAAGCGTTCTCCTCTTCTTCTGGTATCGTCCGGAGTAAGAAGGCATGCCGTGGAATGGATCGAAGTTGGTTCGTGCCGCGCTACCCTTCTTGGCCGAGGAGGAAGAGGTATCGAGCACAGAGTAGTAAGGTCCCTCGTGGAACCTTTCGCGAAGGTGTCGGTAGTAGTCCACCTCGCTTTGCTCTTTCTCGGAGAGCTTGCGCGCGGGCGGGACAACATATGCCTGGAGAATGAACTTGCTGTTAAAAGCCATGACAATGGAGAAGTCGCAAATGACCACGACAGCAGTACAATGGCGAGAGAAATCCCAAGGAGGAAAGTGTGAACGTACTGGATATAAGGGAGTAGGAGCAGTGTCCGGCACGCCCCCGGGATCCGTATCCCAAGTGAATTCAGCGCCAGGCGCGCGATTGCCCTTTTTCGCTCCGAAGCGCGACATGGGCGGCAAACAAATACGCGCGGAAATGTAGGAATGTAGTTATTGAATACTGTCTGGGCGTCACAGCGCCATGATAAAATGAATGCTGGAGAAAGCAAGCTATGAGTCGGGACCAAAAAAATACCGTTCTTGGGCTCACCGCCTGCCCGCCCGATCGGGGAGTTAGGGCATTATTCTGCCCTACGATTGATGGCATTCCCCGCGCTAAGATAAGATGTGCAGATCAACGGGTTCTACAGTAAGCTATGAGACTGATACAAGGCCGGCGATTAAAATTGAGTCTGTCTCCTTCAGAAGCGCCAGTAATAAGACCCTTATAGGGAATAGATCTAAGTCCGTGAGCTTACAAGAGCAAGAGAGATATATCGTCTTTACACTAAGTCGCACTGCGGTATGGAATCAAGCCGGGAGATAAGAATGTGCTTGATTCTAATTAGATACTTCAATTTCATAACTTCATCACAGACCAACAGCCGTCACCTGCGCAGTAGCAGACTGGATAGGACCCACAGGGCCTTCACTGACTCGTTGTCGTAGCGTTCGCAAGATATCCTCGAACCCTTCCATCTGCCCACCGCTTTCTTGGAGGCGATTGTACAGGGCAACAAGAACCTCATGTTTCGCCGTAGCCACCTTCCAAACGGCATTTTGAGAGTCACCGGCACCGCCTCCCACAAACTCGGCATATGATCGTGGTGGTTTGAAGAGATAAGGTAGCAGTGTTGTCAAAGCAGGAGGAGTAAGAACTGCCCATGGGCCGGACAAGGGAAGCAAACCGCTTGTTGCAGGTGAGAGTTGCCCCAGACCTTCTTCCGACGGCAGTTGGAATCGAGACGATTGATTAGTAACAAGCGATGCAGGGGGTAGTGGTTGCCAGTTGGCCAGGACAATAGCATTCATGAAAGCGATCGCAGACAAGGCAACGTCCTTCATCACCAGAATATCGGCGGCGGCAACAACGTCCGTCCAAAATCCTGGATTGTGGTTGAGGTACATAAAGTACAGCATGCGTGCAGCAGCGGCCTCGTGTTGCCAGTCAGTCGGGGTCTGACCTGATGTGTTTAGATCCATTGCATCAGGCATCTCGGTCCGCGCTGGGCCATGAAAGATCTTTCCAAGGACATCCAATGCCTCCCCGTTCGGGGGGCTGGTAGGAATGTTCAACATGGGGTTTGAACCGTGCTTTCCGGCTTCGATCAGCAGCACCCGTGGGAGGGAGGCCAGGACGGCCAGATGTCCCGTGGGAACATCCCCATGCGCCCATTGCGTGGAGGGGATCGCAAGAGCCCTATTTATGCGCGCGATAATACCGTCCAGAACAGTGAATGGATTTGTAAGAAGATGGTTGGGGTATGATTCCGCATACTTTGACAAATAAGCCATGACTGGACCAGAGAGATAGAGGAGATCCACGGGATCAAGCCTTGACTCGTCAAGATAGTATTCCAACACTTTCGAGTGGAGGTTCTCTGCAATGAGAAAGTCCAGTGAAGGCGAGGAAAATGTTGACACCGACTGCACGGAGGCGCGAGCCACTAGGCCTGGAGCATCGATATCGAGCAGATCTCTGAAGAAGCTCAAGAGAGCCATATGCATCAACACATCACCCAAGTCGACCATCTGACTTGCCGCGAAATGAAGAAGGCTGGTACTTTGGTATTTTGCCTCCACATCCGCGACCTGAGACTTCGATATGATATCCCAGTGTAAGCGACCAGCCTTGACCAGGAACCCCATTAACCTGCCTTGCGCGAAAGTCCGCTCACGCTTGGACAAATCTCCGGGTGCATCGCTCCTCAGACTGCATAGCCCAAACAGCAGACCATAAACATCCTTATCCGTGAATACTCTCCTCCACATGAGGCCTTGGCCTGCCCGTCCGTCATCGCCGGTATGATCATATTCTCCTTGCTCGAGAGGGCTGGCCGAATCCACCTCCAATAGAGCCCACAGCGCATCAAGCGCAGCCTGTGCAACTGCCGTCGATGATGTCGAAAGCCACAGCTCTACCAGAGCGGCGACAAGGTCGGAGTCACCGGCGACTATCGCAGCATCGCTAGATGACTGTCCAGCTTTGGTCACTAGCGAAAGGGCAAGAAGGTTTATGGGTTCTGACGGAGCCTTAAAGCCAGCGATGAGGTTGATTGTGGGCTGGACGGAGCGGATATCCGTGAAGCTGAATGAGGCACAGGCCGCAGTAGCAAGTGTGGTAAGTGGCGTAGGGTCCTCTTGGAGGACAGGCAGAAGAACTGAGATCTGCGATAAGAGCGTGGCGGGGACAACGGGATCGGTGCTATCGATGAGCTGTAGCTTCAGCCGGGCAATAAGAGAGGTGTCAAGGGGCGTAGATGGATCCTCCTGCACGTTAGCAAGATGTGCTTTTACAGCATCGAAAGTAGAAGGAATAGCCATTGCGGCGGGGAGTATGATGGGCACTTCGAAGAAATCAAAGCCGAGAGAAAGCAACAAGCGGGGAGAAAGCCATGGGCGGCGAAGCTAAAGCTATCGGCGCCGCCTCAGGCAGCACCCCACCCAAACAGACCAAACATGACCGCATCGCATCACCTCTCAACTTCAACTCCGCACTTCTTCACCACTCCCGAGCGAGACGGCAACCATGGATCCTTTGCAGTCTCTCGTCTCCTCAAAGTCTTCGGACTCGGGGCTTCATATTCTGCTTCACCCTCTGGTTCTTCTCACCATCTCCGACCACATCACCCGCCATGCAGTACGTCAACAGCAAGGTCCAATCATTGGGGCTCTGCTTGGCCAACAAAATGGACGGGAGATAACCCTGGAGCAAGTGTTTGAATGCCCAGTCACCATAGGGGAGAATGGAGAAGTCCTTCTACCCTCAACATGGTTCGAAGAGCGACTGAAGCAGTGTATGTACAACCAAGTCTTCAAGCCAACAATCACCACCAATAAATCCCAGTATACTGATAGGACATACAGTCAAAGACGTTCACAAAGACCCCGCTCTCGACCTTGTGGGATGGTGGTCAACTGCACCCCCATCCGGGCCTGATACCTCCCACCTCCCTCTTCACAAACAGATCCTCCAAGACCACAACGAGTCGGCCGTCTTTCTCGCTTTCCACCCATCACAGGTCCAATCGAGGACACACGGCGCTAAGCTTCCATTAACAATCTACGAGACCGTGCTCGAAGGCGAAAATGTTTCCGACGCGACAAAGGACATGCAAATCGATGGCGAGGAGCCAACACCGAACATCCGCTTCCGCGAACTACCGTATTCCGTAGAGACGGAGGAGGCTGAAATGATCGGTGTTGATACCATCGCGCAAACTGCCGGAACAGCTTCCCGGAGCGAGATCCCAAGTCAGGGTACCAGCGCTCCTGATGGCCAGAAATCAAAGGATAAAGAACAAAAGAGCACACAGGCTGAGCTAACACAAGAGGAAGAAGAGCGTATGTTTCCATTCCCGTCCCGATGATCTCCCTATCTAACCCCAAATCCCAGTGATCGCAAATCTTAATACCCGCCTCAATGCCGTCCGTACCCTCGAATCCCGTATCTCCCTCATCAAATCCTACGTCTCCAGCATCTACGCCCTCGAATCATCAGCAGCAGCGAACGACGACCCAAGCAGCCCAAGGCTATCTCACCCCATCATCCGCAACATCAACTCTCTCATCTCACACCTCTCCATTCTCTCCCCTAACGAACAAAGCCCCTTCTCGACCGAGGCACTGTCCCAAAGCAATGATGTCATGCTAGTCTCCCTGCTCGGTCAATTGGGCGAAAGCGTCAAGGCCATGCGCGAGCTGGGTCGCAAGTCGGCTATTGTGCAATCTGCGCGCGGTGGCGCAAATACGCGCAAGCAACCCGGTCTCGCGGCGAGAACGTTTGAGGATGAGCTATTTGCTCATGGCGTTCCTACGGGTCCAGAGACGGCAAGGATGTATTCTTGAGGCGGCAATAGAGGTCCCATAGGATTCTTCGTGGCACAGGTCCTGAGGCCATTACCTTATGACATGTCTTCTTTTGCCGAAGCTTAGAATTCTGTCTGCTTGCTTTTTACGGCCTTTTCTTTCAGCGACACTTCTAACTAAATGAGATAACGAATCTACCAACTTCAATCAGGAATAAATCGACTCCCCGGACTGCGTCCACTTTCCGGTATACATACTTTGATAATTTCCAATATCAAAAGGCTCCTAGATTCATGAAAAAGTGTGGTATACAATAAGCATCGCTTGGGTATGCCTCAAATGGATACAAAGCATCATAATGAAATAAGTGACATGACATCAAAATGGAAAGAAAAAAAAATACATGCCAATGAAGAACAAAAGGGTATTCACATCCGTAAAACGGAACTGAAAAGAAGAAACGAATTAACAGAGAAAAATGGTGGGGAAAAAACAATCTAGGCCGGAATGCCCGACCAGCTGCTGCTCATGAGTACCATCAGTAGGGAAGAGGAGAGACCAGCCATCCCGATCATAACACGCTGCTGCGGACGCAGAAAGAAAACGAGTCAAAAATCATGCGAAACAACGTCATAAGTGAGCCATCAATGCGAGATTATGAACGGTGATAACTCTCGGGATATGGTGGCGGGGGTTGATAGAGATCAGGCATTGGCATTGGAACCTGTTCCCTAAGGGGGCCGGTGGCCGAGTATGGCTGGGACCCTTGGTCAAGGGGGTTATAGGCGGTATTTTGGTGCTCGATGTCATCGTAGGGTGATGAGTTGTTATGTCCATAGAAACGACCAGACTGCCCGTGGCCTTGTGAATAGTCGTCAACGTCGTCTTCCCACGGGGAGGCATCGACATGCGAGGTTGACGGGTTCGACTGGGCGTGGGCAAGTAGGACCTCGCCCTCTTCATCTCCGGCATATCGGCCGGTCCGACCCCCAGACATGGCGGTGCCGGCACCGCCATAAGCTGTGCCGTTGTTGATGATTCCAGACTCGGGGGCCTCCAAGCCGATGGTCTCGTTGTGAGGCTGGTAGCTGGAGTCCTGCATGCGGTTCTTGCGGCCCACAGCCAGCCATCGGATGCTGCGGCCAACAGCCTTGATGAGATCCAACGGGTTCATGGCATCGGCCAGGGCATTGAAACCCCACCGTCCACCTTCGTACGATGCTTTACCGTTACCGTAAAAGTCGGTCACTTCAGCACCCTCGTTTTTGAGGGCGTAGTGTTTCCAGGAGAAGGCCCATAGGTGCAGAACGGCGAAAATGGACATTTCGATATTGATCAGTAGCTCCGGGAGACCGTACTTTAGGTCTGCCATGGCCATCTTCTTTGTCTCTTTGACAGCGCCTAGGGAGACCAGCAGACTGATAAAGGTCGATTGCCAGAATGAAAGGAAAATAACCAACTTGATAGACAGAATCTTCAAGAAAGGTTGGTGTTCTTCAATGTCTTTGCGGATCTGGTAGTAAAACTGGATCAAACAGTACATGGCTATTGAGACGCTGATTGACTCGATGATGATTATCTAAACATCCAGAAATAGCAGTTAGTGGTGAATCATATTCCCCAAAGGAAAGGAGAAGAGGCATACCCAGACGTGCGCAAAAGCCGGGCTCATCGACTCTTCGCAATATCTACCAGCTGCTTGAGTGGCGACCGCAACGATAGTCATCAACACTCGAATCACGCAGTATTGGAAGACACCCGCCCAGACCACCTAAACACATATTTCAATCAGTTACCAGCCCACGCATCCAAGCGCAACCCCCCGTGTATCCCTGTATTCTACTCACATTGAACCAAGTCAGACCGCTGCGCGGGTTGCGCCACGCCCCGCGATGTCCAAAGCAGCACTTCCACTTTTGAAACCAGCTCAGCGGCCAGAGCCAGCCCTTGGGCTGAATTCCACGGAAATAATCCTTCTGGCTGTGTAGGTCGGGCGCAATGTAGTGGCACATCAGGGAGAAGAAAGCCGCGATACAGAAGGCTTCGTAGCAGTTACCGATGACCTCGAAGTATACGGAATCATTGTAGAAGAGAATGCTGAGCCAGGCAACGATGGAGTATACGGGGACCATGAATAGGATGCGAATAATGCTGTGATCGAGAGAAGAATCAAAATTGTCAGTCCAGGTCTGCTTCATGGTCCGCAGCTTACAGCGGGGAGGGGGGGGGCCTTCAATTCTCGCTCCATGGGGAAGGTTCCACTCACTGTCGTTGCTCGATCGGTTTACTGTAGTGTGTGGCATGGCTCATAATCAAGAAAGCGGAAACGGCGCAAGCTAGTACGGCGCAGATGCCGCCCACGATCAGGCTCAGTTCGTGAAATGTAATACCGCCATCCCAAAGATCTTCCTCCACGACTGTCCGGAGCGCGCGAGTTAGTCCTCCGGCCACGAGAAACACAAAATTCACAGGAGGGGGAGCGCATACTCTTCTGATGCTCCTCGGTCGTATTGCACACAGTCCAGGCCATTCTGGCTGGCGTGGGAGAGCGTGTCGAACGTGGAGGGTTTGACTTTGAAAGGGGACGAGTGTGGAGGTGGCTGCTTCGTGGCCCTGATTATCTTATCCGCGGATCTCCTGGCGCAGTCTCCGTCAACAATGCGACCGGCGGGGGGGGGGCAGAGAGAGATATGAAGAAGCACAAATATTGACCGTGGCTGTGGGGGGAGGGGGGACTGCATAAGACGACTGGATTTGAGAGATGCAAGCCACGTTGATCCTTTTTGGTTTCCCTGAGAAGGATGCCTGACAGCTGAGAGGCGCGCAAAAAAAAAAGATCGGCGAAGGCTTGGGAGGAAGGCTTGTCTATTTTTGTCGGCTTGGCCCTCTCGCGATTTGCGGTTCCTGGCGGCTTTTCTGGTTCGACCCAAACGGTACCAAATGGTGAGTCTTTCTGGTTGCCTGATTGTTCTCTCTTGAAGGAGGAAATATGGACTTGCAGGATTGGGAGTTTTATCAACTTGGATACTTGTGTGTGGTTTCTTATTGTACATCATGGCTATGTTACATACTCGACCGAGATCAATCGAGGTCATTTTGCGCCCCTGGATTCTCGTTCTTGTCCCTTGAGACTTCCGAGTCATTTCGCGCATAAAAGCATCATCCATCATTCACCGTCGACGACCATCTCCACGTCCGCCACCTCGTCCACCGCCTCGTCCCCGGTGGGCGCCCCGGGCGCCAGGGCCATACTCGGGACCGCCATCCACGAAGCGATCCTCATCTGCAAACGTGATTCGGCGCATCTCGTCACCACCGCGGCGCGGGAACTGGCCCTTACGGATCAACTCGTCAAATTGATCCAGGCGCTTGTCAGCCACCTCTCGAGGAACGCGAAGATAGTACAGCTTGGGCTTCGTAGTAGTAGACTCGAATAGGTCGTCTAAGGGCTTGAAGCCTTGACCGGGTCGCGACGGCGGTGCAGGTGGGGCATTATTAGAGGCACGGCGTTCAGGCTGAGCAACGCTGCCACGCGGACCTAATGGCGGAGTACGATTGAAGCCGGGCTCGCGCGTTTTAGATGGTCCGGAGCGCGAGCTTGACCCAGCTTCTGCCAGGATAGCGACAATGCCATCACCCTTGGATTCGTACTGAACTTCCCAGCGAGCGGGGGGGCCCAGATCGATCTCGTGCTGCCTCTTCGGTACGAGTCCATTCTGGGATCTGTTCGTCAGGGATGAAGTCTGCCCACAGACTCTTCCGGTTGCGCTCGTTCGGCCACACTGTTCCGTGGATTGCAGAGCGGACCCGTGCCGCCGCCGCAATGTCACTGAATCGGACGAAGCAGTGTGTCTTGATGGGATCGAGCCAAAATTCTTTCACCAACTCGGCCGCAATGGGTGCCTCGGGTGTAGACGCCAGACTGATCAGGTGGTTGCGAAGTCCGTTGGGTTGTAGAGGACGCATGAGCCCGTCAATGTAGAGAGAGCAGGTTGCGGGGTGAATAGCAGGTTCGACAGTCGCATCTTCCATGGCAATATCCCGCACTGGAGAAGGTGGGCGAGGAGGTGCAGGCTCTGCAGCAAATAGCCCTCGAAACCGTGCATCTTGTTTAGCTGGTGCGACAGGTTCTTCTTTTGGAGTCTCGGCTGGCGGCTGTTCTGGCTGCGCAAAGTCTTTGGGGTCCGTTCCAGGAGGAACGTCGTCTTTCGATATGACAGGGGGGCTCTCTTCCTGCGCTCGAGCTTTCTTCTGTGCGATCGCCTCGGGGGTTGGGACAGGGCTCTGGCTGCGGCGCTTCCGCTTTCGCTTATCCTCCAAGACTTCTTCGACGGGCAGGGGTGTTGACAGCCCTGTGTTTGCTCCCGATGTCTGAGTCACCGAGGGGGCGAGCTCGGTAGTGGTTGTAGGTTCCAATGAAAGAGGCTCATCTGCAATTGCGGGGGTTTGTTCAACGGGCTTTGCGGGCTCTGCGGGCTCCGAGGGCTCTGCTGCGGTTGCGGTCACCTCAGAAGGTGAAACCTCTTGGGAGCCTTGCTCCTCGGCTGGTGCTTGCGCATCAACCACTCCTTTCACATCTTGCGACACATCCTCTGTAAGCGTCTCTTTATTCTGCGCCTGGGTTGCGCCGGCTTCGGACTTGGGGGTTTGTTGCTCTTGCGCTGGTGCTTCGGCTCCTTCTAGCTGTTTTTCTTCGGGTTCTTGGGTGTTGAGCTTTTCAGCAGGTTCGGGAGCAGATTCCTGCTGAACTTCGGTCGCTGGAGCCTTCTCAGGAGCAGGAGCAGCCGCGTCCTCAGGCTGCGTTTTGGCGTCTTCCTCCTCTAGCCTGTCGATGAATTGTTGCTTGAGGCGCAGCCCAGTCTGAGGGATTCCCCGCTTTTTGAGCTCTGCCTTGAGGTCGGTGACCTTCCACGAGGAGTAGTCAGCCATCGTGTTGGTGCATTGATTGCTGAGGAGAGAGAGGGCAGATGTGAGAGGTAGAAATTGTGTAGGGATATGAATCTGGGGGACGCGCTGGAATGCCGCGCCGATGATGTAGGGCGTTAGCCGGATTCGGCCTAGCGTGTCTTCTGGATTAGTCGCTAGCCAACTCTACTTTTCTCTGTCTGACCTCGGCTCTACGAAGGTTGATATGAGTGTTGAGTTTCATTCAAGATGAGAGGACACTAAAGGTTGAGGTGCGGAAGTATTCAAGACTAGTCTACATTTGAGACATGATACTAGGATTCAGCTCAGAGTCCAGTATTGGTCGATAAAACCCGTCGTAGATCATCTTCCAACTAATTCGATATATATATTTACCCTCGTTGTTCAGCCATCCACCAGTTTCCTTATCCACTTGGGACCCCGCTAGTCAATGGCTTCCAACACCTATCACAGAGCTATCATTCGCCTCGACATGAATGGAACATCCGTCAAATCCACCCAACATCGTACGCGGGATGGAATGGACTACTGCTACCTAACGCTACTCGTATGTGCTTTGAACAGGGCTACAGCCCGTAGATGATTCCCAAAAGGAAAACGTCCGAACTGCGAGTTGAAATCGGATTTGAGTACTTTCGTTCGCTTAAACTAACCTCGACTAGACTACCTGTAAATTGGCAACCGCAGAGCTGACTGCATATCGTGGCTAACATTATAGCCAATCATCATATGCAACATGTCAAGGCTGCTTGTCAAACAACTAGAACACTGCAACCTCCAGAACCTCCAGTTCAGCTTGGCCAGATTGATGTTGGCACCTATAAGTCTCTCATCGCAACCCTGCAGTTTGTGAGATTTACTATTCACATCACCACCGAATATGAGTCGCGATTATGCTCGCGACAGCGACAGCGGCACCGATTACTCGGAGGGGTTGTCCTTGCCGAGTCGAACCAACGAGCCCCCGCCAGAAGTCGAGTCCATCGTCGACCCAGACGTTGACGAAGAAGATGATGAAGAAGCTGAGGAAGACCCGAATGAAGACGCTGATGAAGAAAACTCAACACCATCCCTGGGTTTTGCTAGAGACTCGTCGCCGATTCATGTTGTACACCGCGCTCAGCGAGCACGGCGATTTGCAGTTCCAAACCGAGTAGTAGAGGCTCCCCAATTCAATGCGCGCGCCCAGAGAGCCCCGGAACACCGTGCCCGGACTCGATATCACATCAGAAACTACAGTCCTATTCTACCTGTCAGCGAGTATAAATTTTGGTTCAACCAGGTACATTCCAAGTTTTTGAAACGCCTGAGAACTCAACAAAGGTTTTCAATTCGGCGATCAATCTACCTAGCTGTGCTGGCACTATACGTTTCGTATGATGACTTTCGAGTTTGGAACCATCTCTATGGTCCAGTCGGGGCCATTTCCATTGCTGCACTCGCCAAGAAATCAATATGGAAACTGCAAGCAGAGGTCCTGGCCTCCGTTGTCGATGAGCTTCAATGGAGATATGAGCCAGAGTCTCTAAAAGAAAAAGCTCCGCCCTTTGGTGCCGAAAAATCATCAACTGATCCTGCGCAACAAGGCATTCCTATAGCCGAGAAGCAGGAACAGAGCAATGGTGCGAACCCCATATCCTCGGAAGGCCAAGGACCGCACCGTGTGAGTCGGGCGCCTTCTGCGGATAGCCATAGGCCAGAACGGCCCGGCTCAGAGGACTCCCTGCAAGATCGGCAAGATAACGCAGCTGGACGGCGGAGAAGTCCAATGAATCAAAGACCACATGACAGCCCGGGGCGAAACATTGACAGGGATGCTCCAATTCCCCCGGCTGGATTTAGCGGACCGGGACTGTCATTCAAAAAGGCAGTTGAAGACGAGAGTGCTAGAATTGGCACGTCGGTAAGATACTCTACAGATTCCAAAATTCAAGCACAGCCTGGCTAAGCAAGTGATGATAGGGTGGTATAATCACAGCCGTGGCTATGGCAGCCCTAGCATTACAAAATGTATCCCAGACCCACTGGATAGCTCGATCATGCTGGACATCGAGTATGGTTACTGCCCTCCTAGCTGTGTACTTCTCAAACGATCAAGCTTGGACTATTAGCCACCTATCATCCGAGAATAGACTGCGAGCCTGGATCATGGACGTTGACCCCACGGATGACTACGAAGAAGCGCTTTTGCAGAGACTCAAGCATCAAAGCGAAGACTCGAAATCGGTTATCTTGAACAGTATAACCCCAGCTCCATCGTCTGCCATCACGATATCAGCCCCGTCGTTGCTATTATCGTCATCTCTTTTGCTCCTTCTCTCTGGAATGGGAGTTTTCCTCGCGTTCATCTGGACCCGTGAAATTGACCAGGATGCTGGTACCGCAAGCAGCAGAGATGTCTTCATCGTCTACATTGTTACCCTGGGTGTGTCGCTAACTACCGTTGGCTTTTTCTCATTGGGCCGAGTCGCTGTCCCTATACGATATACAATTATCAAGAGCCTCATAGGTCTTTCAATCGATGCTCGAAGGGAGGGCGTGACGAATAGGGTGGATAAGAAGGAGGTATTATTATACCGACAGCTACAGTCTATGTACGATGCGAGAGAATTGATGGAGCGCCAGGGAGCGAGATTGGAAGAAAAAATAGAGGATTTGCAACGTGCTTATGCTAGGGGCTGATATGAGCCCATAGAGATCCTTGTATATACTTCCATCCATCAATTCGAGCATGCTAGACTCTCAATCCACTATCCCCTCAGGCAAAAATGACACATAATCCAATGGTGCTGGCTCAATTCCATCAGGCTTGCCAACAATCTTCAGCGTATCTCCATTCTTGACCTCGACACCTCGGAATTTGATGCGAATAGCAGAGTGTCCATCCAGATAGATAGAAGTAGTGTGGCTATAAACATCCTCTCCATTCCCCACCCATTCGCCGACCAGGTTGTCATTCAGGTAGACCTGCCATTGAGACTGCCCTCCATAGGCGTCGTAGTAATTCACCGCAAGATCGTACGTTCCAGAAGCAAAGTTAATTTTGGTGGTAGCCGTACCAACAGTTTCATTCGAGGTTGTCACAATAGCCATGGAGCCAGAGGCAGTCTCGAAAGGGCTCACTGTGTATGTCTTGTATCCATCTAATTTCATGTTCTCTGCTTCGATACGCCACGAGTGATGGTTCACACGGTTGGCGGTGTCGGGAATACCGGAGAGGTTGTAGTAAAAGTTGTTGATCGCGTCTCTCCAGATGATCGAATGCCCAGATTGATAATCCAATAGACGGAGGACGTGGTTGTATCGCTCATCATCGATCTTGCCCTTTAGCGATTCCCACTGTGTGAAGAATGTCTGCGCTGTCGCCGCACCGGTGTAGTGCGCATCGTAGAAGTGCTGAATGACTGTCTTGCCGGAGTGCAAGCGATGGGTGTAATTGACATGATGGAACCAAAGTAGAAGATCATCCGGCGTCGTGTCAATGCTTTCGTACATAGCAGCAACCTCGTCTGGGTATTGCCCAGAGAAACCCGTACCATTGCTCACAGTGCGGTCCATTCCAATGCCTATGTGGTCTGCGCGGGTCCACTGACCCCACCCATTGTTATCTTGGGAGGCAGGGTTCGGTCCATAGTGAGTATACAGGATATCGGTCAATGTTTGAATTCCCAGATTCCCGCTGTAGCCCTCGTATGCGGGCCATGACTCCATGGACATTTTCGTGATGGTGTTGAGCACTGTTCGGTCCAGGCCGAATGTCAAGCGAATCCAGTCTTGCAGCATAGTTTGAGAATCATCTGTAGGATTCCATGCAAGTCGGCCGTATGCGTAGAGATTAGACATGGACAGATGACTGCCCAGCCAAGTCGTGTTGGTGCCAACGTTGACAACAGCGGCTGAACCACCCAACTTGCGCTTGAAGCGCTTGCCAGTATAAACATCTCGCACGAGAGAGGGCTTGCCGTCTACCCGTAGATCAAAATCCAAGACAGTCTTCCACAGTGGGGGTAGATAGACGAGGTGCGATTGTTGGCCTAGATACTCTTGAGTGACCTCAAGTTCCATAGCAGTGCTTGTGTTTAAGAGATTAGCGAACAAGGGAGATGCTGGCTCGCGGACCTGGAAATCGATAGGTCCGTATTTGATCTGCACCACCACATTATCATCGAATTCGCCATCCAGATCTTTGAAAAAGTTCACAGCAGCATTAGCACGATCCTCCGTCCAATTTGACTCATTGAGTTGATTGTAGACGAAGGCACGGAACATAACAATGCCTCCGTATGGATGCACTGCTCTGGCGAAGAGGTTCGCGCCATCGGACAATGTGCGATTGTATGTCTGAGGACCGGGCTGTCCTTCCGAGTCCGCTTTGACCAGGTAGCCCGCCATATCTGGAACATGTTGATATACCTGCTCAGTGATGTTGCTCCACCAGCTGATGACCGATGGATCGAGCGGGTCGAAAGTGTCCAGCCCACCTAGGGTTTCGGGGGATGCGAAATTGAGCGAGATACCAACTTTGATACCGTACGGCCTGAAAACGTCCGCAATTCGGCCAAGGCCTTTGAGATTCTCGGGAGTAAGCAAAGTAGCATTGGCGTTCACGTTGTTGACCACCACAGCGTTGATTCGAATCGACGCGAGCAAGCGGGCATATTGCTTGACTCGAGTTAGGTCGTCGACGATAGCGCCGTTATTGAAGAATATTGAAGGACCACCATAGCCTCGCTCAATTGTACCGTCCATGTTGTCCCACTGGTTCACCCAGCGAATTGGCGCAGAGGGGTTCGTGGCGTAGGAGACTTCAGACAAGTTGCCCTGTGCCAGCATCGACAGGTACTCGAAGGCACCGTACAGTGCACCACTCTCAGTTGATCCAAGAATACGAATCTTCGGGCCTTCGGTGCTGAGCCAGAAACCATCTTCCTCCAGCTCTGGGATTTCGCTGGATGATCCACATGTCTTGCGATACTGTTCCACCGTGCCGACGACAACGGTAGAGGAAGATGTCTTGCATTGGATCTGGCTGATTTGAGCATGAGCTCCATAGATGCGCTTCAATCCGTCCTGTATTTCCGAGCCTGCAGCATATACGGGACTGGTCTCGGTCACATTTAGTAACATAATACTAGCAGGGAGCTTGGATTGGCATTGATGGGAGCATGGCAGCGAAGCGTAACGAAGCCAGCCATCTAAGCCGTTCTCAGCGGCCACAAGGCCTAAAGATGCGAGAAAAAGAAGGCATCTCATAGTGGTATTGAAAGAGCAGGGACGAATGCTCGACAAACGAGAAAAGATCTCAAGATCAGGCCATCAGCCCCCTTTATACCGACTCGCACGAGAACAGTCGAAGATCAGCGCGTGATTGTATAATGAGTTTTCCTGAATAAGAGCTTCAGGCTAAAGTCCCTCAGCTTGGCCAAATATATTAGGCTATCCGTGGGCCAATTGCAAGGCAAACTGCGTGTAGATCACATCGGTGCGAGAACCTGTGCAAATAATATGTGGATACTCTGGTTTCCCCGCAAGCATGGCGTGGGGGTGACCCGTCTGGGCATTCCGAGAAATATCCGCAACAAGAGTGAACGAAGAAAAAGGCGAAACGAAGGAATGAAGGCAGATCGAGGAGACTCTGACTGGATGGTGTTGATTACGCGCGAGTGAAACAAGACAATCTCTAGGGAATATCAATGCGGAAGCGGTGACTCTTTTGGAGAAAATTTTATGATTCAAGACTATTTCTAAGGGTCGCCATTAGACCCTCATCCTTTTTTTCACCCATAAGAACACCGAATCCAGTGCGGGCTTGAGGAGCAGGGCCAGCCGGCCCGACGTCATAAGTCGTGACTTTTGAGTGCGCAACGTGAGAGTGTTGCATTTAAGCCTCACGGCTGAGGATGTCGGAGTCACCGGCATCCAGGACAGCCATGGTGGAGCAGCGGAAGAGCTTACCGCAGGCAGTACCCAGCTCAATCTAAACGGATGGGCAAAGAAAGTCAGTGCTACGGTTCGGCTCTCCGGGTTCCCACGTTCGGGGAATCCCATCGCTGAGCAACTTCACTCTCCGAAGCGGACTGTGCCAACTTCTTCTCTGAGTAGTGGAGCTGGCTGGCAGCTGCGACGGCTCGAATGAGCGTCGACTTAGAAAGGAGGGTAACGTACGTTGTTGCCGTTGAAGTGGTGGACGGGGACCTTGGCGAGCATGGCGTAGTACTCGAGCTCAGACTTGCGCAGAGGAGGGCAGTTACCGGCAATGAGGACCAGCTTGGCCTTGCCAGAGCGGAGGGTCTTCATGGTGGACTTGGAACCCATGGTAACTGGAGGTACGTTAATATCGATGCACTCAATTTTCAAGCTGGGATTTGGGAAAAACTCACCCTTGCCGGACTTCATGACGAGTGCCAGGCGGGAGGCGAGGGTGTCACCGGACTTCTTGGTCTTGGCCATTGTGATGGTTGGAGGGGTGTTTTGAGGTGTTTGGGTGAGGTTGGCGATAGTACGAGAATGAAGAGAGAATATTGAATTCGACGAAAAAAGATTTGTGGGCTCGAAAACTCGGTAGCACGTGACCCACCGCCTCGGGCCTGTGTCCTGCGGTGTTCGGCATTTTGCCGCGGGTTCTGATTGGACGTGGCCCCGCGGGGTTCCTGACTCATTTTGGCGGGACTCGAATTATTTCTTTCGCCCGCCTGCTGCTCCTCCTCCCTTTCCGTTCTTCATCTTTTTCTTTTTGCATATTCTTCGACAACCACAAGTCACAATGGTTGCCGAAAATAGCAGTGCGCCCACTGCGAAACTCCGTCAGTCTCTTCCTTTTTATCCCCCGATTGATCTGGACCTGAACGGCTACTAAATCCCGTAGAGAGAGTCGATTCCCAGCCTGAGAACCCATATGCGGCCCTGATCGAGGAGCAATCCATTGCGATCATTCCCTCCTTCACCCTCGAGTCTGGTGTCACTCTGTATAATGTGCCGGTCGCCTACACTACCCGTGGTGTTCTGTCCCCCAAGGGCGACAATGTCTTGGTGATCTGCCATGCCTTGAGTGGGAGTGCCGATGTCGCCGATTGGTGGGGCCCCCTCTTGGGAGGACCGGGTCAGGCCTTTGACGTCTCCCGGTTCTTCGTCGTCTGCCTGAACAGCCTGGGTAGCCCGTACGGTAGCGCGAGCGCGGTCACCTACAAGGATGGTAAGCCTGAGAATGGCTACTATGGACCCGAATTCCCGCTTACTACCGTGCGGGATGACGTGAACATCCACAAGCTCGTCCTGGACGACCTCGGTGTGAAGCAGATTGCTGCGGTTGTTGGTGGCTCCATGGGTGGTATGCTCACTCTGGAGTACTCTTTCTTTGGCAAGGACTATGTCCGTGCCATTGTTCCAATCGCGACATCTGCTCGCCACTCCGCGTGGTGCATCAGCTGGGGTGAAGCCCAGAGACAGAGCATCTACAGTGATCCCAAGTACGATGACGGATATTACCCATTCAATGATCCGCCAGCGACCGGTCTTGGAGCGGCCCGGATGTCGGCATTGCTCACCTACCGCAGCCGCAACTCATTCGAGTCACGGTTTGGACGCAACGTGCCGGATCCCTCTAAGCGCCAGAACATCAATGGCACCGAGAAGCTACCCACCCCTCCCAATGAGCATTGGGCTATCCACAACGACGGACACCGCGGTGGTGTTACCTCACGGTCGGAGAGCCGACAGCACTCCCCCGTCCCCCAGTCGGATGTTCAGTACATGGATCCCCAGTTCTCCGGCACCAAGACCTTCTCTGTGCCGGCCCCAACTAAGCCCGATGGCCGCCCACGTCCACCAACCTATTTCTCTGCCCAGTCATACCTCCGCTACCAGGGTGACAAATTTGTCAAGCGCTTTGATGCCAACTGCTACATTGCTATGACGCGCAAACTGGACACCCACGATGTCTCTCGGCACCGTGCCAGCCCGGATTCAGAGAACCCTGCCCTGGAGGCTCTATCTAAGGTTCAGCAGCCAGCTCTCGTCCTGGGTATCGAGTCTGATGGACTGTTCACCTTTGCCGAGCAGCAGGAAATTGCTGCTGGCATTCCCGACTCGCGGCTGGAGCGCATTGATAGCCCCGAGGGCCACGACGCGTTCCTTCTGCAGTTCGAGCAGGTCAACCGCCACATTGTGGCCTTCTTCCACGAAGTGCTGCCCGACATCATGTCTCAGTCTAATGTTGATGGCGCCGCAGCGGTGGCCAGCGTCAACAAGCTGACGAAGAGCAGCACCTTCGGTGAAGCCGAGGTGGAGGATATTACCGCGTGGTAAATCCTCACCATGAAATAAGATAACATTGGCGCAGTCACTTGCAGCCACCCCCATGCTCCTGTCACAGGCACGGACTTTCGCCCGGGAGCCGCCCTGCCTCATGGCCTCTCCACAACACGCAGCGCGCTTCCGAGCGTCTAGTCTCGCACCTGGGCAGGTACCATGGCGTTATCAGGGGAAGTAGAGGTTGCTGATCTTTTATCCGTTTCGCTAGTCAGGGAGATGAGCATCCAACTGCCTCTCTCGAATCTCACCTGGTCCATTGCAACAGCGTTTTGCAAGGCCTTGTCGAGAAGACTGCCAAAGAAGCATCCAACTGCTCTCCATCTGACCCACCCTCTGGGTCGCTTTTCCAAGCGAAAATTCGCCTGGGGGTTGATGGGTCTATTTTGAACAATCCGATAGCCAGGACTATTTTTCGCACTGGCTATCCGTGCGGCGAACGCGTCGCCCTTCTTATCTATCTTGAAGCATACCATCAATCACCATGTGGGCTGTCCATATAGACGGCCTACTGTGAAAATATCTCCTTTTTCGTAACTGTCATCTACATATCCGTAGATGGAGCCTTGTAGATGTTGTTCAATATGTCAGTCTCAATGGATAGCACGATCTATACGTAAATCCCCACAATCCTCGGTCATCCAACTTGTATACAACCTAAAACAACAACGCCTCATGGTGAACTTATCTGCGAGGGAAGACTCAAAACACAGATCAACCCGATGCCTAGAAAACTTCTAGTTCCCAGCCTATGTCAGTAAAATCCAAAGAGGCTCATCTTCCGAGTATTCTAACCTCACTTGTTTGCCTGCTGAATAGCTAGACGACTCGAAATAGATCATTAGCCCTCTGACTGCCTTACATAGTAAACACCTGACCGCCGCATATCTCCATGAACCGAACAGTAACCGAACAATTAGGATCCCAAGTGTCTCCTCGTCCGTTCAGAGAAACATACCCACTCACTCAACATTCCGGTGCACGGTCGCAGTCATGGAAGATCTCCCTCCGCCTCTTGGGGTCGCCATGCGCCGCGCTAACAAGCCACAAGGCGAGACATGTCCTGGTCTCGATCGCCTGGCCAAGTACGAGTTTTACAAGTTCCTTGGTGCTGATAGAGAACTTGACTGGGGTTCATTACGTACAGTCTGAAGCTATCATTAGTTACCGGGTGCTATAGAGTCATTGTTTACGTTTCTAGGTGTTGCAGTCTTCTCCTACGGACGATTGGATAGGTAGGACCGCGCCGAGGACGAGGAGCATATTGCACGAGGAAGCATGAAGATTGGGGCCGAAGAATTCCCGAGAATGCATGTGGTTGATGAAGAACTCGGGCTTGGGGGCTATATACTAGGCTTTTCCTGCAGGAGGGTGTTCTGCGTAAGTCATGGGGCTGAGGTTCAATGGAAGAGATCGTCCCGACCAGTGTTCTTGTTAGTCAGGTTTGTGGCGCTTTACACAGGTAGGGTGGTTAGATGCGAGTGCTACCGTGGTGAGCGACTCGAACGAGGAGGCTCAGTGCGCAGTAACTGTAGCGAGACTAGTACGGAGTAGCTACTGCTAACTAACAGAGTAGTGTACTTAGTGTAGCTGGCCTGACTGGACTGAACTATGTACTTGAGTAGATGTTTTTGCCGAAGTCCATGAGAGAAATAACCACTCTGTTTTGTAATTGATTTAGCAAGACTGGTATATAGCACGTCGCATTGAAATCGTCGAGTCGTTCAGCATCAGACTGTTGCAGAGTCTACCATACGACTCTGCACCCCCAAAATCTTCCCACGTTCTACAGCATATATGCTTGTGCACGTTAAATTGTCAAGTGTATCCTCGCCCTTTGCATGGACCTCATCGCCCTCATAAAAGCGGCCGCAGCCCAGAGAGGAAAGCCCCAACGGGCGGACACAATCCTGTGTACGGAGTACTCCGCATATAGGTGCATATACTCCGTAGACTGGAATAATTACATAGTGACTTCTGTCGGTAGAGTTAGTTCCTTTTTTTCTCTTTTATCGTGTGACTCGTCGTTAGTGTCACAAAACAAGGCCTTAACCTAAAGAGGGGGCAAAGGGGCCAGACAAAGCCCCCGAGAACGAGTCAGAGCCCTCGACCGAGCGGGCTGGATGTCTTAGACACTTTTAGATTTCCGTTCGAGACTCGTCCAGGTGATCTTCAACCACTTTGTCCAGAAGAATGATAATGATGATGATATGGCCCTGGTCAATAGCATCGCTGACTGAGTAGTAATGGAGTAGTAATGGATAAGACTGGTCCTTGATGGCGGCAAATAGAAAACCTTTGATACTGTACTCCCTCTCCTCTCTAATTTGAGGGATCATTCGAGAGCGTGCAATCACAGCCCTAACCGACCTGATTGCGTCCGCGCTAACGCCTCCCTGCCCCGGCTATTTGGTTGATTTAGTTTCCCCGAGGTTTCGACTGGACTGGATTGGGGCCGTTATCAAAGGGCCAGAACCTAGAAATGGCTATGATAGTCAATGGATTCGTTCGCGCCGGGCGTTATCGCGGATCCTCGCCTTAGCCCTTTGGTCCTTCGTGCAACGGTAGCTTCAGGGCTATTTAGTCCTTTGATTTGTCTGTGCTCTGTGAATCGTCAGGCCCTCCTCCACATGAAGCCGATGGCGCCCGCTAACAGGTGGACAAAGCGGACATTTCTTGAATCCCCGTCCTGTCGGTCATTTCGACTACTTCTACCTTTCTCTTTCTCCCAGAGATTTAGTCCGGTTTTGCCTTGTCTTTTCTTTCTCTGGCGTCTTTTCTCTCTTTCTTTCCCTATTTCTATTTCCCTGTTTCTCCTCCTCCTTCTTTGCATCCTTCGATCAGCGTTCCACTTCCATCATCCCTCGTTTATCTTTGTATACTTCCAGACTACCCCCCGCATACCAAAGACCCGTTGTACGGCCAACACCACCAACCCCCTCGATCACAACAACTGACAATTGAAACATTGCGTCCTGGCTTCGATCTCGCGGGGCAACGACCAAATCCCGCGACTGACGTAATCTGGCAAACATAAAGAAGAAGAGACTTGGATACCCACATCATTGACCAAGATCCGGCCCTGCTGTGGCTCCGGAGTCCAACTCCCCGTCGCCACCAGCATTACTTCGCGGCGCATAGTCGGCGTTGGCAGGTCGTTGCCATTGTTTGCGCCCAAGTGAACGGACTCCTGCACTGCTGGTCATTTCTTCAATTCAATCTCTTGCGCTTTCATCGACGCCTTGACCTGTCGCACTCGCGGGCCACCCCGTCAAATTTCGATACCCAACACTTCTCCACATTCGCTCTGATATCAACAATCCCCTCCTCGGCGCAAATATCCCACCACCATGGAGCGCAAGCTCTCCCAGAAAGCGCTTCGTATGCGCCAGCGCTTCACTTTCAGCCGTGGTCGAGACCGCGCATCTACTATTCCCCCGTCTGGTGCCACTAGCACCCCCAGCACCCGCCCGCGCTCCGCTACAACGCCCATCTCGTCCCATTCTAACTCTACCATCCACCCGACGTACTACAGGACCAGTACGGACCACACTCGCTATTTCCACTTTACAGATGAACCGGGCTATTTTCGTCCTGACACGCCTCTAATCGACCGACAGTCCGTCCCTGAAGAACTAGAAGACGACGTTAAACATGCCTGCGCACTGCTGGTCCAAAGCGTTGACCGCGGTCTACCAATATGGCCGTCTTTCCAGTCAGAACACCGGCCCAACACAACCACCGCCAAAGTATCCAGTCCCATCGCCCCCTCGAGATTCTACTATCAAGGCGTGAGTATGTCCCCCGCCGCCGTAGACAATCAAATTGCGATCCCCGTCGACAAAACGCACGACTCGGGCGTAGCATTCCAACAAAGCGTCACGTCCGCAGCTACAGGACGCTTCTACGGTAGTCAAATCTCAACATCGCGCCCTGAACAATCACAAGAAGACGCTCAACGCGGCCAGAGCTTCAATACAGACGCAACGCCCGTCTCACGTTCGCGCTCGCGCTCCCTCAGCCCAGACATGTTCCCCTACAGCCCGCCACAAGTCGACACGCTCTGGCCACACGTCAAAGACATCTCCTTTCAAACATCAGACGCACTATTCGCAGATACAGACGCCGACCCCGAAAAAGAAACAGACGTGGAGACCCACCTCGGCGTGGAGGGCATGACCTGGCTCCGCGCAAGTCTAGATATCGCCCGCATCGACTCTGAAAACCCACCCATTACGATCAATATCAACGTCACTACTATGCCGGTCGTTGCTCCGCGCCGGTTCTACAGTACCCGGCAACCACGTGCGAGTGAGCGCGGTTACGGTGTCGTGGGTGCGACGTGGGATGGATCGCATAGTCGGACTCCGAGTGTTGACGATGCGGACTCGGTGCAGAGCTTCTCGAGTGCGGAGGATGGAGCACGGAGATTTTATCAGCCGCAGAGGTCGGTTTCGTCTGGTGGGCTTCAGCAGGGGGATGAGGATCGTGTGTATGCGATTGTGTCGGGTGGTGGACAGCGGCGGAGGAAGGCGTCGCTTTTGTTGAGGAAGTTGGCCGGGTTGGGGAGGAAGAAGGATGGGGATGGATTGGAGAGTCGGCGTGTGGTTGTTGCTGTTTGAGTTAGGTGCTGGATGCGCCTTTTCCCCCTCGTCTGGACATTGACATTGACTCGGTCTGATATGATTTGATGATATCTCTCGCTTAGCCTGTATTTTTTTTTCTTTGTCTATGTGTTTGATAGATTGTCTTATGGTTGGTTTGTACATATACCCTTTTATGTTATGTTACTTTTGCATGCTACATATTCCTTATCTTCTCCAGTGGATGTTTCTATACTTACGCTTTGTGGTGTTTCTCTTTGTGCGAAATTTTTGAGTTGACTGGGCTCATCAGTGTATGTTTCACCTCAAGTTGAAACACCGGCGCCATAGGGCGGGCCGTTAATGCTAATGGTAATTAGTTTTTGGAGTATTTGGCAGATGAGGATCAACATCAAGTGAAATTAGCTTATCTCACAGCCGTTCTATACGCTACGTGTACAAAATCCACAGTCGTGGTTCTCGAGAGGGTCTCTAATAGTACATACGAGGCAAAAGATGGTGATTGTTATCCAATCCACATTAAACAAAGCGAAAAAAAGTAAGTACAGACGGAGTAGATGTACCCAAACACCGGCCAGAATGCAACGTGCAATTCAGTAAGACATTAGGAGAAGAAACGAGGAAAGAAGAAGACCCCGAATTTGGGAAGAAGGAGAGATGAAATGGAAGAAAAGAATCTTCACAAGAAGAGAAGAGGAAGGAGATCGATCGCAGAAGCATTATCCGAGCCAGTTCAGTCTATCACTGCCCGCGACGAGGACGCTTGTTATCGCCGCCCATTCTCTGTCCGCGGCCATTTGCATCCCCTCCGGCATTGTCCTCGGGGTTGTTGGGCCGGCCACGCTTGCGATGCGTGGAGCCGCCGCCGCTATCACGGTGGTGTCCATCGCGCTCGCGTCCGCGCTCACGGCGCTCACGCTCACGGTCTCGATTCTCTGGACGGTTGCCGCGGTCTCCACCTTGGCCCCAACGACGTGGGTTGTTCTCATCACTGGGAAGGGGAGGTGGAGGTGGCGGCGGCGGAGGAGGTGGTGCACCCATAGAGGATGGTGGACGGAGACGGCCTTCATTCTCGTTGTCATTGCCGCTAATGGGGGCAACGCCGCCCATTTCTGGTGGTCCGTCGTCGCGATCACGTCGGTCCCGTCGGCGCAATTCTTCTCGCGAGCCAGGGTTTCGCCGATCCGGATGGCGTTCACGATCTCTGTCCTTCTCCTCGCGGCCGGCAGAACCACCGGCACCAACATCGCTTCGGCGACTGCGTTCGCGATCGGAGTCTCGACCACGGTCTCGGCGATCTTCACGTCGGTTTCCGGCACTGCCAGTGTCATCTTCGGCACCGCCGCCGCCAGGCCGGCGTCCACGGTCACGATTCTTATCGCGATCGCTGCCTCGACCAGAGCGGCGATTGTCGGGCGTAGTAGCGTCGTCCATCAAGTCAGCGCGACCATCAGGTCGGTTGCGAGGTTGACCTTCATCTTCGGCAGCGGCAGGCCCAGCAGTTGGATGAGGAGACCCAGTATTAGAGGCAGTCGATTGTCGGTTTGCACCCCGTCCACGAACCGGTGGAGTGACATTGCCGCGTTCAGCAGGGCCGTTAGTCTGCTGAAGCATGTTGTTGATGCCCGCGAATCGTTTATCGCCACGTCCACGCTCTCCGCCAGGACCACGCGGTCCTTGCTGCTGGTTTGGTCCACCACGAGGACCCGATTGGGGTGTTGTCACTGGTGGGGGTGCTTGCTGAGTAGAATCAACAATATTGTTGAGTCGGTCGGGATGGATGCCGGAGACGTCAAGACGCTCTCCAGAGGGAGCTGGCGTAGCGGGTGATTGTTCAGGTCCTCCACGCCCGCCATGCCGGCCAGGGCCCGTGGGAAGTTGTCGTTCAGGGGTGGGAGCTTTGCCATTGCTGGGGCTTGGAGCGGGTTGCTGTGCAGACACATTGCGTCCGCGATTCCTTTGCCGTGGACCAGATGGGATGTCCTGTTGATCAGGCTGTCGCAAACGACCGTGACTCATATCCAGGCCCATCGGATCATGACCAGCACGAGGTCCTCTTGGGATCTCACCGGGGACCAAGCCCGGCTGGGAGAAGCTGGCAGATCGGCGGTCATCAGGGAATCGCTCTGGGCGATTAGGCAAATCAGCTCTCGGGGGGTGGGACCGCGTTGTTGGTAGGGACGACGCTCATCCTTTTCACCACGGAGAGGTGGTTCTCCACGACGGGGGCCTTCAACTGGCCGTTCAGGGAATTCAGGCAGGAGTTCGCCTCGAGGAGGTCCTTCGCGACCATGGAAGGAGTCATGTCGGGGGCGGCCTGGACGGTCACCCGGCCAGTCGGCATCTCGTGGAAGACGACCACCCTCACGATAAGGCGGACCACGCATCGGATCATCGAGAGGAGGCCTCATTGGGAAATCGCGGTCTCGGTCACCCATGCGCCCATGGCTTGGACCGTCAAAACGTATGTGCTCAGGGCCGCTATGGCGGGTACGCGGGTTGAAGTCCGCATGCCTGTCCCGTCGGTCGTCCATCAAGTCCGGGCGAGGAGGCAGTCTGTTATCCGCAGGGGCATGTCGGGGAAGACGAGCCTGTTGTCGAGGGTTAATGGCAGGAGGACGTTCGACGTCTGGCCGCTTCGGGATATCAAGTTGGCGCCCTGAATCAGGCCCTCGGGGGCCAAGTCTTGACCTTGATGACTCCCTCTGTCCACGCTGGTCTGCAATAGGAGGTTGCAGACGATCGCCATCCGCACTCGTGTCCATGACAGTAGAGGTGGTATCAGTGCCTGTTGGCGTCGGCACATTCCGCGCAGAAGCTCCGAACTTCACGTCCTCAGCGCCTCTCTCCGATCCAGCATCAGTCATCTTGGCATCTTCAATCTCGCCATCCTCAACTTCGACCTTACTAAGGGCTTCCTGCTTTGAAACGCCCGCAATACTGATAGATAGAAAGTTAGTTGTCAAGTCATGGTAAGTTGATAGCGTTTGAACTCACTCGTGGGTTTCAGGCTGGAATTCAGGTGCGGAAGCATTCAAGGGCGTAGGTGTTGAGGATTGAGGCCGTGAAAGATCAGCCTTAGTTCGGTCTCCTGGGGGCTGAGAACCAGCCTTGTCCTGTCCAGCATCCGGGACACCGCTGTTGTTGATATAGAACTGTTGCGGAAGCATCCACTTCTTAGATCGCCGGTTGAAATCACCGATGAGCGACGCAGCAGGAATCTTGACATCGTCTCGCTCGTCATTCTTGCTCAGAAGATTCACGGTCTCCAGCAGCTGTATACCCATCCAGTTGACGGCAGGGAAAGAAGGAACGATCGCCTTGAGGATACTAATAGCATTGCGGATGTGCATGTACTCGCCCCCTTTCAGGCATGTTTGAAGTGCATTGTTGATCAGTCGATGCCACTTGTAAAGAAGACGCCGGAAGTCCTCGTAATCAAGGAAAACAACCGGGACGCCTTCAGGGTCAAGCTTTTTGGCAAACCCAGGCAGATCTCTCTTGGATCCGAAAGCCTCCTTCTCGTAGACAGCTTGGTCCGCATGCCACTCGCTCAATTCACTCATGACCTGGCCTAGGAACTGTCCCAGGTTGTCTGCTTCCTTGGAGGTGCATAGGAAGATAAGGGCAACGAGTCGGTGTTCACGGAAGAGTTGATCCAGCAAGCCCATGGTTCGGAAATTAGGGGTTCCCGAGTTGTGTAGGAACTTGAGCATCTTGAAGCAGAAGAAAGCTTCGAGTGGCGAAAGTAGCAGACGAGGAATGAAACATTGCTCTAACAGAGCAACATTTAATGGGTCGTACTTTAGTCGCATGTGAGCGAACCACCGCTCCTTTTCTTTCTGCAGTCTGCCGCGAGTTTGGGCATATGCTTGAGTATGAGCCTTCAATTCTGATAGAAGCTGATCCTGAATTTGGTTGAGACTCCTTCTCGACTGGTCCTTTCGTTGCATGCCGACCATACTGAGATCGGTTCGGTCATTGTTCAGTGCAGTGACACGTCGTTGCAGGCGGCGTCTCTCTTCATCATAGTATTTCTCTGGAACGTGGACATCATACAGAGAGAGTTGCCAGAAAGTCGCATAGAAATGCGCACCAACATTTTCCCACGTCTCAGCAGGCAGCGAGGACTTGATATTCTCGATCAAATCCTGCATAACGGGGTTAGCAGCCAAGGGGCTAGGGGTGGCGACGGTTGGAGACGCAGAAGTAGACTGCTCTGTTTTGTTGACATCCATAGCATTCCCGTCTGCAGCCTCAGTGGTCTCGGCTGTCACCTCGCCTTCGTCGACGTCCATTTTGCTATCGTCGTTGGACTGGGCTCCAGTGGCTCCGTTGTCACTACCAGCGTTCGTAGCAGAAGCTTCAGGCTTTTGCTTCGAAAGCTCATTCTCGGCAATCTTCCGTGAAACGCTAGGACGTCTAATCCAGAATGCGATCTCGGGTTGAATGCCAAAGTCTTTGACCAGAGAAGCAAAGTCCGGCACGAAGGAGTCAAACTCCTCAATCGACAGGTTGCTACGCAGGAGATCTAGATATTGAGTTAGAATCCGGTGGATCTCGTCAAAGATGTTGCCCAGAAGTTTAAGCTCCGAAGATGACTCGTTGAAGACGCAAGTCATTCGTTCCTGGGCAATCGCAACCAGCAACTGACCCGCAAGTCGAGTATGGGTCAGTGATTTCAACAGTCGCTTGGATGTGGTCTTCGACTCGTGGCGCTTGTCCAAGAGCTGGAGAATGGTCTGAGATTGGAGTACCTCGCCACCTGCCATAGCCTGGATTTGGGCATCATTGAAGTTTGTGTCCGTGATGATACCGGCCATCGAACTGATCAGCTGCTCAAGTACGATGAGGTCGGTTGAGTTGTTGCGACGCAGCTGCTCCCCGACGTACTGCAACAGAGGTGCAGGATCCATCACCGAATAACGTTTGAAAGTCCGGCCAGCAAAGGTGGACAAAGCATTCAGCCATCGGCTGGTCAGAAGACCGCCCTCCTGTACGCGGCTTCTTCCTTTCTGGCCAAGAGAATTGATGAGCGACCAGGTGAGAATGTCGTAGCCCAGGTTCGTGAAATAGCGAGCACACTCCACCACGACCTCGATGAGGTTCTCATACGATTCGATCTGACCAATGGCGACGTTGATGACGATACCGGGGTTGGCGTAGGCGATCTTAGCCAGAGCACGAGCCATGGGCCGAATGTTGGTTTTGCTGAGACGCTTGAGTACGTCTTTGGTCTCTGCTGTCGCTTGTTTGAAAGCGGACTGGATGTCGGGCAGTCTTGAGGTTTGTCCAGAGTACCACTCTGCATACATGTTGTACCGAACCTCACGGGGGAACAAGCTGACCAGGTTGAACACCTCGTTGACCACACCGGGATTTGCCTTGGTCAAACTAACTGCGGGCAAGAGAAGGCGTTTGCAAAGGTCTCGCCAACGAATCTTGTTCGCCTCTGAATCATCCTTTGCAATACTATCCGTACCGATACGCGCAAGCTTGGCGAGGAGGCTCGCGTCTTGGCCGATCTTGTGGCCTGAAAGGTTGAGGAAAGAAGAGCATAGGGCGAAAACATCGTCAACAGACTGACAAACTGGAATGTTGTCTGTCCAGTCATCCCAGTAAAAGCGGTATGCGATACCCTCGTTTGTGTCTTCTGTATCCAGCTGAGCCCAGCGAAGAACCCGTCTCGGCGGCGCGTCTGTTAGGCGAAGCTGACCTTTGGCGACTCCAGACTGATCGGGACTCAGGATCTGCTGGTGGCCAGGGAGATTCTCCACGGAGGCCAAAGGCTGAAGTGGCGAGTACACCTTGCTCAAAGAGTAATGAAGGATGCGGTGGATGAAATCGGGGAGTTCAGGGTAACCATCCATCAACCATGGGAATCTGCTCATAACGAACAAAGACTCGGGAATCGCCCCAATGGCGAGAAGACTCTTCAGCAGTAATACTTTTTGATCTGAAGGGTCTGGCAGAGTATCCTCAGGTTTGGGTGGCGGTTGCTTGTCGGCATCCGGGTCTCGAGATGGGGTAGCCATCCGAGATTCGGGCTCGCGAAGACGGGAAGGGGGTGGGAGCGTGTCGTCAGATAAAGCACCAGCTAGCATCAGGGCATTGACACCGCCGCCAGGCCGGGCAGCTTTCTCTCGCTCTGCCTTCTCTGCCATCTTTTCCTCCTTGAGAACGTCCATCGAATCGTCGGGCCTCCAGAGGTGGGCGTAGAGATCACGTAGAGAGATGAAGCCAACCTTGATGAGCAAGGCGGCCAGGTAGATGAGGTTGTCGGGCAGGTTGTCGGATTTAGATCGAGCTGAAGAAGAGTAAAATCGTAGCTTGAAGCCAAGGAGCTGAGCTGCAACCCGGTTGCCCTTCGGAGGCATCGTTCCAGTTTCTTCGATCCACGTCCGTGTGGCTTCCTGTTCTTCGGAGAGGTGATTGGTTTCCGGTAAGGCTTTTTTCTTTTCATCTTCTGACAGTGGCTTGCGGCCAATCTCGAAGAATGCTCGAATGCCAAGCTGTCGCACTCGGTCCCAAAATTCTCGGTCACGCTGCTCATTTAACTGCAAAATACTAGCTCGCTCTTCCTCGGTGGTATTCCATCCAGTTGACCCGGGAAGTGCCCACTTTGGCAATCCAGCGGCTCGTGAGAGCCTCTCCAAATCATGGAACGACTCCTCCTTAGGCCACCAGGAGCTGGCTCGTAGCAACTTCACAAAGAAGCGATACTGCTTGACAAGCACTGCAGCAAACACATCCAACGTCACATCCAGCACTCGCCCGACATCCATGTCGAATGCGCCAATCATGGCCTTAACCCTCTCAAAAGTATCTTCGACTACCTCACTCGATGGCGGTTCGTTGCTGCTCGTGGTGAACAGCTCTGTGAGAAGCTTTGAGTATCCTTCAGATTCTTCTCGGAGAAGATTGTAGTTGGACTGTCGGTAAAGCAAATTGGTTTGCTTTCGAATTCCCATGCGCGCGAACGTTTCACGGACTAGCCCTAAGGACTGTAACAAGGGGGTATCAAGCTGGAGGCGCATGAGTTCTGGGGAGATGTCGGTTGCAAAGACGAGGGGTTTGAGAGCGGGATTCAAGGTGTCGGCATCGGTAAGGATTGAGAGGGTGTCGAGGAACAACGAGGACGGGTCGAAGTCTAGGGTTGGGTGCCTTTGCGCTTCGACTTCTGCTCCTCCATCTTGAGATGCAGCTTCGTTGCCGATAATTTCTTTCACAGCATTTCCGGCCTCTGAAGGCGACAGTCGGCCGTAAATTGCAGACCTAATGAGCTCTTGGTAGACAGAGGCCAAACGCGCAAGATCTTGGTCCAACCGAGCCGTAGAGCCGTCATTCACAACCTTTTGCTTTCCAGTCGATGTCCACCCTTCCACAGCACGGTCCGTGACAAATTCGTATTCGTAGGGATGAGGAGGGGCCGAAGGGCGGGTGACATTCGCCTCGGAGCCAGCCCGAGATGCAGGTTGCGGCTGCGGCTGTGAAGCAGGGGTACTGGGAGCTGGCGACTGTTTCGCTTGGGAAGTTGTGTATTCACCACTTTTCTGGGTAGCGTCCACACCTTCCCTGGATGGGGCGCGAGGAGGAGGAGACATTGCGCCTGATTCTCTGTGCTGTGAACTTGGAAAATTTTGGCCTTCAAAGGAGCCTCGGCGGGAATTGCCGCGATGGCCGGACTGCCGACGAGATCTGTCGCGCGCCTCATTTTGGTCGCGGTGAGGACTGGGGTGGTGCCCTGGTTGAGAGGGATGCTGTGCCATGTTGAGCGTGCCGGGGCGATGAGGAGAAGGTCTCAGAGCATCGTTACTGGCCGAGTCGCCAGGCCACGAGCGCTCACCGCGCTTCCTCTTCCCACCCTGCCCGGGGGCCATGGCGGATGGGTAAGCCGATTTAGACGCGATGAGCGGACGAGGTCGTTTCAGTTGTGGAAAAGTTGTTGCTCATGAGGTGGTGTGAGTCTGAATTCACGACGGAGAGATTGTCAGCAATTGAGACAGGCGAAGGGGAGGAGTTGTCAAGAGTAAAAGACGAGGTGATACAGCATACCAGCTGAGAGTTTCGCAGGAGAAGAGTGTCGGTAGCCTCGAAGGGTGGGGGATGGAGGATGGAGGTGAAAGGCGATGATGGCAGGACCTAAGCTTATTCTGAGCAGAAGATGGGGGACTTGTGATGCCTAAGGTGTCGAGCCGCATTATCTGAGCTTATCTGAGCCGATTGCCGATTCGGGTTGTTTGCTGTGGCTGCCTTGCGAATGGAACTCAATACACAATATTCAGGTTCAGCCATCAATTATCCACAGAATTACCCAACTCAACTGATTCTTTTCTGCACTGCTTTAAAGTTTTGCACTTGTTGGATCTCTCATTAGTCATGGACCATGTCTACAAACGTCATCACAGTAGTTTCACTTTGCTCAAAATGGATACACTCTGAGCGTCTGGGGTTATTGTCTGAGAATGATACTAAGGCATCGGTTTCCTACACGCTTCCATTCAATCATTTGAATATCCCTGTTCAATTTCGCAATTACCATAGATAATCTAACGACAAGAATTGGCGGCATAGGTCGGCCGGATCATCTCAACATATGATGGCATAATGCTCACACCTCATGGCACTAGGTACTAGGTAAACGCTACTTGCGCCGTAGCTACCTATGAGAAAGCAGCAGCTTTAGACGTTCACACTTCATTCAAGGTACTAAAGACTTTTTCTTACCAAGGATAACAATGTCTGCAGGAAGAACGTGTCTTAACGCAGACCGAGATCCTCTGCCTCAAGCGCAACAATCTCAGGAATCAAATCAATCAATCTCGGCTTCTGGGGATTCCACCCCAAAAGTTTACGGGCGCGAATTGCACGTCCCCGAGAATTGGTGCCCCACAGATAGTGCCCATATGGGTGGATCTTCTTGGCTTCATCGATATCCAGCTCGTCCACGCTAGGCGAGTCAATGAACTTCTGAAGATGAGCCTGCTTTGCAACCTCACGCTGGATATCTCCCCAGACAAAGGATCCATTCTCGGCCAAGTAATAGCCCTCCTCATTCCATGTGGCTTTACCACCTCCAGCGGCAGCGGCATCTCCCAGGGCCAGATAGACGTTGCTCAGATCTTGGACGTGAACCTCGTGCCAGACATTCTCGCCCTTCCCAATCAGGATACCCGCACCACGAGAGAGAACAGCGGCACTCAGCTTGTATGCCTGAACACTTTTGGTGTTTCCAGGACCTCGACCAGGTCCATAGATGACAGGTGGGCACACGATAGCTGTGTGAACGCTGGATGACTTCTGCTTGCCAGCGGTGATGATGATTTCGTCGACATTCCTGTGGAGGGCGTCTGCCGGAAGGTTGACGAGCTCGCTCACTCCTTCCCAGTCATTGTACTCCTTAGGCCGCTCGATACCTATCGTGTTGGCACGCCCGTCTTCAACGGTCAGGATACCTGTGCCTGAGGTATGAATCAGCCACAGGGGGTGCTCTGGGGTGTGCTGCTGAGCACCCTTGGCAATCGCTTGAGCAGCGGCGACGTGGTCGCAGTCGGCGAAATCTGCCCAGGATACGTTAGCCCTATACAGAAGGTGAATTGATGGTTTTTTTCTCCTATGATACTCACTGAAGACAATGTCGGCATTTTTGACTTCCTCTTCGATGATATCGGCGGAGTCCAGATCTCCGTGAACAATGCGAATTTGCGGATACTTGCTAGACACCTGAGTGGCCTTCTCCTTGCTACGGACCAGAGCTGACAGTTGCCAGTCTGGGTGAGCGGTGGCGACGGCATATAAACCATCACCACCAATATAGCCGGTAGCACCAGTTCTATACCAGGGGTCAGATGTAAGCTCCTACGTTGAAGATGCGACTGCGAGCTACTTACAGAAAGACCTTGGGAGGAGCCATTCTGGGTAAGAAGATGGAGATTGATGACTGACTGAGATACTTGAGGTGAATAGAAGGGAGAGATGGGGGTAATTTCGGCGGAGCAGGTTAATTGGGGGCACACGCATGATGTGCGTTTGCTTGGAAATCACCTCAAACCAGCAACTTGGTCCGAGAGGGGGCCTTCAGTTGGGGTATATGAGAAGCATTCTCCATAAGTCGGTGTCCTACTCATACTCCACAAGGGCAAAATTGGTAGCAACTCGGTTGTCAACAATAACATATTTGTATATTCATGACATTGTGAGCCAGTATCGCTGGTATGAATATGCGGTCTCTTGGATCTTGTACGATGGTTCTTCGAACGAGCCCCGCATGATGATGTCATCACCGCTGGTGGCACAAGTACAGGGTTGTGGTTCGTGGAACCTTATTAGGCTCGTCTAGGTAGCTCAAATCTAATTCATTACCAACAAATCACCATATGAGCAAAACTAGAAGGGTTGACTCTTCCAAAATGTCAATCGGCGTCAAGAGCCCCATAAAAATCAGAGAACCCTCCTTAATTGGCGGCGTGACTGAGATAGAGTTAGGAGACGATGGCTAACCTGACGAGAGAGACAGGCCTCACAGATCAAAGATCTCTTACGCTTGCTAGTCCCGATCAGAGATGCATAGACAGACTTTCTACCATCGTTCGTTGAATCTAGATCAGATAAGAAAGCAGCTTTCGTCCTGCTCTGATACTGCTAGTCCTCGGTATGACCTTCCGTGGTTACAACTTCCACCGGCCCGGTCCCCACACTCCTGCTACCTCCTCTCCGAAGTACCTTCCACCTTCGGAGACTACACCCGATTTTCAATTACCCCCACCACCGGAGACAATAATGTTCATACTTAATATTCAGCAACCCTTCACAGCTCTTCACCTTTGATTCCCCGCAATTGATTTCCTCGGAGCCAACCCGACTGCTTGTTACCATTGACCTGACCTTCTTCATCATGGATATCGTTCAGAAATTCGAAAATGGGAGCCTCGGAGAGCCTATCAAATGCATTGACATGCATACGACGGGCGAACCGACGCGTATCATTTACTCAGGGTTCCCTCGTCTCCAGGGCACTCTTTTGGAGCAGCGTGATCAGGCAATGACCCAATATGACCACATCAGAAAGCGCCTCATGCTGGAGCCGCGGGGCCATTACGATATGTACGGTGCCATCCTTACCCAAGAGACCGAGCTGGTCCAGCAGGGACAGGCGCATATAGGAACTCTGTTTACGCACAACGGAGGCTTCTCGACCATGTGTGGCCATGCCACGATTGCGCTGGGCAGGTTCTTAGTGGACACGCATGACTTGAAAGTGTTCCCTAAACGCAAAGAACTGGAGTTCAATCCGACGACGTGCGAAGTAGCAGTCAATATCCATGCCCCTTGTGGCTTGGTCCGTGTGACGGTACCAACCACAGCGAATGGCCAGGAATCTGACCCTTCTCGCCCTGTATCATTTCTCTCTACGCCAGCGTTCGCTGCAGGGATCGATCTCAAAATCCCCATTCCCAAGGAAGTTCGGTGGCCTGAACTTGGCGATCGTGAGTCCATTACGCTAGATATCTCCTATGGCGGAGCATATTATGCCCTAGTAGACGCTCGCGAACTCGGATTTTCAGGTCTCCAGAAGATTGATCTAGCTGCTATATCAAACGCCGCTAGCAAGCTCAAGGCTTATCTCATGACTCACCCTTTGGTCAGCTCAGCCTTACAGAATCCAGAAGACCGTCGACTGTCCTTCCTATATTCTGTCATGGTCGTTGATCGCGATGTCGGATCCAGGCCTGAAGGAGTCAATGGGACGGAGACGGGTCTCTGTTTCTTCGCAGATGATGAGATTGATCGGTCCCCAACGGGATCATGCGTGACAGCGCGTATGGCACTTGCTCATGCTAAGAAATTGAGACCTGTTGGACAGAAATGGGCATACAATTCAATCATCTCGAACCACTTTGACACTGGAGCCTTTGTCGCCTCAATCGTGGATGACAATGTTCGTGTGGGTGGTAGTAAAGAGGCGGTCATAGTTCGTGTCGAGGGCAAGGCATACTATACGGGAACATCCAATTTCATCCTCGAAGAAGGCGACCTCGCGAGTGCAACCGGGTTTACTCTAAAGGAATGTGTACAATAAGAGTGGTGGTCGATGGCTTCGGTGATAGAGATTACAAATTCTCTTTATGAACTCTAGATCAATGTCAGAATTTTTCCGGTCAAGAGTGTCAAGCCATGGAGATGACCTTGGTGGCCATGTACAGAGCATTGGTGGGTGGAATAGGTTGACTAAATCGCGACACATTAGTACGATCGAACAACATCCATCTGTCCTTTGTATCACTAACAGCACATTCCCGGTCTAATTAGATGATCAGGAAAAAGAACACGGAGGGTAAAGCCCCAGGGTTGCACATACGCCGCCGCGTCAAAGTTGAAGGTATGACGTCAGACCAATTGATCCTTGGGACCGACTGGGGATTTCCTCTATATCCTTGCAAACCGGTTGGCTAGACCCAGAAACCCTTTACACTGGATCCGCCGTCCCTGAATCGAGTCAATCTCTCCGGGATTACATCCAGTAATCCGTATAATCTTGAATCGAAGGCATCTGCGCCTATGACGCCACTACCCGTTCCTCCTTTCTTTTAAGCCACCCCAGCACGGTCTACGTCAATTATGTATAGCAAATGAATCTCAGATCATTCAAGCGCTTAATTCTTCTCTCATGATATTTTTCTCTTTAAAGGAATTATTCCTATAATCGTCACAAGCCTCATGGCCCCAGCCCCAAAAGGAGGAGACCGCGATGGCGGTCCACGCAGATTTGCTTACAATATAGACGCCGCCCGCGAGCGAGAAATGCACCTGTATGAGATCTCTCGTCCAATTCCATAGAATTAGATTTGATCCTAATTATCTCTAATAGATATCTTCCATATTGGGGCTTTTCAGAATCCGAGAAATTCGCGCAGCAGTCCGTCGGTCGTCGTCCAAATGTCTCCCGAGACAACGTTTTGACAGTTTTTGCCCAGCTGGCAAGTCTGCGACTAGATGCTAGGCGAGCTATCATCTCGCTCTTTGACCGAACCACACAATATGTTGTCGCAGAAGCAACCTCCCACCTTAGCTTGCGAAGCCCTAAGAGCGGCCAGCGATCAGAGTCACTTTGGCGTGGGGCACAGCGACTACCACGAGAGAACATGCCCATGTGTAATGAGGCAATGAAAGTTTTTACGGTAGAAAAATCAGACATGTTTTTGCTGCCAGATCTAACCGCCGATTGTCGATTTAAATCGCACGAATCTGTGACTGGCCCCCCGCACCATCGGTTCTATGTTTCGGTGCCCATCAAGTCGCCGGATTCCTATGTGATTGGCAGCCTCGCAGTCTTGGATGATAAGCCTCGTGAGTGCTTGACAGATGAGCAAGATGACTTTCTCAGGGATCTTAGCCTCACTGTCATGGACTACTTGCTCTCTCAACGAGCCATGCGCGAGGAGTTCCGCGAGGAGAAAATGGTTCGTGCTCTAGGGCTATTTGTCCAAGGCAAGTCAGATCTTTCTGAAGGTATTGACAGCCGAAATGGGACCAATACTGAGCTTGACCATGTCAATCAAAAGTTGGAACAGCTCAAGTTGTCTAGCAGGAGCAGAAGCCAAGAAGTAGCTGGCGGAAGAGGAAGAACATCCGAGGCATCAGAGGATATCGCAGTCGACAAAGAAATTGAGAATGCGGAGCAGACGCGAAGCCGTTCACCAGTCCACAAGTTTAAGTCTAACGACAGTATACCGGATGAACCACAAGATGAGAAAAAAGAGAATGACCAAAGACCTGCACTATCTCCTACTACCAGTCATCTGCAGAAATCACTAGCTCCAACCAAAGTTCAATCGGTTCTCAACCGGGCCTCCTGCCTCATGAATCAAGCATTGGAAGTGGAAGGAGCCATGTTCATTGATGCAACTGTGTATGCTCGACGTCAAATGATTGGATCACACGGCGATAATCAGGAGGAGCCAGCTGGGTTCACTCTCGAGCAGGATGGACAGGACTACGACGATGATGATGTCAATGGGCCCAAAAGTCTGGTCCTTGGATATTCAACTTCTACTGCTTCCAGTAGAGACGATAATGAAAAAGCTAGCCATTATGTGTCTCTTCCTGGATCTTTCGTCACGCATCTCATCGATCGATACCCTCGAGGCAAGATCTTTCACATCGAGAAAGATGGTTCAGTTGCACTGAGTTATGTGGGCCTCGCAGATGAAGTGAGCCAGATGTACGTTGGCGGGTCAAAGACAATCAAAGAAGGGTCACCAAGGGAGATGGATCTCCGAAAAGAAACGCTGGAGATTCGGCAGCTTCATAAAATCTTGCCGGACGCACGCTGCATTGCGATCTATCCAGTATGGGACTTCCAGCGCAGCCGTTGGTTTACCGTAAATCTCGCGTGGTCCAACGATCCCGGTCGTGTTCTCTCTGAACCTAAAGATCTGACATATCTGGCTGCATTCAGCAACAGCGTCATGGCTGAAGTTTCGCGGATGGACCTTGAGGCTGCCGACAGAGCTAAGAGCGACTTTATTTCCTCAATTTCTCACGAGCTTCGTTCACCTCTTCACGGCGTTCTGGGAACTGTTGAGCTGCTTCAGGAAACTGTTACCACCTTCACCCAGCGAGGCATGGTTGACACCGTGTATAGCTGCGGTCGGACATTGCTAGACACTCTGAACCACTTGTTGGACTATGCAAAGATCAACACGCTAACGTCTGGGCGACCCCCTGGTCAGGAAGTTCAAAAACCTGGGAGCTCCGAGGCAAATATTTCTGTTCCAAGACTTGTTCAAATCGAGGATTTGAGCGCTTTGATGCAGGAAGTCGTAGAAGGTTTGCTTGCGGGCGCTGAATTCTACAATCGAGAAACTGAGTCTGCGCCGGAGCGAAGCCGAAAAGACAAACGCAGGGTTTCTACGTCCTCCTCAATGGGAAGTGAAGATCACCGCATTATGACGATTGTGGATGTCGAATGGCAGGATAGCTGGCGCTATCCAATTTACGCCGGAGCCTGGCGTCGTGTGGTCATGAACCTGTTCGGGAACGCTTTGAAATACACCCAATCAGGGTATATCAGGCTACTCATGAAGAAGGACACAATGAAGATGACCGATAACAAGTCCGTGCCCGCAGTCTGCATCACCATTAGCGATTCCGGTCGTGGAATGTCCCAGGATTTTCTTCTTCATCATCTTTACATCCCTTTCCTCCAAGAGGATACACAAGCTCCAGGATTGGGCGTAGGCCTTCACCTGGTCCATCAGATTGTGAAATCCCTGAATGGAAGGATCCATTTCAGGAGCGAAGTTGGCAAAGGAACCGATGTCGACGTGATCCTGCCCCTTCCAGAACCGATACCCACCCCATCACCTCCCTCGCCATACGTTGATCTACGTGATCGACTGAAAGGAAAGACGGTGTCCTTCTTCACACAAAGTTTTGCGAGAGACAATCTTGGAATTCGTCCCGAGGTCTTTGACGAAATCAGGTCCACTCTAAGTCGCATGGTGGGTGAGTGGTTTGGGCTACGCGTTCTGAGCCAAGATGAGCTACAACAGCAGCAAGCCGATTTCTTGATTGTGACTGAACACGAGTATCGTTCATTAGTCCATCAATCAACGGATTCCGATGTGCGGAGCTTGGTCAAATCTAGAATATCATTCCCTCTGATTGTTTTGAGCGCCCAAGCAAGCAGCTGGAAGGTGGTCAAGGAGAACAATCAAGATCGAGCCATCTTCTTATCCCAGCCGTACGTGTTACGATTGTAATCATCGGATCATCCACTGACGACATCATACAGAGTCAGCCCCAAAACGCTAGCAACAGTGCTCGAACATTGCCTTGACGGACAAGACGTGCAAGATAATTCTTCATCTCGAGATGATAATCAATCGTCCAGATCATCTCGTGAAAACAGCACTGAGATGGCGGGTGGAGATGACAAAACGACCGAGGATAGAACATCGGGTCCGAGTGAACAGGCAGAGCCAACCAAGAAAGTGCTCCTGGTAGAAGACAACAATGTCAATCTGAAGGTAAGAAGCTCGAGAGCTTCATTGATCGCTACCGAGTTCAATTTCTGACATCCAATAATTGCAGATTATCGAGACTTGCGTCAGAAATGCTGGTCTTGCCTATCAGTCAGCCACAAATGGCCTCCAGGCGCTTGAGAAGTTCAAGGCTGAACGATTTTATGCTGTCGTAATGGGTATGTCTCTTTGAACCTATCTCTTCACCGGCATGAATCGCTAACAAATGCCAGACATTTCAATGCCCGTCATGGACGGCCTCACAGCTACAAGGGAAATGCGGCACTTCGAAAAGACGGCTGGCCTACCACGCACTCCCATCGTTATCCTGACTGCTGTATTATCTGCAGACATACAACAAGAGGCCCAAGTGAGCGGAGTTGACAAGTTCTTGACGAAGCCCACGCCACTCAAAAAGTTGAGAGATTTGCTTTTTAAACTTGCCACAACTATAGTTCTGTGAAATACCAAGAAGTTGGATTAGCGATGATGATATATTATATGTGATGGTTGTATAGTATATGATGGGCTCCACGATTTGTTCAGAATGTGCAATACGCAATATATGCCAACGAAGTCACTAATTTTATTATACGGGCATTTATCTTTGTTTCCATCTTTAGTTACATACGCATGCATAAGCTGTTACTGGATTGCGTCAACCATTCGCATACGATATACCTGCAGTTGATTATGCCGTCTTACAAGGGAGATCCCTCCTGACATTCACGCACGGCTCTTTTTCCAATACAGTTTGAATACTTGATTTCACAGTATTAAAGAGCATTCTTGAGTAAGACAAGGGCCCAATAATATATCTCTGGCCACTTGATTGCACACTTTCGGATCCATCTAGATGTTGGTCACCTGACTCGAAATCTTTCCCTCCGAAGCCTTAGTCTCGTCATTTCTGATTCGCGCAGCCCAAGCCATCTCTTCCTCAGCTCCACGCACTGTCTTAAGATAGCTCTTGAAATTGTGTGACATGGTGACAACTTGGCGAAGATGTTCATCCGTCAGCTCAGGAACACGATTCCCTTCGTGTTTGGCCTGGAAGCACGCCAGGGCAACGGCGGTTTGGAATGCTTGGGCTATGTTAGCATAAAAGTTGGCAACCAGACGGGTCAGAGACCACATACCGTTTCGTATCTCGCGGCCGTTCCATTTGAGGACTCGCAGATCCTCCTCTCGACGAACATACTCCTTTGCATCATAACTGCAGCGGATGAGCTGACCTCCTTCTTCGTGATTTTTGCTTAGCTTCTTGAAATAGCCGTCCCAGATCTTCTTCCTGGAATCGTCATCGAGAGGGTCGTATCCGATTTGCACATGGATTCGTGACATAAATGCTTCATCGAAGCTTCCAACTCGGTTGGTTGTGAGGAAAAGAATGCCCTGGAAGTAATCAAGAGCTCGGAGAAAGACTGGATAGAGGTAAGTCTCATCTTCGGCACGATGCTCCTGCCAGCTTTTGGGACCAACTTACTGGAGACAATGCTGTTCCGCCGAAGGTCCTGAGCAGAGCGCGTTTCAAGGTACACATCAGCCTCGTCAAGAAGCACTATGGCATTCCATTTTCTTGCGTTTCGGAAGAACCGGAGCAAGTTTTCTTCCAGTGGCCCTGGCTCGTGTCCCAAATCAGCGGCAGTGATGCTTAGCAGAGGGCGACCTGTATACTCCGCGACTGACTCTGGGAGAAGTTAGCTTGTAAATTTTGAATTATTCTCCTCTCAAATCTGTCCATACCGGCAGTCAGTGTTTTTCCTGTCCCCGGGGGCCATGAAGCAACAAAATCTGTCCTTCTCCCTTGCCCCGAACAAAGTCCGATGAGAAGGCATGTGGGTATGTTCCCCCGAATATCTCACAGACGGCCTTAATCATTTGCTTGTTGCTCTCAGGCTTGAGTACCAGCGTGTCAATAATATCTTTTTCTATCCTTGGGTTTCTCAAACCAGTGACTTCTAGGACATCTAGCTCATAAATGTTAGCCGCTTGATACTGTACCCAACGGGGAGAATGGTACCACTAACCCCAGACACGGTCCTTCAGCACGAATCCATAAACATGCGACCAGCAAAGGAGATATTGGTGATCAGTTAGAGTCTCTCTCGAGCTTAGATCAATATTGTCATAGTCATCGAACGCCCGACGCTCGACGCCAGTTTGGCGTGGGTCTTTGGTCTCGCATGGTTTGCATGGGCATCGCGCAATTCGTGTTCTTTCCCCCAACTCCACTTCGTAAACGTGTTGAATTGGCTTATAGGCATTTGGTTCCTCGCTGACTTCCTCCAGTTCCCAAGGCTGACTCTGATGGTCGATGACGACTCTCGCTTGATGGAACTATGCCATTATGAGACCGGATGAACAAGTGGGCGACTGGGCCATGTCATATATGGAGTTGAACTCACAGTGCGGATACCTTGCAGTTTACTCGGACCACTGTACTCCTGGAACGAAGGCTGTCTCATCATTTCCACAAATCGTTTTCCTCTATTCACCAACTGCTGATGGAGAGTGTTTTCGGGATCTTCATCGACGTGGAACCGGACTGGATACACGGGCAATGAGTCGATGTTGCGCTCGTGGTCGAAAACGGGAATAGCGACACTCTTAACGGATCGAGTCAAGTGCTGCCCGTCGAAATTGAGATTCCAGACATTGACATGGTGTGGGCCCGAACGCGCTGAACGCGAGCTCCAGTTGAACCCACCGACGAAGGATTCAATCACATATGCGTTAAGCTTCCCCTCTTCACGAACGTAAACATCTGTACCAGGCTTGAGGAGGAGCCAAAGATGGGTAAAGGTTGTCTTTGGAATTGGGCCGCTAGCCAGACGCTCGGCATCCTCCAAGCCAATCTCTGTCAGACCCTCGAGATATTCATTCAGGATGTCAATATGCTCCACACACGTTGTACTGTACCCTTCATCATGGCATTCCTTTACCACATCCCGATATCCAAGTAATTTCTCTCGATAGTGATAAAGATCGACAAAAGGGTACACGAAACGCGCCCGGTTAAGGTCACTGCTAAAAGATTTCGCGCGCCATTCTTTCGGTCGGAACTCATCTGGAATGGATTGGAAATCAATGATGGCTCGAAGAGCATCCAGAAGAATCGGCGAGTGAATATAGAGAACTGGGTTGCCGATCGTATCGACCATTTCCTGTTTCAGGTTGGTGGCATGGCGGTCACTGAAGTAAACCTCTCTATGTTCCTCAAGAACCGAGTTGCGACTCTGCATTTCAGGTGACCTTATGATTTGTATCTTTTCTTCCTTTCGCTCAACAGTGCGGCTTCTGTAGTCACCATCACTATCCGGGGCCAAATAATTTGCCACGTAGACTATCTTGCTCATCTTCTCGACTGGTACCGGCTCTTCGTCACCCTTCTCAGATGCTTCATCGTCGGAATTTTCGGACTTTGAGGATTTGCGTTCGTTCTCTATGTAACGTTTTTCTTCGCGAATAGATTCCAGAATCCTGATACCCCTACTGAACTCAATCTTGAATTCCCAGCCTGGTGACACCAAGCTCTCCCAATGACTGCTCAAAACGCTGGAGCACTCAGGTTGGATTTGGGTAATGGTGAAATTCTCGTGGGGACCCTTTGTCTCCTCGTCGAGGCTCGTCACGATCCACTTGGGGACGTATAGTTCGGCAAAAACTGATTTGACCAATTTCCTGACACCCTACTAACAGTCAATAATGAATGAGGACATGGTGATTGCGCGCAACTAACATTCCACGTCTTGACATCCTCGTATGGAAACATCCAGCGAGTGCCGACTGGGTCGACGAAGACGATGTGCGGTTGATCTTTCGTGTACTGCGATATCGCTTCGGTGTTGCTTTCGCTAGCCTGCGTTTCATTCCTATCGATTTCTGCTTCCAGAGGCTGCGCCTCCGCCTTGCTGGATTTGTTATCGTCGAGAACTTCGACTATGCTAGACTCTTGCCCATCAGTTGACGTCTCGTTGGAATTGGCCATGCCAACAGAAGCCTGGTCGTCTTTTTTTGGTAATCGCAAGTTAGTTATTAGCAACTCTACAACAACCCTATATATCCTTTCAGGCTTACCTGTGAAGACATCGCTCCCTCTATTCTGTGTTCCGGTATCTGAGGCCTCATGCAGTCCACCCCCATTGGGCGTGTTGACCAACACAGGATCTTCCATCATTATTGGACTTTTGGACAACGAAGATAAGGGTATTGCAAACTCAATAAGGCATGAGCCTAGCTTAGAGGTACCAGTGGAGAAAGAATATCAAAAAAGGACTTGGTTACGGGTCGGAAAAGCTTGTGTCCCAAGACTTATAGGCAAAGTCGTCGAACACGTTGTCGAGGAGGCTCTTCGGCTATTATGATAAGGGTGAACTGAACGGGCTACATCCAACAAACAACGGCCTTCGATGTTCAATGAGGGACTAGCGGCATTCGTGTCCCAGTCAGGAACCCCGCAGATGGCTCATGTTCCCAATTTCAAAAAGGTTATGTACGGAGCACTGTAACTATCATTGCGAGTACCCATCAGCCAGCCCCCTGGCCCCCATCCTAAAGCCCGTTCTCCGCTTGGGCGCGTATGCGTCTGGGCCAAACAGCCCCCATCCAACAAATAGCGCCCTTCGTGTGTGATGAGTATTGGCTGCATGCATAATCCAGCGGGGATCCCCGAAGACAGCCCCCATGTTTGGAAATCTCAATTCGTAACAGGCTGCATAACTAGCATAGCGGGGGTGCCCCATCCCAAGCCCGCTTCTGACTGGGTTTTCAGCTTCAGATTGTTTGCCGCCATAGCCACATGGGTAAAATCCCCATGCAGCACCACTTCGAAGGGCTGTATGTCATTCGTGAGGCACATTGGTAGAGCGCGTGTCAAATGGTACTGTTGCCCGTCTCTGTGAACTGCTCCGCTCCAGTTGGCTCAGGGCGTTCACTGCGGAACGTGGCTGTGGTCTCAGTGTACGAGTAGGCTTGCAGTACTAAGCTATGACAGCCCAAATAATCTGCTGCAGTACATGTCTCTTACGAGAGCGGCTGACAGCCTTTTTACTTTCCAGCTTGTAAAAAAGTCCATTCGCCCAAACTTGGACCACTCCTAGCCTCTCTTTGACACCAGCATCTTGAAATCACAGTGACCATTTCATGACGATCGAAGGCCATGAGCACCGTACAGGACTTATCACGGCCCAAAATCGTGCGTCGGTTCACCTCTGAGCTCAAACCTGATTCAGATCTAGCGACCCAGACAAAGTCCTACCAAGAAGACTTAGACTTGGAGATTGAGGTCCAAGAGAGGCTCCGCATGCAACAGGCTTACCATCAACGTCCAATCGAAAGGTATTGCAGGGAGACATGAAGATACTTTCAAGAGGCTGATAGTATTTACCTAGCTCATTTTCAGGGGTCGAGATTGCCCGTCAAGCACTCCAGGCAAAATGCGACGAGTTTTTCAGGTCCACGGAAGAGAAGGAGGAGGCTGGGAAGAAGAAACCAGGGGTCTTGCGAATATTTCATCGGAACGGCACCGAGCAGCGACTAGTTCAGGAAATTCGTAATGGCGAAGAAATGACAGTGAGCGAAGTCAGCTTAATCACAAATAATCTGGGGGAGAAATGGAAAGCGTCAAATAGCAAGGTGCGTTTTTATTCATGCTTCCGACCTAAGAGAGAAAGTTGGCTGGAGACTTGCCGCGATTGACAGAACACACATATACTAGGCGGCAATGAACTTCAACAAGATATGTCAGAAACTTGACTCACATAAGAAAATCTTCGAATGCTTTCCGAATCAATCAGTCTATACCTCTGTTCTATGTGGTGCTGTCAAGATGGTCGTTGAGGTGATATCCCTCACTAAGTAGCTTCAGACACTCTAACCTAATTAACGCGATATTTTCAGGCCTCGGTCAATTACTCAACTATCGCAGAGCAGCTTTCAACATACGTAGCAGATCTATCAGAAAGAATTTCTATCTGCACAAATTGGCTCGATCTGTATACGAACACGGCTATGAAGGAGCGGCTAGCTGCGATATATGAAGAATATTTCAATTTCTTCATCAAAGTGGCCTCCTGGTATTTGAAATCAAAGGGGTCCAAGATTCTCGATTCTTTTAATTCGAACTTCTTATCAACATACCAAGGAACGGTGGATAAGATTGAACGGTCTATCCAACTCCTCGACGACCAGGCCTTAATCGAGAACGCACGAGAGATCAAAGGCTTGTTACCAGCAGTGTTACCAGCAGTCACCGAGTCAACGGAACTCATCATGGCACAGGTTCTACAGAGTCGAAAGGAGAACAATGAGGTTGGAAGGAGAATGTATAGATTTCTCATGGAGATGGACGATCGCTGTATGCAATTTGCTCCCCGTCCTCCCAATCCTACACCCCTATTCACATCTGTCTGGTTTTTAGTGGAACGAATCGAGCGTGCCCAGCTACAGAGACCTTCATGGACTACCGGAATAGTATCGACAGAGGTTCTGATGATAGAAGAAACGGAGTTCACAGAGACCATCACCGTTCCAGCAGGAATAACCAGAGCCGAGGCCCAGCAACTATGTCAACACCTCCAAACACTTATAGACCAAGTAGGAGGCAGCGACGGAATCAGACCAGCCATCCAAGCAGGACGACTTGTTGCCGAGCCTCTCATCATTCGCACTCTGGGTAAATGGACAACAGCTACTTCAGGCGACGACCTCATACTCTGGATTATCAGTCCATACGAACTCGGTCCACAAACCAGCGCGGAGCTCGCGGCGTACGGGATCATCTGGTCTGCGATCCAAGCTGAGGCCCAGTTCATTTCCTACATCTGCCAGCGATCCCGTCCCGGTAGAGTGCCAGATTTTCAAGGAGTTGAGGACAAAGCTGCTGTTCTGGCGATGGTATATAGCTTGATACTGCAGCTGCTACAATTCCAGCCTCCCGATGATGATTTGATTCTCCAACAGGAGATGCTTGTTCGGCTTACACAGCCGGGGGAGCGATGGAGCTCTGCTTTGGCGCTTCTTGCTTATCTGTTGGAGCACACTCCGTCTCTGCGATATTGTATCATCTCGGGGATCAACCTTCTTGAGGGTGGTGCGCGTGAAATGTGCAGGGAGTTTGTCGACTTGATTTTCTCTCATGTGAGAAATTCGGAGTGGCCGTTGCGTGTGCTTTTCAGTACGTCTGGGCAGTCGAGGGCGCTTTCGGAAACCGTTAGTAAGGACAGCAAGGTTCTGTCTAACAATACCTTTCGCCAGGCAAAGGGGAGGAAGCTTTATCGCGATCTCCAAATGCCCGAATGATCTTATCTGGTCAGCGTCAACGATGATGGAAAGTAGCAATGCAGATGCTGGGTGTCTGATACAGAAGCGATTACTCTTCAATAACCTCTGAATATTTAAGCACAAACAATGCGCCGTCTTATGTGTAAACATGCTACATAGATCTATGATTATATGTTTAACTAGACCATCATTAGGTTGTATCAAACGTTCCAATGTGGTCCATCTGATTGATTATAAATACAAGCCCAAACCTGCATATAAAAGCGGTGGCAACCCAACCTTAATCCGCATGACTTCATTGCCAGACCTCGTTATCTCGACTCTCTCACTCAAAATCTCCAGTTTCAAAAAATCTCACATACACATCATACTACCTCACAATGGCCTCCGGAAGCTGTGCATGCCGCTACATTCGCTACACTACAACTACCCCTCCCGCAGATCCTGTGTACTGCCACTGTATCGAGTGCCGTAAACAATCCGGTGCTCCCTACCAGGTATGGCTGGATTTCCCAAAGGATGCTATCAAGTGGAACGTCGAACTTTCTGTCTGGAGATCCAGCGAGACCGCATCGCGCAGCTTCTGTCCTCGCTGTGGATCAACTATGACGATGTCTTTGGATAAAGAGCCATCCACTACGGCTGTTGCTGCCGGGACATTGGATATTGAGTCGGAACATTTAGTGCGCGGGCCTGGAATGCATATTTTCTATAAAGAGAAAGCTGCTTGGTATGTTGCGCCGGATGACGGATCGAGGAAATTTGATGGGTGGAGTGAGTAGCTCAGGGATGGAGTTTGTATCCTTTGTTCGCACCAAAACGGAGGGGAGAATTATTCTCGTTTCGTTACAAGAAGAGTCGATTGCAATAGATTTTTTTTTTCATATTTCCTGTCACGGTAAAGACTATTTTCAAACAAAACATAATTTGGCTCAAAGACGTAAGGTTATAACAATCGAGACACGAACTATAAAGGTAACAAAGGGGAATCACGACGTCGTGTCCAGGCTACATATACAGGATCAATGCAATCTGACCGACCTAGTCAGATCAAAATGTGCTGGCAGCCAACCGACTGGCCGCATTGCGCGCATCCAGTCGGTCGTCATCTTCCTCCGCAATCGACCCAACCTGGCTAGTGGCACGGGCGCGGCTCTGCCCAGACTCTGCCTGGCTTTCCTCGTCGCCCTCATCGTCATTGAGGCCGGGAGCGGTGAAGCTGCCGCTCATACTGCGACCCAAGTTGTCTGAACGACGGGGAATACCACTCCAGGCGTCACCTTTAGGACCCTGGCTTGATGCCAAGTTCGATCGTCGGACCGCAGGGTGGGCTTCACGACCCAGTCGGCTCAGGCCACCAGAGGCGTCGATGCTACGGATGTCGGGTCGGACACTCTCCAGTGTCGCCAAGGTGCGTCGCTCTGCTTCAATCTGACGCAAGGTGTACTCGCGCAGGCTGAAAAGCAGCTCGTTGGTAGTGCGGTCGAACCACTTCCGCTTCTCCTGGAGAAGATTTGTTGTCACGCGCTGAGTGCGTTTTGTCAGGTAGTCTTCGTGGTTCTGTGCTTCTTCAAGAGCATTGATCGCCTCGTCCACCTTGTCCGGGCGGACCGACGAGCTGACCTTCAATCGGTCTGCGGCGGCACGTTTGCTTCGAGCGCTCTGTTGAGCCTGGAGGAGCTCTCGCAGCAAGATATGTCGGTTTGTCAGGGTTTCCTTGACGATAAACGCGTCGGACGAATGATAACTCAAGGGTTCACCAAGAGTTGTGGCTTCTGCGGTAGCCTGGATAGCATGATAGTCACCCACAGTCTGAATAACTTTGCCAAGCTTGCGATAAGCCAGACCCAAGCCAGGATGAGGTTCTTGCACTGCCATCTGGCCGAGTTTCACACCGAAATCAGACTCGGACAATCCCACGCCTAGTCCAGTCAGTGATCTACTATACTATGTCACCATAGGTGAAATCATTTTAGTATCTTACCTCTGCGGGACTTGACAACTCGGTCAACCTTGTGGCTCGAGTCCATTGCAGCCAAGTAGAACATCTTCACGGTTGGACGAGCCGCCTGCAGTTCAGGGGTGTCGTCAGGTGGAGGCGCAAACTGCTTCAACATCTTGCGTCGCACTCCCGTGGCGGGCTGCTTCATGCGAAGCACGGGACTGTAACCGAAGTCGCTTTCCACAAAGAGCATAACCTCGTCATCCTGAATAAGAACCTCATTGCCCAGCACAGTGTTGAGCCAGCGTTGCATTGAAGCCTTGACGCGAACTTCATCTTCGTCGGTTCCAGCACCTGCTGGAGTAACTGGGGGCGGAACTGCGGGGACGAGAGCTTCCGGATTGGCCGAGAGCAAGTGGTCGGCAAGCTTAACGAACTCGGAGTGAGTACGGCGAACATCGCGGTATTGGGTGGTACGAAATTTGGGGATATTAGTCTGTCATCAAGGATTGGTGCAAGGTCAGTCACCGCTGCAGCGCATCTCATCAGCATCATTGAAGAGTCGACCCACGTGAACATCAAAGCGAAGGATAGGATCCTTTTTTCCGCTTCTCTCAAGACCCGTGATCTTGGCTTGAATCTTATACACAGGCGCCGGTGGGCGAGATGTTTGTCGTACTTCCGTCTGGTAGCGTGCGGGGAGTTGTTGTCGCTGCTGGTCGGCATTTGGAGACTGATGCGCAGCAAACGGAGACGGTTCCTCGATGTAGTCCGGGTCACCTAATTGAGCACTCTGCAGCTGCGCTGACAGATAGGCTGCCTGAGCTACAGCATCATTGTCTCTTTCCGCAGTCTCCGATGAGCGATCTTGGGCGGGTAACGGGGATGACGGGATGTCGCCGTTGCTGGAGGTGGGGAACGTCGTTCGGTCGGCGCGCGGAGAACCCCAGGGTGAGGCACCGGTGGAGTGTTCTGGATCGTTGGAGATGGAAGAATAGTCCATCTTGGTTGGGATTGGAAGTAAGGAGCAGTCCTCACGAGGAGAGTTCAAGGGGGAGGAGCTGCTAGTGACGGAAGGCGTCAGTATTAATGGCTGGGGATCAACCCCCACAGTAACGGCCAGGTAGTTCCGAGTCAGCGCGACACCTACCTCGGGCAGCTTTTTGTGGGAGAACAAGGGCGCACTTAGAGGCGCATATCAAATGAACAAGCAAGAGTGTGCAAAAGAACAATCCAGCAAAGTACGGTGGTTGGAGGTTGAAGCAGGAGGGTTGGGGGGAGAGTTACGTATGGATCATCAGGTGGAATGAGAGTGCGTGCGCCAAGCCCGCCGCCAGCTCCACGATTCGCTTTTTCCCATTACCACGACGACACGTCCAAGTTCGACGCTTCAGTCTTTGAAAATACCACCGCCACTCTCATGTTTGTATGCAAATAAACCTCTAATAGTTCATCCACATTGGATGAGAGTTGTCAATAGCAATGGTTGTGGCTCCATTGTTACGCCTCCCCCAGCCGGGCCTGCAGTGTATGGGCTCGACGCTCTATAAAAGCCAGGCCAGCCCCGTGAAGAGCCGCATCTATTCACAAATCTCTCGTCTCGCAAGTCAAACAGCTCCATGCTTCTCAACTTCAGTCTCCAGATGGCAGACGGAGACTTTGGACCGTACACGAAACATCGGAATCATCGCTCATATCGATGCTGGAAAGACCACCACGACGGAGCGCATGCTCTTCTATAGTGGCTTCACACGGCGCATTGGTGACGTGGATGAGGGTTCCACGGTGACTGATTTCTTGCCCGCAGAACGTGCGCGTGGTATCACTATCCAGTCGGCTGCTATCACTTTCCATTGGCCTCCTGGGGATGGAGCAGAAAGCCAGCCCCTTGAACGGGATCCCTCTGCGCCCAAATCATCGTTGTCGCATACGATCAATTTGATTGACACGCCAGGCCATGCCGACTTCACATTCGAGGTCTTGCGGTCTTTGCGTATTCTTGACGGTGCTGTGTGCATCTTGGACGGTGTAGCTGGTGTCGAGGCGCAGACGGAGCAGGTCTGGCACCAAGCCAGTACCTATAAAATTCCGCGCGTGATTTATGTGAACAAGCTAGACCGTGAGGGTGCCGCCTTTGGCCGAACAGTCCGAGAGGTTAGCTCCCGTCTAGCTGTGTATCCAGCAGTGTGCCAGATCCCGTGGTTTGAAGGCGGCAATGGTGCTTTCGTCGGTGTGGCGGATGCTATCAATCTCCAGGGACTACGATGGAAGGAGGGCGAAGACGGCCGCACCGTGAAAATGATGAGTCTCGAGCAACTGGGCGCTGAAGAGAGTGCATTGGCACAGGAACTCCGCCGTGCGCGTATCGCATTGGTTGAGTTGCTGAGTGAGCACGACGAAGCCATTGTGGAGAAATTCTTCGAATGTGATGAAGATCATCTGGCTGTGCCTGCTATGGACATTATTGACAGTCTTCGGCGATGCGTTCTTGATCAATCAAGTCGGATTGTTCCCGTCTTCGCAGGTGCCAGCTTCCGCAACATGGGCGTTCAGCCATTAATGGATGCTGTGGTAAACTTACTTCCCAGTCCACCCGAGGCTCCCGATCCTGAAGTGAGCATTGGGGGTGTCAAGGGAGGACTCAGACGGCTACTCTCCGGAGACCTGATCCTAGAGCAAAACGAGAAAGCGTCTGCTCCAGCGAAGGGCAAGAAAAAGAAGAAGGTTGCGCTCCAGGTGAACCCCAAAGACGCCATTGCTAAACTCCAAAGCTGTGCGCTTGCCTTCAAGGTGGTTAATGATCCCAAGCGTGGTGTTTTGGTCTATGTTCGGGTATACTCTGGCTCCCTGGATCGCAACAGTCTCCTCTTCAATACCAATCTGCATCTCTCAGAGCGAGCACCCCGGTTGCTGAAGATGTACGCGAACGACGCCGTTGAAGTAGACTCTATTCCTGCTGGTCACATTGGTGTTGTCGTTGGGCTCAAGCATGCTCGCACTGGAGACACGCTTCTATCTTATGCTGGGAACAAGCCCACGCCGCCAGAGCCGTTGACCAGTCTTCAACTCCGCCCAATCAATGTGCCTCCACCAGTATTCTTCACCAGTGTCGAACCACACAGCCTTAGCGAGGAGAAGCGTATGCATGAATCACTCGGGCTACTCCTACGAGAAGATCCCAGTCTACACGTCAGCATGGATGAAGAATCCGGGCAAACACTTCTAAGTGGCATGGGCGAACTACATCTCGAGATCGCCCGTGATCGACTTATCAACGATCACAAAGCCAAGGCATCCATGGGCCGCATCGAGATTGGCTATCGTGAATCTGCCCTTGGTGCCTCAAATTCCATCACAAAGATCTTCGACAAAGAAGTCGCCGGCCGCCGTGGGAAAGCAGGCTGCACCGCAATCGTGGAGCCCATCGATGAACAAGACGTCACTGAAGTCGCAGACGAGGACACCCTTCTCGCCGAGACAATCGAGGGCAACCAAATCATCATCCGTGCCCCCGGTCTACAAGTCGACCGCTCTTCCAAGAATGACGATGAAACAAGCCCCCTTCTACCACCAGGTCTGGACCCATCCGCTCTCCGCGCCGCTCTCCAAAACGGCGCCCTGGCTGCGCTCGCCCGTGGCCCTCAATTCACATTCCCAATGCACAATATCCGGGTTACGCTCACCCTCAACCCGGAAGAACACCTCTTCGGCAACGACACAACCACCTCCGCCCTCTCATCCGCCGCACGTCAAGCTACATCCGCCGCGTTACGAGACATTCTCGCCGGGCCCGGAACGGTAATGATGGAACCAGTCATGAACGCGATTATCAGCGTCGACGAAGCCAGTCTCGGCTCCGTCGTGCACGACATCTCCTCTTCACGAGGCGGCCACATCCTCTCCCTAGACGAGGAGGTGCCCTTATCCGCAACCGACGCGTCTGGATCACCTGCAGAGGATAACCTCCCTCCCATTGACCCCAAGCGCGTATACGCGCCGCCAGATCCCTTCGAGACACCTTCCATCGGTGCGGATATACCGGTGTCCGCGTCTCGTCCCCGGACTATCACTGCCAAGGTACCGCTCAAAGAAATGGTTGGGTATCTCAAGCATCTGCGGAGTTTGACCGCTGGCCGTGGCACGTTTGTTATGAGCGTGGATCGGTTTGAGAATATGTCTGCACAGCGACAGAAGGCTGTGCTTGCGGAGTTGAGGGGTGGATTCTAGTGAGGGAGGTTGTTCTCGTGGGTTGAACGCTATTTTGTACACTATCATGTATGTTCTCCGTCTTGGGCGTCATAGAAGGCAATCTCCAATGTATCATTACTGCCCGATTAGCATTTTGTTTCAAGGGTTTCTTGAGGTTCCTTCCTGCCTTCAGTCTTGCTTTTCTTTTAAGAGCTAACAATCGCGTCTTGGAAGGTTTGCGAGCCAAACTATACAATCCACACTGGATTCATACTATTCAGGTACTTATTTCTATCTGTTCAAGTGCGGTCCCCGAATGAGGTTACCCTCCCTCGCACTTTTGAACAATTCACAGCATGACATTCAAAACTGACACCAACCGCGCCGGAAGAACATTCCAATAGAAACAATGCAAGATGTATGTATACTCAGTAAACTACCAATCCTCACCCCAATCATCCTTCCCCTTCGCCGTCGTCGAAGTCGCAGCATGGCCCTCCGCATGCTCCTTCCCAGCAGACGCAGTCCCATCCCCAGAGGCAGAGGTCGTATTATTCGCCATTGACGACGTCGCAGGACCCTTACGCATAGCAGTAGTCCCGATAACATCAGACCGCGAGCTGCTCCGCTGGTGACCGTTCTGCTCTTGCGAGCCTAGAGACGAAAAGTCGTCCCAGAAATCTCGGCGTTCAGGTTCGATGCGAGACCGGGCTGCACCAGAGCGGTTGTCATCGGGTCCTTCGACGAAGCGGTTGAATTGGTCTGCGGCGCCGCGGACGCCGGTTTGGAGGTTTTGACCCCAGGTTGTGGCTTGGACGCGGGCTTGGGCTGCGAAGTCGGATTCGGCGAGCTAGTTGATTTGGATTAGCTTCTTCTCTCACGGAATATCTTGGGCTTGGAGTTCGGCCCGGATGCAGTCATAACGGGGCTTGCTTACCTGCTTAGCCGTCGGTTGTAGGTATGATTCATTCACCTGCTTCGCGCTCTTGCCCACCGTCGACGCAAACCACCCAAGACCCTTGGTCAAAGTACCCAATGGATCTTTCTGAAGATCCTCAAGGCCCGCTCCACTAGCACCACCAGCGCCTCCACCCCATCCTCCAAATCCACCAAACGGCGAAGACCGACGTTCCGCAGCCGCAGACGGGGGCATACCACCCCCAAAGCCCGTAAACTTCCCACCTTGTGAAGGAGGCAAAGCATCCGACCTTGTTGCATTCTCATTCCCCAATTTCGCGAAATAAGTCTCATTCTGCTCTTTCTTCGTCGGCGCCCCGCCGCGCTGGCTATCATGCGAGCGAATCGATGATGCCGCAGGTGACCCCGTCCGCGCACCACCCGTAACACCACCACCGCTCAGACTCATGGGTGTACTCGACCGCGAGACAGGGGCGTTATTCTTCTTCTCCTGGCCGGGGACGTATTCGCGACCCTCGACTTTGCAGGATAGTCTCTCCTTCCATTCCTCGCCGGCGTCGCCCTCGTAGCGCTCTTTGATTGTGGAGTCTTCGAATGTGCGGCCCTCGGAGATGGTCACGGCGTGGGCATCGTAGAATGTTTTCCAGGGTTCGTTGCCGCCTAGTTCCATGCGCTGGATCTCGGCGTGTTTGAAGGCGTCCATGGTGATTGAGCGTACGAAGGAGATGTGTACACCGAGGCCGCGATGTGTACCGGCGCAGTTTAGGCAGATGAAGGTTCCAAATTTGGGAGATGCCTGCGTTTTGAGAGAGTGGCCACGGTTAGCTTGTGTTTCTCCTCGATGCGGTGTGTGAGGGTGGGTATCGAAGCAGCACTCCAGTAGGTGTAGTGTTGGTTCAGGAGAGAAGAGTATCTACATACCCATTGAGGTGACGGCGCGCCGCAGTCGCAGCACCTATCATTTCCATTGGTTTTGGAGATCTGGAAGAGCTATAATATCGCAAGACATTGTGTTAGTTGAAGAAGCCATACAGGCGCAAGTGGCCTGCCTGGCTTGGCCAGATCGACAGGGACAAGCGCACCTTTGTCTTCGTCTCCGGGTCGACCTCCCACATGCGGGACGACATGACGGGCAGTAGTTATACAAGAAAGGCGAAACAATTGAGAATAGACCACGTCGCAGCCACTGGCGGGGTTCTGGAGGGACGTCGGTGCTCGTGACAGAGTGGATAGACTCGGCGCCGCACTTGAATTGAGGGGGCCTTTCTGTCTGATTCGGTGCCTGTGCCCTGTTTAGCACGCAACCTGGTTGACTCCACCGGTATCTGGCAGAAATATTGGGTCAAGTGCAGTTCGTATTCAGAGAGTCAGTGAATCGATGGGGAGAATGGAGAGATTGAGGGAGTCGAGCGTGGGAAGGACTGTATGTTTTGTCCGCTGATCGGCAAGGGTCGCCCCAACTTTAGCGTCATCGGGTCAGGGTTGGCGCTACAAAGCTTGAACTTGAACCCTGCCTCCATTCCATAATTCCTCCAATTTCGCCGAGCTCTTCTCAACGCCTACTGGTCTATAGAAGAGGCTCCTCTCCATCTTTATCATCTCTACACTCTCTACACCTCCTACAAACGGACCCCAGGGCAGATCGTCATCATTTAGTTAAAATGGGTGCTAAGATACAGTACAGAAGTCAAAGGTCGTTAAGGATGGAGGACATCAGCAAGGATGTTAAACTCCAGCATGGACGTATTTCCATGACATCCGATGATAAAAAAAGGAAAAGGGTCATGACAGCATCCATGCCCACAGATTGTCTTGGCGACCACTTGTCGAATAACTATGATAATGGTTGACCAGCAGATCCCCTATGGTCATATCTCATATTCCATGCGACGGGCCCACACAAGGTTCCTTCCGAATAACGTCAAATTCATTAGCAAGGTATCTGTGGTTGAATAGAATTGGCAATAAAAACTTAGGCGGCCTCGGTGGCAGGACCAGCGGGGGCAGCGTTCTCCTGGGCGGGGGCGGGGGCCTCCTCGTACTGGTCGGCGGCCGCATTGACATCGTCCTCCTTTCCGGGGCTGTCGATGGCGACCTTGACGGCAATGGTGCGGCCATCAATGTCCTTGCCGTTCATCTCGCTGACGGCCTTGGCCTGGAGCTCCTCGGAGGCCAGGTTGACGAATCCGAAGCCACGAGTCTTGCGGCGCTCGTTGCGAGCCTGGAGCTTCTTGATCATGAAGCGGGGGATGGGGCGAAGAGCGACCTTGGCGGAGACAGGGGAGTAATCGGCGAAGATCTCCTTGAGCTATATGAGATGAATGATGCAGTTAGTACAATGGCGGGTTCAAAATACAGAGGACACCACCCCAAGCCTGGCTCTGGTTTCGAACCATGCACGTACCTTGTCCTCGGTCAGGTCGTAGGGGAGGTTAGCGACCATGACCTTGGTCTTGGAAGGAATGCCATCCTCGGGGGGGCCACGCTGCTTCTGGGGACGAGGGGCGCGGGGCTTGCCCTGCAGGGCACCCTCAGCAGCCGCAGGCTCAGTCTCGTTGGTGGTTTCGGTCAGGGAGCGGCCTCGCTAGCGTTGGCCTCGTTGGCCTCCTGTCCGTCCTGGGCCTGAAGATACGCACTCCAGTCAGCGATCATGTTCGAATGTCTCAGACTCAAGCGAGTCATGGACGCAATCAGGGCAAGGGGTTTACATACGCGTCCACGAGAGGTACGGCCACCACGGCCACGAGCGCGACCACGGCCACGGCCACGGCCACCGGTGCGCTTGCGACCCTCATTGCCGCTGGCGCCCTCACCGCCACTGGCAGCACCCTCCTTGGCCTCCGCAGGCTCTGGCTTGCGGGCCAGCTGCACCGAGACCTTGCGCGCGAGGATCTCCTTGCCAGAGAGGCTCTCAATGGCCGCAGTGGCTTCGGAAGCAGTAGCAAGGTCGACGAACGCGTAGCCAACGGGACGGTTGGTGCGGGGGTTCACCGGGATCGAGGTGCTCTCGCTAGAGATTTAGGTTAGTCGTGGGTCGATGGGAGTGTAGAACCCCAAAATGAGGGGTTGACTCCGAGTGGTGGTGGCTGCTCTCTGCCACGAGCGACAGCTGCAACCAGCCCGAGATAGATGCAGGTGGGGTCATCACTTACATGGTGTAGCCCTTGAAGAACTCCTTGAGTTCCTCCTCGGTGGTCGCGTAGGCAAGGTTGCCGATGTACAGACGACGGCCCTCATCAGCACTGGCGGCGGCAGCATCAGTGACCGCGGGAGTGCCGTTAGTGTTGGGGGCGTCGTTGATGGTGGTCGCAGCCAGGTTGTCAGTGAGAGCTTCGACGGCAGACATCTTGAAGGCGGGTTGAGACACGGGAAAGGTTCGAAGGTGGATAATGGAAGCTCGAACGGTGATGTGTCAAACAAACGGAGGGGAGTGTTTGTTGATGTGCCTTGGCGTGGATTTAGGCGGTGGGGGATATTGCCGAGGAGGATGAATTGAGGGGAAGGAGCAGGGTAGCTTGGTGCCCTAGATACCGATTGAAAGAAAAGGGAAGAGATGGGGGATGGAGGAAATCAGAAGCAGTTAAGTTGACTCTTGAAGAAGGAAGGAAGTGAGGGAGGGAGATGAGGAATGGAAAGGAGGAGGAGGAGGCGGTGAGCTGACTAGACTGTGTTGGGGAGTCCGAGAGCTGGCAGCTGGTGTGGTGCCTTCGGGGGACCTCAGGCGACAGTTCGGCTGGAGTTAGGTGCCTTGGGGGGGGGGGGAGGCCTCATGCCTAACGTCACGCGGTAAGTGCCGCTTCTCGAACATCACCCACGACCACGGAACCTCCCGTTTAGTGAGGCAACCACTATTGATGTCATTCTGGAGACCAGACCCAGTTCGATGAGCTACTATAAGCTTCGATTGAACCACACCACCTGTGGACCGACAACACCATGGTTCATTATACACCCCAAGCTGAATTGCCCTATACTTGGGTGACTGCCCTTGACAGTACGCTCATACATTGACTAACTACAAACTTTGTATTTTGACATGCATATGCCTGATACACTTATCTGCACGCGCTGAGTTACCCACAGTAACAACTGCTGGTGCCGCTGGCTGATCTTCCACCGCAGCCGGCTCCACTTCTGCCCACTTTCCATTCTCCGCGTTCCAGACTTCATCTGCATATCCACAAGTGCTGGCTGGCTAACCAGGACAATATTCAGCAGCTAGTAGACGCAGTGACCCGCATGACCGGTAGAGAAGAGCTTGATTGAGTTATAGCATATAATTATTTTCCTGCTGGGCGTTTCCGCTTTGTTGACTTCCTGTTTTATCTTGGTTCATTCCTATGTACTGATCATATCATATGATCATCAGTATATACGCCACCAACGAAAGGTATTAGTTCTAGATGTTCTCTCTTCAGCCTTGCGTATCGATCATCAATGTAGTTATACCTTTGGGGCTTGGTGCAGAGCTCAACAAAGCTGCTTCCATCAAACTTATCAGGGAGACTGTTTGTTTAACGGTTTGTCTTCACCCCAAATAATTACTTGTCCGCCGGCTAATGCTCCACGTCGAATGAAATAGTGTAGTGTTGAAGGGTAAAACTCCCTCTGCTCCCTCTATCGTCTCTGTCTCTGATTTAGTACCTAATGTTAACTACCAATTTGAGTCCTGATTGGAAGGAAATTGAACTTGTTGGCGACTCTTTTTCTACCAGAATTCTGTCTAGATCTGGTATAGAATATGATTTCATTAATATCACCGCAGATGATGATAACTCGAAGACGAGTACCAGCTATGAGCTCTGGAGAGACATCATAAAACGATGCGCTCGGAGATGGAGAGAGGCTGCATTTGAAAATCTCTGAGGGTCAAACGGCCAAATCGGTGATCTTGAGGCCCGAAAGCCACTCACCTGTAGGCCCCATGGTATGCTAATGACCTCACCACCCTTATCATACTTATGTAGTGGGTAATCTTAAAGACAACTCATATGGAAGCCTCAGAGCTTCCAATAGGACTGATCACCTTAGCTCGAGTTTCAATTGTTGAACCATTCTGCTGCAGCTTGGCTATGGTTGACTGAAACCAGCTGAGATTGAGGATCTTTTCTGTGCACTTCCAAGGGCCTCTATAGATTCCCACCAGTTTGAATTAAGGGAGCTTACTCAAGTCTCAAGCTAGTAGTAATGACCTGGCAAAAAGTGTTGTAGTAGCGCTCTTCATCCATACATCTTCTCATGGGCAATTTGTCAGAGTTCAATGTCCGGCGTAGCTGATGGTCTTCGCTGGTGTGATGAAGTGCCCATTCACGGAGTTCGTGATCTGGTAAATCAGATAGAAGCTGCAAAGCCTTTTAGAGGGTTGATTGAGACGGATTACATGTAACATATTCGATGTAACTAACAGTGGAATAATACTAGGGCAAGGGCGATGGTAACGCAAGGATTATTAATTATACCTCGATAGTTAGTAGTACCTACCTTCTCAAGGCCCGAACGTCTGGGTCAACCGTGTTATGGACAAATTGGCGAACGCCTCCGACCCGCCCATAGGTGTGATCGCAAATCGTTAAATTTCCCGCTCAGAAGTAATTATTTAGGACTTTTTAGAATTTCTTTTCGACATATACAGATGACGGAAATAGTTAACTACTGCTGGAAATCTTGATTATATAATCAAGGAGGATCAAAAAATAATAAAAAAGTTAAGCCTCCACGCGGGATTGAACCACGGACCTCTTGATTTCATAGAAATGTACAAGTCAAGCGCTCTACCACTGAGCTATAGAGGCAGATGTGATGAGTAGTGGCAACGTTTGTGTTATCATAAAGCCTTTGTATTAGAGCCGGATAGGTGATGGTCTACTCCTAATTATTATTTTCTAATGATGTACTCCGTACTTTCTCCCACTCATATCTAGCGAATATTTTGATATGTAGAAGCTTTTAAGTCGCTTTTATTATGTATGATACAAGTCTTTAGATTAAAATGTTTGCTAAAATGTAGATATTAGCGATGGTAATTGAATATAGATAGAGTATAATGGAACAATATATAATTGCTGTCTTTATCGGTGGATATCACGAGTCCCTGTACTCTTCGCGTAGAAACCGACATAGGGACAGAACACACCCTGCTAATTCAGTAGGGTAATCCTCATGTCTTCTCCCCGAGCCATACTCCATATCACGCTAAATCCACATTCCCTACCCAATAAGCCTTTCAACCACTGCTCACAACAATTCAAGAAATGACCGAACAGAGTCCCATCCCACTCGCACATTGGGCATCACTTTTCCCTCTGCACCGCCTCACCCCAGGTTTCGCACATGCTACCTGATCACTCCCCTCCTCCTTCGAAACCTCCCTAAACCAACCCATCTGCATCCGCCTCTCAAATTCCTCATCCGTCATTGCATCCACCTGCCCCGGCTGCACAGGCCCAACAAGCTTGGGGACATGGTATCCCTCAATCCAGTTCGCAACGGGGATGAGTAAACCCGAAAAGTCCCGGCGAACTTCTACTCGCGTGCTTGTTAGGTTCGCCAAGTACTTGCGCTTCTTCTTCGGAGGCATCGGGCTGCGGCTAGCAATGGGCTTGGCGAGTGGTGAAAGGGAGGTTTTGGAATTTGAAGGTCCCTTCCCAGCAGACTCCGAAGAAGAATTGCAGATACTCGGTCTGCTTGGAGATGAGCTTGGCTGCCTTGTCGGCGAGGTGAAGATTGACGGTGGGTGAGTATCTGAGAGTAGTGCAGATTCTGGTGACTCGGGTGCTGGCGAGGAGCGAGGTTGGTGTGTCTCTGGAGAGCTGTCTGAGATCGTGATGACCTCGCTGGCGGCTTTTGTGGCATCTTCTCGCCAGTCTGCGATCAGAATCTGGGCATGGTCGGAGATGGATAACCCATTTGAAGATGTGCAGAGGGGTTTCAGGACTACTGCACTGAGGGCATCGAGGACGTCCCTGGTGGCGCAGTGGTATATCTTTGCGAAGTTGCCGATGGGGAAGGTCTCCTGGATAACCATTGCCATGTCGGCGAAGAAGGCACCTGTAAAAGGACATTCGGCCAGAATAGAAGGTACCGCAGTCAAGGGGCTGCAGGTAATGTCGGCCTTTGGCTCCTTGCGCTGTGGCTCATTGGAAGAAGCACGGTCAACAGATCTTGCTCGCTTGTTGCTCCGGAGAGAGGAGATTGCCGGGGTATGGGTTGTCACTGGATTCATTCTACAGTCAGCTTCTCCGGGACTTGTAGACAGAGACCTAAGACCAGGATCGAGCATATATGATAGCATCTTCAGAGATGAAAGCTTGTAACTCACTCTTCGAAGAACTATTGCCTTCTCTTTGAGCTATTGCTATATCAAAGGAGTGAGTGAGTCTTGTTCTTTGATGGGAGTTTGAGGGTGGGTATGTACTTACCTGTCCTGCAGCTGCAAGTACGAAGATTAAAAGGAGGTGCGTGGAGGATGAAAGGAGGAAGAAAAGGAGTGATTGACCAAGAAGTGTGCTCTGAATTTAAACCCTTCCTGAGTCTCTAGACAGACAAATAACGTGGAGGTTTCCATAGTGTAGAACCGTTGCCTTTAAATGGACAGGTAGATGCAGGTACCAGATGTGGTCTGTCTATAGGTGCGAAGACAAGAGGCAGTCAATAGAGTATGCTGACTTATCCTTTAAATTAACTATGGGTAGCGAGCCAACATACATATAGAGTCAAGATAGGGGATAGATGGCGCTGCCTAGTGAGTGTTTCAGGGGGTATATGATGATAATAATGCTACTATGACAATGACAGTAGACCTATGGTAGATAACCATCACGTACTAGAGTAGTAGATATGTATGTCTTGTTCATCATCGAATAAGCCCATGTCCAATGACTATGCTACGGTAGAGTCCGAGCTCCTCCACTCGGAAGGAGCGGGCCATGGGCGTCATCGTGCTGTTGCACGCTCCTCCCACTCCACCCGATGGAGTTGAAAAGAGTCCACTAGTGGCTTTATCTTCCCCCATTATTGGACTCGATAATCTTTTGCCTCCAATTTGCCACTGCCTATTGCTGTACTCAAGATTTCTTCATAGCAGTGTAACAGTCTACCGTAGTCTAATTGAATGGGATCCTAGGAGTTACATAGTCGTGCATAACACGTATCTGCTGCTAGGACTGCCAGCCACAGGGATTTGCTGAAGGCCAGCCTGATAAGATGGAGATCGACAAGTCTGTACGCCTCCTCCGTGACTCCGTATGGGCTTTGGTCGATCTCCACCATCGGGATCGCCGCGGAAAACAAGATTGGAGCAGCTGAGTCATCCGCGCCGTATTGCCGTGAGAATCCCAAGGTTTACGAGACGTCCAGGCCGAAACTCAAAACTCCAGGAACCTTTTCTCAGTGTCGGGGGCATCTCACTCCATTTTTTCTCAATGGCCTAAGGGGGGGTGCATCATCGACCTCGTACCTGGACTGTTCATCGCGGGCTTGCTGTTTCGACCCTTATTCTGATTCAAATCCCCACCTCCCCCAGCCTCGCTCGGTTCTTGCCATTGCGACCACCCGACATGGATCCCATCGAGCCCGTAGAGGGCTCAACGGCCCCGGCTAGTGTTCCGGAGCAGTCTGAAGCATCGTCCTCGCGACCACAATTGGCGACGACTTCGCGCCCACGAGCCCCTTCAAACCGCACGCGCCGACCTAGCATCCGCCTGTCGCGCCTACCCTCCGTTTCCTCATTGGATACGGTCAACATCCAGCAACAACAACCGCAGACGCTTTCTGACAACCAACCCGGTCCTTCCCTTACCCGCCAGGTATCAGTGAGATCGCCCGTGCAGGAGGAGGATGAATCGTCGCAGGGTGGCCGGCGACGCAGCAACTCCGAACCGCGACCGGGACGATGGTCTTCTCCTCCTCAGAATGTTCTCACTCGAGTGGCAACACCTATGGGGTGCTTAACTGAAGAGTCCTCTCATCAAAGCCCAATGCCGGAATCCTCGCATGAGCTCACTGCCCAGCAAACAGCGGATGATCAACTTCAACCGCCACCGGCGGCACTCGCTCGTCCGGCATCGCGGAATGTGCTGCGCCGAACTAGTCAGGCGGCGTTGAACCGGTTCTCCCGCAATCGCGCATCGACAGTCAGCGGAGCGCCGCCAGCACTCGAGGCGACTAAAAAACAGCCAGTGAACGAATATGGATCTCACATAGTCGACGTGTTGGACGTGATTGGTAAGTCTTGCCGAACAGGACCGGAAGATAGAGTGCCAATTATCGTAACTAACAACATCACAATACTGATCAGATCCGGAGGTCTCGGCCTTATCCACCCTTACTAATGTGCAAAACTCACTGTTCATTCCTAATCTGGGCGGTTTCATCAATCGCATGCCCACCTACCAACTGTCGAGAGCGCCTCCGTCCGACGAAGAGCAGGGAACCTCTACAGATGAAGCAGTGTCATTGGAGGAAAGGCAAAAGAAAGAACGCCCGAAGATGGAGCAATTGCGCCCGTTTAGTAGCATGTCTTCTGTGCTTCAGGGTCCTCGATATGCTGTTCTACCCGATGGCCATGAGCTCGAGGGATGGACCAAGGAAGACTTTGCCGAATTGAATGATCATGTCCGGCATATGCTGCACTCCCGACGGTCCAAATTTAAGCGATCTATGAGGGGATTCGGCCAATATATACGAAGGCGTAAGTGACCCTTCAAATATGAGAAGCCAAGTCGTGAGACTGACGAATACTTCCAGCCCTGGGATTCCTTGTTACCCTCTATGCAACCCTCATTACCCTGTTCGGTCTTGCCTGGGTTCTCTTCTTGATTGGTATGATGCACCCATGATGCTTTTTGGAAATTGATATCGTGGGCCAGAACTCTAACATTTATCTTCCAGGTTGGATCAATGTCGGTGGAAGACAGCTCTATGTTATCAATGTTATTGACAACGTTCTTGTGGCACTATTCGCCATTATGGGTGACGGATTAGCCCCCTTCCGAGCTGTGGATACCTACCACATGATTTTCATTGCGCATTATACGATGCTGACCTGGAAGATCCGTGAGGAGCGGAAGTTGCCCAATCTCAAAGACAAGAACGATCTCCCTGCTCAGGAGGAAAAGAATGCCGATGTCGAAGATACCCCCCAGGAAGAAGAGTTTGAGTACTCCGTGCTCGATGCCCGCCAGCAACAGCGTCTGATGCACCACCAGGCAAAATTTGCCAAGTCACACACCTTTTATAAGCCGCATGAGACAGTCACCCACCACGCTTTCCCTCTGCGCATCCTCATCGCCATCGTCGTTCTCCTCGACTGCCACTCTCTGCTCCAGATAGCACTAGGCGCTTGTACTTGGAGTATGGAGACCCCAGGAGAGCGGCCCTTTGCACTGACTACCGTCATCCTGTGCTGCTCGATCACCTGCAACATTACTGGTGGTGTGCTGATCATGATTGGTGATCGGCGCACGCGCAAGAAGGATGTTGTGGAGCGTCTCTTCCGTCAAGAGCTGACCGAGGAAGCAATGAAGAAGATGGAGAAGAAAAAGGTCAAAGAGGAACGCAAGAGTATGCAGCTTGAACGTGAAGAGCGTAAGAGTATGCAGATCGACCGTGAAGGGCGCAAGAGTACGCAACTTGAACGGAAAGAGCGTACTAGTACGCATATCGACCGGCAAGAAGTCGAGCCCGAAACTCCGCAGACTGAACGCCCCGATCCATTTGCCAGCTCTTGATTGTTGCCGGTATGTCGATATACGACTTTGTCAGCCTACGACCGTCACGAACATCACGACGACGTATCTTGATACGCAAAAGATTCATGTCTTCCAGCCGACTGTACATCCTTCTTACTGACCTACCCCATCTACTACCCTGGTCCGCTACGTTTATATTCGGAACTTTGGCGTTTGTTTGGGTCTCGATTTGTTTTGAAGAGGTCAGGTATTCCATTTTTTATGAATTATTGCTTTGTAATAGCTTTTGGTTTTACTACCTTACGATTCTCATTCCCATCGATGGTTTATTGCTTCTTGTCCTAGCTGCCTATGCTGGATTGGAAGTTCTATGGCTGTCATTACTGTCCATTTGGGTTTGGAGCGTTATATTGCTCTTGCTTTTATCTGGCATTCAGCTTCATCGAATAGAGATCTTGCATTAATTGAACTGAATTGATCTATACAAGCTGCCACGCTTCACCCTATCTCCCTCTCTATACAATAGCAACCCCCCAAACTTCCAGACAAGGCGCAATGAGATTACCGACCTATCCCTTGTACAATCAACCAGCTTCGCCTCCTCTACTCAGTAAGGATCACACCCTCGCCCACCCACTTATCCCCACCCCCCTTCACAACCTCCCGATAAATCCACTCCCCAATCAAAGCCCGCCCAACCGTATACCCAACCTCAGGCTTCTTCTCCGTCCCAACCCTCAACTTCCTATACCCCGAGTCCGTCCCAGGCTCAGCAATCTTATGATCCCCACCAAGAATACTCGGCCGAACAATCACTACCCCCCCACACAACAAACTCTCCTTCTTCTCCTGCTCCCCAGCCAATAACCTCTCCATCTGCATCTTGTCCTTGTGCGGGATATCCAATGCCGCATACAAGGGCTTGAATAGCATAGGCACATCTTTGACGCCCTTCTTGATACCCGCGCCAGAAATAATCGTCACTCGCGGCGCGACGGCTGCAAAGTCGCTGAAAGAAGCGAATCGTTCCTTCGCGATGCGTCGCAGCGCACCGAGTAGTGCGGTAGTACTTTCCTCCGTGATATGCGGATTCGGAATACTAATGTGTGGAATTGTCGGGACACGCATGGGGATTTGATCGCAGGGTGATGCTTTGGTCATGACTAGTTCGCCTGTGCCCCCGATACCTGAGACGATGAGGGAGACGAGTGTTGTGCTGTGTTCATCTTCGGACACGATGAGTGTCTTCATGACTGTTTCGATGTCCCGCGCGTCACCTTGGACGATGCGTAGGTGTGTGTCCAGGATGTCTTGGGTTAGACCTGGTTGGGAGAGGAGTTGGGTTGTGAGTTTTTCTGGTGTGCGGGCTAGGGCGATGGCATCGTAGCCACTGCGGAGGGAGTAAGCTAGACAGGCGTTTGCGCAGCCCCCAGTGGCTCCGAGGAAGGCGATTGTTGTGGACATTTTTTGGGTTGAAAGTTGTGGATGGGTGTAGAAGGGGTTGGGGTGGTGAATTGCGAAGTATAGAGGGTGTTCGAGTATAGAGATGTAGTATTGATCTGGTTGGTATTTGTAAGGTAAGGTTGTTATATAACACTAAAGAAGTGATTAACAAAAGAACATCCATCCTAATGACATCGAGCCCTTTATATCCCCATCCGTTCTCATACACAGCCCTCATCCATACTCACCCGGACAGATGACAAACTCCCATCACCATCGAAATCCATCCACCCCCGAACCAGTCCAGCACCAATCCCGACAACTAAAAGCTAAGCTACAGCATTGGGCCCCCACTTGTGAGGCTTGACCCGGTAAGACTGATATACGCTTTTGGAAGATTCTGCGCCGCCTGCATGGCCCCCAAGCGGCGTCTCTGCAGTCAGTGCCACCGATCCTCTTCCAACGGATCGGTATTTGGCCTTTGACGCGCGCGTTTGGGTGGGTTAGGCCGAATCGGGTTAGAGTCGGGGGAATTGGGAGCCGGTGCGGAGGAACTTGAGATTCTCGAGGTTACTGGTCGGAGGTGTACAACATAAAGTATAGTTGTTGTAAATGGCAGAGGCTTTCATTTTATTGGAATATTTAGGCACTCTCGCAGATTTTCAATTCTGGGATGAAGTGATGAGAAGTTACCACGAAGGTTCTTTTCCACTTATGATACCGTTGACAACTTTCATCCTGATTGTCTAGAGATATAGTATCCCACGGGTGGCTGGATCTTAGATACACCTGGGGTCGCCATGGTAATCAAATCGCTACAGTTTCCATCTAGCCCTGGTAGTTCATTGAACTCAAGAAACTACAAAACCCTCAAATATAAATCTAAGTAGATAGTGAGATCGTCAAGTTGTCTACGGGCCATCGAAAGCTGATTTTGCGACGCCACGTGAGGTTTTTCTTGATTGGGCCAGCTGGAGACTTCGCCCGATGTCCAACAACACTTTGAATCATCTCAAATCACTACGAAACTCTGTCATAACATGATCGGACAAATGTGGCTTCTGCAATACTAATTAGCATAGCTTAATCCAAAACCCCGCGATGGAAGTCCCGGCTCATGACGAGTCGACCGCGCGACGGACGCAACAGCAGGTCCTACAAACAAGGGGTGTCCACCCTGCCCAGTCTCCTCGACCACAAACCTCACTTCCTCTTCTTACATATTTTCAGCATCTTTTACCCGATTCCTTTGCCAGGTCCTCAGTCCTTGGGATCAGATTCTATACTTCCACTCGGACCAACTAGAGTGGAGACATAACAAGGCTTACAGTGGACGCAGGATCCTTCCAGTTCAGGAACACAGACGATCCGTTACTACGAAGTGAGTAGAATGACTCTGTCCAGGGCGAGTCCTGTGTAGAATCTGTAGATTCTATCCGTCGCCCAGCGTTACCAAAGATATTTGCGAGTTGACCCGCTTAAATAGGGAGATTAATCTTTAATCAACCTATACCATCAAAATGCAGTTCTCTCTCAGCGCCATTTTCCTTGGCTTCGCCACCTTGGCTGTCGCTCTGCACGCCGACTAGTCCACCAGCGCCAATGGCCTCCGCTCCCAGTACGAGCACGAGGATGGCATCCGCTGGCACGTTCCCAGCGGCATGACCGTCAAGGAGGCCCAGTCCGAGTGTGGTGACCAGGCTCAGCTGTTTTGCTGCAACAAGGCCGCCTACGCTGGTGACACCACTGATGTCAACTCCGGTCTTGGTGGTGGCCTCCTCTCCAACCTGATCGGCTCTGACTCCGTTGCCGATGGTACTGGTATCTTCGACCAGTGCTCCAAGCTCGATGCTCAGCGTATGTTCCTCTTGATAAATGGTCAATTGAAAAAGCTAATAACCGCCCAGTCCACGTCGTCGCCGTTGCGCCCCTCCAGGACCTCATCAACCAGCGCTGCAAGCAGAACATTGCCTGCCGTGCCAACTCTCCCTCCGATGCCGTAAGTTCTCCAAATTGTTTCCTTCATGATCCAATTCTAACATCGATTCTAGAGCAACGAGCTCATTGGCGCTGGTCTGCCTTGCATTGCCCTTGGCTCCATTCTGTAAACGTGTGGTTTACGCCGTTGTCGCTGTTGGGGGGTTGGTTCTGGGGGTTTGAAGTTCGAGGCGTCCGGTGATATACACCCATTTTTTCCTTCTCAGTTTTTGTTTGTGAGATATGATTCCTCTATGACTTGAAATCATCGAGATAATTATTTCTCCGCCTAATACATAACGTGTCATTCTCAACACCCACTCCTTTTGTAATGTTTTTCTCGTAATTGCTTAGCAAGGTCTAGATCTGGCAGGGTTGCCAACTTGATCGACGGAGAACCCGAATAGTCTACCATTAGGTCGACATCACGCGGCATGTAACAGTCAGAATATTCGTAGGGGATTCAAGACGAAGCCTCCTGGATCGTCTGCTTCTGAGAATAACTTGAGGATCTTCGTGTGCCGAGCAAGGACTTGAATGCAGCAATCGACTTATTTCCATTATTCATTTTGTGTCTGAACACTAAGTTATTTTCAAACTGTTGTGCGGCTAACAGTTCAATTCTATCGCGCCAGTGGATAGACAGGCGACCAGTCTACTGCTTCTGCAGCCAGTCATCAATGGACTTGAGGTCCGCACCCCGGACCCGGTGCACTTCCTGACCGTCCTTCAACATGACGAAGGTGGGCATAGCAGTGATGTTGAACTGCTGAGCCAATCCCCTCATCTTATCCACATCGATCTGGAGGAACCGGACTTTCTCATACTTCTCACTGAACTCGCCGACCTTGGGGGCAACGGCCTTGCAAGGGCCGCACCAAGTCGCGTAGAAGTCAACAAGGACGGGGCCGGAGGAAATGAGGGCCTTGAAGATCACCTCGCTTTATACGTATACCCGTGTCAGCGACGTCTAGCTCATGTAACTGCTGGAGCGCACCCCCCTTCAATATGCGATAACTCACTTGTCGATGTTAGAGACCTTTCCGTGAGACATGATGGGTGTTGAAGCGGCGCTGCGGGACTGGTAGATGCGGAAAGCTAGTGACATGTCAGCCAAATAGTTATCGGAGTTGCGTTCACACAAGGGCCAATCATCTCATCGTGAAAATGCGACTTGACACCAAATGAGCTACACACAGGGACCCTTACCGATGAAGAGCGCAGTGATGATCAGCAGAGTCGAGAGCTCCATTGTGGGTTGCTCCGTGGAAGAAGTGCGGGCGGCTGTGGAGTCCGATTAGTTGTCCTGCACGTGACTAGGCATGAAGTATACACATGCAGATTTACAGCATTTTCAAGGCATTTTCACTCGCAGTGGATAAAATTTAGATTCAAATAGCTATAAAGCTTTGAGCCAGGTAAAAGACTCGTCCATGAATTTTGTAACAGATTCCGGACGGTCTGTTCCCGGCAGATCCCGATTCACTTGGAACCCCTTGCCAGCCAGGAGCCAGCCTATGCATCGATAGCTATCTCGATGACCTTCCATGTCAAACTTCGCAGGAGCTGAGACCATAGGAAGCGCGGGTGTAATTGTATCCTTGTCGTAAATGGCCTCCAATGTTAACATTTTCCATTCCCCATTGACCCTCTCCAACCTTGAAATAAATCGGGCATACGAGGCGCAGTCATATTCATGACCATCCATGCGGAACCGAGAGTTGATGCTCCCAGTAGATTCCGCAAGAGCCTTTACACGCTTGTCGTCGAAATGGATTTCCACGGGACAAATTGTGTGCGTCGAGCTTGCTCCTCCTTGAGCCATCTTTTCGGATCCAGAAACGAACCCATCTACGTCACCTTCGTACCTATTGAGAACCCGCAATTAGAAAATAGTCCAGAATAATTGTCAAATTCATGTACGAACCAGGTGATCTTAATTGCTGTTCTCGATACATCTGGGTGGTAAGAATTGCGGAGGTTTTGCCACTGAGCCGTATCTCTGTAGTATCTCTCTCGGGTGAGCAGCGACTTGATTCGCTGCTCGTCCAATTCTCGATCAAGGTCGTTGTTCATTTTATCGGGACGAGGAAAAATTCAATATATTCAATATTGAATCAGATCTTGACTGACCGGCAGATCCGGACTTCAGAAGCTTGATATACTTGGCCCACATCAAGTGGGACGCGGGACCTAATCAATCATGCGGAACCAAACAACCAGGTCCCACGGGGGAAGGAACCCGGGGTATACCCGACATCACTGAACAGACTTGACAGGAGACGGGGTACCTAAAACTATAGGTTGTAATGAGCACAGAGCGGGGGACGGTGCATTTATGATTTGAGAGACGCGATAGCCTCGTATTGAAGGCCCTCCCAGCGTGGATTGTTCTCGTTGTAACCATCCACCTAAAAAAACATTCAATTCCGATGATTCTGATTCTAGTCTGATTGTGATCAGTTCAGTAAGACAAGGTGGGATTCGGCCCAGCCTCTGCGTGCAATACAAATGTCTGCAGTTGCAGTTAAAAAAAGGTCTGAATTCAGAGACCAAGAAAGAGGTCCGACCAAATACGCTTAACTTGTTTTCTCTTTCATGTCTTCCGAAACGTCTTTCTAAATTGCTCATGATATGTCTGTTCATTTCATGTTATGGTATGACGACGAGATGATTTTGGAATTTTCTTCGGGGGAATACATTTATGGAATCCACTGGACAACCAATACCAGAACGTGAAGATTGAGTGTCAGGAGGTGCAGTACGGTCGTTTGCAATAGCCCTCTTTACTCGACCGGCACATTCTAAATACGAAAGATATCAGCCCACAAAACCTAACCTAGGGGTATGTCCGCTGACCTTCAAGGACAATGTAAAGATTTTACGAGTAGCTCTCAAATACTCAAAAGGCAATGGATGGACATGCTTCATCACAAATCCAAAGTTTAAAACTTGCGCGTCGTGCGTCGTGACAGCCCTATATTGTCACCTTAAGCTCTCCTGACCCCAGCCAAGCAGCAATTTGGACGATGTCAAGAATAAAGGAGCGGGGCAAACAGGAAATTTTTAGAAATTAAATGCAAAGTTATCGGTCATATGTATTGAGAATTTAATCCGATTGGACTTGCTTGAAAGGGCTAGCATTCCTGATGATGAACGGGATATGTGTGGCGCGTCGTCGGTATGTAGACCAACGTTGAAACCTGGAGAGGGGCATATATACTCTCAGGAGCAATTCTTTGCAGGAAAAGCAGCAGCTCTGTTGGAAATTGACACAGAAGAAAAATGTTCAAACACCTCAGAATGCGGTCTACCGACGAAGAATCAGAGAAAAGTCTCGTCACCAGCTCTCCTCCCTTAAACGATGTCTGCCCAACAGCAGAAACCAAATCAAATTCGACCGCAGCTATGCTCCGTCTATCCTTATGGGTATCTTTTGCAGCATGGATCGCCAACTTTGACAACGGCTACACCGGCACTATCTTGATCATGCCATCCTACCGAAAAGCCTTTGGGACATGTCGCGAGATCTTGAATCCAACCACAGGCCAAATCAGTGAGCACTGCTCAATAACACCCCTCCAACAATCTCTCATCAGCCTGAACTACATGTTCATTGGACTCGGAGGTGGTCTGTCAGCCCTGACAGGCAGATATACCGGCCGCCGTGGTGCGATCCAAATCGGATGTGGACTTGCAATCATCGGAGCAGCTGGAATGTTGGGCACTGGCAATGGTTCACCGAAAACCTTCTTACACTACATGGTGAGCAAATGCATCAGTGCCATTGGCATTGGACAACTCATCTCTGCATCCCTAGCCTACGGCTCCGAGTGCATCGTTGCCAGCAAGCGCGGCCTCGCGCTGGGACTATACAACGTCGGCCTGGCACTGGGCAACCTTGCCTCAGCTGCTGTCTGTGCAGGATCCGCACGTCTCGAACCGGGCAATAATTGGCAATGGAAAACGCCTATCCTAGCACAGATCCCGCTGGGAATTCTTCTCGGCGCGGGCATCCTGATGTTCCCCGAGTCACCGCGATGGATCCTGAATAACGACGAAAACAGGGAAGAAGAAGCCCGCAGGGCATTCAGTATCTTGTATCGCATTCCTGCTGATTCACTCGAGATCACTGCCCAGATTGAGGATGTCAAGGCGCATATCAAGGCTGACCGAGTCAATGCTGCCGCTTCATCTTGGTACGAGATTTACACGAGAAATCATTTCCGGCGGACGTGGACTTCGGCGTTGATTATGATCGGGCTTTCGATTACCGGGATTCAATTTGTTCAGCCGTATGCGACGACATTCCTCAAGGGTGTCGGTATCAGTGATCCCTATCTCATCAATGTGATCATCGGTCTTTGCATTCTCGGTGGATCAGGATTTGGTCCCTTTATAGTGGAGTATGGAGGGCGTCGATTTGCTGTTCTCACTGGGTACAGCGCTATGGCTGTTTGCATGTTGGTCCTGTCTTCGGTCAGCACTGCACTCGGAGCAGATGAAGTCTCGAAGATTGTCGTTGTCGTTTTGCTTTGCTTATGGTCGTTCGTATTCGGAGGAACTATTGCGCCGAGTGCAGGTCTTGCATCCGTGGAGATGCACAGCGTAAGGCTTCGAACGTATGGACAGGCGCACACAACCGTCCTCTACGGCATCTTCTCTTTCGGTGCAACTTTCTGGACCCCGTACATGTTGGACGCAGACCATGGGAACATGGGTCCCAACGTGGGATATTTCTACGCGGCCGTGACAGTGGTTATTGGAGTGCTGGTCTGGTTCTTGGTGCCCGAGACTGCTAGTTTGACTCTGGAGCAGATTGATGATGTCTTCAACTCGGGCATCCGGCCCTGGAAGACTTCCATGACAGCGAACAGAGCCATGGCCCGGGCAAAGGCTCAGCAATTAGCGGCGGAGTAGGCATGGTCGTGACTAGGAGGAAGAACTTACAGAACAGTGTTGAAGATCAAGTTGTGCTGTACATAACGTTCCTCATTGAAGAAACTTACAAGATATCAAGGAACAAACCCATGATTGTGGACAATGAATGTATCTATATACGCTATTTGAAACGCGCTTGACGTATAAACACCCGCATTGACACAACAACAGCGAAGAGAAGAAGGCACATTGCACGCAGAACGCTCAGATGTTGCCCGATGGAAAAGTACAGGAACACGCAAGGGCTTGTTTTCAGAGGAGACTGTACACAGGAGAACCCACACAGCAGGCAGGGAAAAAGAAGTGACTGTTTCGAAAATCACACAAGGAAATGTTGAAAAACGTCGGCGTGGATCAGCCGGGATGGACAAAGTAGTTGGCGTTCATATACATGAAGAGAACTTGTTCGCGAATCTGACCACTTGAATGTAATCAGGCATGGGGTGTGAATGAGTGACTGTCGATAGGTATTGAGGTGAATGAGAGTGATGGGAGTCATCAGTAGCCCAAGGAGCTAGAGTGTTGTGACTCCCCGGAAAAAACCAAGAGGAGAGAGGGAGAAGGTATGTGATGGAAAGAGTGGAGGCTGCAGTGGGGGTGGTTTCAGAAGTATGCGGGCGGGTGGGACAGGAGACAAAGTTGGTGAGGAACGGTAGATGGGAAGTTGGTGAAGAGCTAAAGCTCGCTTCGAACGGGCTCTCCAGGAGGCATTCGCTCCGCCTTGCGGTTGCTCATCATCTGCTCGAGAGTGTCAAGACGCTGACGTGTGGTCCGAATAGCGTGATCCATTTCCCGATCAGAAACCTGCTCCTCGCGTAGCCGGGCAATGAGATCACGCTCGTCTGCTGGGCTGACTCGGGGGCTTCGACGGCTTGCATCGGCGTCTGGTGCGCCATGGTGAAGGACTGGGAACGCCATTCCATCCATACCTACTCGGTCCTCCAACCAGTTCCACAGCTCGCTCTCCTCACGTCGCCACATTTCTTCATATGCAGCGAGCCGCTGAGGAAGGCTGAGCCCGGTGAAACCCACATCGTGGCCGAGTCTGGATGAAGTAGATGGAGATCGGAAGAATGCCATATAGAGCAAAATTCCCACAAATAGAATGGCAAAGTTTCCACTCCATAGGGGCTTGAGCATGCTAGTCACTGGCTCGAGTAGAGGGCGAACCGGTTCAAACAGACCCCAGGATTCCGTCTTGCTCGAGGTGGTATCCGCAGCTGCGTTCGAAGAGGCACCCGCGGCCTCATCGCTGGACGCAGCATCGCCCTTCTTACGGCGACCTTTGCCCTTGCCGGCGCCATTGGTACGACCGCGAGGGACAACGCCGACCTTAAGAGCCTTCACAAGCTCGGTGCCGAAGGTGGTTTGACCGTCGATCGCGCCCTTCTCAATAGGCCCTTTCAGCCAGCTCTTGCCTGTCCACTCAATGTTACAGGTCATCAAGAAGCGGGTTTGGTTACCGGCGGCCCAGGTGAAAAGGTACTTGGTTTTTGTGGCGAAAACATTGCCGCTAGGCACGTCGGGGGTTTGAGTACTCAGAGTGACGAGGACGGCCTTCTCCAAATCCAAAAAGTCCAGGTTCTCAGTACTAATGCACTTGGTTTGCTTGGGACCAATAGAGCCAGAAAGGGGTTTGATATAGGAGTATTTCCTAATCCGGCTTTCATTGGTCAGGCCTTTTGCAGTACCTTCAAACTGCAATTCGCCTGATTTTTGGTTTTCCACGAGGAACTTTGTGATGAATTCGCCAGATGCTGGACCGAAGACAAGAGAGTAGACCTTTCCGAGCGGCGCTGGAATGATCTCATCCTTGATGACCTTTTCGTACTGCCCGTCGGCCTCGGTGTATTCGGTGGGTGCATGCATTGCTGGACCAGGGAAGTTAGCTTCCTTAGAGGCACCCGCCTTGTCGCCATTCTTCCCCTCGCCGTTCCCATTTGCTCCAGCGGGTGGCGCCGTCGCGTTGGCTAGCAGACCCGAGGTTTGACGGCTTAACCCAGATCGAGCTGGTAGTGACCTCTCGCTCGCATTGGCACTGGGTCCAGCTTCGAAGAAGCTATCAGCATTGTCGCCTTCTTCATCCTCGTCGTAAATCTCATCCTCGTCAGAGGTGTCGCTTTCTGAGTCGCATTCTCCCACCTTCTCAGTCTTGTCACCAGTTCCATTGGTTACCCGCGTCCCGTTGACAGAGCTCTTGAGAGATGGATGATTGATTTTCCAGATGTTGACCATAAGATCATAGGTCGACTCGCGACTAAGTAAACTTCGGAAGGTATGGCGAGCATGTAGAGTTTGAATAGCAATTGCGTTAGGGAAGACCATCGCCGTATTCTCTTTCTCGATAGCCACAATCTCATCGAAGCTGATAACCAGAGTAGTCACCCATCCAAGAATGTTGCTAGAGAAACAGATATGACCCTCAGAGATGTAGATGCGACCAGCAAGGATAATCTCACGTTGCAAAGCGCAGCTGTAGTCCTCGATCAAATAGTCATCCTCGGGGACGCTTCGGAACAACTGATGGAAATCCCTGTTGCGCTTCTTGCTCGCAACGGCAAAGCCCGTTAGGCGAGGCACACTGGTATTAACACCAGGGATACCGAGGGCCAGGGCATTGACACCAATTGCACCAATTGTTGAAGCCGTTGCCCCAGAAGAGCCTCGGTGGCGGCGAGCAAGTCTACTGCGCACACTACCACTCCGCTTGATACCGCCGCTGCCAATGTCCCCGTCCAAAACGCTGCCACTGGGAGGGGTTTGATCACCAGTCATTGTGCCTTCCTTTGGCAAAGACACTGTCGACTGGAGATCCAGAACATCGTCACTAGGAGCACCGATTGCAGAGGACTCGAGCTTTTCGTAGGCCATGTTGACAGCACGGGCCGCCCGTACATCTTCAAGCTTCGCTGCCTCTTCATCCCGCTGATATACAGCGGTATTCTTCCGCCTATCCACTGGTGTTGCTGGCTTTGTGACGACCGCGCCGTCGGCAGAGGAAACCACATCGCCAGACGCGGCGTCGATACCCAAATGGCTGAAGTTCAAGTCTCCAGTGCCAAGAGTCTCCACCGTAGATGGTTTTTGTTCTTCACCTTTCTTGGCTGCGTCTGAAGCTTGATCAGTCTCGTCTGCCGGGGAGTTGTCGACGCTGGGAATCGGAGCCTGAGAGATCGTACGGCTCCTTTGCTGAGAATTGAGTGTGTTACTCAGCGAAGTTGCCGCATTCTGGGCCACGGAGAAAACAGATGAGAAGAAGCCGCTTTGCTGATTCGATCCACTCTTTGGGGACTTGCTCTCTTCCAAGGGGCTCAGTGCAGAGACCGATGTAGACAGCTTGCTAGGACCGTGTGCCGCGGAGGCAGATCGAACCCTCCGGTGTGATATCATGTTGCCAGAGGGGCTCACTGTGATGCCGGCTTCCGCCCCCGACAATGAATTGCGGGACTTGATAGACTCGGGCGAATCTGTTATGATTTCCGACATAACCTGAGGAATGGGTGGATGGTACTCCGTGGGTGTTGGAGGTGTGACCGTAGTTGCCGGCGCCGGAATCGCGGTACGTGGAGGGGTGTTTGGTAACGGACTCGCCTCTAATGATTTTTCACGAGGCTTATCCTCTGTCAGATCGGTGCGAATAGCGAGAGGTAATGGCGGGGGCGCCTCCGGTGTTGCCTGGGCCCGTTTGGCAGATAGACTGCTCCGTCGACTGCTAAAAAAGCTTCGCCCACTTCGACTGCCGTTTGATTTGGCTGAAGCATCATCATTCCCGTTCGCGTTTTTCTTATCCGACGAGCTAAAAGCATCCTTGAACCGTCTCCCGGGCGAGCTACTGCGGCGGCTGCTGCTGCTTGTATCCGCTGGAACATCCAGCGTCATGCTCGACCGGGTCCCTGGTCTCGAGGAGTTATCGAGAGGCTCACTAGGAGTGTAGTCGGACCCAGGCGCACTTGGGCCGCTGACCGCAGATTCGATATCCGCTTGCGTTGATTCCGTGTCTCCAGCATCAACTGAAGTTGTTTTTATGAGCGGGGAGGAGGAGGTATAGAAACCCGTATGGGAGTTGTGAGAGGTAAGCGGCGGAGTTCTATACAAAGAAGGGATTAGTTTCAATTGTATGAAGACCTAGGAGTAACACCTAAATTGCGTACCGCTCCGGTTCAGAATCATCGGTCAAGAGATTGATGACCTCGCCTTCCGGCATGATCGAGCTGGCGTTGGATGACGGGACGCCGGAATTGCTATTGCGAGATTCATTGGACCGGCTTGGCTGGAGGTCCTCTTCCGTGACAACGGCTGGTACCGGCTGTGCATCGGCTAATGCATCACCGTTGTTGTTCTTCTTCTTCCGTCGCCGACGCGAGCTGATGAGCTTGGAGAAACCGCTGGAGCCAGCCTTTGCGGAGTCGGGAGCTTCACCTCCTTGAGTTTTGGGTCGCTCGTTAGAATCGACCGAAGAGCCACCATTGCTTCGACCGGAGCTATCCATTGCTTCGGACTCTGTTGAGACCGTCCAGGCGCGGCGCGACCTGCTACCACTGCCTTTGAGGCTGGAGGATTCGGAATCCGCCATGTCATCCAAGGCACGGAGTAATAGGCCCGGGCGGGCAATGCAGAGAGAATGGGGAGTCGCGGGTCAGTTTCACCACATGAGGGAGTGGTGAGCGTGTAGCGAATCCCCGGGGGGACAACAGTCTAATAGCGAGAGAAGAGCATAAGGAGCGCCAGCAACATAAGAAGTGCAAAGGACCGAGAAAGAGATCTCCTGGTGGTGGGTTGTTCCACTTGAGGGAGGAGCAGCTCCGTCTGGGCCTTCTTCGGGTCAGCCACTTTGGTCAGGTGTCGTCAGGCAGTCGATTAAGTTACCGCGGTGTATCACCGTTACGCCCGTACGGACGGGCCCAAGTAGACATCGTCTTCACTTGCAACACTCTATGTGTTACAGACTTCTTCATCCTACATCTGACTCAGATGCCCTTTGAACCGGTCATTGGCTACCTCGTTGTAACTACGTCATTGGACCAGACTGGCCACTGCGCTCCCATGTGTCTGACGTATGGCTTGTAGTCTCCACCGTCCAGAATGCGGGATGTGACGCCTGTGGCCGGCCGATGCTGCGTTCAGCAGCCAACAAGGTCATTGTGGTCAATGGATACGACCTTGGATCTAGATTAGAAAAGTATATCTGATCAAATGTTACCCCCAAAGGGAATCTGACAGAGGAGACCTCTAGTTGACTGGGACATACCAGCTTATGTGTACACTCCCACTACTTGTACAGTAGAGTATGTACGAAATTGTGTATGCTCAATACCGTTACTTTACCACTGTCGTACTTTCGTATTCCCACTTTCTCCGCATCAGCTCTTCCTCACTCCTCCCATGGCGTCACTGTTGCTTGCCTTGCCCTCTCCACCACGACATCGCCACAACCCCCCAGCCCTAATCAAGGAATGCCTTATGACTCCGCGGCCTATGCACCACCTCTGACTCTCCCACCATGGAGGTTGCACCGCTGACCTTGGTAAGATCGGGATTCCCCCCACTCATCCTGCTCCCATCTTGTAGGCAACGGGCCCTAAACAGATCTAGGCCCACACCCACGCACGTAATGCCGTCCTCGAAACCCGCAAGTCCAACCCCGTCGCCGCCAGCGAGGAGCATGATTTAGCAGCCGGTGAGTTCGCGACCGTAGCCCAGAGCACTTCTGACCAAGAGGTACGTTGAGGATGCCCTGCCCCCAAGCAAACCAGTCGAGTACTGACTTACTCGGCCTCAAGGCCCTGCGTACACTGCGGCTCCTCGAACACCACCACAAGAAGCTAGCCGAGATCTTAAGATTCCAACATGAGCACCCTGCCAGTGCAGCTAATGGAGCAGCGTCCGCCGCGTCCCCGATAAACGCCTCCGCTCAGTCTTCGGCAACAGAGACGCGGGCCGCAAAGACCGCAAGCCAGGATGCCCAAAGCCAACCTCCGAGACTGCCAGGGAACCCTCGGTTGCCAAGTCGAGAGTCTTCTTCTATCGCTAGTAATCTAGCGTCTGCGCGAGGCATACCGGCCCACCCTCGCCGCGGATCCCCAGTGTCGCCGACTCTTTCCACACAGCAAGCCGGGGCGAAGATGACCGATGGACCGTCAAGAATTGGAACAGGAGAGTCAAGACCGCGAGAGGCGTCGATGAAGAACCAGAATAGCCGCACACCAAGACAGCCCTGGTCTCCGCCATTGCCCAGTCCCACTGATATCACGTCTCAGCAAGTCGTGCCTTCGGAGGGTGCCGAGTCAACTCCTTCAAAAGGTCAAACTTCAACTACGGAGGATTCGTTCCAACGCTTTTACTCAACATTTGAAGGTCTGATCTCAAAAATTTCTGTACCTTTATCGTTTGCAGGACTTCCTCTGGGAACGGAAGATTCGTCAAAGACGGCACCAGCCAGTCGAAAATCCCCCGCAGAGACCAAGCTTGACCGCCATCATGCCACTTCAGACCGCAAGTCTACCTTCCAGGAGCCAGACGTGAACCGGCTCTTTTCGAGGGCAGCTCTGCGCTCAATCCATGACATGCCCGGAACCGGGCCTGGAAACCCGGCCGAGTCTTTCTATGTTGTTCCCACCACCGGGGGCACGATGTCATATGCGGGAATTCTATCTCGGGCCGAGAAAGAGGCGCGTCGAAATAGCTTTGAAGACGGCGAGGATGACTTTGTAGATGCGCGAGAAACCCCATCAACTCCCGAGATGCGACAGAGTATCGGCAATACTTCGCGGGCATCACGCCGTGGTGTATCGGATAAACTCACGACCTTGCAGAACCCAAAGACCTTGGAAGAACTGCAGATGGAGAATCAGGCACTGAAGCAACTATCAGATACTCTTTCAAAACGTCTACACATGTGGGAGGTCAATGCACAGTCATCATCCATGGCGCTACAGCAGTCTCTAAGAGCAATGCATCACCATAACTCTGGAGCGTCAGAGTATTATACTCATGGCTCCCCTGCCGTATCCCCTACTGCAACTCTCACCACGGCACCCGCGGCTTCGGATGCAGATGCCCGAGTTAAAGAGCTGGAGGACCTCGTCCGTCGCGGTGAGCGGGAGCTGGAAAGAGTTGGCCGAGAAAACGACAAACTCAATAAAGTCCTTGGACGGTATCGGGATCGATGGGAAAAATTGAAGGAGGGCGCGAAGACAAGACGTGCAGAAGGTCGCTCAGCGGACGGGCAAAGTAATCCGACCACACCGGTAGTGGGTAGTAAGAAAGCTGATCTACCTCCCTCGCCGCAGCCGGGGAATACACCAGGCAAAGCGGTTCCTAGGAGGGGGTCTGGATCAGAGCCCGAAGGACTGGAAAATGAGGGTACCTGAAGTATACGAATCGTTACCACCACTCATGTCTTTATCGTTGGATTTGACTAGGAAAACTCCTTATGCCACACGCTACCAACCACTCGATGTAGTATATCCCATTGCACATGTGCATATGTAACCCATTGCCTTCCCTGGATCTTTTCAAACCAGGTCGTCGAATGGGATCTAAAATTCCATATTTAGCTTGAGAACCAGATCGGGGAGAACTTCTTACGGCCGCAACAGGTGCAGATTCTTCTTTGCTCGTATGGAACTGTACCATAATGGATTTCGGCCATTGATTTTCTCTGTCCAATTGAACAGGCTTTGACCAGCGTCAATTTCCTTACTACAATAGGTCGTGATCATCTTAACTTTAAATTATGAGCTCTAAGTTCGAATGCCCGAGGAAATGTCCGAGCGGGTCACTGGACTTATTTCAGCCCTCATGCCTCCAGTATTACTGGGATCACCTTTTGTACCCAGCTGGAGCCATCTAGCGTGCTAGACGATTCCGGCGCTTCCAAGGTTGTGCAAGCCACTCTTAAAGGACAGTGAGTTGCAGTATTTTGAGCTATTCTGGCTTCCTTGGATCTTGGGTTTTAGGGGCTATAGGTTTATGTGGCTACCGTACAGTATGGGTCTTATTAGAAGCCCCGTTGTATTGAGTGCCGGAGATTACCAGAAGACAACCTTCCCTGCGAATGCCACTGTATATAAGAGAGACAAGATGAGTGGAAAAGTCGATATTGACCTGAAATAGAACCAGTCGAGGTTAGTTGGTAGTCCATGCCCTGTAGATTGTAAATATTCTTGCCGGCGCTCCCGAGAGGCTGGAAGACTCCACGTGAAGGTGGAAGCCCAGCTTGCAGCTACTGCACATATGTCATGATGATCGCTATAGTTGCCCAATTTTCTTACGGATCAATGAATAGTGGAAACTTCGGTAGCTGGCTCCAAAGTACGGTGAACGAGGCCACGTCGATTGCGCGTCATTCGCCTAGTGGCTTATTTAGTGATGGACGACACTGTTCGCTTCCGAGAAGCTACAGAACCTAGCTTGTAATTATGTATAGTTTATTATGCACCGATACTAATGGCAAGGAAATATGCAGCTATAGATCATTACCATAGGGCAGATTCTATGTTTATCGAAGCTCGTAGCATTGTAAGTGATGAGACCCAGACCCCACGATGCGGAGTCCACGAGCCCGCGTACGTCATGAGTAAGCCACGTCCTGACATGGTTGTTTATTTTGGAAACTAGTAGGTAAGTACATTTCTCCTGAAGTGCAGAAAGTAGTGGACTGTTCCATTTCACTGTTGATTCAAGGCGTAGATATTTGCACATTTAATTGAGGTCTTGTAGATCTCGAATTGCGGCTCAAGGCCGGCATAGCCAAGAATCTTAGCAGCAGAGGTTTTTTTCGCCACTTCAGCTCAGCCTAAAAAAAGCCAATCCGCTATTACAATTTACGGCAATTTGAGCCACTCCGTGCCTGGAACTTTATTTTAGTGCCATGTGGCTTAGATGGCTGAGATGATATCGTTTTCGCGATTGATACTAAATCTGGTCAAAGATTCGAGTCGACTTTGGGGGCAATTGTGATATCCCAAGCATACTAAAAAACAGTTACAATTTTCATGCACAGGATCCTAGATCCTATTTTCCCATCGTCTTTCTTGGTCAAATCCAATCCTACTTCCTCGGGTCTTCATGTGGGGCTCGGATCCTTTTCCAACGATTCGGCGCAACGTCTCCCCACTACCATTACGACGCATCCGATGGTACACGGCCGAGGACTCAGCCCATATCATAGGCCGGTCAATCTATTTTGATGAGAGTAGAACAGGAAAGCAGGATTGACGATCCCCAGGGCCAGGCACTTCGTGATGGTTTTTTCACTGGTCAAGTGGATGAGTGGAGCTTGTAAGGCAGCTGTCCACGCTAAAATCTCTGCTAACCGATTAACCGATCTTGATTGTCGATGAAGAAAAGTTGGATAGACTAAGACAATCCCAGAGACCCTGTACCAGAAGAAAGTTCTCTTGTTCGCCACCGCGATTGGAGTTCACTCTATCTTCGCAATTATAATTTCGCAGTTATACTGCCAATGCTGGGGGTCGTGTTGGAAAACTAGCCCCTCAGGCCTCGGCGGCCTACCCGCTAGAGACCGCGAACTAGAGTATGATGCGCACCGTTGATCCACAACAGACGACTACAGTATACCTAGTAGAAAAAAAGTTATTAATGGCTACGCTATAGCGTGAACTGGTCTGTCAATGATCAAGTGCGTTTCATATTCACGCGATGCCCCCACTAGCCTCCGTTTGGGAAGGTAGAAAAGTCTTGTCACCAATCCACCGTATCCACAAGGTTCACCATCCGGAGCAACGTGCATGAACAGGATCGGTTTCATGCACAGAAATTCCGTCATCTCATCCCAGTATGGCCCGAAAAGATGACAGGTACCGCGTTCCTGTGAAATTTAAGTAATTCGGTTCGTGGGATTGGAGCTGTGAGCTCGGAGCCTTTAGACCCTTCAGGGCATATCTGCGGCCATCCAGATCGAGGTTCAGGACGAGAATGGGGCATAAACACCGTGTTGAGATCCACTTCCCTAGGCTAGTATTTTGCCTGTATGTACTCCGTAGAGCAGACAGGTTTTTATAGAATATTCAGGTTTCCCATCTCTGGCCCCGATCCCAATTTCACGTTCTTTTTCTCTGGCAATGACCGTTGTCGTCCGTTCTTTTAACTGATTATTGTCCCTATCATCCTTTCATTTCACTAAGCCCCTCATTTTATGCATTATACTCTCTAAATGTCGACCAAGAGGAATGCTCGGCATTCCATTGTGGAGGATGTGCCTATCCCAAGGCCACTCCTGGCAACGGCCAAGTTCGATTCGCCCTGGGAACAGACAAAATGGGAGAAGTCTCTTCCTAGAAACAACCGTGTCCCATATAATCTGGCCGCAGCGGCAAGCCAGAAGCAACAGGGAGGTCTGAGTAGATCTTTCAGTCTCTCTACCCGGAGGGTTCAAAGGCCCGCTCCCGTATCACGGCCACAGACTAATCCTCCAGAATTGCAAGGTAATTATACTCAAGAGACTCACAGCATGAAACGCGATATCTAACTTTTACTTCTCAGTGTGGGAAGAAGCCAGAACACCTACCCTTTTAACGCCGCCATTGCAATCGCCATCCGGACTCTCTGAAAAGGAACCAATTACACCAATCAAAAATGCAGCCCTCAGTCCGACACAAATGAGCAGGGTTAGCTCTCGCACCCAGCATAGTCGCCAGAGTAGCATGCACGATGCATACGAGAAAGCCAAAACAAGAGGGGTGGTTTTGCATCGCAAGCATTGGGTGCGAGTGATGTTCGAATATGCCATTTATACGCTCCTTCTTCTGTTCGTCTACTTTGTCTTGATCGGCATGCCACTCTGGAAAGGTGCCGTTTGGTGGCTATATTGGGTTGTCGCGCATAAGTTTGTTATTCAGGGAGGATATGCCATTACAATTGGCCTTGCTGCTCTGTAAGCACAACCATATCCTCCTTGTGCGCACCGAGAAGTCTAACCACCGATATAGTTACGCTTTCCTTCCCCTTTTAATCTTGTTCGAAAAAGACCCTCCACAAAAAGACGAGATGTCAGATCTGGATCTCGAGAAAAGAGCTGAAAACGCCAAAATAACTGCTCTATTGATCCCATGCTACAAATCCGCCAACATCATCGGCCCAACATTGAAGGCGGCCTTGGAAATTTTCCCACCAGAGAATATTTTTGTCATCGCCAATGGCAATTCTGAAACACCACTGGACAACACCGAGGAGGTTTGCGCACCTTATGGAGTCAACCATCTCTGGGTACCTATCGGGTCTAAGATTGTTGCTCAATTTGCTGGTTGCTACGCTGCCAAGGGATTTGAAAATGTTCTTCTAATCGACGACGACTGCGCCTTGCCTCCCAACTTCCCTATCGTCAGTGATCGGCTCAAGGGTAAAGTCAAGTGTATTGGATATACGATCAAGAGTGTGGGCCCAAACTCATCAAAAGGCACTTACTGTCAGCAAGCGCAAGATTTGGAGTACAAAATGTCCGGCCTCCAGCGAGCGTTCTTTGGCAAACTTGGAAGTGCAACCTTTCCTCACGGAGCCATTTCAATTTGGAATACGGAGTTCTTGAAGCAGACTTTCCATGAGCATCCTGGATTCTCCGTCTCAGAAGATTGGTTCTTTGGAGATAGTTGTCGTCGTCTTGGAGGACGCATCACTATGTGTTCTTCGGTGTTCGTGGAGACCGAAACCCCGTCTTCGGTTTTCTTTAGTGGCAGTGGCAGTCGTGGAGGCTTCGGCGAGATGACGATCTTCTCGCAGCGATTCAAGCGCTGGAATTTCTTCTTTGTCGTTGGCATGTACTATGACATGAAATATATCCTGACGAGCTGGAAGCTGGGATGGTGGGAAATCGGGGCCAAGCTTTGCGTTTTCCAAGAGGTGAGATACTTACCAATAACAACCACCAACAGACAGAGAAGTCCTAACAACATCTCACAGGTTTATGAGACTCTCATTTATCTCCTCGCTCCATTCGTTCTGCCCATCTCATTTATCGTCCGTCCCGGATTCTGCGGCATGCTCCTCGGCGTCACCATTGCCATGTACATCATCAACGTCATCATCTTCAACGAGATCCACCTCCGTCTGAAGAAAGAGCGCATCAACTGGATTGTCATGATCTTCTACTACACCTTCTACAAGATCGCTCTGACATTCATTAACGTCTTCAGCTGCTACTGGTCACTGTACAAATACGCCCGTTACTTCGCCAAGCGCCATCCCAAGGTCATCGAGGACCAACAAGCGATCGAAGTTGTTCTCAGCTTGGAGCAAGACACAGACTCTGATTTTGAGGAAGTTACATTGCCAGTGGCAGCTCCAGGTCTGGACGCGACGACGCGCGCATCGAAGCGGTTGACGTTGACAAGAGTCGAGCCTGACCACCAAGAGCCTGGGTGGCTATTGACCGACGAGACGACTACCTCCTACCAACGCAATTCGTGGAACAAACGCATGTCCTGGATATAAAACATACTTATTTTGCATAAAATCGGCGTTTAATGGGATCATATAGACAGCGCTCAAATAATTATTTCTGAATTTCACGCAAAATATTTACTTGAATGCGTACAACAAAGGGCGAATGCGTGGAACGAGTGTCTAGAGAATTACCGCACAGTGAAAGTAGCGTTTCCTCTGATATCCTCCGAGCTACTGCCAACGAGAACAGTGAAATTGCCAGGCTCAACAACGTACTGCATGCGAGTGTTCCACAGACCGATGTCCTTGATCAGAATAGGAATCTTGACAGTCGTGGTCGTGCCAGCGGGGATGACAACCTTGTCGAAGCCCTTCAGTGCGCGGTTAGGAACAACCACAGAAGCAATGTCATCGGAGACATAGACTTGGACAACCTCCGTGGCATCCCGGCTCTTGTCCGTGTTGGTCACATCCACACTCACGGTAACACTCTCGTCGGACGCAGAGACGGTGGTGCGGTCGACGCTGACCGACCCATACTCAAAAGTGGAGTAACTCTTGCCGTAGCCGAACGGATACCAGGGAAGTGGGTTGCCGAGAACGTATTGGTGCCCGAAGACGAGGGTCCCGTTGCTGTCTACATGGCCCGAGTCACCAATCGAGCGGCCCGAGTTCAAGTAGTCGTAGAAGATCGGAAGGTCGCCGACATAGCGGGGGAAACTGACGGAAAGCTTGCCCGAAGGGTTGTAGTCACCGAACAGAACATCGGCAAGGGCATTGCCACCTTCTTCGGATGGGTAGAATTGCTGGACTAGAGCAGAGGTCGAGTTTGAGATCCATGTGTCAGTGATAGGCTTGCCGCTGGAGAGAACAACGATGGTCGGCACGCCGGTGTCAGCGATGGCCTTGATGAGCGGGCCCTGGGCACCGACCAGGGAAAGGTCATCTTCGTCGACATGTTCACCGGTTCTAGTGTGGAGTCAGGGTCTGATCGATGTCTTGGGTGGAGTCTTGTGGCTGGCCAAGACAGTGTTTCACTCACGTTGCATTCAAGCCCTGCCAGAGCTGATTTTGATCCCTCGACCAAGTTCCAACAACGACGACGGCAACGTCAGATTTCTTAGCTGCTTCAACGGCCTCGGCGAATCCTGACTCGTCGTTGCTCCATCGCTCACATCCTTGAGCATAGTTAATTTGAGCGCTGGATCCGACTGCCGCCTTGATACCGTCAAGTGGAGTGACGCCCCGATATTGACTTTGGTAGACAACATAATCGCCGTACTAAGACAAGTGAGGTCAGACATCATTTAACAAATGAAGGAATCGAAGTCCAGACTTACGTTCATGAATCCGTGAGCCATTGGTCCAATGACAGCAATGCTGCCAGACTTCTTCAGAGGAAGAGTCGCGTTGTGGTTTTCCAAAAGCACGATGGATTCCTTGTCTAGGTCTCTAGCAACCTGCTTAGCTGCGGCGTTGTTAATCAGGCTGCTCCATTTGTCTTCTGGCGCAGCAGGATATGGGTTCTCAAAGAGACCCATCTCGAACTTGACGCGGAGCAGTCTGGACACAGCGGTATTGACAGTGGCAATATCCAGCTTGCCCGACTTGACCAGCTCGGGGATCTTTTGGAAGTTGCTGTTAAGTGTTAGCTCACTCGATCGCTGTCATTATTGTGGACATGATATCTTACAAAGAACCACCTCCCATCTCAACGTCAACTCCGGCAGTCAAGAGCTGTGTGGTAACAGAGGCCATATCGATGGGGTTGCTCTGGCACATCTTGAAAGAATTGCAGAGTCGGTCACTGCCGCCAGCATCTGTCATCACGAAATAGTCATAGCCCCATTCCTCTCGCAGGATCTCAGTAAGAGTATGGTAGTCTGAGACCGCTGGAACTCCGTCATATCTAGCATTGATCAGTTAGTATTTCTTGGGTGAACTATAGTTCATCTGAGATGCTCTTACGAATGATAGGCTGCCATGATGGACCAAGCACCGGCGTCAATGATGGCGCGCTTGAATGACGGCATCCAGCTAGTACATAGTCAGTATAGTGTTCCGTGACAGGGATGTATATGACTTCTCACGTGGTACGCAATTCTCTCTCGCCACCGTGAACGGGGCCAGTATTCAATCCTTGTTCGGGGCTACTGAATCCCACAAAGTGCTTAACCATTGCTGAAACATTCTTGCTCTGCAGGCCCTTGACGTAGCTATAACCAATCTCGCCAGCGAGGAATGAGTCTTCTGAGAAAGTTTCCTCGACCTAGAAACTCAATTATCAGCAACGCTACAACCACCGGAGGTTTTCAGTTTGTACTTACACGTCCATAGCGAAGTTCACGAGCCAAGTCAACAACAGGCGCGAACAGCTGACTGACACCCAGAGTTTGGGCTTCCTGTCCAATGACCTGTCCCATTTTTTGAACGAGCTGGGGTTGATTCGTTAGTATTTGGAATCTGTGGTAAAGGGACTTTGTCTACGCACATCCTTGTTCCAGGAGCATCCGTATGCGATTGGGGAATTGAAGATGGTTGCATTGCCGACCAAGAATCCGTGAATACCTTTAAAACAGAACCATCAGTTGAGGTTATTCGCACAATGGATCTGGGCTACCAATATACATACCCTCTGTCTGAACAAGAGCAGGAATTCCAAGGGTAGTGTTCTGAAGCAGATAGTCCTGAGCCCTCTTGATGTTGTCGGCAATCCAGTCCCAGGCAACCGGGTATCCAACTGTGAACTTCTTAGTTTTGGGCCGCGATAAAACATGGGTTGGTATACGCCCATACCATAGAAGGAACCTGCTTTCATTTCCATATTCGTGACAAGCCCAGTATAATTGAATGCGCCTGATGTCGAGTTCATCCAGTTGGTGACATCGCCTGGCAGCCACACAAGTTAGCAATTTCCCACAGAACAGCCTCTACAAAACTTCAGCGCACTTACCTTGCATCAATTGAGCCATCTTATCCTCAATCGTCATCCGGCCCAACAAATCCTTCACTCGCTTCTCGACCGGCGCGTTGGCATCCTTGTAGAGAGGTGTGCTCTTGCCCGAGACAGAAGCAATGAGCGGTGCAAGCAGCAAGCTGCTAGCAAGACCCTTGACCATCATCTTGAACGATGTGATGAGGGCTTTTCAAGCCAATGCTTCTCAAAAAACCCGAGAAAAAGCTATAACCACCTTCAATTCCTCGGCGCAGACTGCAGTCGAGGATCTGGAGGATACGAAGAAAAATTTCCCCGACGATCGCGAGTCGATCCCCTCATAATAAAGAATAGCAGCTTGAAATTGCTCCCTCGACCCCGCGGGGAAAAGCCATTTGGGGCTTGTCGCGTCGGGCTATGCTTTCCTGCCATTGGAGTACAGCACGTACAGCGGATATTAGATCAACGCTTAGCTTGCAGTTTAGGATGGCGTCGGAGATGAAGCGATCACGGGTTAAACAGGTCGGCTGCCGCAGTAGATTGTTCATCTGGTAGTTCTGGGGATAGTCTTCAGGCGCTAAGACTATAAAGAAACGGAGGGCAAGCCCGCCGCTTTGGCTGGCGCCCACCCCGTTTGTTAAGCGGTCCTTGTGGAGATCGCTTTTTCAGGGATAGAAACGAGGGCTCCACATCTCCTCATAAACTTTTCGGACTCGAGAGGCGGGGAAAGGTAAACTGCGGATAAATGAGGGGACTCGCCGAGGAATGGCCTGAGATTTTATCCGCGAACCATGCTAGAAGGGAGATGCTTCTTCAACGGGTACTTCTGTTTCATCCTAGTCTCGTTGCTTTTTCCACCTATGAGCATCGTGCATTATCTCCGCTGCTAATGAGATATGCAAGATGCAATTTTCCGAACTTCGCTAATAAAGTTCAATCGGAAGATTAAAATGACTCTGAATGAGGTGCCCCAGATTGGCCAGAATTTGGAGAGGAATAACTTGTACACGGATGCGAGATAGGAACAGTCATAGCGTGGACAGGAGAGAAACTCGCAATATAAACCTTCCTAGAAAGGTACACATACCGAAAAAAGAAATTCACAATGAGAAGGATATTAAATGCCGAAGAGAATGTACGTCGCAGAATAATGCTGCAAATTGCCAATTACAACCCAAGTATGCCGACAGAATAAAAAGATCCCACCCGCCGAATAGAAGGAAGAACAACAGAGAAAGAAAAGCTGCGCAAAAGTGTATGTATGGTTTGAGTGACCCAGCCACTCTTCATGTACGGCTTTGAAAACAGGGGGGTTGTTCGATGGCCCCTTGTGTTCCTTGCTGCAGTTATGATCGAGAGTCAGCGTCGGCAGTTGCAGCATCGGTGTGGCTATGACCACCCTCGCCAGTCGGATCCTGATCACCCTGCGGAGTCGTGGTTCCTTGCGCGATCGCACCGCTATCCACAGGTGGATCCTGGTGCAATCTCAAGGCACCACCAAGCCATGCAAGACCACCACTCCATGAGTCGCTGAAGCTGCGTAGCCGTCCAACTTCCTCGTCTGGTTTCGGGGTCTGAGGGTTATAAATCTCTGTAGCCAGAGCAGGTGTTGACCGTCCACCCTCCGCAGATGGTACGACCAGACCGGTAGCAGATTGCAGTCGCGCAGTGGCAATGTTCAGGGGATCATCGATGCCATCCACTCCAAGATCACCATCTTGATACCGAGCCGGCTCATGTTCGAAGGCACCGTCAAGTTGACGGCGGCGCCCAACCTTTCGCCGAGCACGATCCTTCAATGGGCTACCCTCGCCCCGACGCAGAGATTCCGCAACAACAGCGCTAAACCCGCCAGAAAGAGTAGGAAGGAGCGGTCCAGGGGAAAAGCGATTGGATATAGAGTTGCGCATGGCTCGTCGCGAAGGAGTGTCCAGAGTCGTATGACTCCGATCGTTGGTGTGAGGCTGGTCTAGCGCAAGAGGAGTTGAGGCCCGCCGAGGGACAGGTGACTTTTTTGCTGGATCCTCTTCGATGCCGGGCGCAGGAGGGAAGCGCAAAAGCACAGTGGACTCCTGAGTACCATCGCCTTCCGGTGCAAGTGGAGTGGTATGACAGTAAGCCTCGAGGTCGGATTTAGGGGTTTCCGGGGGTGCATCGATCGAGTCTGCCCATGGGTTGGACATACGAGAAGGCGGACGTAGGGCCGATGCGTGATCTAGAGATGGCCCTGAGAGGGAAGACTCGGCAGTCAATGAGCCGGCCGGGGAAGAAGGAGCCCCAGAATGAGCACCCCGAGGTATAAGCTGGTCATCATCTATGCCATCAATGCCACGGCTTGTAAGAGAGCCAATTGGAGACAACACAGCATCCTCTTCCTCGCGATCGACGGGGAGTGTCTTTGGTGCCCGATAGTGTTGGGCAGGTGGAGACAAGTCAATCCTGTCGCGATATCGTTCACCATACAGCAAGCCGATGGCCTCCTCTTCATCCTCCGTAGAAAAGGTAGACTCATCGTCAGAACGCACTCGACCACTAGTTATAAAGTAGACACCCAGGAAGGTCAGAGCGCATCCACCCACGAACTTTCCAGCTCGACCAGCCGACATTGACTCGAAGTCGCGGTAAAGAACAGCGCTCCCAACGATCACAGAGAGCGTGAATAGAACAAATTGCGTCGGAATCACCTGGGTGGAGTCAAAGCGCTGCAGAGCTCGGTTGATGTAACGGATTTGCATCAAGGCACTGGAGACAAGAACGAAAACAAGTAGGTAGGTAATGGGGTATGTAATGACATGCCACAATGTGAATGATAACAATGAGGAGACGCCCTTGGTGGACAAAGCCGTATATCCACCTAATAGACACGGTTAATATGAGCTTTTAAAGATGGTTTCTCGCAAGACTCACCAAATAATGCCACAAGCCCGACATCGATCAGAATCGAGCGCGAACCGTATGAGAAGCTGGCCCACATGAGACCGATAATCAGTGCGATAGTCAATCCCAGGTAAAGCTCAAACTCCCAACGAGTGATCATCATCCAGATCTCGCCAGGGCCGATTTTGTCCTCTGAAGATCTGGCACTGAGCACAACCACCACCGCTCCAGCGATAGCGACCAGTACGCCCCAGAAATCTCGCTGTCGAAACTTTTCCTTGAGAAGACAGGGTGCGATAACGCAGTTGGATATCAAAGCAACGACACCTAGAGGAGAGACAATCGAGGCCGGAGCAAAGCCATAGGCGAGGAAGTTCCCAGTCTCACCCAGAACCATGAGGATGATACCGGCCCACCAGTACGGGGACCGTAAGTAAGATTTTCGGTCCTCGGAGTCGCCTGGACGAGCGGTACTATCAGATGCAAACGAATCGCGTGCGCTGTCGCGAGAGCTTCGAGTGCTATGTCGTCCCCTGGGAGGCGCATCTTCGTCATCGCGATAAGCCTCAAAACCACCATGGCCGTGGCGCCGATCCTGTTCCCGCGATCGGCCTCGACTATCACCTCCAACGGTCCCATAGGGATTCGCAGTGGCAGATCCAGAATGTGCCTGTCTCTGTTCAGCTTCCTTCTTCAGCTTATTCAGCTCCCATTCCCGTGTGATCCGAATATGCGCATAGCGCTGGATATTGAGCGCCATAGAGATCAACACGTTGCCGATCAGAGCGGTCACAATACCGATAAGCGACGACCACCTCTCCATGTTCCCATCATCGCCGCCATCGCGATCAGAAGGCACTTGCGAAGTTGAATTCGAGAGAGCGGAGTATGCGTGTTGTGAATAGGAGGCCAAATACGGGGTCGTAGCGGAAGGCGCGATAGTCGAAGAGGCGAGAGAGGTAAGGAAGCCCGCTACCAGGGGATGCTGCGACGAATCCATCTAGTCGATAGAGTATGGACAACACCAACACTATGCAAACTTGGTGGTCAACTCGGTGTCCCGCCCGAAGCCGAACTCTAGAAGCGGCACTATTCCGTGTTGAATCAGGTCGCGGTTTGGCGAGGGCTCTTCACAGCGCGATAGGCAGCATTTTGGAGCAGACAGATAGGAAGATTCCGGTCAACTGTCGTTTCCGAAAGTGCCTCGCAGTCGCGGGTAGAGCGTTGGAGCGTGGGCGGCAGCACGCGGAGAGAAGGCCCAGCGAGCGGAGAGATGCTGTGTCAGCACCAAACGGCCTCCAGGTTCGTTAACTAACTAACCAGGTTAGTAGTTAGTCCACTCCTTGCGCCAAGCAACAAATGACTTCGTAGGGACCCCGCTTATCGCTAGTCTTTTGCCAGTACATTCGCGCTCTGGCCCAGGATATGCGCGAGGCCAAAGCCCAGCTTGTTGTGGTTGGTGGTTGTAATTGGTAGTTTGGGTGGATTCAAAGTGCAGTGTAGATCGCTCGGCTCTTGGGAGGGGAACATTCCACAGCGGCAGATGTAAGGAAGGATGCCATGCGCGGCTTGTTTTATCGGTGAGATTCTTTCTCTATGGAATTCTTGATTACAGTATTGGAAAATTGGTCGTTGAGGTCGATGGCTGAAGCTAATGGACTAAAAGTGCAACTATATTGCAGCCTAATAGAAAGATCGAATCGAGCAAGAAGTGACTCAGAAATACTCTCTCTCTGTTGACAGTGAAGTCTCATACTACCTATTGTTAGGCTCGAGGGGCAATACCAGTGTGACTAGGCAGCTCTCTAGTGACGTGGATATATTCTGGCTCTAGGTAAATATCCATCCTTCCCACTCCCGTCGTGGGGCCAAGCGGGATATCAGTGTGAAAACTAGGCATGATGGAGAATAAGAGCGCTACTTTCTCTCATACGTACCATTTATTGCGAGAATGTTCCACCTCGGATGGAGGTGAGACCGGTAATCGTCCCACGAGTCACAGAACCGAGCCTGCCTATGGAGAGGCATCGTCCAAGGCGAGAATTTAGAAGATCGTAGATCAGTACCATTGTAACTCATATTTGATTCGCTTCATGTCAGGTCCAGTAGACAAGAATTGATATGAAATCGTGGTATTATATTACATAGATCTAAATCAGATCCATCATCGGCGTGCTTTTTTCTTTTCTGGGCCCGCCTCCTCCTCATCGCTCAATTCCGCATAGATCGCGTTTGGTTGTGTCTCCTTGTATGCACGAGTAAAGATGGGGTCTTTCTCTGCCTTCTCGGCGTATTTCAACAGTGCCTCTCGCGGGTCCTCATCACGCATGGAACTGAGAGGGAAACTCTCACGAATATGCTTCTCATCCGGCTGAGACTTGGCAAAGGGCGTCACTTGCGGCATGTGTGGACGGCGCGGGTCTCTGGAGCGACCAGACGCTGTCAATCCGATCGTTGGGTGGCGGGCCGCAAAGGTTGCAGAGCTGTAATGTGGGACACCGTTGGAGCTGACAACCACGGAATCACCAGCAAGTCCGGAGGACAGGTCTGTCGTGAGGGTTAGGTTGTCGTCCACATGGCGCCGCTTGGGTGCCTTGGACATGACCAGAGCAGCTCCCTTAGTAGACATTGTTGGGTTGTATAGGACATGCGTTTCGGCGTTGGCGGAGCCAGTCAAGATTTGGTTGAGCTTCTCATGCCACAAAACGGTGATCAATGGCGAACCTGGAGTGACGGGCGTTACTAGTTCTGGCTTCAATGTCGCGGGGTTGAGAATGTGCAAGTGACCCGTCTCAGACCCAACAATGACGTTCGCTGAGCTCGGCGAGAATTGGATGTTCGAGGTAGGATACCGGGAGGAGGTCGATGGGTGTGTTACAGTTGTAACTGGTGACTTGAACTTCCGTGTATCCCACAACTTGATGGTGTCGTCTCCACCTCGGCTGATGATCAGACGTCCATCGGCACTGATATCTAAGCCACTGGTCCAAGTGTTTCGGGTATGTGCCTCTCGGACTTCACCACTAGGTCGGGTGAAAGGCCCATTCCCACCCCACATTACCAGGCTTCCATCAAGTGCCGCAGCAACAAGGATATTCGACCCTCCCTGCTTCGGAGATCCCCAAGCCACGGCGGTCATCTTGGTCCGTCCAGCAGACCCAGCGGCCTTCGACTTATGCACAATCACCTCCTTCTGGGAGCGGCCTACATTGACATCCCAAATACGCACAGTGCTGTCCGATCCAGCTGTAGCACAGAGGTTCTCGTCCGTGGGACACCAAACGCCACCAGAGACCTCCGAGGTATGGCCCTTCGTATGGTGTGAATCCCGAAGGTACATGTCACCCTTCACAAACTCCGTCAAAGTGTCGCCATCTCTACTCAGGATTCGCGGCTGGGAGGTCGCAGGGACAACTAGGACATGGCTGGGAGAGAGCGGGTTGAATGCGACGTAGTTAACGGCGTGGGTGTCTTGGGCTGCTGATTGCTTCTTGACGGAGGGATCGACAGACTTGAATGCGCGGATGGTTGAAGGTGTCATGGAAGCAAAGTCGTGGAGTTTCAGTGTGCAATCAGTGGAACCTGTGATTAGTCGTGCCCCCGAGGGGTCCACGGTCATAGTTGTCACGGCGCGTTCATGAGTCTTCAAGACCAGCTCGTGCGATACAGGGAATTCATCCTCATCATCCTCATCTTCAGAATCATCATCATCAGAGTCTTCATCACTGTCTTTGGGTTCTTGTGGCCTCTTTTCTGTAACGACAGGACCAGCTGTGGCGGGCGCATTCAGCTCTGTTCCGTCTGCACCAGCGAGCGGCTTGGAAGCCGAGATCTCCGTTCGCTTGGACCGATTAATCTGAGATTCAACATCGATTGATTTCTCCTGCTTGCCAAAGCCGGAAGGAAAGAATTTCTTAAACGCTTCCTCGTCGAATCCGTCCATGTTTGAGGCGTGAGGTTTATCGCTGCGCTGAGGAAGAACTTGCGTCGCCGATAAGGCCGCCTCGGATCCACCCACTATCGAGCTTGTTTGCACGGTTTGCACCTCGGTATTGCTGCCGATTGCCTTAAGGCCTATGAACATGGATAACAGCAATTCTACAGATGGTGATTCATCTATCAGGGGCATAAAAGGCCGTGATGCCTGAGGCTAGACAAATTACAAATGTGACAGAGGTGCTTAGTAGTTCAATGCATGCCTACCCCATAGATCATGGGTTCCATTAAAATACACACATCAAGCCCACAGAGATCTCCGGTGTCGATCGACCTTCTTCCACCGAAAACTATCTATCGCTTACAAGTACAAGCCCTCCACAGGGCCACCATCCTGCTTCGTCTTCATGATGCGTTCCCGAGCCGCCCGGAAGTCGTCCATCTGTACGCGCATGCGACGCTCCCGCAGAGCCATAAGACCAGCTTCAGTACAAATCGCCCGAATATCTGCACCGGAAAGATCGTCCTTCTGGTTAATGAACTCGTCGAGGTCGACATCGTCGCTGAGGGACATCTTCGAAGTGTGCAGGGTGAAAATCTTCTTCTTGGTATTTTCTAAAGAAAAGACATGTTAGTCATTGAAACAGCCGATGGACGAAACTGGAGCAAAACTTACGGTCGGGGTTCTCGAAGAGAATCTTTCGATCAATACGACCAGGACGAATCAAAGCCGGATCCAGAGTCTCAATCTTGTTGGTGGCCATGATGACCTTCACATCACCACGATCGTCGAAACCATCAAGCTGGTTAAGCAGCTCCAGCATGGTACGCTGGATCTCACGTTCACCACCAGATGTGGATTCGTAACGCTTAGTACCTATGGCATCGATTTCGTCGATGAACACGATAGACGGGGCGTGCTCAGCGGCAACAGTGAAGATCTGACGAACCAATCGCGGACCATCTCCGAGGTACTTTTGAATCAACTCGGAGCCAACAATACGCAGGAAAGTGGCACTCGTCTGGTTAGCGACGGCCTTGGCCAAAAGTGTCTTTCCTGTTCCGGGTGCACCGTAGAGGATGACACCCTTGGGTGGCTTAATACCCATCTCCTCGTACAATTCAGGATGCAGCAGAGGCAACTCGACGGCTTCTCGGACTTCCTGAATCTGGGCCTCCAGACCACCAATATCCGCATATGACTCGGTAGGGGCCTTATCCAGCTTCATCACCGAGACAAGCGGATCAGACTCTTCTGTCAACACACCGACCACCGACACGGATTTGTGATGAAGTAGAATGCTGGCGCCCGGCTCGAGGAGATCCTTGTCGACAAAGGACATGATTGATACGTAGTACTCGGGGCCAGTCGCGCTGGACACAATGGCATGATCGTCATCAATCAGCTCCTCCAGATTACCAACGCCCATAGGGCTGCCTCGCATGTCATCAACGCGACTCCGTTCATCCGCGTTCCGATCTGACACCTCCGGATCCTCAGTTCGAGCCGGGCCTTGGGCAGCCTGGGCTTTGGCCTTGCGAAGCCGCTCCATGTTCTCAACGTATTCCTCCTCTAGCAGCAGGTGGTCGTGCACGCGTTGCATCCGGAGATAGCGCAGCTTACATCTCGATGTAGGGTAAATGTCTGGGAGCTTGGAGGCGGTACTGGGTCCGGCGGCCTTGCGCTTCCTACGGCCAATGCGAGTGGTAGGTGGTGGTGGTGGCTCGTACTTAGGCTTGTCCTTCTGTAGGGCGTAGTGTCAGAGCTGGATATCGGTAGGAACTTTCCAGAATAATCATACCTTCTTGTCCTTGTCATCGCGTCCATCTCCTCCAGGGCCACCGCCCATGTTAGACTGTTGGTTACCCTATTTGATGTCGTATGTCAGTAAACTTGTTTCGGATAACCGAGCATCGTGCAGGTGTTGAGACTGACCATGTTTGTCAGCCAGCGACAGAAGGTCTGTCAGCGACTAGAGGGTAGATATAAAGGTGTTGATGTGTCTTGAATGGATTCAAGCGTGATGAGGTCAAAACGGGATGGAGATAGACGGGTGGAAGGGATGGAGTGTCAATGCAGTTGGAGAGGTTGCAGCTGCTCGGAGTCGGGGGTTGAGCAAGCTGGAAGCTGTTGCCATCACACCACGTGACCTGCTGACACCTCAGGCGGAGATATGCGGTCATGGATGCCTTTGTGCCTTATCCTGCGGCCGCGGACCCTCAGCTTTTCCATGCAGCTTCGGCAACGAGCAAGACAATTCAAATTCAGACCGGCAACCAATCGGCCCGATAGTATCGGTGGATACTTTGAGTTGTTTCCGAATCTCTACGCATATCTTATCTTGATCCCGAAGCTCATTGCAGCTCCTCGAAGCTATTGTTCGAGCAGAGCGGCCGCCTCATACTTCCCCTCCATTCGTGAGATTACAGAGCATCAGCTGCGTATTCCATCGTTTGCCGTTGTGCCAGTATGCATTGCCTGTCTACATATATTTTTATCTCTGCTATTTTCATTTCAAAATTCTAAGCAACCCCTTTGGATAGTCCTCGACTCCGATCATCTTCATCCAAACACTTCCCCGCGACCAGCGAACACACGATCAGGTCCCGCGTAAAGCGCCCTGAATACACCCATATCACTTCTCTTCTTGTTTGAATGCGGACACGTGAGATTTGATCCAAGCTCTCAATACATTATGGCTGGCAACCGGACTCGGCGCATTGCCAAGGAATTGGCTGATATCCATGCCGATGCCCACTCGCAAATCACGGCGGAGCCCATCGGCGGCCAGGATGATGTGACACACTTGCGAGGAATCTTCCCAGGTCCTCCAGATACTCCATACGAAGGTGGTACTTATAAGGTTGACATCAAGATCCCCACCGATTACCCTTTCCGGCCTCCAGTTATGAAATTTGAGACCAAAGTCTGGCATCCGAATATTAGCAGTCAAACAGTGAGTAGCTCTACAGAGGCAAGGCCGGTGCATAAACATACAGCTGCTCATCAATAAACTCACAGGGTGCTATCTGTCTTGACACATTGTCGAGCGCTTGGTCCCCGGTTCTCACAATCAAATCTGCCCTGATCTCACTGCAGTCATTGTTGAGCACCCCAGAGCCAAAGGATCCCCAGGATGCTGAGGTTGCCAATATGATGCTCCAAAGGCCGCGGGAGTTCGAGCGCATGGCACGAGAATGGGCCGTCATTTATGCAGGTGCTCCTTCAAAGGACTCCAATCAGGAAGGAACAGAAGAAGCGCCCTTGACGGTTGAAGATGATTCTCTAGCCCAGTAAGCGAAATAGACTTCCTTAGGCCACGCATAGTATATGCTAACGTCAGACCTGTGACAGGTACAATGGTTATGACAAGGCTCTGGTCGACAACTTCGGTGCAATGGGCTTCCAAGTACCGGATATTGTCAGGATATTTGAAGAGCTTGGAATTAGCCAACGCAGTCGACAGTTAGACGATGGCCAAGTTGATGATATTTGTGCACGCCTGCTCGCGGGTGTTTGATCCACGTGATATTTATTGCATTGCTCTGGTGTCGGGGATCTACATACAATGACAGAAAAATATAAATTGAAATTTACCTTTTCTCCATGTTCCATGCAAAAAGAAAAAAAACAGACGGATGTCTTCTGTATGGTCATCTAGTATTCATTGCTCTAGGGCGGTGTTGGGTGCCACTCTTATCGATAAGCCCTCTCGGTGCTGCTAACCCTGCTGAACCTCCGCATGGTAAATGTTTCACTATAGCTTTTCTCCTAAGCAGAACTAGCGTCACCGATTTCTTATCTCACAACCAGCTAACACTTCTGCCTCCATTCACTAAAGTTGATCCCTTGGAAAAACTAATTTCCCAACCTCGAGCACAATCGGCTACCCCGCGGTAGAAAGCAGGGCTTTCTTTGAACCGCCAACATGATCGAAGACGACATCTACCGCACATCCTCCCAATTCCGATTGTGGTCCTATACAGAGAGCTCTCTGAAGTCTCTCCGCACAAAAACCAACCATATAGCAAGTGAGCGAGTACGTGCCGCGCTGCGTCGAGCTCGCGAACGCCATGCCTCCAGCACACCCTCCGCGACAGGAACACCACAGACGGGAAGCGACGTGGAAGAGAAAGATATTGAATGCTTGACACCCGAGGAGGAGCTTGTACTGGTTCGATACTACTGTGAAAAGACGGTAGAGCTGGGTGAGACGTACAGGCCACCGCTTCCTACGAATGTTCGAGTAAGTCTACCTACAACTGGTTTCACTCAAAGACTCGAACCCTTCTTCTTGCGAGGACAGCCAAAGCTCACATCTATCACTTACCAGGCCACTGCAATCCAATACCTCCGCCGCTTCTACCTCACAAACTCCCCAATGACCTACCACCCCAAATCCATCATGGCCTGTGCTCTCTTCCTCGCAACAAAGACAGACAACTACTACATGTCCCTCCGGCAATTCGCCGAAGGCATCCCCGGCGACACAACAGCCGACGATGTCATCGCCCCGGAATTCCTTCTCATGCAAGGCCTCCGCTTCACATTCGACGTGCGCCATCCCTTCCGTAGCCTCGAAGGTGGCGTCATGGAACTCTCCGCCATCGCCCAAGGCCAGGCTAAGCCAGCACCCCATCTACCACACCATACCCCCGAAAGTCTCAAACAAGGACTGCTTTCCATCGCGCCACCGCCCGTGCCTAGCACATCCATTACAGACCGCATCGGCCGTGCACACGGCGCCACGCGAGAACTGCTAAAGTCCGCCGCACAAATGACAGACGCATACTTCCTGTATACCCCCTCGCAGATCTGGCTAGCAGCCCTCCTCCTCGCCGACAGACCGCTCGCCGAGTTCTACCTCGACACAAAACTAGGCGGTCCAATTGACCCGACCGCCATGGAGACCGAACCCTCCAACCTCCAGAACCCGCTCTACGACCTCCGCACGAAACTGCTCCAAGTACTCACAGATTGTGGTGCGCTTCTGCAGTCGTACACGCCTCTCTCATCGGACCCGGATCAGATGAAGATTCTGAAGCGCATTGCGAAGAAGTTGTATCATTGCCAGAATCCGGAGAAGGTCAATTTGAAGCGTGATTCTGCGGTGCCGCGGTCGACGCCTGCTATTGATGCGGGGGCGGTTACGTCGGAGAGTGAGACGGAGCGGTTGGCGAAGAAGCGGAAATTGGAGATGGAGCAGAAGCAGCGGGGCGCGCATGATATGTTTGGACCGGAGTTGGTGCTGGATCGGACGAGGCATTGATCGGTGGGGTGGATGGCTGCTGTATAGAGGGAAGATAGTATAATGATCTCACGAGCCTTAAGTCTGGCGTGGTCTTCCTAAGAGACCTACACAGTTATTCGAAACTATCTACTTTGCTATCTACAAGCAAGAAAACCATGTAAAGCGCGAACAAGAACTAGTCATTTCGCAGATCTAAGAGACTTCAGCCTCAAGTAGAAGCAACTAGACTAGACCCTCTATCAAACGGGATGCATCCCGCGAAGCGGGCAGAAAAGAGCACAAAGAGATCCAAGGAAAAGTTTCGACAATTCAGCGGGGTATCCGCCACGATGTCAAGGGGGAATGAGGTTCATGACAGCAAGCAAACAGAAAACGAGTATAAGAAAAATTGGAAAATGATGAACAAGAAAGCATCATCCCGTCTCCGCATGCCCAGGAGAAAAGGGCTAGGAGCAGGAACGGGGAAGCGGGCAACGGCCCGGTCTAAAAACCAATCCAACTTTTTATAGCGCGGGGCATTGCAATTCCCTTAATCACGTCTAGCATTTCGTCGTCATCAGAGATAGGAAAGGGGAAAAAAAAAGGAAGTGTGGAACAGAACATGGAAGCGCAACACTTAGACGGCACCGGAGGAAAGCATCTTGTCACGGAGGTACTTCTTGTACTGGCCGATGGTGCCGTCCCAGCGACGGACGGTCTTGTGCTCGCAGACCAGGATGTCCTTGGCGATCTTGTCCAGCAGACGGAAGTCGTGGGAGACGACGACAACACCACCGTTGAAGGCGTTGATAGCATCAGCCAAAGAGTCGATGGTGGGAATATCAAGACCGTTGGTAGGCTCGTCGAGCAGGATCATGTTGGGGGACTCGATAGCGAGCAGGGCAAAGACGATACGGCTCTTCTGGCCCTCGGACAGGGTACCCATGATGGCGGTCTGAGCCTCACCAGACAAACCGTAGCGGCCGAGTTGCTGGCGCCAGTATTGGTAGTCCTGGGACTTCTCCGGGAACTTGTCGCGGACGAACTCGAGAGAAGACTTAGTCAGGTCGAGCTGCTCGGCAGAGTGCTGAGAGTAGACACCGAGCTTCAGGTGAGTGTGACGGCTGACGGTACCACTGATGGAGCTCAACTTGCCGGTCATCAGACGCAGCAGAGTGGACTTGCCAACACCGTTAGGGCCGACCAGGGCGGTACGAGAGTCCATGTCGACACCAAGGTCGAGGTGCTCGTAGAGGGTGTCCTCCCATTTACCAGAGTAGGAGAAGCTGACGTCGTCGAAGGACAGGACAGGAGGGGGCAACTTCTCAACATCGGCGAAGCGGAAAGTGAAGACACGGTCGGGGACGACGGGCTGGATGAAGCCATCGGCCTCCATCTTGTCGAGAATCTTTTGGCGAGACTTGGCCTGACGGACCAAGTTGGCATAGGTACCGGCGGAGGCAATGAACTTCTTGATGTGAGAAATTTCTTCCTGCTGCTTGGTGTAGGCCTTCATCTGGTTGGTCTCCTGCTCGGAGCGAGTCTTGTGGTAAGAATCGTAGTTACCACCATAGTAGAGGAGCTGCTTCATGCGCATGTCGATCATGTTGGTGCAGACACCGTTCAGGAAATCCATGGAGTGAGATACCAGGATGAAAGTGCGGTCCCACTTCTTGAGGTACTCCTCCAGCCACACACAGGCCTCGAGATCCAAGTGAGCAGTGGGGTCATCGAGCAGGAGCAGCGAAGGCTTGACGAACAGGGCCTTGGCGAGGGCCACACGCATACGCCAACCACCGGACATGTCCTTGGTCTTCTTGTGAATTGTGACCTTGTTGAAGCCGAGACCAGTCAAGATCAGAGAGGCACGAGTGTGGAAGGTGGAGGGATCCATCTTGTCCATGCGCTGTGATCAAAATTTTGGTCAGTGAATGATCCATCAATACTTCAATTATATCTTTCAACAGGCTGATTGATAGATAAAACGTTAGAACTTACGTCGTACAGATCCTCGAGAATAGGGTTCTCGGGACCCTCCTGTTCGAGGATCTCCTCGGCCTTCTTCTCCATAGCATCAAGCTGAGCCTGAGCCTCGTCAACAACCCACTCCAGAGCCCCCTTATCAGTGAGGGGAGCACCCTCATTCAGAAGGTACAGATCGATGTGCTCGGGGAAGGGGAACTCGCGGGTGGCAATGGCCTTGAGAAGGGTAGACTTTCCGCAACCGTTCTCACCAAGCAGACCGTAACGACGGCCAAAGTTCAGCTCGAGGGTAGAGTCGGTGAAGAGGACCTTTCCGTGGAACACCAGGGAGGCGGAGGTGATCTTGACGTCGCGGGAGGCGGGCAGGGACGAAAGCACACCGGTGGTAACACGATCGGAGAGACCGTGCTTGTCCATCTGTGCGGTGAGCTTCTCGACATCCTTCATCTTAGCATCGGTGGTGGCGGGCTGCTCGTCACCGTTGGCATCGACCTCGACGACGGGCTCCTCCTCCTTCTTGGAGCCGGTCTTCTTGGTCTTCTTGTCGCCGGCTTCGGCGCGCTTGGCCAAACGGGCGGCCTTGGAGGCAGAAACCATATTGGCGGGTGAAAATGTGAAAAAGGAAATTGGGTGAGAAGGACGGCGGGGCGGGGAGAGGGGGGAGGGGGAGAGGAGGGAGGTAGAAAGAGAGAAGAGGATCAAGTGAGGGAACGATGACCCGTAACAAACTTGGTCGAAGAGTTTGAAGGCAAAGAAATGCAAAAAGAGACTGAAGTGGAGCGCCTGGCGGGGCGGAGAGTAGAGGGGCGAAACAACTCGAGTGGAAGTGGGGGGCGGGTTTGGGCGAGCCCTTATCGATTAGGAAAAAGTTGCCTGGGCGGAATTCGAATCCTGAACGTCAGGGTTCTGGAAGATGAAGATAGAAGAAGGAAAAGTCAGATTATCCCTTCTTTTTGAAATCCTCGACGGTGAATCGTAAATGCGACAGAACAAAAATTCAACCTGGTGGGGCCGTCAGGGCCAGCACGAAGAGCGCTGATTTGCTGGAGGCCGACGAGGGCTGTTTGGGACGTCACCGCACGATCGGGCAGACGTGCGGGGCCTGAGAGCCTGGGAGCCTTGGCGCCTCAGAAGGGTGGCGGTCAGGTGTTGAGGTGTCGACGTTCTTTTGCCACGCAATTGCGACGAGTCTGGTTGGCTGGAGATACACACTCTTTCCGCTTAACCTAGTCGAGTTAGCCCCATCTCTCTCCAGGAAGCACTGTACGAAGTACGAGGAGCGAAGACTGATGAAAGATCGTGGTTGGTCAGTTGACCGAATCGTTATCATTGAATATGTATGTACAAGATCCCTCCCCATCCTTCTTTCTTTTAGATTCTCTCACTGACCTTCTCCAGCACCTCCTTCTCTTCTGTCGACAAGAACACCCCATCAGGCACAAAGATCTCGCCTCGCTCAAGGACAATCCGCCGAGGAACGTCGGTCAGACTCTCCTCATAGTGGCTAGGGATATCCGAACCAGCCTTCCGGTGGATGTTCTCTTTCTCTTCATCCTTGATCTGCTTTCGAGACAGAGGGTGTAACGTCCACCAGTATAGGGGATATTGTCGCTGGATATTATTGACGATCAAGGCCACCGCCTGCATCAGCACGACCCCCAGCATCATAATGGGGAACAGGAACCATCCCAGGTTCGCCATCTGCTCGTTGGTCACCGCTAGAAGGGCCGTCGCACCCGCCGGCGGGTGCACAGTACCAGTCAACATCATGGCAGCAGTGGTGAGGCCACAGGCCAGAGCCCCGCCCAGCGAAGTGTACTGTTCGGCATGGGGACTCAGAGCAAAAAGCTTCGCGATACTAATGCCCATCAGACAAGCCCACATCTGACTGAAGAAGGCATTACGGGGTTGTGCAAATGGCGACTCGATCGCACAGAACTCGATGACGGCAGCAGCACCCTACCATGAGGTCCTCGTCAGCCAGATGGATCATCCGAGGTCATGACAAATCCAGACTTACAAAACTTCCCACTACAGCCGGCGCGTTTCGCACTTCGAATGACGGGATACGCGCTGATACTTCAGCGACCAGGGCCACTCCGCAGAATGCACCGACCAGCGACCAAAAGGCGATTACTACATTGCCCAACGGTCGTGGTGCACTGTCCCGATACCCCAGAAAATGGGAAATCGGCCGGGGTAACAGGTGCAACCTAGGCGCTGGAACCCAAGGGTTGATAAACCGATCGATATCCACATGCCAGGTCCTCACATCCGAGAGAGTCATCGGCCCATGCAAAGTGTGCGACATGATGCCGAAAAACCCCAGGCGTGTCGTGTGGCACGACGTACTGACAAGACCCGCAGCGAATGTCGAGATATAGCGAAGTATGTAAGGTATCCGTCGCGGTACCCCACAGAAACCTCACGAAAGATGGGAAACTCGCAAGAGTAAGTTGATGTCCCCTGGAGGAACTTTGAATGAAGACATCTTCTCACCCGTTTCCCCCTCACGATTCTCCTCAAGTGTGCCGGACTAGCCGTGTCGTCGTTGCTCTCTGTTTCTCCGCGGACCAGGCCCTGGCACTGGTGTCCAAAAGCTTTCTTCAATAATACAGCCGCGAGCGGTTAGCTGTGGGACTCGGTGCTCCTGGGTGACAGCCTTTGCCCGCCAGTCATTGCGTTTGTATTTGGTAACAGAAACTCCTCTTCGGGCGTTAGTGGCTTGGCAATGGATGATGTCACAGATCCCGGAACCATGCGGACAGTAGGAAAATTAGGTAAAGTAGGTACTAAGTAAGGGATCGCGGAGGATATAGCTTGTTTAACCAGTAGATTGTGAGATAGTAATGAAAAATCAAAATGATGAAACCACGTGGTATTTCCGATCGTAGATATGACAAGGCATTCCCGATCAAAATGCCTCAACGTGTCGGACGAATCTCGGACGGTAGGGCTGACATACTTCCGTGCGGAGTATACTCGGCCGCCAGGATACCCTTGTATAAACACGATGTTGCTCTTGCGGTGAAGGTTATTGACAAGACCGCCTTCAATTGAAAACCTGATATAGTAGATTTCAACAATGACAAATCTTCAGGATCGTCTAAGCAGTCATCAAGCACAAAGATAAACCAAGAAAAATGGGGCATATAAAGTAGTTTCAGAAAATCCCTTGAAAGTAAACAATTTGACGTATCTCATTGAACTATTCTGTGTTCTCTATATCCATACCTTTGAATTCCCAGTGTATATTTCTTTGTAGAGCATCTGTATACATCACTACGAATTCCATCATAGCTCACCTTGCAAGACCAGGATCATCTACACCCCTACCCGACTCACCCCGGTCAAATCCTCTTAACAACATCCCACCCAGTTTCACTCAAACCTCACCAACATTCCTCCTACAACCCCCCTCAACCCCCTGAAACGGCAACCCCACACACCAAGCCCGCGGATACTCCATCCCCCATTTCCCCATCAAACACCTCAAATCCTCTTCACACCCGGGTACAACATTAACAAAGATACGATCCCCGTGGGACATCGGCTCCGAATGTACCGCGCCTTCGTCCTCACCAACTCGGAAGAATACGCACTCGCCTGTGCGCGCCTGGATAATACCCTTTCCAAATGTAGATCCGTGCCCATGCCCATGCCCATTGAAAGCACCAGAACCACCACCTGCACTACCGTCATACCCGCCTAGCTGCGCGGCGAGTATAGCTCGGACTGACTCTGCGGCTGAGGCACAGCCTACACAGCGGATGGAGAGACAAATGTGATCTGGGTTTGAGGCGCGGACGGACATTTTGGTGCTTCGTTGGAGGGTGCGGGCTTGGGCGTTGAGGTGGGGGGCTATGAAGAGGGTTCCCGGGCCGAGGAGGGTGGTGGTTAGTTTCCAGTTTGTCGGGTTGGGCGAGGAAGATGTTATTTGGACGGAGGGTGGGAGGGGTGTTTTGGCGTTTATTTCCGTGGTGGAGAGGGCTGTAGATCGGTTGTTTTTGTTGGGTTTGCCCAGATTCGAGAGTGACGATGATGTCCGCTTGTGGACGTTGGTGGCGCCAGAGAAGGAAGGGAGCAGAGAGCGGCGCTGGGATTGCGATTTGGATTGGGGGTGGAGGTTGTTGGGAGAGACTGGGGAGAAGAAGAGATCATCTGTATGCCATCGGGGGATGTCGAATTCGTCGGAGCCTTGGCTTGCGCGTATCGTGAGCCAGTAGGTTGATATATCGTTTGCTGTGAGGAAGTCGTGTACGAATTCTAAAAAGGCGAATAAGGGAGACACGATTGAGCCGTTGATAGTGGACTGGGCCCAGGTGTGGAATGAGGAGGGTAGGTTCTTCGCGTTCAGTGGGAGGAGTGGGCCGCAGTATGTCCACGACGAAGTTGCGTTTAGAGTGATATCCTCGTCTGTTGATAGCGAGGATTGCTGATCATAGTCGATCTTGTCCCACTTGGTTGGGTGCGACAGGATCTTGAAATCTGGGAGGGAGCTCGCGTCCATGGTTTCGGAGCTGGCGGCCTAGCTTTTAAGCTCGAGCTTGTTGCCCCGATTGAAGCAGATATAAAAATTGCCAGGAATGCAATTATTCTCGTCGTGGTTAGGGGATTGAGTCTTCACTGGCTTTGGGTCAGTTAACAAGCAGAGTCACATTTGAACGAAAAAACTTCTCAGGCTGCAGCCTGGCTCGGACCTCTTCAGCCATTTGTCCTCCTGCATGAGGCCCCATGTGATAGCACTCTTTGAGGTCAGATTGTGGCTCAAAAGTCAGACTGTGGCTTGGCCAAGCTGTGCGGGGGGACAGAGCTCAGGCGGCAATAGTGGGAGCAGCATCGTGATGGTGGAGTGGCTACGGGTTTGGGCAGCAAGCTGGTGCATAAGGGGACCAATGGGAGATAACTTTGTAGGAGAGTACGAGAATTTGAAGCTGTTTCAGAATTGGTTGACTTTGGATTTTGACTAGCACGAACCCGACTCGTTCGTATGTCAAGAGCGTAAGGAGCGAGGGTACTAGTTGATGCCTTTTTGGACCCCAACTTTAAGGAGCTTTGCCAAGCTGTCAGCATCACCAGATTCACCGCAGCGACCTCGATTGCCGAGACCTGCACCATCTCCCGAGTAGAAACTCCATTCAAAATGAGAATATATGTCCAATTTTCAAGGTCTATCAAGTATCCGCTAATCATCACTGTCGTTTCCAATTTTTAAAATCCACATCGTACGTCCAATCTCAAACATCCATGGTCTTGCCAGTGGCAGAGCTCTCCCGAGCCAACTCGATCAAGCGGATGACCTGAGCGGCCTCGGCGCCGCTAGCGGGGAGATCGCCCTCGCCATCGAGAGCGCGGACCAGCTTGCGGTAGTACTCGGTGTATGTGGGGGGCTCCACGGTAGGAACGACCTCCTTGACGGGGTTGCCATTCTGGATGGTGGTCAGAGTACCGTAGCGCTCCTTGGGCTCACGGCCGTAGCCGTTGTCCTGGGGCTTGACGCCCGCCTTGAGCTGGTCTTCTTGGATATCGAGGTGGAACTATATTCACTGTTTAGTATGCGACGAATATTGATGGCAGAGATTCTGTCTCACCTTCTTGAAGCTACCCTTGTCACCACGGACCCAGAAGCGCAGCTGCTCCTCCTCGGGGCTGACCACGGTGGCCTTGGCCGTGACCAAAGTGCCGTTGGCGTACTGCAGCAGCACGGTGAACGAGTCCTCAAAGCCCGAGGTGTTGGCCTCGCGGGCCGAGCCGATGAAGCCGGTCACTCGCTTAGGAAGGCCCAGCAAGTGAACGGCCTGGTCGAGCAGGTGGGTGCCTAGGTCATACACGGCAGAACCACCGGGAATGACCTTGTTCTTCCACTTGTGAGAATCAGCAGAGGGCTCCTCGGGACGGTGGCGGTCGAAGTGAGTTTCAAACTCGGAGATGCGACCGAGAGAGCCGTTCTTGACCAGCTTGGAGAGCGTGACGAAGTCGGCGTCCCAGCGACGGTCTGGTTTGGCGCGCAGCGCATGTTAGCATTGCAATTGGAGATCTGAGAGAGATAAGGGGACGTACTTTGGTACACGGCGAGCAGCTTGTTCTGCTTGTTGGCAATGGCGACGAGCTCCTCGGCTTCCTTGAAAGTGGGGGTGAACGGCTTCTCGCAGACGACTGTAGCACGGAGAATTAGTTCAAGCTCTCGATCGGTGCCGTTGGCCATTGTGGTACATACCGTGCTTGCCAGCCTCCAGGGCTTGCTTGACCAGAGCAAAGTGGGAGTCAGGAGCTGTGGTGACAATCACGATGTCGACGGCGGGGTCTTGGGCCAGCTCGTCGGCGGTCCGGTAGGACTTGACACCCGGGTGGTCCTTCTCCGCATCATCATCCGGCTTGGGGGTGCGCTGGACCACTGCATAGAGCTTCAGCTCGGGGATCTGCTCCACGAAGGGGATGTGGAAGATCTTGGCGCTGAAGCCGTAGCCGATCACGCCGACATTGTAGGTCTTGGGGGCCATGATGTCACCGAATTGGAGATGGACTTGTAGAGAAGTCGGAGAATGGAGAATTGAGGTGGACCAAAGTGTGCACCTCACAGGATATAAGAGATTGGAGAATAGATGAGGAGAATGAAGAACAGTAGACACGGGAAGTCCTGTCAGCTTATATTTAGCCGTCGACGGATTTTGAGAGCCGATGCGGGGAGGTGGAAGGTCCTGGCGACGGCAACCTTTGGGACAGCCCCGCTCGACCCAAGCCCAGCCAACGATGAGCCAACGAACAGCCAACAGCCGACTTGCTGGCTGTGGATGATGGCGCAACCTGCAACTGTACAGTCTCCGACTCGGCGTCCCGAAGTGGCAACGGTTTTCGGCTTCTCCTCTGGCCGTTATGCTGCCAGGACTTTACGGGAATGGATCTCCGGAGCACAGTATTCCCAGCATCAGGTAACACTTGACTACACTGGCTGCTTTCTAATCAAAATCATTGATGACATTGCATCTAGAAAATATTCATTCCGTCATTCCGTGGTTCTGTGGTCGCAAAGTGAATCTTGCCAGCAGCTGTCTCGTCCCCACTGAGCGGCTGGCCCATCATTATTTTCTTTAACCACCACGAGATCTCTACTCCTCTTCCAACCCCACGCACCGAGTCACCTCGATGGCATCCTATTCACCGGATTAGCAATCACTCCCGCGAAAATCTCTTCACCAAGTTCACTGAAACAAGAGAGCAAATGTCATGACTCACCCGTTCCCCCTCCGGTTGCCGCAACACACTCTGGTACACGAGGTTGGGGTTGCCAATAACCTCAAACACAGGCGTATCACCCTCGGGCATGAACGAATTGACAGCGCGCTCGCGCATCCCCTCCACATTATACCCCTTCGTAGGCCCTCCCTTCGCAGCCTCCCGCTTCTGCGCAACACTGCTCCTCACATACTCCAGGTACGGCGGATTGCCCGGATGAATCACATTATCAGCAGCGAGCACCGAGCCAGGAACGATCATCCCATGATGCTCGCAGAGCTTCAGATCCGTGGTATACGCAGGCTTATAATGGTCAATAAACATGAGCTCAATCTTGGTCACCTCGCCGCTGCGGTACAACTTGTCCAGCGACACGTCGCTCCGACCAACGATGACCCGGACAAAATCGCGCAGACCGGCTAGCTCGATCAACATGTTCGCAATGGCGGCCCATTCCGGGTTGAGCTCGAGGCTGAGATAGCGCTCGCCGCCGTTGCGTCGCACGGCTTCGCCGAAGAGGATGGCCGAGTAGCCCACGTAGCAGCCCAGCTCGATCATGGTCTTGGGCTTGAGTTCGTCGATTAGATCTTTGACGATTTTGCCCTTGGACCCGCCGACGGTCATCATGTGGTAGTCTTCTTCGAATTTGTCCATGAGGTCGAGGACTTTTTGCGGGTGGCCTCTGATGTCATCGAGGTTTGGCTGGCCGTAGACGAAGTGAAGAAGCTTCATTTCACGGCCAGCTTCGCGCTGTGATTAGATTGCACATTAGTTAATGTGTGCAGGGAAGGCATGGGCAGGAATATCGACTCACTGAACGCTCTCCAACCCGAGGATGCGGGGGCGGCGACTCGGTCAATGGCATCTTTGACACTGGAAAAGGTGTAACCTGACGGGAAATGTGTAGCCGTGTAGAACCCAAAGGTTGTTGGGAAGGGAAAATGTACAACCGGATGGTATACCCGTGGCACAGCCGCTTTTAAGACGAAATGCCCGTGGAAACGAGTAGTCAGCGACGCGGTGCAATGAGCAGTAACTACCTCCCCGCATGACCGTTCTGATTGGAGTTGCGGGCAACCGAGCCCGTATAGTTCCTGTCTCTTCGTGGTATGTGGTCCCGAGGGTGCTGCCTGTCCACGCCTCGGGGTTAAGATCTTGAAACCTGCAGTCCAGTCGAAAACATTTTGTGATTGGCACGATCTCGTTCGCTGGACGTAGTACGTGCTTGATGAGTGATTCCTCGCGGCATTTCGGTGCTCGGAGGTAGTATTTTGGGAAGTTAGCGCCGAGCCTGCTGACTAGCATTGGACAGAACTGGATAATGGTAAGCCGGCCATTTAAAATAATGTCCGACTAGGCATCGGGGTTACAAACCAACAGGCATGTTTTTTATCTGCGCTCAACGAGAAGTCTGTAACGGAGTTTATTCGTTTCGCAACGTGTAAAGTAGGGCTACCTAGCGTAACAAGGAGATGACTCAAAGTCTGCAATGCGCACTGCAGCCTTACTTCAACGTAATACGGCAGAGCAACGATGATTGTAGATAGGCGCCTAGAAACGGCTGTATTGACTTGAGTGAGGCCACTGACCTTGATTATCATGGAACTATTAAATACCCTTGGAACGCCCAACTGAGAATACAGTGGTGTTCTATAAGTTTGCAACGCCCGAAGAGGTTCAAAACCATCTCATCAGTTATACTTTAAAAGGCAAGCTTCACAAAAATGCCGGGATGATCTAGAAAGAGGGTTCAGAAGACATTCAGAAAGATCTGTCAAAAACATAAAATCGAGGCATATTTAGATGGCCTTTTTTCTCGGTCCCTGGTTTCAGACGTTTGAACTGCCACCGTACTTCCTGGTCGCAGAACGAGCGAAGTGCTCGCCTGTAGCGTCCTCCGAAGGTTGTCGGTTAATCTACGTATTTATAAAGGTGTCGCTGAGCCGATTCACTTGTGAGACAGTACCACCAACGATGAATTATCCATTGATAGGAATGAACGAGGTCTGTTCTCATATCTTCGTTTCATACTTTTCAATCGGCGGATAATCTCTTCTACATCTATCCATATCCGTTGTCAATTCCGCAGCCCCTGAGGCTGCTCCGATTTTTCTTGATCTGTGTGTAAACCCAATGCCAATTTGTATTTCCTTTCGGTAGCTTCAGCTGATCCGGTGCCTTTTTTGGGAATGGAAGCAGGAAATCGACTACCTTGCTAGTTGGAGTACAAAAATCATTCAGTTGCGCTGAATACCGCTCTCGTTCTTCCTTGAACATCATCAGATCATTCCCTGTCCCTGATGCCCAAAAGAAGGGACGTGATCTTCCTCGCCGTCGTACCAAGATTCCCATAGCCAGGGCATCTCCTCTCGGACAAGTCGCCACGACACACTATTTGGAAGTCTGGTGAACGTCTTGGAAGTCATCCTTAAATTAGTGAGGTCGCTGGCATCCGGGAAACCGACTAATAGCAGACATATCTAGGGAGGCAAGGAAGCAAACACATCATTGTGAACAACCTGCAATGGAGTGTGATTTCTTTTCGGAAGTTCAGATTCCTCTATTCTATCGTGAGATAAGTCCTCTTCGTTTCTGCCTGCATTCAGCAAAATAGGCCGTAAGCCTGGCACGTAAAGTGGGGTTGCGTCCAGATACTCTTTGCCCGGGAAATGCTCCCACCATTGCCTTTGGCCCTCGATGACATCTCCTGACCAGGGGAAACCGTAAAAGTCCTTGTTGGAGGACTCGGCATCGCGCCACTTTATAATGCCTGAGATATTGATGCGGTTCAACCGAACTTTGGATTGACGGCAGAAGATATCGAAGCACCAGGGGTGGAACGGCATAGCCAAGTCTTCTGAAGGTGTACTTTCCGGCTACTGGCGGTTAGTCTCTTTGACAGTTAAATGGCGTTTCAAAATCTTGGACCTGGTTTTGAGAAAGGCAACATACACCGAAATTGATATTATCCGCTTGCGGCTCCTCGACTCCACCTTGCGCAGGCCAGACTTCTGGGTAATTACAATCGCGAGACGGCATTCCGTCACACAACCCAGACAAAAACCAATCTTCAGAAACCTCCCAGGGCTCATGAGATTTGATATATTGCGATGGGTCCTGGATCGCACTTTTGTGGACCAAGCACTGGGCGGTGCGATACCCTATCATCTCCTCGAGCGAGATTGAAAAGTACCGAACGTGTTCTCCGGAGAATCTGACGTACGGATTCTGAGTTTTCGCCAACCCAGTTTGAGTAAGCATCGACTTCAGGATCCTTGGTTTCATTAGAAGGGTTTGAGTCGCTGTTCGCATTGTCCTCCCCAGAGATACTCTGAATCGTATTCACCAGGCTCGCTGTAGTCACCTTCATCCGGAGGGACGTAGTCTGGATCTTCGAGCATGTTGTCCTCATCATCCTTCGATAGCTAATCGCTCCGAATAAGCCGTTTTGAGCGCAGTTTTCCAAATCATCCTCGTCGACTGCCGGCTCATCATATTGTTGGCCAGCGTAGTCCCAGCTAGCCAGATGCGGCTCTCCCGGTTCCGGCGTCGTGCGATGTTGAAGCTGACACCACAAATATGGCAGTATATCTATTAGACAGTCAGATATCAGACTATCAGAGAGGTGTTCTGTGCTTCTCGTGTAAGGCACAGTCTATCTGTACCTCAGAGTAACCTGAAAACGTCTGTCAGTGATGCCATTGTTTCTGTCGTGGAGACAGCTGGAACACACCCATTGGTGCTTTTTTTGACTAATTGCTTCAGCATAGCCAGAAGGTTCACAGGGCTCTGCATAGAAAGGTCTCTGCAAGTTGTGACTTTGTACAGGATGTTGAGGACAGGAAACTGGGATAGCGTTTTGCCCTAGTTCGATTTTGAATCATGACTTTTGGGATGTCTAGGACCCCCAACAGCGAATACAGTGGAAAGTCATTTACCAAGTGAACGGGCTAAAGGATAAATTCATCGAATATGATGCTAAGACAGGCTGGAACTCCACGAACCGCATAGTTCATTTTGGGGGTTTGGTTTCTGGGCGTTTTTTGTTACATTCCTTGCCCCAGTTTTTAAAGTGAACAAGGGTGATGGGCAAGAGAAGCAGACGAATGTCTGGTAAATCTGCCATGAAATTCTTGAATCAGACAACCTCAAAATGAGAGGAGCACGGTTCAGCACCAGCGAATGTAATTTATTGAATTTTGTATCTTGTTTTCATGTCAGACACAAGCCCCTGTTTGCTTGATATGATGAGGCTAGGCCGATAGCTCAATGACACTGTCCTACTTCGAGATAAAATAACGATCTTCGATCAGATAAAACTGGCGGGACGCTAGTAATTAAGCCCACGGAGACTGGTAAACCTAAATTATGAGAAAAGAAGCTAGTTTAAGTAGATCTAAATAAAGACTGGATAAAGGACCCAGATTGTTGTTTTATGGATTAGCAGGACAGTCGTATTAAAAGGTTGTTGCACAGTAATGAATCATTGCGCCTCGACTTTGCATGCGGTGGCGGGTGCTGACCATCACCCCTCACTGCACGGCGCTTGCGTCCTCTTCACACATTCCACCCGCCCCCTCAGGGCTGGACGACTCGAGAAATGAGCCTCAAGCCTCTTCCAGACGCCTCAGGACCAGAGACTCTGCTTGGATTGAACCGGAGCAAATTTGAGTATACACTTCTCGAGCTAGATGCTCGGTCTGTCCTTCAAATGGCGGCCCCCGCGGTGCGAGCACAGCGCCCTATACTCACCATGAAGGCTCATCGAGCAGCGGATTTATCCAAGGCCTTGTCGCAGGTCTTTTGGCCCTTGATTCGCATTATAATCTCATTCTCTTTCTTGTTCATTGACAACACCATTCTCCTCGTGACCGCCGTACTCTCCCGCTTACGCCCTGCAGCTAGCCGGCGCCAGCCAGCACAGCGCAATGTTCATTTCTATCCCAAGACAGTTCTGATCACCGGAGTTGGCACCACTCATGGCCTGGCCTTGGCTCGTGCCTGGGACGCCGAGGGTCATCGCGTGGTTGGGGTGGATGTCGCCGATTTGAATCTCCCGGTTCGATCGGGCGGCGGCATGTCCAACGCTCTCCTAGCATTCTATCGAGTGCCAAAGGACCATTATATCTCCCGAATTCTAGATATCGTCCACCGTGAGAAGATTGATATTTGGATTCCGTGCTCGCCCAAGGCCACAGCCATTGAAGATGCCACAGCTAGGCAGGTGGTCGAAAGCCGTACTGCCTGTAGATGCATTGCTTTCGACCCCGAATTGACATCGCGCTTAATTCGACCTAACTCATTCAGACATTTCCTCGCAGAACGGGACCTTCCAGTCCTGGAACAATTTCAGGTACAATCACGCGACTCAATCCACAGGATCCTCAATCGGTCCCCGACGAAATTATATCATATACGACGGGTCACCTCGAGTGCTAATGAGGCAGCTGTGGTCCTGCCAAAACGCACTCTCAGCAGGACTTACTCTGAAGTCAGCGAGATCACTATCTCCAAGGATATCCCATGGATCATGCAACAGCAGACACGACTTGGAGAATTCTACACAGACCTGTTGGTGGTGCACGGCCACGTCCATGCCATCAAGGTTCGGATGGTGGAAACCCGAGCATCTCATTGGGGTGCCTCGCGCATGGATGAAGCGTTAGCGACTGCCGCCCATCGGCTTATGCAAAAGTTCGCTTTGAAGGGCGGTATCCGGATGACCGGGCATCTGTCTGTCAGACTGCTGGTCGATGAGGAATTCGATCACAAGTCTGTTCGCCACACTGTGCATATTGCCGACTGTGTTCCCGGTGCCAGTGCCATCGAGAACTTGCTCCGTGATGCGCGCTGCCCTGTCGCGGGATATCTCGAGGTGCTATCCCCGGAGCCCGCTGAACCGGCCGCATGGAAAGTGACTGCGACACTGTCGCCAACGCCTCGGCCGTCATCACCCTCGGTAGTACTATTGGAAACCATCCTCACTGGTTTCCTTCCACGGTTCCTTCCTGTGAATCTTATCAAAAGCATCCTTACTGCCCTTGAAGCCGAATTGATCCCCTTCTTTTTCTGGAAGGATCCTCGATTCACAACTCACGATCCCTTCCCTTGGTGGTGGCATGTCCATGTGTACCAGCCGATGCGTGAGATCTGGTTGTTAGTGAAGCAGATTCGCGAGGCTGGAATGCCTACTGATCGCAAGGGGCGCTAATGGGACTTTTTATGAATGTTTCTCGAGCCCAATGGATCACGAAGACTATTGCATTTTATCAGTCACGGCATACTCTAGACTGATTTTTTCGGTGTATTCCAAATATGTTTATAGGTTTGTTTTCATGATTCCGTATATCAGCAATTAAGTTAGCTTTAAGCATAATTTCCTCGTGCTTGACATATGTGAAGCAGTGACATTTGAAGATCTCAACTGGACTTACGTGAGGCTTAGCACAGTGTCATCAGCCGATGAACCAGTGGCTCATTTAATAAGACTATTTACAGTATTTGCATAGCGCAGAGTTTTATCAGTTTTCGTGGTGCCCAGCTGGGCCTAAGGGAACTCCACCGGGGCGAAGTGTGGCTGAAGATGGCCCAAAATAGAACCACACGGGCTGTCGCCTGGGCGATGATCACCGCCAAAGCAGCCAGAACAGCACTGGGCGATTCCATTCTCTACTTCATATTCCATCCGCAATTATCAGCTACGACCTCATGACTTATTCTTAAAGAGCCTATACTACGAGGTAAGTCATTTCAGTTGAGTGCCGTTGTTTAGTAAAAGTGTCAACACAGCTGACGTCGACAACCCAAAGCCAAGAAAATCCCGCTGCGCGTTCCTCCCAACTCCAGACTCCTCCGACCATTCCGCCGTGCCTGTCACTTTCCTCTACATTCTTCGCCTCTTCTCGATTACTGTCGCAACAAAGGCGTACGATCTGCCCCCTGTTTGATCGTCTTCTGGTCCACCCGTGAACCTCTTGACTTGTTTCTCCGCTCGGCACCTCCGTGGCCTCGTCGGGTGAATCTCCAAAGGGCTGAAAACACCCTTGCAGCTCTGCATCTCCTTTCGGGGGTCTGACACCCACCCATCGCCATCATGCAATTTCGAATGCCCCGGTCGACGGGCGGCAACATGGGGAGAACCAAAAATATCATCCATTTCGTCCAGGCCTTTGTGATTTTCCTTGCCTGGGCGATGACGATCGGGATCTGGACAAAGGGCGATGGTATCGATGGGCGCACGGTGTGGTACTGGATCTTGGTAAGTTCTATTCTGTCTCTCTTCGAGTTCGGTTAATGGGCCTCCCATTCAAGGGCGGCTCAAGGGTTTGAGGGACCTTGCAGCTGATCACGCGATGGATGCAGTGTTGGATCAGTATTCCCGCTTTAATTTATCTCGCCGCCGTGCCCATGTGGCCTCGAGCCCGCCGATTTGGAAATGTGTATGCCTTCGCGACGGTCGACATCATCTACACTGTCTTCTGGTTCAGTGCATGGGTCGCCGTGGCTTCCTACGTTGCGCAAGGCAAGAGCATCGGAAAGTCGAGCAGCGATGACAAGACTTCTAGCACCAAGTCCCGCCGTGCCTCGACCAGCACGGCATCTGGTTGCGATAACTGGGCATATGGTAGTGCTAGCAAGTGCAAGGTTAGCACGGCGACCACTATCATTGGAGTGTTCATCTTGTGAGTGGATCTCTTCTCCCACCGACTGACTTTTACTAGAAACATAGCCAGTGACTAACGTGATAAACTTCTCTCTAGCATTCTCTTCGCCATTACCTCTTGGATGTCCTTCCGCAATGTGATGCACTTCCGTCGTACCGGTACCCTACCCGACGCAGTCTCCGATCCCACCTTCGCCGCTCAAAGCAAGGCAGCCTTCTCTTCGAACCCGGCTCACGACTTCGAGGAGGACGAAGATGACTTCCGCTCTGGCCGTGCGGGTGTGAGTGCCCCGTCTGGCGGTGAGCAAGACGAGGACTATGCCCTGCTTCAGCAGAGCGAGATGGACGACATTGGCAACGCGCACGGCCGGACCGCAATGCACGGTGCCTATGATCCCACAGATCCTGCACCCGGCAGTATTCTCCACGACTATAACAGCACAGGCTATGGTGGTGCTCATGGGCAACACTATGCCCCGCCATCGGAGTACGGCTCCTCAATGAGCGGGTATGGTCGGTAGAGAATGGCATGCAGGATGGATAGTGGTATAGAGCTGGACGGTCGAGGCAAGGATGCCGGCATATGAATACCCCAAAATCATTTCAGTGGTTTCTATCTCCTGCTTTTCTTTGTGTGCTGGACATGACTACGAAGCGGTGTTGGCTGGCGCATAGTTTGTTTTCTGTTTTGATCCACCGAGGAGGGTTGACCCTCTTGGTTGCCTGTCATCTTTGCGTGTTTCTTATGGGGCTTGTCCCAAGTGACGATTGTGTTTTCTATATGAACGAGGATCTAGGCAAATAGACTGCATACGTAACTTTGAATGTCTGAAATACCTTTAGATTTCTGTATTTGCATGCAATTGAAGGAAGTATTCAATGCAGTCAATCGACGCCAACCACCAGTAGTGATAAGATTCTGCCACCGCCTTCTCGGCGTGCATGTGGACAGCTTGCGATCTCCCCGGACGGCGATCGCGGGTTATTTTTGAACACGACACCTTGAACTCGGGCTGAAGAGTGTTTTCGGAGATCCTCAATACTTTGCTCCCTTCACATCGCTGGTACGTCCTTTGATCTTGCAGTCGACATCCTCTGGAGTCCACTGCACTCCACCCTCCGCCTCCACCTATATCCTTTAATCCACCGACACCAAGCTCACCGTCACTAGATTCCAACTCATCCCTCCAAACAGCCAATTCCCGGACTGCCACAGTCCCTCAAGCCTCAAAATGGCCTCCGAAATTGACATTTTCAACGAATACCCCCTCCACCTCGACCCAAGCTCCAAAGCCATCTCCCTCCTCCCATCCTCCTCCCAAACTGCCACTCAAACAGCCGCCATCACCACCGAACTCCAAGAACTCAACGCCCTGCACCGCGCCCTAATCAGCCTCGACCCACCCAACATCCCCCCACCCCCTCTCCCCGTGAACCCCAAGCGCAGCGCGCAGATCACCAAGCTCCGCGACTCCGGCAACGCCGCCTACCGCAAGTCCAACTACGCCGAGGCAATTCGCCTGTACACCTACGCCATCGAGATGGCGATCACCCGGCCGGGGTGGGAGCCTGTGACGCTTGCACGGGAGGAGCTGGCTGGGTTGTATGGGAACCGTGCTCAGGCGCATGTGGGCATGCAGGCGTGGCCGGAGGGATTGTGTGATGCGAAGGCTAGTGTGGACTCCAAGCCGGTGGGGAACGTCAAGGCTTGGTGGAGGCTGGCGAAGTGTTTGGCTGAGATGAGTCGGTATGCGGAGGCGAAGACTTTCTTGTTGAAGGGGATTGAGATTGAAGGGAGAGACAGTGAGGGAGGGAAGGAGTTGGTGCAGTTGTTGGAGGATGTGGAGGCTGCGTTGAAACGGATGGGTTAGCGGGATGATAGTGTCCTGAAGTGTGCTTCTTCTGTCTGTGTTTGTGTGTCTTTAGTTTCTGCATGCTGGCTGGCTTCGGTTAGTCGGGCTTGACGATTCCCTCTTATTGTTTGTGGCGTTTTACTGGCGAATAAATGGTTGTTTCATCCATGCAATGTACTACCATGGTCTCTTTTTGGTTGATAGATCCTACAATCACATTCTTGTCAATCTTAGCAAGGTATGGTTTGATACCTCCCTTGGCAGGGGAAGATGTGGAGTATAGTTCCTACCATTGACTCTTCTGGCGATCGTACCATCAACTCACGAGAACCCAGTTTCAAGAACAACTTATTTATCCGTATGGATCATGCTAGGAAACTATTCAAGATATTCAGGGACCCTACTTTGCGCGGCGGGTAGGGGCTCCTAATCCGCTAACCTTGGTTATGGCGTCACGAACTGTAGCCGTGGAAATGCCACACCGCGCAATAACCCAAGCCCGGCACAAATACGAGGACCAAAAAGTTAGCCAGCCTCCCTTTGACTCTCCCCGTTAATCTATCTGCCTCACACGACCGGTCTTCCTCAAGGCGTCCCCTGGTCATCTATCAGTACTAGTGGAGCAAGAGCTGTCCAAATGGCCCGGAAGCCGGCGACTAAGGTGCCCGTTCCTCCTGCGCTGGGAGATGATGCCGCGGAGCGCAAGCGAGTCTTGAACATCCTTGCACAGAGGAGATACCGTAGGTCACTCTCTAACTTGTTACATGAATTATCTTTTGCTGACTATCAATGACAGGAAAGAGAAAGAAGGAGCGTCTCCAGGCGCTAGAGTCTCGCACTAAAGGGTCTGGGCTTCCTGGGGACACTCTTGTGGCTAATCAGCAAGATAGCCAATCTAGTGGAAACTCCTCAGAGGCTGGCAATGTTGTGCATGATATACCAAGGCCTGTGGCTGAGGATGGCAACTTCTTCGCCGGTGATGGTATACGTAATGAGGATATCATCGATCTTGACTTCAACTATATGGATGCACCAATGAATGTGGGCTTGAACAATGAAGATACAAACAGCATTCTCTGTTCTACCCCATGGCCCAAAGCGCAAATGATGAGTTCGCTAAGCTTGCCACCATCGGAGACTTTACAATCAGAGAGTTCACTTATGCTTCCAGCTACGACTGTGGGGGATACCTTCTGGAGTCAACTGGCAGGGATCTCGGGTTGGAACATGGAGTCCCATGATCTTCATAATATCGAGAACCAACTTGTAGAGTCTTTCCCACTCAACATCGATGGTACATTTGATTTATCGGCAGAGCTCCAGACTGACGATACCTCGTTTTTCACATTCCCCGATGATCGGATACTTGAAGTCCCTTCTCTGACGCTGCTCAACGCTGCTATGAAAGTGGCACAGCGGTTGAATATCAACGGCTTGATTTGGGACTTTACCGCTGTTAGCCCCTTCTACAACCCTGTCAGCTCAAATAACTCCGTCTCGTCGCCTCCATCTCTGGAAACCGGGCTATCATCCTCGGCAACATCGCCCGCAAGTTCAATTGATCTCACCGAACTTCCATCCCACCTGCTTCCCACGCGTACTCAGCGTTCGATCCCTCACCATCCGATTATTGATCTTCTCCCTTGGCCGAATACTCGAGATAAGTTGATCCAAGTTTTCCATCTTCCCGTCAGTCTACGGCCATCAACTGCTCAAGATCCAATGGGTCTTCTTCGACTGGTCTACGATATGGAGGACGGGGGTGGTGAAGGAGTAAGGATTAGCGGTGATGATCCCTTTGAGCCAGCTGTCTGGGAGATCGGGCAGGTTGTCTTTGCGAGGTGGTGGTGGGCGTTTGAAATCAGTGTGGTGGAAAGAAGTAATCGGGCTCGGGGGAATAGAGGAGAAAGAATATTATCATTGGAAAGCCAAAGCTGATAAAAACAAACGAATGAATGATCGATGTTCATAAGCTGAAAACAATAATATTCGCAATCTTACACTTCGCGCAGAACCATTCCCTTCTATAAGACAATTATTCCTGTCCCCGAATAGCGTTCGCCGACTTGAGAAGAACCAAAATTGGAATAGAGATACTCCATGCCCAGAGCCCAGTCCGCAGGTAGCTTGCAGCTTCTGATTTGACGCCCATATAGGCCATGGTATATAGTACGCGAGCGCCCAGATAGTCCAAAGCAAACCAGTTCAGGTCTTTTGCCGGAAGGTTTGCCAGATTACCGGCCAGCTATATAAAAGCACTACATTAGACTTCCAAAATATGATATCGAGGGTAGTAAAAAAGCTTACCATTGCAGCGGCAAACATCGGGATGCCTTCCATGGCATTCAGGTGGGCACCGCGGGCTCTGGCAAGTTTATCCCAGACTTGACTGGAAATGCGCCCCTTCAAATTGGACAAATTTTCTCGAGGGCTATACCTATGTTAATTCCGGATATATTCTCGGTGGTTGATTGGAGCGACATACAGAATATTGCTGGATTGTCCCTTCGCATTGGCCATCATCTTCACGATGTAGTATCCGTGCGGGGCGATGCCGAGGCCGTACGCCGCGACGATGGAATGGATGGAATAGTTGTTGCTAGACATGGTGCCACAAAGATGGAGTTCAAGTCAATTGAAAGGAGGCGATTGTTAAAGGGAAGATTGATGCTGAAATAGATATTTGGTAAGTATGATGGGAGTGGTTCCTGGCATACTCCATCGCATCTTTATAATTCAAGGGCATAACGTTAAGTCTTTGCGCATTTAGGCAGCTTAGATTGATCTCAATCTTGACAGACTGACTCATGATTCCGAGGGAATTATTTCCGGTCATCGCTTAGAAGGTATATCGTTAAGCGAGAGAATACGACATCGTAACTCCTTAGTAACTAATGCTTAGACGCTTTCTCGTCATGCGAGGCTTCGGATTGGTGGGTTGAGTGCTTATGGCCACTGCAAGTCTTGTTCCGCACACGAGCATAACGTTATGCTCGCGCCACGATAATTTAGCCAACATAACACCTGGCTAGGTCTCAGTGAATACGAAAAATGTCATTGATTGTTAATATTTCTGGGCGATTTTCACGAACTTAATGAATTTACCTGCATAACGCATTTGTTCGAGGATCAAGTATATATAGTGCTTGACACTCCCTAAACATTCCATGATCTCACCATCAACAACCCAACACTTCCAAACAGCAACAACATAAAGTAGCTCTTTCCAAGCTAATAACCTTATCATTTATCCATTTCACTTATCAACAACAGACAAAATGCCTCGCTACACTTCTCCTGTGGACGGCGCGCAACTGTACTATCGCGACTACAAACCTATCCGCACCGAGAACTCCGAACAAGCGAGCACCAAGCCCGCCCTAGTCTTCCTTCATGGCTGGCCATATTCCTCATTGACATGGGAGACTCTTACTGTACAACTATGTGTGAACCACGGCTTCCGATGCATTGCCCCGGATCGCCGTGGATTCGGTAAGAGTGACTGGGACGGCCCTCAGAGTGATGCCCAGATCACATACGAGACCTTTGCCCAGGACACCGTGCACTTGCTGGAGAAATTCCTTGGCGTTGGGCCTTTTGTGTTTATCACCGCTAGTATGGGGGCTGGGGAGAGTATTCTCGCGCTTGAAGCGAGTGAGTATCTCAGGAAGAATTGCAAGGTATGTACACTACCGCACCCTTTTTCGCATACTATTCTGTAATTAGCTCGAAACCTTACTAACTGATTACAGGGACTAGTATGGGTTGCTCCAGCCCTTCCAGGCAAATTGCCAGGAGAAGACAACCGCACCACGGGACCGAAAGCAGTCTGGGATGATATCTGCGCTGGTTTCCAAAAGGCCCGAGCTGACTTTGTCCATGCTGCTCTCCCAGGAGTTGTAGTGGGCACTTCGGGGGTCACTCTCTCTCCCGAGGTTTTGAGAGAAAATGAGAGGATTGTTGAAGACGCCGATGGGCTGGCTATTCAGCGCTGTGCTCACATTGTCCGAGAGGCCGATTTCAATGAGAAGCTCGTGCGACTTGGAGAGGACTCCAATGTTCCTATTCTTTGCCTTCATGGGGACTGTGATCAGGGCGCTCCATTTGAGAAGAGCACAAAGATTGTCAAGGAGATCATCCCGAGAGTTCAGGTGGAGCTTTATGAAAAGGCGGCACATGGTGAGAATTTCCATCTATTCTACTCTCTTTTGCTCATGACGAGTTCTAATCTTGAGTTTAGCTCTCAATGTCACGCACGCCGATAGAGTGCTTGAGGATGTTCTGAAATTCGTCCAGGCTTAATACAGGATACTCGATTTGCGCTCACTAATGCTTTCAATCGTTCATATTTCTGATGGAATGTATTTGGATATATGCATAGTTCACTAATGTATTTCTTGTTTTGCATTTACTAATTTACTTGGTCACAATGAAAGATGTCGATGCTTCCTCGATTAATGTTTGTAACAACGTTTATCTTCAACCTCCGTCTTTTCTTATCACAATCTCATATATCAAGTTCCTTGTCTGCCAGATATAGTATCGATTAAAAGATTGTAACAGCTACTAAAAGCTCTATCAATATTGTGGTGTTATTAGAAGGAAAGGTCATAGCAGAGAGAAAATGGGGATGATCTATCAACTTTTGACCGAACTCTGATCACGCGTCAATCAAATAACGGCCCTGAAAGTGAGAGAATTGAATGAATTCAGTCCCTCTCACACCAAATTTGGGATGATAGTAGAACAATATTATCCCCTTCAAACGTTGGCCGTTGGGAACTCAAAAGTCTCCTCGGGATCAAGAGCCTGGGTGGCCTTGTCAAGGGAGGCGTAAATAGCGGAGTTGTCAATCTTAATAGTGGAGACGCAAAAGGGCAGCGCCCTACTCGCGACGCGGTCGAGGAAAGCCTGTATAGAAATGTAGCCTTAGATTACGTGGTAAGGGAATGAAGGGCAGATAAAGAACGTACAGCAACGTTGTCCTTGTTCTTAGCGATAATTTCGCGCAGGGTCTTGCGCTGGGCCTTGTTGAAGGAGACAACGTTGTCAACAAAGGCGTTATTCGCCTCGATACTGCTCAGAGCAAACTAGATTTGGTGAACAATAGTCAGTTTCCATGTTCGGTAGATAATGTTCTCGCTAGAAAAGATGGCATCTGGGTGTGTAAATTTTCCGTCTTACCCCGTGGAAGGCCTGACAAAGAACCATTTGAACACAATCAACTGGTACCTCGTCGATCTGCATCATGTCCATCATTTCCAAATCCTTGGCCTCGGTGTTGGCAGTCGCGTTGTAGGAGGAAATAACATCCTGCGTTGAAGATTAGCTTTGACGTTCATATTTGCATGCGACATGAGATTCTTTAAAACCTTGGGCTTGGGCCTTTACGTACGTCGGCAGTGACAGCACCCGTGTGATGGTTGAGGTGGTTCAAGAGCAGAGTGGTCTGCTTCTGGCCGATATCAAGCCCGGCTATATTGTTTTGCAGGCCAATGGCGAGGCCAGAGGCGCTCGTAACAGCAAATAAGGAAGTACCCAGTGTCAGGGCCGCAGCCAGGATGATGTTCTTGAATTGCATCTTGTTTGAGGTAATGACCGTAGAAGGTGGGCTGTAATGAACGTACTTCGTAGACCAAGTCTAGTGATCAAGGCAACGAGGGTTGACAAGACGTGCAACAGTTATCGGACATGAGGTTCTTTTATTGTTGACCTTTCATAATGACAAATTATTTCTCTTTGACTGTGTTCTTATTCTGGAACCAAAAGTACCGTTTACATCTGGATTCATCGAAATGAGGGGTTTCTTTTCACAGCGACAAGGCTTCAAGGTGCGGTGCACTACTGCACCTGGCACGAAACTAGTGACCGAGAAACGATGGGATTTGACCTTGTTGTCTCGTGGAGCCAAGAAATGCCAAGTTAGTGAGACCATGATCTACGAAGTTCTAGGTGGGGAATAGAATAGTTGCACGGGGATCTTGATGTCGGGCGGTGATTATCGACCGGCGTGGAGGCCTAAAATTGAGACAGTGGGGACTTTAAGATCTTAGCTGCCGACGAACCCGAGAAGTAAATCAGGAACGGGGCAGCTGGTGGGCAGAGCAGGCCGATCATTTCTTTTCCGAGACTGTTTTGAATACTAACTCAAATAGCCTTGCTTGATGGGGTTTGGCCTCTGCTCGCGGAGGACAGAGCACATAACGTGCTGTGGGATTTAGATGCTCTTTTTTTGATAGAATTCTCCTTTAGTTTAAAGATGGTATATTATCATGAGATGCAGGCTCATTAACAAAAGAAAAGGCGGAATGAATTCAATGGATAGGATTTCCAATTGACGACAGATGGAGCCCTGTAGCTACTGATCCGCTATCTACTCAGGGGGTAATTTGATAAATCAACCAGAAAAACAAAGGCTTCCAAGGTGCGATGGTACTAAATTATGCAGAAAGGCAACCCTGTGGTGGGAATAGTACTGCAAGGCCTGTAACAAATCTCGTTTTTCGTTCAAAAGAACTCTATTCATATCAAACTTTTGCGTGTATCTGATCCGCGATCATCAAGACGTGGGCTATCGAGAGGTTCATTGTTTCAAAATGATTCGATTTGAGCGTGTAGTCACTCACGAAATGCCAATCTAATGCAGAAACACTACATGATGACTTGAATAAACATCTCACTCAAAATCAAGAAATCGGACTCTTACAACTCTGTAGGGTATAATCACCATATCCTCCAGGCACGATGCCGATCGCCATCTTATCTCGTTGATGGATCATGTCCGGTCTATTTCAGAAATGATCTTCAAGAGCAATATTCCTTGGCGATGAGCCGATTCAAATCCCGATCGAGGCCCATCTATTTGATCTATCTGATCAGGTACACCGAAACAAGCAATTTCTTTTTGTGATGCAGACAGTCGAAAGACAGATTCCTCTTGTTATTCATTGATGATAGAAACGAATAGAAATCGTCCTCGGTTGTACAATGATTCCTGCTTATGGCCATGCCACATAATATCTTAGAGCATCATTTGGAATTTGGTGGATAGACCTTTCAGAGCACCACAGAGAATTTGGGAAATCATAACATAACGAGGTATATAGTTATTCATCCAGAAGTCAATCTTCTTTCGGACGACAACAATAGAAAGAATCCGGCTTCAAGTCTGGCAGCCGTTGACCAGCCGTGCCCGCACGACGTATCCCGTCCTTAAAATATCCTTTATCACCCCAGAAAAGACTATCATGATCCCAATCATCCACAAGCTGCGTCACTCGCTCAAAATTGCCGTATGATGCAGGAAGGCTACCCCTGGGCTTGTTTCTCAACATGTACTCTGACCCAAGTGCCAAGAGAATGAACAAAACCATCAGAGCAATTATCGGCAACAGCGCAATGTTGAACGAGACATCCGCAGTGAGCGCATACCCAAAGACCCACTGTATGATCGCCTTCATCGCCAACATGATCAGTGTCTGCCAGCTGAAATTCGACTTCATAGACGGGTCAGCATCCACGCCGACTGTTTCCAACTCGCGCCATGCCGCTTCATCACGCGAGAGATCGAATATAAGCTCCACGCAATGCAGCGCAAACGTAAGAAAAGACTGCGCTATGATTTGAATGATCAATCCAAGCCAGTAAGGGGGAAATTTGGTGATTCTCTTATAATCCCAGTACATGGCTCCATAGAACCTCCAGTATCCTTCTGCGCCGCTAGAAAAATCACCAAAATTCTCCGCCATATAGCCGCTGGTGACAGTGACGATCCCTTGTATTATGGACCAAACTGTGAAGAGCGCACAGAATCCCCAGATTAGGCGTCGTGCAATTTGAACATGTGGCGCTATACTGAGCATTGAGTCTTGTACCTCCTGGGATGAGAAGGTAAACTCTGGAAATTTATCCTCAAACAAAACATCGTTCTCCTCTCTGCCATCAAGCCACGCCCTGGCATTTGATATAAGGGTGTTGTTCCAAGTCTTCGCTTCACTGCTGCATAATAAGCTGTAAGTTGACACGCCGACCTGTAAAAACACTCCTATGCCCAGGGCGAATATTGCTAGGCCATTGATGTCGATGATATCGGATGATTCTGATGGGCCGTACTCTACCTCTTGGGTCCGTTGGTCCCATTGTCCAACAATAACCACGTCTGTGAGAGCGGCTGAAGTAGCTCCGTATGAAATAGCCAAACCAAGAAGGGAAACCGAGTTCATATACCAGCTATTGGGTCCATGTGCATGAGCGCTGGTAAAAAGTCGCACATTCGAGTTGAATTTTAAGCGGCCTTCTCTGAGAAGAGCCCATTTAAGAGTCATGGCGTGAATGTAATTCGTGGTGTCCAGGACAATGGTCACGAGAAAGTTCAGGAGTAGTTGTACCAGTACGGAGGTCCCCTGATGCAGTTGTATTATGCGATGATTGTGAGGATAGGGCTTCCCGGGCCTCATAGTATGTAAGAAGAAATTGACCATGATCACTTTCATTCGCACGTATGATGGCATGGGGAAGTGGTCTGAGCTGAGCATTATCGCTCCTGCAATGAGACACAAGGACGCAAAAACCCATCCAAATGCCAGCCCGGCTATGCAGAAGTTACGGGTCGTCAGATCTGGGTTCGCTTTGACATGATGCGACTGGCAGACTGCGCGAGTTTCGACGGATACTCGGATCTTGTTGGAGGTCATTGAGTAGAAAAAGACTTGGAATCCACTTCAAGCTTGAGGGTCCTATAAGAACTTATACCATTATTCTGTCCATGGTTTTATGAAAACTCACTCAGGCTTCTTAAATGGAAGGCTCTTGAGTCCTGTACTTCTCACGGCGGACACAGATAGTAATTGGGACTTCAATCATGTACCCTTCCTCCAATCTCCCTATGGACGACATGGCCATGTTATATTCTGAATACATAGTGGCAGTGCCAGTAAGGAGAAAGAGGAGTTGAGGGGTCTTTTGCCATTTGCTGCAGCCAAGATGGAGAAGGAATGTCGGGTCTCTCATCTCAGCATGCCTCGTGTTCGGCTTAGTAAATCCGTTTCCCTTACAAGGCTCACAGGAATTTAAGGCAGCCAGTGTAAGCATGCTTGTTTGGCATTGATAGCGGGAGGTGGGACGTTCAGAAGAAGAAGAAGAATGCTAGCCTTTCTCTATCACGGCAAAGGTCAAATGGTCGAGACAAGTTACATAGAATGCAATATCCTTCGAGATAACCACCAGTCTGAAAATGCTTGACGCTTCCAGCAGTTTAAACTTACCAGATCATTCATATTTCCCACTTCTATAAGAAAAAATCACTTTTCAAGTAACCCTGACGCTAAACAGGGTATGCAAGCATGCATTGGGTTTTCTTTCTCCTCGCCCATCTTCCATGGAGCCATGCGCGGGCGGTAGATATCACTCATCTGCCAGCGACTCCAAATTCGTCCGATTCTTATAATACTACAACGGATTTTGCCTGCAACTGCCTTCCAGCTGAAGACTGTCCGAAAAATTGCATGTGTTGCTTGGATACCGTGGAATATGATCGATTCCTTTTATATGGAGGTACTTTTGTCAAGGTCTTTGTCGTCGCACCTAAGCTAGAATTGAAGAGGCTAACAATTGACCAGACTCACGGATTACTGTGGACGATTGATTTAACCATTCGTGAATGCCAGCAGAGAACTAGAACAACTCAGCAGCTTTGACCTTGTTTTCTTGTGAATACCTTTACAGCACGCTATACTTTTTAATGATACTTCAAGAGATTACCGGAGTGTCAGGGATTTCAAAATGTCTTTTGAGGAAAAGTTGCAATTCGAATATCCGCTCACTGAGGACGATATACATAACCAAAATTGAAAAATTACATGCTACAAGTGAATCAAAAAGCTAGCCATCGCCAATATCCTTAAACCAAGACACTCGACCCATCACTCTTCTTGCAGCCACAAGTCCCCGTCCCAGCCGCGATCTGTGTCGGCGTCCGCGAATAGCTGGGAGGGACATCAAGAACGGGGTTGCGATCAAAGAAGTTACGAGGACGGAGGAGCAAAGTCATAGGCTCAGCCGGCATAATGGGATAGTCCTCCGGCGAGGGGAAGTGAGTAAGGCCGAATGTGTGCCAGAGGACAATGTCGGTATTGTCGATTGAGCAGTCGGAGCCTGCGGATTCAATCCACGCTGGCAGACCTTGCGAAGGTTCGCCGGAAGTTTGGGGAACGTGGCGGCCCGCGGGGTGAATTTCTTCGTCGGAGTCTGGAATGTTGTTAGCTATTTCTCAACATGGAGCAAGGGGGCTAGGAAACTGCATACATTTAGTGACGTGAACCGCGTGACGCGCGAAACCAGCTCGCTTCCAGACCAGACCGCCCTCCTTGGGGAGGAGTGGAGGGACGTCACGGCTGACGAGCTTGTATGAGACGGGCTTCTTGCTGTATGGGTTGAGCTTGTTGGTGTTGGACATGTCCCAGGTACGGCTTGTGGAACCGTCATAGTCGGTCATAGCCTCGCGAGGGGTGTTGAACTTGGTCTTCTTCGCGTAGAAGGCATTGCCGTACTTGTTCTCGGCACTGCCAACTTCACCTGGTCCACGGACAGCATCTACCACGAAGGCCGTGTTATTGGGACCATCGATATTAGGATCCACGCGCAAGCAGAAGAGATGCTGGTGGTTGTGCGCGTTCACACCGGGGTACACCTCAGTGCCCCAGCCCTTCGTGTCTTCACCTGGGTTCATGGCGTACGTGTTGAGAATACCGGTCAGCTTGATCTCCAGCTGAACGGTACCATCCTGGTGGAAGATCCAGTAAACGCAATATTCGTAGTTGGCAGCTGTGAAGATGTGCGAGATAATGAGCTTGCGACCGCGAGTCACCACGATTGATTCGTCGCGGAAATCGGTGTGCTTGAATAGAATACCGGCATCTTCTTCGTGAATACAGATGGCGTTCTTGATTATTGTGGAGGCACCGGCTCGGTTGACGAATGAAGCATCCATATAGTGAATGGCACCCTTGCAGTCACAGCCGAGGGCCAAGCTGTTGGTCATGTAACCACCGCCATACTCACCAAGATCGAAAGCATGCTTTCGCTGGTGAGGGTGCTCGGGGTTACCGTAAGGAACAACCATCTCTGCTAGCGAAAGACGCCAGAAGACGGGTCGAACATTGCCCTTATCATTGAATGTGATGTTGTTCAGGACAATACCTTCGCGGTAGTTGAAGCCGACGTGGATGCTCCAGTTCTGCCATTCGATAGTCCGTCCCTTGACCTCGAATGAAACACCATCAGGCTGTGTAATGTGAATTGGCTTGATATCCTTCCGGAAGCCGCCCTCCTTCTCAATGGAAGCGGGGTGATAGTTGTTAGGGGGAGCCTTGTTGATGGGTCGGCGCACGGGGGGTATATCAATGTGAATGATCTGCTTGGTCTCGGCGTTGTAAATGGGGCAGAAGTCGAGGGGATAGGTATATTGCGAGTCATCGGGATGGGGTCGGTAGTACATGAGGGCCTGTTGCAGACGCACGCCGCTGCCAAATCGCTCATCATATCCAATCGTCCAGGCTTAATGAATGGTAAGCTCAATGCCGCTGGATGATCAAGTTATGAATAGTTTGCACTTACGATCACAGTACACTTTGTGCATATCCTCTGCAGGAATACCGATGATACCACACTGCTCAATGACCTTGGGATCCTTGCGAACCACATGCTCGACTTCCTGCAGGTCCTCCATTGTAATCAAAGGCTGCACATCGGGGGTGTGCTTCCATTCGACGATCTTGTTATTCTCAAGGTTGACGATACCATCATACACCTTGCCGCCTGGTGCAATGGCAACCACATCGGCCTTTCGTACTGGGCGAGGAGCAGTCTCTGGGTTGGCCACCCAGGCCATCATCTCAGCCTTGCGCGGCTCATAGAGAGTCACGGCGTTGAAGTTGAGCGAGCCATGTTCCTTCCGGACAATAGATACAACGGCATCAATCTCTGCCGAAGAGAGAGGGTCAAAAGGATGCGGCGGTGCAGCTGTCGCAGTGACCTGATGGGCCAACTGCTGGAGTCGGTCAAGAACCATGCTTTTATGTGGTGTATGTCGAGCTCGTGGTTAGATATAGTTCGATAGGCGCTGTCGAAGTGGATAGGGCACGCGTAAGGAAGCACGGATATGCGAACAGCCACCAATATCTTGACGGATGATCCCAGTAAATGCTTGAACTGAAGACTGATTCAAGTACAATCTATGGGAAACCGCAGGTATTTAAATTTACCAACCCCTCCAATGCTGAGCTCCCCAGCTGTGTCGATTAGATAAGAGAGGGCCCTCTGCGGAGGCCGGATCCCTTTGCCTGTTTTGGTTTAGCGGATATAGTCTGAGCATCGAGCACTCGAAAGAGGCAATCCGATGCTTGCGAGCCGATAACACACTGACTCCTCACTGTCTCTTGCAAAGGTCACTCATGGCATTTGTAACGCGGGGCCAGCGGGATCGCATCCTGCCCCTCAATGCGGAAACAGTATACTTTGTGATATGATTCCAACAGTCAAGAATAATAGTAATAGCGTTCGGAGACGACGCTTCATCAGGTACACTCTACTCAGAAGAACATATGGCGCCGGGTTGAAATTCGGAAAGAAATTGAAGATTCCGCTGTACACACAAGACTCCCCAGTCCCCTCTACCTAGAAGCATAGAAAGCAATGAAATCATAGCAAAAAAGGCAAACGGAAGGCCCGGAAGCCCAAACGCCTCGGAGATGGATTCAGGTACCAGCCAGATCAACGCGCAAAAAGAAACAAAAAATGGATGATGAATAATAAAAAAATGTAAGGCAGAAAAGAAAAACACCGTACACCCTCCCGATACCCCGAAAAGAACACCTCCCCCAGGCGCACAGAAAGATCCCGACTCGAATGGCGAGGATCTATGCAAAAGCGACAGGCGAGAGAATACAAATGCCGAAGAGATCGAAAGAAAACCAGCACAGAGGCCTTGTGCTTATGTACATGCATCAAATCGTATCAACCAGTCCTCCCATTTTCTTCCACGTTGTTCGTATCTCATATTCTACCGACCAGGCGTTTGGTAGCCAGAGTGGTGCTGAGGTGTGTGGGAATTGTTAGGAGTGCTGGGCGTACCGGCGGCGGAATAGATGGTAGCACCGTTCAAGTTCGGCGTCTGCTGAGCCATGTGGTAGTTCATCGCCGGCATCTGTCCATTCAGACCCCAGATCTGACCCGAATACTTGCTTTCGTCGATCTTGCCATTGAAGACCAGCTGGCGCATCTTCCAATAGATCTCGCCGGTCACCAGGGAATCCGACCCGGCCTGGTGGGCGATACCGATACGCTTGACACCAAGCTCGTCCGCAATGTCCTGGAGACCCGATTTTTGGCCAAGATTGGCGAGGATCTGTGCCGCGGCTTGTGTGAGAGGGGAGTCGTTTACTGCTTGGTTGCGACCGGCGTGCTTCATGAGGTACTTGATATCGTAGAGGGACGGGAAAAAGATGGTGAGAAGTTTATGGAACTCCTCTTCGTTTTCGGGCAAGGGGGAGCAAAGCATGATCTTCATCAAGTAACCAAAGTCGTAGCCGGAATGGAATGAAACCCAATGCACATCATCAAGCAGCACGAGACCGGAACTGATCAACAATGAGCCAAATTCAAAGGGATCAATGCCGTTCTTGTCGTGCAGATTGAAGTCAATTCCGGACTTTGCCAGCATCGTTGTTGACTCCTGGGCATACATATCGCCGTCCAGTGAGAACCGGAAGTTGAATTGCCATGTACATGGTGCGGGTATCATAGCATTGCCGTATGGTTGGCCATTCGAGTCCGTAGCTGTGGCTGGCGGAACCTCCCCGTCTTCATTGAACAAAGTGATCCCAAGCTGAATCATCTTCAACAGATCGACATTGCATCGGAGGGTTTGGTAATGGTAGTCTGCCTTGTTCGTGAAAGAGCCGATCGGTCGCGCAACGATTCCTGGAAATTCGGTATCCTTTAATAAAAAATCACATAATCAGCCCACGCGTCTATGCAAATACAAAGGTATCGGTCTCTTCTGCGACGAATATCTACCCCGTAGAGTGGAAATAATCAGTGTTCAGCGCCTTACCATGCTGATATATGGGTATTTGTCCACTAGCTGTCTCAAAACGGCCATTTCGTGAGCCAAATTATGTTTCCATACGTCGCGTATCCGAGTTTTGACTGCGCCTGTTTTTGAGTCGAGAGCTAGCCGCCCATCGTGACCTTGACTTAGTTGCTGTTGCTGCATCTGTGCTCCTCGCGCAAACCCCATCTGTGCCGCATGGCTTGCAAGCCCAGTGCCACCGCCATCAGCACCGGCACCTCCGAAGCCAGCGACTGACATGCCATTTGCAACGCCAGCGCTAGACAGCGTGAACGGGTTCATATTGGTATTCGGGTTTCCGGCGAAACCAGGGTGGCCACCGAGCGAAGGGGGAGGTAGAGCGGTATTGGCTGATTGAGCGTGAGCGGGGTGTTGAGATTGAAGATGAGCCTGTTGAAGCGTATAGGGAGCGCCTAGGCCCTGAGGCCCGAATCTGCCGGGAGGAGGGGGCATTGTGGTGTAAGCTGAGGACTGCGCATGTGGAATTGGAGTGTTCAGTTTCGTCCCTCGAAAGGCGGGAGAGCTATCCACTTCCGTATCGGGTATAGCGCCCCTGCATTCTGCCAAGCGCACCGCTCCGGGCTTCACGTCCTTCGCTTTCTGAGGCTTCACTCGAGATTCCTTGTGCTCTGCTCCCGCCTCTCTTTCTCCTCTCATCTTCTTTTCACATTTGCGATCATGCCTGCCCGAAACCCCACCGGCTTTGATATCGCCCAATTCAAGGCTGCGGCCTCTCCCTCCTCGGTCTACGCTAAGCGGGATCCCTGGGCTCGCAAGTACGCTCTCGATTACCCAATCACCTAAGCTGGAATTGAGACTCATTCTAACTTCTGTCTTAGTGAGACCTGGCGCTACACTGGCCCCTTCACCCGGTGGAACCGCTTCAAGGGCCTCTTCCCTGGCCTGGGCATTGCAACCGTCGCTTTCACTGCCTACTGCGCATACGAGCACTTGTTCCTGAAGGACGAGCACCACCACGGCGAGGGCCACCACTAGATGTGGATTTGCATGAGGAGGAGTAGATGAGATATCTGCCGGCCGACGGACAATCGAATGGAGAATGAATACCCCAACCGACGAGACCGAGTCGTCTTATCCCAGCACGAGTCATAGAATCGGGTCATTGCGATGGTGGCAGTGGTGGCTTCGTCACCCGGAGCAGCGTTCGCTTTATTAGGGCGGACCTGTCATCTCCTTTAAATGGGGAGTGTGGCTTACAGACGGCGCTATGGGTTGATTTGTCGAGTGTAAATAGTGCATGTTCAATTACTACAACAAGTCCTTTTTTTTTTGTTTCCACCAACACTGCCGTCTTTCAGGAGCTACATACAATTGGTGTCGAACTGCTTTGATTGAACAGGCCGAATGATTGACTTTTCATTTCAGATGGGTTTGAAGGGCACCATACATATTGACCCCCAAATAGTCCCCCTCTATGGCTGGTGAAACATGATATCATAAATCTCCCAAATGTACATGGGCAACAAAACGCTCTATACGACCATTTCTCTATTCCTCCTCAAACACCAATGAGATGCCATCATCGCCAGCAGTGACAATGCGCTTCCCATCGAATCCTTGGACGAAACCCATAATACCACCGGCCTGTTCGCCTTCTTCGTTCTCAGAAGCACCCATATGTCCCCGCCACTCCTTCAACAGACCCTGAGCAGCGGCAGTGGTACCACCACGGGCATCCCATCGCCGGACAACGCCATCAAGTCCGACGGAGGTAAGTAGATACGACCGTCCTTGACCCGCGGCAGTAGCAGACGCGAGGGGACCAGGACGGGGAGCCGCAGTGGGCGCCCGGCTCGCCAAGAACTCAACCTTGACGACGGCAGCGCCTTCATGAGCTTCCCGGATGTGGCGGCGGACAGCGAAGCGATGAGCAGCATCGTACAACGCAATGGAGCCATCAACTGAGCCAGCGGCAAGAAGAGTAAGCGGGGGTTGCGAGAAGGAAAGAGTCTCGATGCCATCAGATTGCGCCTGAAGATCGGCAAGGATAGTACCAGCCGCAGAAGTAGTAGCTGACTGGGCACCCTTACCCTTGGCAGCCTGAGGGCCACCGGAGAGTCGAGGAAGACCAACAACCTTGATGTGACCCTCGGCACCACCCACGGCCACGATACCGCCGCCAGGAGAGATGGCGATCGAGTACAAGCCTCCCTCCACGGCGAATCGCTGGTCCTCTGCAGTCAAACCGACAACGACGCTGGTACCGGGAGATCCATAGATACCAGCTGCTGCAGCGGCTCCGAAGACATCGTAAACATAGAGACTACCATCCTCAGAGACGGTGGCTAGCAGGTTACCATCCGCTGTCCATGCACCAGCAGTGCAGGACGCGGTATGCTGGAAGAAAGTCTGAACCATGGAAATGGGCTGCGAATCCGTAGCATCGATGCGGAACACCCAAGTACTGCCATCGTTGGCGCCAATGGCAATGACGTTGCGCTTCTCCTCATTACCCTGCTGAAAGGGGCAAACGGCAACCCAGTTGATCTCCTCCACCTCCTGGGCCTCGGCCACAAACTCCCAGGCTTCTCCCCGGTTCCTGGCCGAGGTATCCTTCCACACGCGAAGCTTGCCATCCAGACCCGCTGTCACGGCATATTCACCCGCGGGCTCGGTGAAAGCCACCGCGTTAATGGTATCAGTGTGTCCATCCAACTTGGCCAGGGTAGCCTGCGACTCGCGCTCGCGCGGTTGAGGGTTCGATTCATAGCTCCGGGGGAGGACGGGCTTCTCGGGGGGTGTGGAGTCAAATATGTAGGCGACGTCGTCACCAGCGCCGGTTAGAACGATGTTGTTGTGCACTGGGTGCTGTGCAACGCAGAAGATCGAGTCATTATGGGCGTCGAAGTGTGCTGAGGAGTCGTTTTGGAAGGTGAGCTCCTCCTCGTAGGTCATAGGCTGGTCCTCGTCTTCGCCTTCGGAGTCCATCGGGTGATCCTCATCACGGTTGAAAACCTCCTCTGCCTCATCAGCACCCACATATGCGTCCTCTTCGCCCTCACGGCGGGGATCTTGAGACGACATATTGAAGATTGGGTGTAAAGCTTTCGTATATGCTGGGGGGTGGTGAAAAATTTAGGCTCCAATCTGGGGACGTTTCGGGTCTAGTTGCAGGCCCAAAAGCGGCAAATTCTTGAGTTCAAAAGAAATCAAGGGCACTACGGCTGGGTATCTCTGATTTATCGTAAATGGTGGCGGAATGGATGAGCTGAAGCTGATTCTTTTTTTTTCCGTCCACCTCCCCCGCTTAGAAATCCGCATCCCCGCAGGCAGCAAACAATGCAAACATCTTATCTCTTATCGTCAACTCTTTATCAGTATCAAAAAGAAGTCGCATCTAATTATATGCTGAACACAACAGACAAGAGTATCGTCAACTCGATCTATATCTACTGTCAGACCTTACCAATATTTGCACACTTCGATCATTCCGTCTTTCATCCACCCTTCTGAAATCGTTGCATCGCCATCAAAACCATGGTCACCGTCGTACCCCTCAAACCGAACATTTACATCCGGCCTCTGCGCACGAAGCTCCTCGACAAACCGTTCACTTCCATAGAACGGCACAGCCGTATCTTGCCTCCCGTGGAAAATCCAAACGAACGGCGGCAGCTTCTTTGCGCGGGAAATATTCTCAACCGGAAACACCTCCGACTGCCGGCCGAGATAATCCAGGAATCTACCATTCTGAACGATCCGGACTGCTAGGTCATTTCGGGTCTGCTCTGTTCCTTTTTCCAGAGCTTCGTCAGCTGTGACGATAGGTCCCTGTGGTAGGTCTCGGAGATGCTGCTCAACCTTGTCGAATGGTAGCTGTGGGTGTAAGATTAGCTTTGCTCCTCGGGTCCGCATGCTGGATGCTCACTTACAAGGCTTTCGCCGAACATCGGCTTCTCATATCTCTCGTCCCAGTATCGATCGCGGAGATGGACCATCGGGTAGACTAATATCGCAGCCGAGATGTTGATGCCTGGGTGGAGTAGCATGCTTTGGGCGGCGAGATAGCCGCCAGCACTTTCGCCTTCGACAAGGACCTTGTCCAGGTCGGGCTTGATGGTAGAAGATGGATAAGCACTTGAAAGGCTTGATTCGAAATTATGTTGCATCCAGGACCAAAAGTCATTCAGGTCAGAGAGAATGTCGAGCCCATTGGCCTCGGGCAATAGCCGGTAGTCTGGTGTGACCAGGATCGCTTGCCGAGAGATGGCTAGCTCAAGGATCCTGCTGATGTATCAGTTACTGCTCCAGCAGTAATTTGCGCCAGGGAAAGACAAAGTCTACTGACCAGTCGGGGAACCAGTCGGAGTAAAGGCGAGTGCCTCCCACCAAGAAGCCTCCATGAAATCGAGCAATGACGGGTCTCTTTCCATGCGAGTCATTTGCGTCCGACACTAGAGTCTTTGGAACGAGGATCGACAATGAAATATCGTGGTCACCGACAGTCTTATAGACAGCATCGTGGATCTCGAAGTCTTTGAAAAAGTTAGGATCGCTCGGAGGATTTGCCATACTGCTTGTGTCGTGCCTGCGGAAAGGCTAGATGGTTTGATAGAGGCACTGATCTTGCAGCTGAATGGCTGGGCTACTCAAGCCCTGCAAATCAATACCAAATACGGGCCAATGTCTTTAACGATTTGCTAAGGGTTCGAAATGCTGGCCTCCTGGCAGTTAAGCTATGCGGGGTCAGCGGGGTTTGTGCCGTACCAAACTCGGCTTAGTACTCCTGCATGGTAGTCTTGTGCAACAACTACAAATACTGAGAATATCCTATCGTAGAAGGTAAATTGCCATATCTGAGGAGATACATGTTTATGAAACCCAAGAGCTCATCAGGTTAAGCAGCTCCCGACAGAACGGGGTACTTTCTCGCCTTAAGTAATTAGTGGCTCGTACGAATCAGTTCTCGCATAGAATCCTTGGATCACTTTGCAGGCTTCACTGCCATCGGTCTGTGGAATAGATTTCCAGGCAGTCTCATGGAAAGACCCGGTCAATCTTAGAAGAATCAGGATATACTTCTATGCACTATACAACAACTAAATATCCCAAACATTGGAATCAACCATGTACTCTCGCTTGAAGTGGCATCACGAATCAAAGTATCTGCACAAATGGACGCAAAAAAACCCCCCGAAATCCTAACTCTACAACTTCCACACTGGATTCTCCCGCCTCAGATCTTAGCGCCAGCCTTCCTCCTAGCCTCCTTCTCCTGGTCGCGCAGAAGACGACGCAAGATTTTTCCACTGGGACTCTTAGGAACCACATCAATGAAGCGCACACCGCCCTTCAACCACTTGTGCCGGGCCTTGTGATCTTGGACGTGTTTCTTGATCGCTTCGGCGGCGGCTTCATCGGAGCCGGCGGAGGCAGACTTGACAACGATGGCCTTGGGGACTTCTCCGGCTGCGTCGTCGGGGATGGCGATGACGGCGCAGTCTGCGACGGCAGGGTGGGCGAGGAGGTGTGCCTCGAGCTCGGCGGGTGCTACTTGAAGACCCTGTTTGTGGGTGGAATTAGCTAGGGGTGCAACTTCTGGTTCTGGGACTGGGGCCACAAACCTTAACCTTGATCAACTCCTTGATGCGGTCGACGATGAAGATATGTTCTGTGCCCTTGGGTCCCTTGCGAACGACTGCCTCGTCACCGGTGCGCATCCAGCCGTCCTCGAACGTCTCCTTGTTGGCCTTATCGTTGTTGAGATATCCTAGCACCACGCTGGGGCTGCGCACCACCAATTCGCCAGGGGTATCGTAGGCGGTAATCTCTTGGCCCTCGGGAGACATGATGCGGGCCTCGAAGCCGGGGATCAAACAGCCAGAGGAGCCGAGTACGATATCATCAAAGTATGTGGAGCTGACAACGGTACACGTCTCGGTGAGACCTGTGCATTGAGTGTGAGTATTCTTGATCTAGTTTGATGGCCGTTGGGTCTTACCGTATCCTTGGCGAATGAGAACATTGGGGTAGACCTTCTGGAAGTCGGCCGCAGTCTCCATACCCAATGGAGCAGCTCCCGAGAAAAGTGTCTGCACTGAGCTGAGATCATACTTCGAACAGACATCCTGGCTGCGGAGCATGTTGATGATAATTGGAGGAACCTTCAATTGATTAGCTATCGCCCACAATTGGAGACATGAGAAGACAAACCAGGAAGAGACTTTTGATCTTGAAGTTCTGGATCGATGCGAGGTATGAGTTGAGCTCAAACTTGGGCAGGACAATAATCTGATCTCCACGGTAGGGACCAGCGTGGCACATGACAACCAAGGCGTAAATGTGACTCTGTGGGAGCAGTCCGAGGCTGACATCGGAGTTCACAAACTTTTCGTCTTTGGGTTGCCTTGCGTCACGGTGGCTCTTTTCGAATGCTGTGATCTGAAGCGAGTTTGCGATGACATTCCGATGGGAGATCATCACACCTTTCTAGATGCAGCATTAGCATAATGCCAGCGGTCAATCGCAAAGGGATACGATCGAGTCACGTACCGGCAGACCAGAAGTTCCACTGGAATAGCATAGGAATGCAGTGCGTCGAGCTCCCTCTCCAGGTCCCCACTTCAACGGCTCCAGTGCTGGAAGCGACTGGCCGGCATTGGCCAGCTGGCAGACCGACTTGAACTCGGTCGGGACCTTTGCACCTCCGAGAATTGGTTCAGGCACATCAATCAAGTAAATCTTGCTCCTGGGCAACCCAGCCTGAGATGCGGCGTCCAATGCGACCGACAGAAGCGGAACACAAGTGAAAAGAGCCTTTGCGCCAGAGTCCAAAATCTGGTGCTTCAGCTCAGCGGCCGAGTATGCTGCATTGGCGGGTGAAATGACACCTCCCAGTCGGTGTACAGCCCAGAAGAAGGGCAGCGATTCAATCTACCGAGCCAAGATTAGTTGACTACATCCTCCCTTGGGTACACGAATGCTTTTCCACGTACTGTGTTCACACTGAAGACTGCCAGAGTCTTGTCGAATTCCGTACCCTGGTTGGGCGACCACCCAAACTCCTTCGCGAGGGCTCGCGCAATGTGATCAACCATGTCCACGACCTCACGCGACGAGTACGTCTTGCCTGTCAGGCCGCATGTGAAGGGGTCCCTCGATTCCGCGTGTGGCACTCGTCCATACTTCTCGTTCAGCATGAACTCGGGGATCGGAAGGTCGTCTGGGACATGTGGCAGCGAACCGAATCGCTGGTCAGGTAGGAAGACCATGGTGACTGGGTTATGATTGTAGCTCGACGATGGCGTCACTCAATTGGGGAATGATCTATGAAGGGGAGGACAACTGCAAAGGCAATTGCGACCAGTAGGTTCGAAATAACACTTGGTCTAGACAATGACAGCTTGTCCGGTAGGATATACACCGAATAAAAGAGTTGGAAAGAAAAGGTTCCAGTGACGAGAGAGAGATCTTTAGAAAATAAACACAGACGAGGAATCCGGGGAATTCGCCGTGCGGGGAAGTCGGCCAAGCAGCGACCTTGGCAACATGGCCTCAAGCTCGAGCCTTCTCATTAATAGAGTCGTCCAAAGCCGAAAAGGGGTAGCCGAGGGTCCGATGAACGGACATTTTGGAGACCCGTGGACCCCGGGCTTTTGATAGGCCTGTTCTGTTGGCCTGGTGGTGGTTCTCAACCAGCTTGGACGTCGCTGCAGCGAAGGTCCTCCGTCGTGTGGGCCCTGACGCTAATCGCGCCCAGTGGGATGGGTTTGGGGTGGAGCACGGGTAGTTTTGCCTCGGATGTGCAATGGCCGAGGGTGTTGAGGGCCCTGGAAACTGCAGTTTGGCGGCTCCGACAAGTATGCATGGAAGAACAAAGACGACAAGGATAGACCTTGCGGATCTTCGAGCTTACCCAATCGCTCTTAGTCTTGATAGCTGATGCACCCTTTCTTTGGCTACAGTCATTCTCGAAATCGCCCTGACCAATATACACCGAGAAACTCTTTCCTGGCCCCACCGCCAGGACCTTAGCGTAAATCATTTATTGAGCGGGCCGCATTAAACTGAGGGCTCAGTAAAATGCGCCTTATCTGTTACAGTAAGATGTGACGTGAGATTACATTACGCGTATAAAAAGAAAATCCATGGAATTCTATAGTAGATCTCTGCAAATTATGTGGGGAACGGGTGAATTTGAACTATCGCGTGTTCCACCTTATTTACGAAATTCACAGGTGAATTTATGATTGACTTAAAACAACCTTTTGTCAAATATAGTAATGGGACAGTCAGTGACTGATTGCCAAGCGCTTACCCAAGTTCTGAGGTGGGGGTATAGAAGTGCCACGCGTGATACACTTATGTATCAAACTGGCTATACTTCCCGATCCTAGATCCCTAGAGTAGCGCACGCAACGAAGTTACCCCAGAACTAAGCTTTACGCGTGCAGAATCGACTGACCCGTCGGGCCAATACAGATAATACGCCCGTAAAGAGAATCACTAACCTCATGCAGATTCGAACAATCCTCATTCACCTAAGGGTTATACTCTTGAATTGCCGAGAGTCGCAGCCACGGTTTCAGCTCCAACTCCTGCTCGATTGAGTCGCACGTATCCCTATCCTTCAGGGTATAAGTCTCACACCCAAACGGGATACAAAGTCTCGTACACTCGGGAATAGCGAAACAGTCGATAGTCGGCCAGTTCACCGCTCGAACAGCTGCCGAGGACACCTTGAACTGCGCTGCGATGCTGTTGTATGTGTCCCCCGCTGTAGTGGTGTATGAAAGAAGGGTCGCGCAGTACGGGTCCCGCTCTATGTGTGGGGTTTCGGAGAGTATGAGGTTCGGGATGGCTGTTGGAAGGGTGAGGTTGCAGGCGCTGTTGATGTGTTCGAGGTTCGATTTGTAGTTTTTGTCGTAGAGGGAGTAGGGGGACGTTTGCATTATTTGGTACCATTGCACGTTGCAGAAGGAGCAGAGTTCTTTGATCGGCATCTCATCGATAAAAGAGGTGGTGAAGTCGTCGATAACATCTGTACTTATAATATAAGTACTCTGCGTATTCTGTAAGCACTAGGCCTATACTATTCGCGACGGATAGAGAAAGGAAGAACCTACCACCACAATATCTCTCTGTTTCCTCACTCCTAAGACAAGTCTCATTCTACCCCGCCTATAACTGCCCACCCCGCTGGGCCGGAAAGAGGATTCTCTCCTCTAACGTCGCGCAATCGCGCTCGACGCCCTTAAACCACGCGGCGATAGACTCCCCACAGCCGCTATCATAGACAAGATCGCTGAGCGCGTCGCTTCCTAGACCTAGAACCCGCCTCCGACGCCTATGCTGCCGCTGCAGGGATCGCGTCTTCTTGTGACAGCGAACCCTCTGTGTTATGGATGCCCTGCATCCCGGGCTGACCTTTGAGAGCAATTTGGCGTCTAATTTGTCAGTTTCGCTCCATATTTGGAAGCCGCGGAAATCAGGCGGGGAATTTGTTTCATTCACGTTGGAAGTTCCCAGTGAGTGCTGGTCTTGATAGGGATAGTGAACGGTGAGCTCGGGCTGCCTAGCTATTTGGGCAACCGTAGCACCGCATAGGATTGAAGCAGATAGGATATCAGCGCCTCTTATCTTAAGGCGACAACTGTGAGCGAATGCAGCATTCGGTCTTCGTTATCGATTAATATGATATCATTCTCTTGGACTGGGAGATCAAGTTCCTCGTGTCAATCAACCAGGGATTGGAGGATTTTTATTAGCCTCAACTCGAGTCCTACAACTGTATATATATATTGGAAGGGAGCGAATGGCAGCATCGCTTTGCGCGCGCCGAGCCAACGATCTTAAGCGAGATGAAAATTCCACATTTCCCTGGTCAATGCGCGATGATTTGCCCCGAAGCTGATAGCTCGCCACCAAGCCAATAGCTCTCTGAATCAAGGTTGGACTATAGTGGTCTATACCAGCTACTCCGCGAAGTACCTTTTCCGCTACCTCGAACCCCAGGTCGGCGGGGGGTCAAGTTACAAAGGGTCCATGGAATTCTATGGCTGGCGTGAAGGAAACACAGTGTGTAATCTTACGTGGCCATACAAGACGCATTTTCCTGCAGCCCTCAAATTAATACGAGCCGCTCAATAAGGGATGTGCGCTAAGGCCTGGGCAGTGGGGCCAGAAAAGACTTTCTCAGTGTGTGTTGGTCAAGGCGATTTCGAGAATGACTGTACTTTGACCAAGACATGCACGAGTTCTATAGCATCCGATTCGCATACAAACTTGACTCGACCCTCCATTGCGATGCCTTTGAAAAGCTAGCAATACTGCGATCCAGATAAATCACCAATAATAATTGTACTGCGTCATGCACTGCTCCCTAATTATCGTTATTCTTTTCACAATACGCAGTAATTAAGGTGACCTTGGCATGCAGATCGTGCTTGATTTCACGGGTTCTCTTTAAGAAAGTCATAAACATGTCTTCATTAGGTGGTCTTGAACCGTAAAGAGAATATTCACTAGAAGCACTTGATCGGTATGAGGATATTCGATCATTCCGCCATCCCACTCTCCACGAAAAAACAAACGAATTTCAAATTCCCATTCGGGACTGAACCGAACCTAAAAGACGGCCTAGAACTCCCAGTAAATGCTAAAAGGAGTGCCGCAAACTCCGAAAAATGCTCTCTCGCGAGTCCGATTGTCATCACTGTCCATCGTAAATCTGATTGTCCTGGAGCGTGAAGGCGCCCTTCCGAAGGTCCTCTTCATCCCGGCTTTCGATGTACCGCGAAGTCAGTGCAAAGCGTAGCCCGTTGTCGGGGTGTACCGAATGCTGGGTATGTTAGTTAAATGCCTCTCCCCATTCATAGAAGGTCTGGGTACGACAAACCTCGTAGTACTTCTGCAGACCTGCCCCGTGCATCACGATCAGGTCACCATGCTGCAGCACAAGCGTCAGGAAACTCGGAGCATTCCCCTTCTTCTTGACGAGCAGGGCTTTGAGTTTCTCAATGTACTGCTTCTTAGTGATTTGACCTGCTTTGAATGCTTCCAGGAGAGGTCGCCGCTCTTCTTCTTCTAGACAACCTGGCAGAACGGGATCGTCCGTGGTAGGAATACCATTCTTGCTGATTCCCAAGTAGTATTTCGCTTTCATTCGAAGGAACATCCTGGACCGGGTTCCCAGGGAGAGTGTCGCAATTGTCGGGCCCAAACCACTTTCACCATCATCATGGAACTACGAATATCGGGTTAGATCAAGGCACAAATACCGTTCTGGGGAAACACCCGACTCACTCCAATCTTCATTTGCTCGAAATACCCAAGCGCAAGCAGCTCATTTGGCGGCTGGTACTGACCACCCACACGAGTGACAGCCTTCTCGGTCGCCCAGGACAGGCGGGTCAAAGCTGTGAGAATTTCTGCAGGAGCGTCGCTGAAAGCCTTAGAGTCGACGGAGACCACGTACTTGTAGGGAACACCCTGTACTCCAATCAGTAATTCACCTTGCAGCGTTGGACATGGGTGACTTACGTAGTTCACCGCAAAGTGACATGTGAGTGTACCAGGCACTATGAGATTTGTTAGTAAGGTTGTGACTAGAGTCCCATAAAAAACAGGAAAAAGAAATCAAAAATACCACGAGTGCAACATTGACGGTTACATGAATCAGAATCAGATGAATTGGACATGGTTTCCTCGGCTTTGTCTTTCTTACCTTGAGCCGATCCAAGTGGGTAGCGTCGAAGGCCAAGGTCCAACTTTTGAAGTTGGCTGAATAGATGATTTGGGCCATTTGGACGCTCATTGATGGCCGCGTTTGAAACAAAGTGCGTGATTGAGCCAACACCAGGCATTTCATACGTGCGGACTTCGTATGGCTTGAGTGAGTCCTTGTCGATGACCGGTTCGATGCTACACTGTGCTCGAGAATAGGGCTTGGGCCTTTCTAGAACTGTTTGCAGAGAAATCTCACGCATTTTCCTCACGACCTTGTAGCAACAGGTCTCTTGAGGTCCCTGTTTGACATCGTTTGAGCAATCCCAGGCATCCCAGGTGACGCGCTGGATGCACTTTCGGCAATGTGGACACACAATGCCTCTCCATTCCTCGCGATCGGCAAGTCCCTCTGATGGCTCGATGTTTCGGTCCACCAGGTCGGCCAAAGGGCCAGGGTTTAGAATGTCTGGACCTCTAGGATGGCGGTAGTTGAGGAAATGGGGATGGTATTCGAGATCCGTCGGCTCGTTATTTCCAAATTTCCAGAACCTGGGGCATGATCGGGTAAGACACATCCAGCCAGGTTTGCGGTAAACCTGTAGGCTGGATTCACCGCAATCCCGGCATACCCGCTCTGGAGGAGGACGGTTGACTTTGCGAGAAGGTAGAGGTTCGTCGGATCCCTGCTCTGTCCACCAGCCCTTGGTCGATAGGTCCAGCTTCTCGAACCGGATTCGGAATCCCGCATACTTGCCCATCTTTTCCATCCATACATTGGTGATGAGAAACCAGTCCATCACACAGTAGCGGTGCGGGATTTCGACCTTCAGAAGTTGATTCTTTGAACCTATATACATTTGGATCAGATTGGAATTCCATTTGAAGTGTAAAGAAGGACACAATCGCTTACCAATGACAAGTCCCACCGGCTTCTGCTCTCGATGACTGGCCATGACCGATTTGGCAATCACACTGTTTGGTGATTGATCATGTTTGAGATTGAGATTCCCGTTAAGATTATCTTTGAGGCAATCTCCACCACTGTATAGAGTCAGAAGTTTCTCGCATAGACGGAGCACACATCTCAAACTCACATGCGAGTAATGATGACTTCGTCGCTCATGAACGAGCGGTCACCATTGTCACCATCCACGAGGAAACCAGTGCACTTTGTATCTTTGTGAGCAGCTCCACCTTGCATACAGTGGAACCACTCAAGCGCGTCGTTGATCTGTTGGCGAGTCTGCAAAATCCATTAGCAAACCAAGCCTCCCCGGATGAGAACTAGATAGCATAAGGCTGAGGAAATTTAAACACACGTTGGCCCACACAGGTGGTTCTCCTCGGCGGGGTTTGAATTTATTGGTGGCCTGGGTCGGTTCATTTCCAGTCATTGCCTGTGCAGTCTCGGGTGACTGCTTTGGCTTCTTGCTTCGTTTACTTGCAATTGGCTCTATAACGGACTCGTAAGTAGATGATACATATATCGCAAAAAAGATTGTGAATCATACCTGTTTCTGGAGCCGACCGCTTAGATCCCTCAGTCGGAGGGAAGACGCCCACAAGAGTGAGCTCCATGCTGGGATCGAACTGCTGTCTCAGATAGGTCATTAGTCCCGAAAGTCACAGTGAATCGTGATGGCTGAGAGCAAGCTACTACTTGTCGTCAAGCAGTAACCGACCTGTATGTAATACCTGATACGAGTTGAAAACCAGTTGGGATTGTAATTGGTTTTGAGATGAGCGGATGGGAAGAAAGGGAGCCAATGAGTTTTGACAACAACGCGGGAAGTGGGTTAGGGGGTGGTAGCCGGAGTCCGTGCCCGGGTGGTGGCTCACGTGACTGGCCTTTACCGAGCTGCGGGCTTGTAGACCGCGTGCTTTACCGCCTTCAGGGGATGGTGTACTGCCGGTGCTAGCAATACCGAAGTATATGCTGCGACATAGACCATCTCCTATATTGATGTTGTCCTTCGCTGTTCTTGATGCTGAGATGATTCATAATAGTATGCGATCTCAAGATCCATTTAATTGTCAATTTGTCAGTATCTAGTAAGTATACCAATATGTGGATCGCGTACATCATCGTAGCTCAGTGCGGATGGATTGTAATGGTCTAAGGAAGTATATGTAATACAGATACCTACGCCCTATACATGTCCTATAATAAAGACGTACCATAGAGTGTGATCTCGAATGAGATTGAGGTGATAGTAAATTGATTCTAACATAGATGTAAGGTAGGTTTGTTGCTTCTGCTGAGGTCATCTTATAAAGATGTTCGAATGATTAATAAATGGCACGATCGCTACCTTGTACTCGCTGGGCAGGCCTTTGCGCAAGTTGCACGAAGGGTCGGAGTATTGAGTCAATTGATGGACACTAATATGAGTGCCCAATTCCGATCAAAAGCTGTCTTCACTGACAATGAGCTTCTACCCATTTGGTCATTCCGAGCATTGATTCTGTCTGCCAAATGAATTTCATTCGTTGCAACAGCGGACCGACTTCTGGTATTGTCAGCAATATATCAGCAATATATCAGCGTTCAACTGGAAGATATATTCCGTGTCCAGGATTGCTACCAATGAGTGGAAGCTTTGGGTAGACATCGAATTAAGCGTCCATGGTTGCAGCGGGCTAAAAGAGAGAATAATTGGTGTCATTTGAGATTTTGGAAGGAACGAATGTTTTGCATGTTCCGAGCATTGGCTAACTCCTAAACTCGAGTAAGTACGGAGTAGTACGAAGTGGAAAGGACCCTTGAGCTGAAGTCAGTGGCTTACCCAGTCCACGGACAAATCCGCACGGCTACCAGGACTGGTGGGTCGCAAGAGTGGCTTAGCCTCTCAGCCTTGCAACGGCAAACTGAAATGACGGGGCCAACTGGCTGGAATTGGGAACAGGTCAACGTACTTGGTGATGCAGGGTGCACACATGGCAAATAACTTGGCGTGTTTCAAGGACGAGAGACTATGACAATTTAATTAGGAGAGATCTCGTCAGGTATGCCCAGGGGTCTGGATGGAAAATATACCGACAGTCTTTATTCCACAGGCTTAGGGTTCTCGGCCGTTGGAGAGATCGTCTAGATGTAGGATTTTTTAGACTATCTGTCCCATGTTGCCCCAGAAATTGATCATGACCCTATTTCGTCCTCGGACCTGGGAGGCTCAATACGAAGACCACATGGAAATAGACCCCAAATATGCCTCCTCTATAGATCCTATCGGAGATGGACAGCGTGCCTTTCCACGTCACCGGCCTTGTGGAGTCAGAAATGCGCGCAGCTGGTGTATTATTCTACCATGCCATCAACGTTTCAGAGGGGAAAAAGGGAAAGGAAGACGAAGAAATGGCAATGTAAATAGGATCGGAGATCCAGGATATAATGGAAAGTGTCATTAATATCCTCTGAAAAGGAGTAACTAAATTACTGGAAAATATATTGTTTGTCCAGTCCGGGTCTTCCCCCGGACCCTGAACTAAGACACAAACCTGTCCCCAAACCACGGTAAACCTCCACTCGATTCTGATTATTCTTCCCTCCCCAACATTATCGATCCTCTCTGCATTCCTCCTCCTACCGTCGGCTCTGTCCACCCTTGCAACTCTCGCCTTGTCATTTACTCCCCCCCGTCGTTCGTTTCTCGGGGATGCTCACCGCACGCTGCTGGCCTCTGGCAGTTGGTCATTTGCCCGCTCCCCCTCATTTGGGCGAGCCTGAAATTGCGACCTCGCGGTGGTGCATATCCACGACCCTGAGATTGCCGGTCTTGCTCGAGGCTTGCGCTGAACTTTGATAGTGCCGCACTGCGCAGCTCGCGACATCACTCAGTTTCTGTGTGTGACCACTGTGGACCATCTCAGCCATGACGGATCCCAATGGTTACCAGGCATACTACGGTCAGCCTGGCAACCCTCCGGCGGCCTCCCAAGCCGCGACCGGTCGCTACGAGACATACCCCCCAGCAAAGCCCTGCTCAGAACCAGCAGCTGCCGAGACGGATGCCAAGCTACAACGCCGGTGATGACTCGCAGTTAAATACATCGCAAATCCACCACGCGCGACCGACTGACGGGAACGCGAGATACTCGGTACAAAGCAGTGGGTATGGCGGCGGCATGGGACAAGGAGGCTACAATATTTCTTCAGGGGGTTACGAGGATGATCGTGAATCGTCGTTGTTTTCGCGCACTCCATCCGACCATTCGCAAATGTCGCCCACGCGCGCCTCGTCGCATACGAGTGTCTCCAGCTATGGATACCGATACCCTGCATCTTCGAGTCAACCTGCGTACAACCCTCAGCAATATGGCCTGCCGCACTCACAGACGCAGCCGAACCTTACTTACAACCCGTCAAACTATACGACCCCCAGCAATAATGCGCCCTATCCGAATACCCCTTCGAGCCATCAGCCTTATAACCCAGCAGCATACCAGACGTCTGCGGTTGCTGGTCTGAGCTCACCAGTTCTTGCCCGACGACCGAGCGAAGCCTCGCCTTATGGGCCGACACCTCCCACCCCGCAGTCCTATGGATTCGGCAATCAGCAGCAGCAGCCACCTATACCCCCTCCTCGGGGAGCTGATCACCCGTATGGAAGTCGACCCTCTCCGTATGGGTCAACGCTTGTGGCTTCAGGCCAGCCGAATATGAGCCCTATTTCCACCTCCTACCAGCCAGTTTCGTCATCGACCACGAGCAGTTATGCGACCTCAAATTCTCCACAAGCCGCCTATGATCCTCCATCTGCGTCTCGTCCCTATTTCCCCGTTGCGGCCGGGTTTGGCTCCGACTCACCATACCCTACTCCCACTATCCCTCCAGTGAGCAGCAACTATGATGAGCAGCCACCAGAGCCACCGGCTCATCAGCCCCAAGGAAATGGACTGTATGGGAAATGGACCGGTCTACCCCATTCGGCTTCTGCGCGGACTCTTCCAACGCCTCCCGTACAAGACCTACCTATTCTGCCTCCCAGGCGAACAGAAACCTTGACTAGACACCCACAATCCCGACCTCTGCCTGGTCCACCTATGGATGCCGAGCCTGATTTTAATGGACCGCCTGAACCTCCGCGGCCGGGCAACGTACATAATGACGATTTAATGAAGGAGCTTGAGACGGCAGTAATGGACACGCAGGCAACGTTCTCACGGCGCCATAGCTCTAGGACGTCGTATAATGGCTCGGGATCGCATGTGCGCCTATCACCAGACGAGCAGCATACCCACACCAACGGCAACGTGTCCGAATTCCAGATCAACTATGGCGCCTATAGTGATGACAGCGAGGCTGAGGCTGAAGCAGGGCTTGCGATGTTACGCATGGCAGAGGAGGAGGAGCAAGCCCGACAAGAGCGGGAGCGCATGCAAGGCCGCAACCGACGGTCCACAAACGCTTCGGTGATGAGTTCTCGTTCACACGACTCTCAAACATCACCCAGTGGACCGTCGCCGCGACATGCATCCCCTAGACAGCCATCGTCACGGGGAGCTTCACCGCACTTAGTGCCTCAGGAAGACGGCGACTTTATTGACCATGATCTTGCGTTGTACGAAGGAGGCTACCAGGGAAATCTTCATTACGGGAATGAGCCAGTGTACAGCTCCGAGGAACACTCGGAAGCGGCGACGGGCGGGGGGTTACAACGTACTCATGATTCTTTTAGAAGCTCCGACATCTCCCCCGATGAGCGTGGAGAGTACTATGAAGACTATGAACATCCTCCAATTGCCTATGAGTATGCAAATCGCTTGCATAATCTCCCTTCAGACGCCCGCGTGGATGCTGGGGGTACCGGCGGGTTGTCTGCCCCTGGACACTACGGCCGCCGATTGAGCTTCGATTATGGCGAAGATGCCGAAAGCCCCTACGAGCCGCAGCAGCAAGAGGGATATCAGTCGGGCGACGAGAGCCAACACGGCGGCTCACCTGAAGATCTCTTCTTCCACCCTGGCATGCGTCCACTGCCACCTGCACCAGTCGAGCCCGCTGGTGCCGGTGGTCCGGACTTGTACAGCCACCTGGTGCCTGCTGGTACATACCGACCGCAAGAGCAGGACGAGATGCAGGGCCAACAGCAGTATAGACACCCTCCTTCCATCACGACGTCCGTGGACCCATATGGAGAGCAGATGCTCAGTCCATCTCAAGTCCCGCGGTCGTCATCTCTATCGACCCCCATTGGACCTCGTACTGATGCACCTATCAGGTCAAAGACCGATGCGGACCGTGTCAAGTACAAGCAGCAGCAAGAATATCTCTGGCAGCTACAGCAGAAAGACCTGCCCAAGATCGATCCCACTGAGGCGGCTGCTTCTGTTGCTTTGGATCTGCCGACCATTCCTGCTGCGCGCCGTAAGAAGTTCAATCCAACAAAGCTGTCGTCGGAGCAATTCAAGAAGTGCACGGAGCCATGGGCACTCAGCTCCATTCTGGCCTGGATCAAGGATCTTAGTCAGGATGAGAGCGATCTCCGTGAGCAGGCTATCGCTGACGCGATTGTGGCACTGTTTACCCACAAGGTGCCGACGATGAATATCGCCGATGCCGAAACTCTTGCAGCTCGGGTAGTGAGTAACATGCTCAAGGAGGAGGCTCTGGTCAAGGAAGAGGAGTGGGTCAAATTCAGCAGTGGACGCATTTCTGGTGTTCTGTTCCAGATCACGGGAACTGGATGCTATTCGCCTATGTTGCATGAGCAGGAGATGCACATCCAGGATACCGACTCCTATGGACGCTGCTATTCTCATCACTGCATGCGAACTTTGAAGAAGGTCAACCTCAAAGCGCAGATGATGGCCCCGCAGAAGAAGATGGAGGACTGGGTGACTTTCTACAAGGTGCCTAAAGAAGTATGGGAGTCCCATCCGAGGAAGGAAGTCGACCGACAGAACAACTTGCACGAGATTGTGACCACGGAGGACGCCTACATTGGGCAGCTAGATGTCCTACGCGAGCTCTACCGTGACCAGCTGGCCCATATGAACCCTCCAATCATCCCGGCCAAGCGATTGAACAAGTTCTTGACCGACGTCTTTGGCAAGGTCGACGCGGTGAAGAAGGTGAATGAAGATTTCTTGCTGGCACAGCTCAAGTATCGTCAAAAGGAGCAGGGTCCCTTCATTGTCGGATTCAGCGAAATTTTCCGCGAATGGATTCGCAAAGCGAAGAACGTTTACATTGATTATGCTGCAACGTTCCCCCACGCCAATCACTATGTCCGACGCGAATCCGACCGTAACCCGCAGTTCAAGGCTTTCTTGAACCAAGTGCGTGAGCACAAGCTGTCCAACCGGTTGAGCTGGGATACTTTCCTCAAGGCTCCCATTACTCGGATCCAGCGGTACACACTTCTGCTTGCCACCGTGCATAGGAACATGGTCAAGGACTCGGAGGAGAAGACCAACTTGGCGCAAGCCATTGAGGAAATCAAGGTTGTTGCATTGGAGTGTGACAACAAGGTCGGCGAGCAGAGCAAGAAGACTGATCTGATGGATTTGGCAAGCAAGCTCCAGCTTCGACCGGAGATGAAGAAAGAAGTTGAACTCAATCTGGACCACATGGGCCGTGAGGTTGTCTTCCGGGGCGACCTGCAGCGTCCCGGCACGCGAACTCGATTCCTCGTTGATACGCATGCTATTCTTTTCGATCACTACTTCGTTCTGGCCAAGTCATTCACCGCACGGGATGCGCGGATTGGCAAGTACGAGCGATACGATGTCTCGAAATTACCCATTCCAATGGATCTCCTGGCGTTGGAAAGCACCAAAGACGACCCTGTTGTCAAGTCTTCCGTTCGCGGTGTTGCAACTGTCACTCCTGCTCAAGGGGCTGTGAGCCCTCTGAATGGCCCTTCTGCTAACGGAACTGGAGTTACCCTGGACTCGAAAGATGACAAGATTTTGTATCCGTTCAAGATCAAGCATCTCGGCAAGAATGGCACGTACACGCTTTACGCATTTTCAGCAAATAGCCGTATCGAATGGTGCCAAAAGATCATCGAAGCGAAGACCAAGCACGCTGCTGCTTTGTTCTCACAAAATGCCGAGCCCTTCAGATTGCGGGTTCTTGCAGATACCGCGTTTTCATACTCGGATCATACACATGGATCGAAGAGTGTTATGATTAAGGGTACTCCGTTGCACCGTGCTATCAAGGAGGTTGAGAAGCAGTATGAGGCTGGAGCTAGACCTCCGCCTGTGTGCAAGACTGGTGTGAACTGCGCGACTGTCTTCCAGCAGCCTCCTGGCCGAATGATGTGTGCCATTGGTACTGATAATGGAGTGTACATGTCTGATCTTAGTGACCCGCGTGGTTGGTATCGGGTATGTACCTTTTCTCTGTCATGCCAGGTCTATTTACTAACTATGGTCGCCAGGCTATTCCCATCATGCGGGTGACGCAAGTGGCCGTCTTCGAGGACTTTAACCTCTTCTTGTTGATTGCGGATCGCTCTCTGATTGCCTACCATCTTGATGTGGTGTGTCCTGCTAGTGGCGTTCCATCACAATCGCAAGACTCCGCCCGTCGAGCTCCACAGAAGCTCTCTGGCAACCGTGAAGTCGGCTTCTTTGCTGCAGGCCGTATGAAAGACCGCTACTTGGTTCTGTACAAGAAGCGCGACGGCCTTTCTTCGACCTTCAAGGTTCTCGAGCCTATCCTCCAGAAATCATCCTCCAACAGGAGTCGCTTCTTCCAGTCACGTCGCTCTCAAACCGAGTTCTTCCGCGAGTATGACGAATTCTACATCCCCGCCGAGTCCTACGGAATCAACATGTTCCACTCCTCCCTTGCCATCTCCACACAGCGCGGCATTGAGGTACTCACCCTTGACAAGAAGCAGTCGTGGTCTGTACCAGATTTCCGCTCCGCAACACCTGATGCCACCGACACGCTCCATAGCATCGCACAGCGCATCAGAGATCTTCGCCCTCTGGGCATGTTCCGACTCAGCGAGAGCGAGTTCTTGGTTGCATACCAGGAATGTGCAGTGTACGTCAACAAGCACGGCGACGTGTCTCGAAGCGTGGTGATGGAGTTTGTGGGTAGTGCGCATACGGCCTGTCTACATGGCAAGTTCCTCATCCTGTTCAACGATGACTTTGTTGAGGTCCGCAATGCCATGAATGGTCGGTTGAGACAAGTTATCCCGGGCCACAGCGTGGTCTGTCTTGATGACGGAAGCAAGTTGCCTGGTTCATTTGGCCAAGCTGCCGCTGGCAATATGAGCGGTTTCTCCGGTAGCGCTAACGGCGCCTCGCCCGCAGCTGTTGGGCATACGGTGAAGATCTGCATGCAGCATCCTGCGTACGAGCGTAGTCAGATCGTGCTTGAGTTGGTTGAGAATGAAGGCCAGAAGGAGTAAAGATCCTTCTGTTGCTCTTCGTGATACCAAACCGCCCCGGATCTCAATTGACACCTTGAATGCTGCCGCTGCTCAAAGCATCGTTACTTTGCACCTGATCCCACCTTTTCTTTTATCTGATCCTCCTATGCCTCGATCGCCTTCCCGCCCCATGAGATATCCGTTTTCTACCTCTTATCTCCCCTTCCTCTTCTCCCGTGTTTTTGGAACAATTTCTTTTTCAACGTGAAATGTATCTACGGGATGTCTTCGGCATGCCTGAGCACTTGGTCCTTCCACTTCGCATTTTTTCATGACGCTTCTGCAAAGCGCTGTTTCGATGCCATGATTGTACATAGAAATGTCAGTGTGCCATCTTACGACTCTAATGATTTGATCACAATCTCGCATATTTTTTTGTTGAACTTGGATCCACTTTTCATTTATCATGATTTTTACTCTAAAATGTCTCATCTAAAACTGCGACTGTAAGGGGGCATACGGTGGCCCGTCTCAAGGTGGACTGTCTCGGGAGTTTCACCTGTTGACAAAGGCTTCTTTTTGTATGTCGAGAATTAGTGCCCCAGAAGGTTGAAATCGATAGTATGAAACAAGTCTAGTATCTGATGGTTTGAATCATCTTTTTGAGATGTGCTTCTAATGTTCGTTCCAGGTATGCTCTCAATGCTGCTGTGAGCACGACTCAAAACATCTCGTACGTTGATCGTGAGCTTCAAAGAGCGGATATAACCATGAAATAGGGCCTCCAGCTGGATTGCAGGGAGGAAAATCCATCAAAGCAATACGACCGTGTTCGACAGTACACAAGGTGCTTATCTAGGCCTCCCGTAAACAATATTGCAGAATAGGTTGTCATAGATTGGGAGTGCACGCTTCATGAAAAATCCCATTGCCTATCTAGGCTTCATCTCTACCTGGTATTCTCGCGACATGGGGAATACACTACGCACAGATGTACAATTGCACATCGACAAGGCAACTAACGAAGCAAATAAACACTCATCCACACCAGACCACACACAAAATGCCACCGCCAAGAATGGAAAAAAGGTGAAATGCAAACGGGATATCATCATGATTCAAACTCAACAACCTTGCTCACGATCTCTGGGTCATGCACTGACGCAGGTGATTTCGCTCTGTGCCTGCTCTGGCTCGATGCCTCCTCCTTGGTAGGACGGAGACTAAGTACCTCCGCCTCGGCCCCTTCGAGAAGGTCACGATCTGCCTCGCGCACACTGCGGCGTTCAGGATCTGCACCGTACGCGCCGGCACCCCAGCTAGAGATACCGCCAGCCATCGTGGCGGTAGACGCGCCTTGACGAGAGGGATAGTCATCATCCTCGTCTTCGTCATCTTCTTCGTCGCGGCCACCCAGAGCGTTGCGCTCTAGTTCGCGCTGGGCCTCGTCCATGCGCTTCTTGACTTCGGCGGCCATGCGGATGCCGTCTGTGACGATGTTGTCGAGGACGCCACGGAGGCCCTTGCCCGGTGGAACGATGCCTCCGGAGGCACCAGCAACGGGCGCGCCTGCAACGGCGGAAGCAGACGGACGGGCGTGGCCGAGATTGGAGAAAGTGGTCAGGTTGGAGGAGAGAGAGGAAGATGCGGCGAGCGAGGCGGGGTGGGGATGATCGGAGAGATGGAATGATTGCGGGAAGTAAGACTCGAAGAATTGTTCAAGGAGCTCGTCGGCCAAGACGACCATTCGCAAAGTAGGAAGGGTGATGTGGAGTGGGTTATTAGGGTCCAGAGCTGGGTTGGCAGACTCGGATCTAGGCCGGTTCTGCTCACTCGACTCTGTCGGTTTAGGGGAAGACACGGCTGCCGGCGATGTTTTCTGTTGATCATTGTCATTGACATCGATAAGGTCCTCTTCATCATCACCGATTGCAAAGGAGTCAAGTTTCTCGGTTACTTCCGTGGTGGTATCTGAGAAGACAGCCTTTTGGTTGTCGGGATGGCTGGGGTCGGCGTATTCGAAGCAGCGACGAATGAACGCGCTGACACTGCCCAGGAATTTCTCATCGGTGGCCAGCCTGTTCTGATCAGCCTCACTACCTCGTGGGCTACTTAGGTCCTCCAGGGACTGTGTAGCTGTGATAGTTCCCTCGAACCCACGGCGAGAGAGGAAAAGCAGTGCCTCCGACATCTTGAGGATACCCTCTCGGTCAACTTCACCATTGCCACTGTCATCGTAGAGAGTAAAGAAGTAATTGATGTTGTTCATGATATCCGGTGATCCCTTGAGACGTGCCAGGCCATTTACCACGTTCTGTAGACTCAGGCCCTCCTCAGGATCAGTAGCCCACTTGCGGTACAACCGCTGCATGAACTCATGATCAGCGGGTTGACGTCGGTTAGCCCACAGCAACGACTTGCCATTGCCTCTGAGACTGCTATAGCCCGAAGGTGACGAATCCTTTCTGGCAGGAGCGGGAGTATCGGAAACAGCCCACTTGGATGTCGCAGCCAGGAACTCTCGGAAAGCATCATAGTCCATGTGAGTAGGGCTGGGTCCAAGACCCACTCGACCGACCTGCCTATCTACAGGTGGTCCGAGAACGGATTGACGTTCTGACTTTTTCTTTTCCTGGCGTTTTCTCTCTTCCTCGGCGAGTTTTTGATGTTGTTCCCATTGGTACAAAGTCTCGTAGAAGCGGTCGTAAATTGTGCCAAGATCATCCACACTCAGGCGCTTGCTTTCAGGGCCGAGATTGCGGATCGAAGTTCGCTTTGCAAAGCTTTCAATGTTGTCTAGCACGGCGTCCTTGTGCTTCTCACGTTGCTCAGTAATGGTGCTATGCGTGATACCAGAGAATTCCTTGAAAGCTACCACCATCAGCTCCTGGAAGCGGGTGATAGCACGCAGCTTAGGGTTCTCCGATCTGGGGTGAGCTGACTCGTCAAGGCGAGAGAAATATGACTTGAGCACGGAGATAAACGATCCGTCATCTTGAATGTCGAGAAGCTCCTCGCCGTTGATGCGAAGAATAGCAAGTCCGACCTGGAACAAGACCTTGGGACCCTCTAGGAAGAAAACATCCAACACACGAAAAGCAAAGACGAGAGGCATCGAGTTGATATACAGAGAAAGGAACCAGGGAAGAGAAACGACGGAAAGCTGTACATCGAATTTGGCGAGATGTTCCCAAAGAACGGGCATGGTCTTCTCCACCAGGGACTCGAAGACTTTTTGGTCAAGTAGCGTTCCGTACATTGTTGTGGAATAGTAGCCGGGCAGGAGACGGTCACAGAGAACGGAGAGAAGGAAAAAGGCCTGGGCCTCGGACATATATCTGCTCAAGTTAGCAAAGGCAGCTATCGAGTCCACAAAGGTCAGACAAACATCAGTAATGCGGCAACGACGATGTTCATGGCTTGACAATAGCCAACTTCAGCATTGGTCCAACTATAGGCAGTCAGGACTCGTCGCAGTCGGCCAATACCCTCTTCGCTCTGGAAGCCGGGATACTCGGGTAAACTGCGGTTCAAATCCTTCTCAATTTCGTCGATAGCGAGAGATTCCTGGCCGTCAAACTTGGCCAGTGTCTCTACGTAGAGCTTGGGTGACCGAATACGAAGAAACATCGAGCCCGACGTGAGTTCCCAAATCTCTCCGCGTAACCTATTTGGCAAACCAACTCGGATAAGCTTGTGGAAAGTCGGTTGCCTAACAAGAGTACTGTTACGGCCATTTTCTACCGCGCCATATTATTAGTATCACGCAATGTAAATGTTTTATTGTGCGCATTCATCTTACCTCGGAAGTATTCACCCCAAAGTCTCATCTTGCTGCGATCTCGAAGCTTCCGCGCATCGCCGGGATAGCGGAAGAGCATGCCCAGTCCAGCATCCGGAGGTTGCCGCCCTTCGCCGTCAGTAGCATCTTTCGCCTTCGTACCGGAAAGCAAGTACTCGGAGTAGCAGTCTGTAACAACGTTTCTCAGGTTATCGACCTCCTTCATGCCCTCTCGCAGACCCTTCTTCAAGCAGTCGCAGAATCTTTCGCAGGCCTGCCTGCTGCCGACAAGCTGAAGGATGAGTCGCTGAGGTGCGAAATTGGGCTCTTGCTGTTTGTTCAGCAATCCATTCCATGTTGTCAATGCCAAGGAGAACACGTCTCGAGCACTGTGGAGTCGTTCGACACGGCGAATAGAGGAAAGCGGCAAAGTGAAGCCATTGCCAGAAGGTCCTGTGCCATGCGTTTGTCCAGTCCAACTGGTTGAAGCACTCAGTGTCGAAGAGGGTATGAAGCTGGTCGGTTGTGTTGAGAAGCAGATGAATCGCTCGCTGAGATGCAAGCGGCCAGTGTAGCGATTGCCAGCTCGATCTACCCGGCGGGAACCATCTGCGGAGTCAGAGGAAGAGTTTGGCAGAGGAAGGATCAGTTCGGCAGTAATTTCTTGCAAAGGGTTCTGCGAATCGGGGAGACGGAACTGCTGGCGGAATAGCGAAGCCTTGGAGGGATTGTTGTCGTTGGAGGAGAGTGAAGGAATGTTGAAGTTGGCCGGGTCAATCAGCGATGAGGCCTTTTGAACAAAAGAGGATAAAGACATCATGATGGGCAACGGTCGATCCGAAGCAGTTTCGCCGTCCCTATGGAGGTGCGGTTATCTGATGATGTCGGGGCGGCGGAGCTAGAGCTGCGACGTGGTACGGCGAGCGAATCAGCACCAAAGGTGTGCAAGGCAGCCCGTACTTTGTTCAAATGAGAGCTCAGATGTCATTGCATGGCCTTGATCATGCCTAGTCGAGCATTCGCGCATCTGTAGCTGCAGCTTGGGAACGTGGGGATAGGTGTTGTTGTCGGATCGATAAGAGGGGGGTTGCTGGTGAAGCACAGCTGATCACGTGATTATCCGCAGCCTTAATAGCGCTGATAGCTGAAACATGCAAGATAATAACTGGTCGAGACACCAGTCTAGTACACCAGTCTAGCTGCCTATCATTATTTCATGCTATGGAATATTCTAATTATAAGAACTCTATAAACCAAGGTTATTTTTAGGTGATCTAGGGCAAGTGGATAAAGATACAGTTGGTAAAATTGTATTGAAGGAAATTCGCTGTACAAGCTGGACATCAAGGGAGAAGGATAACAAAAAGAAAGGATATAGTAAGAGACATGGGTCATGGAAGAGAATCAAAGCTCAGCCAGTGTGATATAGCATTCTTGCCTTTGCATTCAAAGAAACAGCATCTCCTTGGGATCTGGACTCCGGGTATTATATGGATATTGGGGTTTGATAGGGTAGAAACAGACAGGCGCTTCGGATGTAGAACATCTAGTTCTTATCCAAAGATCCCCGTCGGGAGCTGGACTCATTGTACTCAGGGAGAACATCCTGTGAAGTCTCAGAAGTCTCGGTCATCAGGCCCTGCTTCTCACAAGCCTCACCCTGCTCCCAGGCAGCCTTGTGCTCCTGAGGCTTGGTGCCACGGTAGCGCTGCCACATGAAGATAACGGCCTGACCAACGAGCATGCCGACGGCACTGGCGGCTAGACCAGCCAGGACACCCAGGATGGCAGGGACAACAATGAAGCGGAGGACACGGGAGAATGTGTGGGCGAAAGCGCCGTGATGAGGTGGCGGGTGATGGTGACCGCCATGGCCGTGAGGAGGACGTGGGGGGCGATCGCCCATTTCACCGCCGAAGTCACCCTCGTCATGGTGGTGGTGGTGGTGGCCGTGATGCTCCTTGGAGAAGTCCTCAAATCCAGAGACGGGTGGCATGCCCTCGGGGGAGAACTCATCGTGGTGCTTGGGAGCACCGTGGTGGCCTCCCATGCCCATCGGGCCCTTGTGCTTGCCGTGGCAGCCCTTACGGCCACCCTTGCCAGCCATACCCAGGACGCGGTCCTTGGCAGCGGCCAGAAGACCACGCACGCGAGTGAACAGGAGCTCCTGGAGGCACTTGGGCTTGCCATCGCACTTCTTCCAGGATAGACGTTCAGGGGGAGGTGCGGTCTTTTCAATCTCGGTCTTGGCGATGTAAAGCTCGCCAGCGGGGTCCTGGATCAGGGTAATTGCGACAGTGTCGACGGGGACGGGGTGAGTCTCGAGGTCGAGAATGGTGAATCGGATATCAAGCAAGTCGGTTCCGGGGGTGTCGTCGGGGGATCCCAAAGGCATCACCTCCAGGGCATAACCGACGGGCATAGGCTCCGAGGCCTCGCCATCTTCGAGTTGTTGAACGGCGCGGATAGGGCTGGGAGGAACGGGAGGGAAGATTTGGCGACCGTTAGCCAGCAGACGGTTATCTTCGATGGTAAAATCTAGCATCTAATACATGATCTCATTAGCTGATGATTCGCGGACGAGACTTGCGCTTATCGCATCCCCGAGGTTTGACATACCAAAGATGACGACTTGCCCTCAGTCCAGCTGACGGCGCCCTCCTGGTCGACTTCGCGGAAAGGACACTCCCGGCAAGGAACATCGACCACTGCGTGACGGATATCCTCCAGCAGCATCGGGTGAACATTCAGGAAACCATCCTCAACCGCCTCCACCTGAGGCGCCATTTCGGGGATCACCAGCATCGCACTGGCGCCCAGAGCGGCGGCGCCACCCAGAAGGATGGAACGCACGAACATGGTAGTGTGAAGGGTGTAGATTGGTAAAGAGCGGACGTCGGCGACAATGAGAAATCTCAGAAGAGGGAAGAAGCAGTCATTTGAAGAAAAGGATGGCAAAGAGTCGTCGTGGTCCTGGAGGGGGAGAAGGAGAGTGGAGAGTGGAGATTGATCGGAGGGCGAGTCCCAGGCTTGGGTGTTTCGTTAGTCCGCATGGGGCCAGCCAAGTGGAGGAGGGTGACGCCAGCCTGCTGCGTGGCGCGCATGGCCATTGGCCCATAGACTTTACAAAACCTTACAGTACCGCAACATTGTCATACCTGCCACTCGGCCCATTCTGGCTCTTATCGCCAGTGATCACGTCTCACATAAGGCTCTTCCCTGCGTATTTACATTACTTACCATCCACACCACCTTCCATCGTCTTCAATGAGTGCCACTAACACGATCACAGCAAAACACGGACTCTCTTGGTCGTCATTATTATTTTACCCGAAGGATGACCGGTCGAACGCTAGCCACTGGGACAAGCCGAATCCCACCGAGTCCACCCAGCCTGCCTGCGACGCGTACTGGTCGCGCAACTGCTGCACCATGTGTCGCTCGTTGGCCCTCTCCCACCGCTTCCACTCGACGTGTTGTTCATAGGTCTGCCACATCCACAGCGCCATCAAGCCCGGATAAACTATGCACTGAGGATGCGAGGGGGTTAGCAAGTTCAATAACTTGAACCCGATCGGGACAGCATTCTCTATCGAGGCCCTAAACAATCGCAACGCTCCATGGGCTATCTCCGATGCAATCTCGGGATTAACCTCTGCATTGGGAATGGCTTCGTGTGGCCACGATCCCGGCATGCGCTCAAAGGCCGACGCTGCCTTTGTTGCTGGTATCCATGGCAGATCACCGACGGACAGGGACCGTGGCTTCCCTCCAGGACTAAGCGGCCCCTTTGGCGCCGTCACTAACCCCCGCAGCGAGGCAGCCAGATTATCTTGACGCGCCAGCAGCGGAGCATTGTCAGTCTGAATGCCCTTTGATTCGGATTCCCTGATGATTGAATTGCTCTGGGGAACTTCATAATCTGTCGTGTCATTGCTGGACACCGGGCCTTGCTTAGGGTCAGCCATCGGTGGAGCAATTCGAATGCGCTTCCTAGATGTATTCAAGGTCGGTGTATACCCAGAGAAATGTTCAAAGTATGCAGGCGACGGCGTATGTCTTGGTCTGTCCAACCCAGTAGGGCTTTGCTGGCCTTGAACATAACTCCTCGACTCAGAGCTCAAATTTGATATGCGTGAACCTGACACGCCTGTTGATTCCGAAGAGGAGCCTGGAACTGACCAGCTGCTGCCCGGAAACCTCTCGTAATCAGCATCAGGCGACGAGCGACCATCGGTTAAAGACCGATGGAGGTTTTCCTCGGACGACGAATTAAAATCACGTCGCCAGACCTGGCTGTCCCATTGAACACCGTCTCTCCCTGCCTGTTTGTCTCGGCGAAGCCTGTTCCGGGCGATTCTCACTTCTGCGGCTTGAATGAGCTTGTTGACCTCGTCTTCAAAGTACTCCACGGCGCTGGAGTACTCCATGACTAGACCCCGAAGCTTCTGAATCCGCTCGCCATCCTGAGACTTGTGCTTCTCCAAGAAACTTACCAGTTCTGCCCAGTCTTCAGTGTTTTTCTGAAACAGAACCCCACACTCCTCCACATCCTTGTAGGCTATACTGAGTGACTGTTCCAGTCGCCGTGCTCGCATCTCCATCTGTTCAATTTCACCATGGAGCTCACCCTCCCGTATGGCGCTCCTGGCAGCCAATCTCGCATTGGCTGCCTCCAGTTGCTGATTTTGCTCCGCAATAAGCTCTATCCAGGTTTCATTATTTTGTGCCCCCATTCTTGACACAGAAAGGGCCTCTTGTAGCTTGATTATTTCCCTTTCGCTTTGCCAGGCACGAGACTCTGCATTGGCGACGGCGGTCTCGGCGTCGTCTAGGCGTGTGACCAGGTCGTTGTGTTCCAGCCTCAATCTGCTGTCGTTGGCCTTTGTAGCATCATGCTCGGTCCTCTCGTCGGCGAGAGCCTGATGGAGCTCCAGTTGAGATAGCCTTTTCAGGTGTTCATCCTTTTGCTGCTTCGCTAGAGCGGCTGTTCGTTTTCTACGCTGGCTCTTTGCTTTCCTTTGCGCAGCGCTGGGCTTGGAACCCTCTGGATGATCGGTAGTCAACATGGTGATGTGTTGGTTTTTGTTTGGGAGATAAATTTTCCTTGCACCAACAGAAACGAGTTTGAAGAAATATCGATAGGTGCAATATATGCGCTAATGCGTGTTATTCAAACCCAGTTGTCTGACGACAATGTGGGGGGATGACTGGATAGTCTAGAGATACTTAATGTACGCCGTTACTCGATGCCATTGTTTACTCTTCACAATGAAACCCTGAATAGAAAATGGCGTGACAAATATCTTTGTCTGTACTTTCTTTCATGCACATTGTCGCGAAGAAACAATGGGGATTGTTGAAGACCTTGCAGCGAGGTTATTTACGTCCACTCAAAGTTAGATAGCACTATTCTCGTTCTCTACCCTTTTTAGACATTCTTCACTCACCAAGGAGTGAAAATACGATTGAAGGGCTAGTGTGGAAAGTGACTTCGACCGAAGGGAGGGACGTTGGCCATAAGCCTGGTCCCGTTCACACTTGCTACTTTTGATGTTTCACTTGAGAAAATATTGCTAGCGTGTCGTAGCAAGTTGTCTCAGGAGGCCACCAAGACAGTATAAACGGGCAACCTTGACAATGATGCTGCCGCAGTTGAGATTCATCGAGAGTTGTCGTGTCATGGAAAGTTGGGCATCACTATATCATAACCGAACTATTCTTCCCGCATTTACATTGGCTTGGGTCTGGCTAATGTGTACCTGAGAGCGATAGGAGTACCAATCCGCTAGAGGGCAGACAGAACTCTTTTGATTTACTTATCTGGTGAATCATGAACACAGAAAGAGAGAATTACTCATCCAGAGCTGCATGATGGAACCTCCTCTTTAATTTGGTGATTCAATCAATGCGAGATAGGCATGGTACTGGGAATGACTCGTGAAATATACCGAAATAGTCAGCAAATTCAAATAACAACATTGGGTGGCCCCCAGTTTTATCTCGGCGCCTTCTCAAATGCGTCATTGGTAATAGATCTCAATCGCAATTTCTGTGAGTCTGCTAGCGCAGTGAGTGTGCCAACAGGCTGCGCGCAGGAATCCCCTTTGTACCGATAGGCAAATTGCATCACCACATTGGCCAGCTTGGAGAGCTCTTCCAGAATATGTACTGATGAGATGCGAGGTTCACCCTCGTCCGATTCAAAATCGGCAGACTCGGCGCATTCTGTTCCAATGCACTCATTGCGGTCCACATTGACACCTAGTGAGTACCCCTGATCGATACCCTGAGCTCGACCGATCGACTCGTTCCCGTCTTTTCTGCCATACGACCAGTAAAATAGCGAGTCGTATATATCCATAATCGCCATACAGACTGTAGCCGCCAAAATCCCCACGTATATCTTCCGTGAGCAGGGACATACCAGGATCGTCGATAGCCGATTGACAGCCCAGGCAGCGGTCTGAACACGAGCGGGCAACTCCTGTTTCTGCGAACTGTTTGTTGTCTCGTCGACGGATGAATTAGAAACTTGGAGACGACGGAGGATGTCGATTGCGCCTATCACGCAATCCGGCTCAGATGAATCTGAGATTGTGCTCTGGCCGCATGAGATATTTTCCATAAAATCGGGTGTTGCTGCACTGGAGCCTTGGCTGACGTTTTGTAGTGGGGAAAATTCCAGCGGAATGAGGTTTGAATCACTTTGATTCTGGAATGTTTGTATCCACTGAAGGTCTCCGTTCAAAGCATCGGACAAGTTGAAGAGGTCAAGGCCTGTTAGTGGTGATTGTGGAACACTCGTGTTCTGCTTCTGATTGCAAGCGTCATGGAAGACGTATGAGCCACAATTCATGGCAGATGTAGTGCTTGTTTCGAGACCACCAGTCGAAGTATACATCCCATCGAGCCAATGTAGGGCATTTGGTTCATATGTAGCTCCCGAAGAGGATTCATATTCGTCATAGATTGAGGGCTGTGTTTCTAGTCTGGGCCGAGGATCTTGACCAAGTGTCTGAGAGTCCTGAGGATTATTGGGCGCGCCTGTGTTGACAGAAGACTCGGTTCTTGAATGTGTAGGCTGTGGCTCCGGTGATTTGTGAGCGATGGTTCGACGGTTTGGATGTGGGCGCCCTATGCGGCGTGCGGGACTGTAGAAGCACGGATAGCCCAGCTTCCAACATCGACTGCAGACTGGCTTTTCCTTGTTGCATTTGACCTTTGATGATGAACACATATCGCAACTATCCTTGAGTTTCTGCGTGGGGGGTGGCCCAGATCTAGCTCGGGGCCCCGTCATTGTGGTTGAGTTGCCAGTGCTCATTGCGGAGCAGATAATCTAGACTGAGTCTGTTTAGAAATCATTATGGAGAACCGAATGTTTAAGACCGGACGCGGAAAGCATAAAAGGCTCTAATATTTACCAAGGTCAAGCCGTGTACAATCGCAAGTGGTGCATTTGATGGCAAGTATTGTCCCCTTGTGAAGGCAAGTACATATCTCGCCTAGCTCCCGATAATGCAAAGAAGGAATAAGCTGACATCTGTATCCTCCAATAAATATCTCACAGATAATAGATGTAATACGAAGCTAAAGCAAGACATGCTGTCATCGCTTGTCATATGTGATCCTAGGCTGTCTATTGGATACCGTGTCAGAGGTATGTCCTATGTATCACAGGGGTGGGTCAAATATTGTTCGAATATCGTATATTGAAGACTTTTGAAGAGACAAATTAAAATGTCTTTGGCTTCTTGACCTACCTAGAGAAGCATAGATGCCGCAGGCAAATTGCTAGCCATGAAGCACAGAGCGACAAGCAATAGACAAAACCAAATATATGCCAGACAATAGCCCGACTTTGCCACTTGCAGCCCATAAAGAATATAAACTCACAACAAATAGTTGGTGGTATATGCCTTTCTCCTTAAATGGCGAAATCTATTCAGCCCAAACTGCCAGCAATGCTTCTGCTTCGATAATTGAGGTATTTGGAAGGTACAGTTAGGCGATGGAATGCCTTGAACTTGAAAAATTCAGGTGGGCATGAAACTGTAAGGAGACTTGCGCCCCACAATGTAGATCCTGCCATATGAGAAGTTTTATGAAGGATGAAACAATCGTATTATCTGACTGGAGACTAGAGGCTGTCTGTGGGCCACCCTAACCCATGCGCATGGGTCATTAAAATATGATTATGATGCGGATATGGACCCGTTCATGCATCTAATCTCCTGCGCCCTCTTATCTCATTCGCGTACCATCCTCACAGTTTAAGAGTTTAAGCAACAATTCAATAGTTTTAATCTTTGATAGGGTCTGGTTGGTTTGCAGTTTGCAAAATGGCTACAGCACTGCTCGTAGTTGGATTATGCGATCTATTCTGATGATCCGGCCAACGGCCTGCGGGATGTACACTTGGGCTAGGGCCCAATCAAAAAGCAACAAATTTTTAATTCAGACTTTCCAGCATTATACAAACTTACATGCGTCAATTTACTTCATATGCGTCAGATAGCAATTTCTTCGCAGCGGGAAGCCCGATGAGCCTACCAAGAATCGGGGTCAGCGCGTGCTTGGCCCGTTTCGAAAGCCAATAGGTACCTGGTTGACTAGCAATTGCCTAATAGGATCGACCTCGCCATTGATTACAAATCAAAATCCATTAGTACCAGTAATATACCATGGTGATCTGATGCCTCTACTATACATAACTAGACAGGCAGGGATGTAGGGAGCCGGACGTCGCCGGATTACTGCCCTCATTAGGAGACTCAGTTTTAGTATAGAATCTTCCCAATTCTTCATGAATCATTCACGGTAAATCCCTGGCTTCAAAGGGCTGTTTTGAATGATATCAAACTTATGCCGTGAAGGTTGAGAATACCACTTTCGTAGACTATCTTGGTTCGTTCAACGTATGTGGGCCGAGGCTTGCTACTCGGAATTTCGATCAGTGCCTTTAAGGAAAAAGTAAAAATCAATAAATCAGGATGACAGTTAGAGATATAAAACCAAAGTACATCAATACAACTCGTATCTTCTATGGCGGCTCGGTGAAGTAACGTGCAGGAATATCGCATGTCCGATTTCCACGTTAACGACGACATTTCATCGCTGTCCAAAGCGATCTCAGGGCGTGTCGATCTCCGCGCCGGGAATAAAAAGGTCGTAGCGCTAATTATTGGAGTTCTGCAAGCCCTCCATTCTATCAATGACTTTGATAGGAAAAGAGATCGATTTTGAGATTAGAGAGGTAAAGACGTTTCCCTGATGATTCTCCTGACATTTCGTTTTAACATTAGTTCTCACAGATGTCTCGCTCCTGATCCCTCATCCTTGCCCCTTTGACTGGACTTTTGCCTTGTGGTTCCAAATCTTTTGGTGCCGGGAAAGAGAGACCCAAATACCCAATGACCATGGACACTGCTTTTGTCCCTCCTACCAACCTCGTGAACCACGTTGGACATACGCCAGAACTCACTGGAAATTGCTCTGAGGAAAATCGAATATGCACTCGATCCGTTCTGAACGCTCTTCAGAGACTTTGCGTTCCACCCTCTGTCTGTTTATCCGTCACGGATGACAGCTATGCAGCTCATCATGGTGTCAGTGCTCTCAATGCTCAGACCCGCAGAATGGACGATGTCCTGAGAACAAACCGACGAGTCTTGGAACTGGTCTCACGGGTCTTACAGTGTTCCTGCACCATCATGCCCTCTGTTCAGCTAATTCTTTTCGTCGTCTGCGACCGAGTGTTCACCTGGTACCGCGCTATGCTACGCGACGACGAAGACAGGATGATGTTTGAGCAAGCACCCACCACGAGCTCGCCAAGTATTGAATATGACCATGGCGAGCTAGTACTTGCAATGCCCATTACAATGGGTAACTTTTCTGTTGATACCGCAATGCAAGTGCATATCCGAAATCAGCTCGTAATTGATGAGATGCGAGGGGCTGACAACGTGATCCACCAATTTGCTGCCTGTGTGCAAGAAGCTCAGTGTCAGAGTTCTCCAGCCCATCGTCAGCAGATCTACGAGATTATCAACTCTATGCTGAGAGACCAGCTGCAAGCCCAGACGAATATAATATATGAACGGGCAATTCATGAGGATATCGTAGCTGTGGAGTGACGGCGAATGAATGAGCAAAAACTCGACAGAGCTACTGGACATTGCTAGAAGAGTTAAAAAGGGGCTATGGGGCAAGTGAAAAGGCACAAGGTAGAATTACGGAAGAGTGGCGCGTAGTGGTCTTCGAGCAATGAATGGCCCTATCTGTCTTTATAACTGGCAGGAAAATTTCAATATCGAGTGAATCAAAATTTATGAGACTAACACTTTTTTAGGTTCGTCCGGCTATAAGAAACATAATCACACAAAGCAAATATCAAGATTTGAGGCTACGTTCGTTTAGTTCCACATCTCGTAGTCTGGAAAATACTTTTTGTGAATTCGTAGGGCATAGTCAATGAGGGCTTCGTTGGCCTTGAGTTTGGCTCTTGTTTCTGGCGCACTGGGAAAAATTAGTCACAGTTGAGGAAATCAAAGAATTCTGAGCTACTGACGCGTCGCATACGAGGTTAGACGCAATGAAGGCAAACACTGTGGCATCTGCTTCGGTTGGAGCATCCCCACCGAGAATCCAGAAAGGAGTTTCCCGGTCGCCTGGGCGGCTGATTGCGATCATGTGGCTGTTGAGTGTGTCCCAAATCTCTTGATGCAAGTTGGCAATCTCTTCCTTGCTGAACTTCAGGATACCTTGGCCCTCGATAGTCCGTACGATCTTCTTGTAGATAAAAATACCTATGATGACCTGGAGGGGCCAGGATAAGGCTCCAAGGATCTTGGAACGCATGGTGTAGTAGTTCAGCATCCATCGCTCATGGGCCTATGAGACCCACATTGTCAGCTCCTGTTAGATCTTCCTTGTATGATGCACTCAAGCTCAACAGCTGGTGTCTTGTACCTGATAGAAATAAAGCTTATCCTCTAGCAAAGCCCTGATTGACAGGTCCTGAAGCTTCAAAGATGCCGTAAGGTTGCCGTTGAGATCCTCTACATCTCCCGATTCGATTAAAGCATGAGCTATCAGGGTCGAATCGGACAGGGTCTCGCAATTTCCATCTCCGCGGTCGATTGAGACATATGGGACTTTTCCACGAGGGGCCTTGGAGAGAGAGCCGGGTTCCGTACGATAGGAGATGTTACCAAATCGAAGGCGAGCTTCTAGCTTGGTAACAAAGGGCGACCAAACATAGCATCCATTTTCGGCGAACCCTCGGAACACGGTGAAGCCGAGCGGCGATTTGTGGTCAGCCATTCTGGATACGAACAAGATCGCTGTTATAGGTAGTAAAATTTCGATATACCTCGGTGTCCGGTTGACTATGCAGGAGGAGAATAATGTGACGACGCGTCGATTGGGAAACGGAGGTGCGCAGGTACAAGTAGAAAAAAACAAAGAGAGCTCTTGTACGACCTGACTAGCTACAGCCCAGCGTCGGCCTCCGAGCAAACAGCGTTCGCGACCACAGCAGCCGCAGAATGCGAAGCCATTGTGGGCCAAGGATATCTGCTATCTGCATATTGTTCTCAGTACATCCAACTACCATTCAGATCCGAGGGTCCATCTTCCACGTTCAGCTATAGCTCAAGGTTGGGGTCGGTTTTAGAGTATAAGGGCAAATACCGTGGCCCACAGCATGTCAGCATCGGTGTTTGGCGAACGACCGCGCCGCCAAATGGAAGGGTGCCAAAGTGCGGATGTGGAGCCTAAACGGGAGATCTGCGTGTCGTGCGCCGGCTTCTGCGGCTTTTGGCATCCAGTTTCCATTCTCATGTTGATTCACAATGATTACAGTATTCAATCTCTCTAGTCTCCGTGTCTCTTCAGTTGCCTGATTGCATCCTTGCCCACATCTAGACTTCGCCATTGAGCTACACAGACAACTCAACAACACTGTAAAAATCATGAAAGATTGGCCAACTCCGGGATGTTGGTTTGCTAAGCGTGAATCAAACTATCCGATGGTCAGTCAGCCCACTGCCTGTTTTTGATGGGAATTGAGCACGCGAGACCTGAAAAGGGCCTTGAAACTGCCGTGGGAAATAGAAGTAGCCACCATGCTGGGGTTTTAGATCTGCTTCGCCTGCTATAACTACTGCTCCATGCCAAGTTATATGGTGTTACGGCAATCGCAATGATTCGTCTTCATTAGCTTTAGACCCGCCCGTGCGAGGGGGCTCGTGTCACTGGCTCTATGTGCACCTGTGGGCGCCCAGAGCTACCAACATCTAGAGTTCCAGACACTCCGACTACAAGGATTCTCCGATACCTGGACTGCCGGGTCGTCAATCAGGATCAGGCAGTTCTCATTCACTGTTGAATTGGTCTTTGAAGAATTAATTGACTGCGCCAGTGTCGACATTCGTAAAAGACATTGACCAAGGCACCTTCTCAACATCCATAATTGAAGCTGTTCTCATTTTTTTCGGGTGCTTTTAGCTGTTGTAAGACATCGTGGTCAGGGCTGAAGTTTTCGCCCAGACTTTATAAAAGCGAGAAAATACTGTTATCTAGGTAGAATTGGAAGAGTGTTGAGAGTAAGAGTAACCTATGCAAATGATATGTATAACGTCCGTGGCGTTTTGACTTGGACGCTTGGGGTAACAGTATAGCAAGAGATCTCTTCCGATGACACGGGGAATGTTGATATTTCTTGAGGTGACGGAGTAAGGGGTGGAGGCCGATTAAAGCAGCGATTCGAAGTGTAAAAAGAGCACGATCTTTATGTAAGTTTAGAATCTCGCGGACAGATACCCAGCAGGATGTTACGTAGATAGGCAGGCACCTGTTTACGATAATATTGAATCATATCTTACTATACCAGTCCGTCAGCCGGGCCATCCGTCAGGCAAAGGGAACTTATTGCGACGATCTAGTAAGTAGGTTGAATGATAGACTGTCTGCCAGGAGTATTTAGAAACAACGACGCGCTTCACTTTCTCAGACTCAGTCACCATCAGAGCAAAGACCTTCATGCTTAGCCCAATCCTGAACCACTAAGGCATTCTTCAAATTGCGTCAAATAACATGATTGCACGAGTTCATTCCAAATTTAAGCTTGCAAAGGTACAGTAACCTTACTATCTGAGCTGCAATGGTTGCCAGAGACCTTCTTGCCATCTCCATCCTTGTGTTCGCCGTATATCAAACCAAGAACGTCAATTTTCTCGGATTTCGAGACGCTGGGTTTAACAAGGCCTAACTGACCGTGCTGCAAATTAACAGTCAAGCCTTCAATTGTGTCAAAACTGAAGGTGTCGATGTTGATGACGTCCTCTGTTCGCAACATCTCACGCGCACGGATGGTGTTCATGATATGCAGTTCCTGTGGGGACATGGACGCCTCAAGCGCAGCCTTCGCCTTCGGGTCGATATCCTCGTTATTGAGTCCGAGATCTTCCATTTTCCGCAGAACAGCTTCTTTTTCTTCCAAAGGGACGGGGATGAAGGCCCTACAGCAGAAGTTGATTGTGTCGGAGATTTCCGACCCTGTCAATCGGGCTTTGACATCGACTGTACCCTGGATGACTATAAAACGGAGATAGTCAATCAGTATATAATCTAACAAGTTGAAAACGTTGAGACTTACTGGGTCGGAAGAATGAGAAGGCGCGATCGAAGGTCTCTTCGTCCCAGTCTGTCAAGACAGGACTATCTTTGTCCTTGATTTGTTTGAGAGCACTTAAGACCACAAGCAGGAAACGGGTATATCCTTCCGCAACCTTTTTGGAATGCCAGTCTGCAGCGGTAGTTTCGTCGCAGTCACCTCGCTTAGTGGCACAAATTGTCGCAGCTGCCGACAAGCCACTAGCCATTGCCAAGTGGACACCAGACGAGAAGAAGGGATCAATGAAGCAACCCGCGTCACCTACAACGCGGACGAACGGACTAGCATAGCTGGAAGCGCTGTATGACCAGTCAGATGCAGATTTGATTTCTGAGACCAGCTCTGCTTTGGCCATGAGACTCTGGATACCAGACACAAGTCTCAAATTCTGAAGATAGAAATCTTTGCTGGAGGGCGAGCCCAGTTTCTTTTTCTCCTCCGTCGCGGTTGCTTGGTTGCGGACGACACCGACCGAGACTACATCGCCGTGCAGAGGGATCGTCCAGACCCAGCCGCTAGCGTCGGCCAGGGCTTCGAAGTAAGGCTGGCCTTCATTAACACCGCCCAAGTCATAGGGCACCATATTCTTCCAGTATCCCCAGCTAGCTATGTTTTTCAGGCCTTGGTTGTACCGTCTGTTTTTGTAGTGCTTAGTGCTCACCAAACCGACGCGACCACTAGCATCAACTAGGTAGTTGAAGCTAATCATGCCGCTAGTGCCATCTTTGCGAGACCAACGAGCTGCGACTGGACGACCTGGGTTGGGGGCGGGGAATTTGGCTAGCTCCTGCTCCAGGGGGTCGTTCTTGTCCCATGGCTGGAATTCAAGATCCCCGACACGGACCCCATCAAAGGTCTTCGCGCCGCTTTGAGCAGCATGCTTGAACATCAAGTCATCGGCTTCGGAGCGAACAGTGTTCCAGGTGTAGCCTTGAGGGCCACTTGCAGCTACAAAGTCGGTGACTAGTCACTCGTTGTATTAGACGAAGATATCGAGTCGAGTTATTGGGTCTTAGGTACTTACAGACTCGAGGTTTGGAGTTCATCTTGAACATGCCACCTCTCTGTGGAATATCAATGTTAGTCAAGACCTGTAATGTTTTCTAAAAATTACATACCTTAACCTTGAATCCATAATTATCAAAGGTGGAGTCGAGATCAATGAAGCGCAGAAAGTGACGCATCGACGGGAGCATACTCTCCCCAATATGGTATCTGCAAAGAAATCATAAGATGGGTCCATTGTTTTTCTATTCTTTCACTGGCTTACCGAGGAAATATCTCAGCTTCCAGGAGCACCGCATCGATTCCTTCGCGCGCCAAGCAAGACGCCGAGTATGAGCCCCCAGGACCAGCACCGATGATAAGCACATCGCATTGTTTCGGAATGTCTGACATGGTGACCTTTAACCTGGCAATTCAAAGAATCTTCAAACACTGAATAAGAAAACTTGATCGTAAAGTTGATATCACATCTGAAGCTTGTCGTTTATGTATTTACTGTCGGTGGTCTACAAGTATCTATGTGCTCGGGAAATAGTCGTATATAGTCGGAGACCGACTTTCTGTTGTAGCTATAGTTTCTCACTATACGTCCATTTCAGCTTAGGATCTCGGAGAGACATGAACGGCCGGATTTGACAGAGTTAACTCAAGGCGTAAGATTACCCGGACTCCGAGAAGCACGTCCGCGTTGCTACAGTACACTCGTCGTTTCTTTTGCCAATATTGAGGCTGCTTAGCGAAGGGTAGAGTGTATCACTACCGCCTTATGGTAACTTGAAATGATACTTCCATCGATTGTTAGTCTATCCAAGAATCTAGAAAAGAAGACATTTATCTTTTCCTCCTTGTACTGGACAACATCGATTCACCAACGGTATTTTGGTGGATCTCTCATCGGCCTCTATCAAATCACACAATTGCCACCCAGGAGAATAAAGAAGAAGAGTCTATCTATGGAAGATAGCTTGTGATATATTCCATTCCCTCAAAGCTTCGACTTCTTCTTGCCCGTCACATTGGCGACTTCTTGTCCCGACAAAAGGAAGTCCGGATATTGCATGTTTCCATTGGTCGTAAAGCCGCCAGACATCCGCCAGTTCGCACCGTCGACTGTAGACATGTTAGTTCACTCTTCGCTCAAGTAGACTCCTGTTTTTCAAGTCACTGGAAGCGTGGTTCACTTACCAACAAGGGTCTGACCGGTAACATAGCTACCAGCATCAGAGAAGAGATAAACGGTCGCATCAGCAATATCGCGAACGTGACCAAAGCGGCCCAGAGGCTGGGACTTTGTGTAGGCTGCCATAGCGTCAGATGGAACCAGACGATCCAGTCCCTAGAATTATCGTCAATCTTCAATCCCGTGGTTATGTTTTTCGTTGGTAATCTCACCTCTGTCTGGGCAATGGGGCCGGGGGAAATAATGTTAGAAGTCACACCCCGAGGTCCATATTCGATGGCCACAGAGTTGGACAGGGAGTCGATGCCGGCCTTGGCCACGGAAACGTGGGCTTGGAAAGGCATGCCGCGGTAGTGGAGGGTCGCGCTGACGAAGATAATTCTACCACCGGTTCCACCAGGGGCGGGCTGAACTATTCCCGAGTTTAGAATTTGAGACTTGGGTAGAAAAGGGGGCTTTCGGCTTACGGGTTTCTGAATCCATTCTGTGCTTGCCGCCAGACTCGACCAGGTAGGGCAGAGTAGCCTTGAGAGTGTTGTAAGAACCAATCACGTCAATGTCCATGACAGACTTGAATGCGTTGACCGAGAGCTGCTCAATCGAAGCAAGGAAGTTGCCTGCAGCACCGGCACTGTTGGGAGAGTTAGTACGAAAAGCACGAATCCGGACGCGTCGACAGTCACTGGCAAAACATACATAACATAATCAATGGCACCAAGCTCCTTGACACAGCGCTCGACGGCAGCCTTCAAGTCCTCGAACTTTCGAACATCCACGGCGCCAATACCGATGACCTTGGCTCCAGGGCGCGAGGTGGCAATATCCTGTGCCACGCGCTCCGTCTTCTCTACATTGCGACCGATGATACACGCGTTGGCTCCGAGATGGACCAGAGCGCGAACCTGGGCACTGCAAATAGTGCCGGCACCACCTGTGCAGAAGACGACCTTGTTGGCTGAAGAGAATAGTCAGTCATTGCAGGTTCGGATATGGCCAAAGAGGGGGGGGGGGGGGGGGAACTTACCGAAGATGCCCTCCTTCCAGATGTCGCTAATGTACTCGGACTTGGGTAGAGGCATGGTGAAGTGTGTTGGGAGAAAGACAGAGAGCTAGATTCAGCGAGTGATCATATAAAAAGAGCTGAACAGCTGAATAGCTGGATGATATGTGCACTTTGCGGAGGGCAGCGTGCTCCCGTCGCCTTTTCCCCACACGCCGCGGGTTGGGCCTCGGCTCGGTCGGAAATGCTGCTGAGATGTGCCGGTCGGCCTGGCACTATGAGCACACTGATCCAATTTCACCGGATTATTATGCTGCACATCTGCTGTTGAAGCCATTGAATGCAGATTCCGAGGACCAATAGGAAACAACACACACAGAGCCTTCTCGTTTATTTTCCGGGGAAGCATTGTGCCATGGAATCAATGGGATACACTGTGCATCTGCGCTACTCTCGGTGTCTAAGGAGACGGTCTGATCAGCTAGGAGTTGTATTCTATAATCGGAAGATAACTGAAATAACGGAACATTGCAATATAAGGCTCGTTTCCTAAGCTATCTCTATCATACGATATAAAGCTATTGTCGAGCCAGCTTCTCCAGGCTGATGAAGAACGTGCGGTCGCTGATTGGATGGCGCGTGCACGTCACTTCCACCCGAAGACTTTCAACTTTCCATCCATCTTGACGTATCCATTGAACGACGGGCTATCCATTTCCGAGGCCTATTGCGCGCCCTTCTTGACTCGATTCTAGCCGGTCGCGCATTTCTACCTCCGACATCATGGCCTGCCCTATCACCATTTCCAAGTTCGTCGGCACCGTGTCGCTGGGCCTACTGACGGTAAGCCAAGAGCCACTGCGAGAAGCATTCAAGCGATGCGATCACATACTGATATCTTGCGATTAATCTTTCTAGGGTCTGTCCTATTCTACTGCTACTATCACCATCCCCTCCCTCCAGCTCCTACCGACCGCAACCACCGCCTCCCGCTGTCTCCATGAGGTGAAGCGCCTCAACCGCAAGCATGCGCTGCGCCTATCCAGCCTCGCCAATACCTGCCTTCTCTTCGCCTATTGCGTCTCTCCTCCGCGCCGTCAACATCCGTTCCTCGTTTGGATGTGTGTCGCATCTACCGCTAGCTCGTATGGCCTCGACCTCTGGTTCAACCGACACATGGGCTTGAAGAACTGGTTCTTCAGCATCGTCTATGATACTACCTGTGTGTCCCTTGGCAGGAGCGCTTCGACCAAGAAGGATGATGATATTGTGGTTGTTGAGGCCGAGGAGGATGTGAATGGCGAGAGCGTCCGGCGCGAGATGGACAAGGAACGCCGTCTACAACGAGCTCGGGCCTGGCTCTCGGGGCTTGCTTTATCTGTGGGCGTTGTCGGTTTATGGGGAGATAAGAAGTGAGGACGGAGTTGTGACTTGGTTTTGATATCTACTTGTTGCGTGGAGTTGTCTGGTGGACTGGTTTTCGGCCAGCCATGATAAACGGATCTCATATGTTTGACTATTCCTTTCTGATGTTGTTTTCTACTCTGGCGCTATGGCGAAAGTGGTTGCTTAGGGGATCATTCTTATGTCTGGACAATTCAATTACTTTTGTACAAATTCCACTGATCTTCCCGCCCTTTTGCAACGTCGTTAGGATTCATAGATAGTCAAGGCTATCGAGCATGGCTTTGTCCCATTAGCATGGGCTTTCTGGATGGATTTCTCGTCATATTTCTAAATATTACGCTTCCACTGGGCAGGGCGGAGGTAATATAATGGTCTTTTCGTTCACGCTTGATGGCCACCGCGTCATTATTCCTGTCCGCGCTCATTTCCGTACACATCTAGTGAGTATGATAAAGGTGCCGATATGCAAGGTCCCACAGCACCTCCTAACACAGGCTTCACATATGCATTCGTCTGACTGATAACGTTCAGGCGCCCCCCGAATGATCCGAGAGTCCAATAGGATCTCCCCTACACGAGTGATGTGGGATTTCGCTAGGCACGCCTGACTCCAAGCAAGTGGTGGTGGTGGGGGTGGGGGTGGATACTGGGGTTATTCTTCCCCACGTTGAGGTCTCCCCAAAATTGAGACTATAATAGCTCATCTTCAGTCTTCAGGGTAGTACAAACACACAAGAATATTTGGCTTTCAACATTGGCTTCTCCAAAATGCTTGCAAATCTATTATTCCTCCTTCCTGTTTTCTTCCTATTTCTCCATCTCCTCCTCCGAGTGGGTCGAGCGCTCTTTTCTCCTCTAAAAGACATCCCAGGTCCTTTCTGGACTCGGTTCACCTCATTATGGTATTTCAGCCGGGTTCGCGGTGGCCAGTTCGAACATGAAAATATCAAATTGCATCAGCAGTATGGACCCATCGTTCGTATCGCACCCAATCAGTATAGCATCAGCGATATATCAGCCATCAAGACCGTCTATGGAACGGGCTCGCAATTTGCCAAGTCTGCCTGGTATGATGGCTGGAAACATCCACAGCAGTGGACCATATTTGCGGATCGTGATATAAAGCGGCATGGTGATTCCTCTCCCAATCATCTTGCGTATTTAGTTCCTCACTCACGACGTTTCCAGCCGACACTCGTAAGCGATTTACCAGCTTGTATTCTATGAGCTCGCTGGTTCACTACGAACCTTTCGTCGATCGTTGCGCTGATATCTTTGTCAATCGCCTCGGTGATTTCGCTGACAGTAAGAAGATTTTCAATCTTGGACATTGGTTCCAATGTTACGCTTTCGATGTAATCGGAAATATCACATTCGGTGAGCGCTTCGGTATGTCAGAATTAATACTTCTTTTCATATCTTTGACTCAACGCTAATCATTGCAGGATTCCTGGACCGAGGAGATGACATAGACGGAGCTATAGAAGCTGTCCACAAGGTAATGGTGTACAGCACCTTGGTGGGCGTCTATCCCGAATGGCACCCACGCCTCTTTGGCCTACTAAGCAAGTTTAAATGGTCCGGTGCTGGCGGAAGGGCCTACATTAGCCAATTTGTTCGAGAGAAGATTCGAAACCACCAGAAACCCGATGCTGAAGCACCGGAGAGTCTTCGAACACAAGATTTCCTTGAAAAATTGATACTAGCGCACGAGAAGAACCCCGAGAAAGTCACCGAGTACCATCTCTTTATCATGGGCCAGTCGAACGTGACGGCTGGATCTGACACGACTGCTATCAGCCTATCGAGCATCATGTGGCATCTGCTGCAGAACCCTGATACTTTGAGCAAACTGGTTGCCGAGGTTGATGATTTCACGGCAAAGGGTAATGGAAATATCACTTTCAAGGAGAGCCAGGACATGCCTTATTTCCAAGCTGTTATGAAGGAAGCGCTGCGAATGCACAGTGCTACCGGCTTACCAATGTGGAGAGTAGTTCCAGCTGGAGGTGCTCAGATTGGTGATAGATTCTTTCACGAGGGCACCATTGTTGGTGCAAATACCTGGGTTGCACACTATGACGAGCGAGTGTTCCCCAACCCAAGGACATTCCAGCCAGAGAGGTGGCTGGAAGCGGAAAGTGAGCCTGACAAGTTGAAAGAAATGAACCAAATGTATATGCCGGTAAGTCACACGCTGGACCTATGTTAGGCAGAGCGCAGTAGCTAATTCACACCCTTAGTTTGGTCTGGGCTCTAGAACGTGCCTTGGCAAGCATATATCGATCCTCGAGATGTCAAAACTAATCCCACGCCTTCTTCGGGAATTCGAGTTCACCCCTTTGAGAAACAACTGGACCACTCAAAACTTCTGGTTTGTGAAACCTATGGATTTCGAGGTTCAGGTAAAGCGACGGAACACGGAGCTTTTAGAATGAAGTAAATAGATACTTCGTCATATAGTCGATTTCCCTAGCTCATACCAAGATTCAATCTTCGATACTGCATAATAAGCCCATTCACTTCACCCATATCCGTATGATCATACCGAGAGAGAGTCTTGTTCTTCTCTTCCTCGTCGTCATTTTCATATTCACACTCATTCGTCGTTGACATGATTTCGTCGACCATAATTTTAGCCAACTGCCAAAACTCAGATGCCTGGCGAAGAAACCCGACCTGTTTCCATAGATTTTCGGGCGTGTCTGGTAACCCGGCATCTTCCGGAACTCTTTCGCACCAGATACGACGCCAGTTCTCGAGACCTGTCTGCACGGGTGCTAAAGTGGACTCGAAAACAAGGGAGTTGTGGAGGTGGAACATGAGCGAATGGATTGCTTTGTGAAGTGTTAGTAGGTTCTTGACACTGCATAATGAGATTATATCACCCACATTGAACCATCGTAAATAGATTTAGAGTCCCGAGATGGGAATACTCTTGCACAAGGTCATCATCAATCATATTCTGACAGACTCTCCGGACGACTGAAACCACAGATATGCGGTTCTTCCAGAATCGTGTTTGAGCCCATCCACGGATATTTTGGAAACATTCCTGGGCAGACTCGGCTTGGAAGCATGATTCGGGACATGCGACATCCATTTTTAACTCTGAAACAACCATTCTTGGAGGCGAGTTGTGCAGGATCGTGAGTGCGGCATCTATCAGGAAGATGTATGTCATTGTTCTAGATCTGTTAGTAACTTATTTTCATCGAAGTCAACCACTGGCAACAAATACTTACCGAATAAGCTCCTCTTTTTCCACAAATTCTCTCCACCAGCTGTCAGATGCCTCCTCCAGGCGGAAGTGGCGGTGAGAGGCTTTTTTTGGTCCAATACTCCTTGTCAGCTGTAGACACGTTAGTTACAATTCAGTTCAATCATCTTTTAGGAGAATGATATCATACCGCCACCATTGACGCATGTCGATGGCGCCTGATTCTTGCTTGCGCTTCAGCAGTTCCCTCTCGTTTCTGAAGCGTGCAAACTAGATACGACGCTTGCAAGCACTGTAATTTTTCCTTCATGGATAGCTTTGTGGACTGATCTGCCGTAGCCTCGCGTCGAAAACATTCATGGCTGAATACAAGCTCCTCGACACTATCCATCCACTCCCGTGCAGCTGCTGTATCGTGTGCTCGTGGAGAGAGGCACGCGCCAATGACGAGCATGACACATAATAGCGGTGATGGAGCCGATGGGGCATGAAAGAGTGGCTTATGAACGATAGGACAATGTGGATACCACAGTGACCAGAAGTACTCCAGAAAGCGACGGATGTTTTGAGGGGAGAAAAAGGTCGAACATCTTGCTGATACTGACGCCGACCATTCCAGGGTAATAGAATCATCTTTGCGTCTGTTGGATGATATAGATCGAATACTGTCAACGATCTCTCGTGATTTCGATACAAGAACATCGCTATCGGTAGATAATTGAGAAGCTTCCTCATTGAAAAGTGACGACTTTGCTTGTGAGTTTTCGACCCCGTGCAGTAGTTTTGCGTCGTAGGCTTCGGCTGCCATTTTTTGCCTTCGAAGGAATGACGGGCGATCAGTAAACGTAGACAGTCCTCTGGCACTTGTGAAATATGCCATGTATTCCAGTTTCTCCGCTAGAAAAGTATCCGAGGGAATGCGGGGAAACAGGAGAAAGTCCAAAGATGAAAAATCTAAAGGCGAAGGCATATTGGCCAGAGCATTGTTAGAGAGGTCTAACGAATCACCGAACATGCCACAGCTATAGTCCTCAGTGCTGTGAATCTGCGAAGCGAAGTCATCTGTTGATGACTGAACCTGTCCGTGGGCATTCAATGCGTATTCTGAGGTTTGAGAACATCGCTGACGCTTCGTGTCTCTTCCATCTAGTACGATATCGAGACCTGGATCATCGAGTTGCCCCCGAGATTTGCAGGTTCGCTCATGGCGGCGGAGCACGTCCCTAGTCGCGATTGTCAGGTACCGATCTTGTGGAAAGTTTTTTGAGCCTTCGCCAATAATATAAACGGGTCATACTTTCGATTGAATGCGTGGCTGCAGAACATGCAGGTATGTGGCCGGTTGCTGGAATCTGCCAACATTTTGTGAGCAACCACCCAGCATCACGTAGAGAGCAGACTGAAAAGAAGAGACATACGTGCCGCCGTGTGTCTTTTCAAGTGCTCTGGGCGACTAAATGTCGCGAGACATGTAGAACAGCGCCACTCCGAGGCCATCTGCCCTATTGTCCGCTAGTTCGGACCTGACGGTAATAAAATGGATGAGAGGAACACTGGCGATCGTTACGTTCGCTTCAGGTTGGAGGAATTCATGCGGGGAAGTGGAGCCGAAGCGGACCGAAAGCAATCCGCGAGTTGGCGAATAAGGCACAGAGCCAACGCGAGACATGACAATATACAGAGGAAATTCCTTTCACAAAAGCAGCCGTAGTCAAGCAGTAGCCCTTCTGTATAAATCTTGGTCACATCATCCCTTGTCCTAAACTCTCTTGAGATGTCCAGTTTTATTCAGGCAGAGTGTTGCTCTTCGACATTGCCCCGCATCCATCTCCTGTGCGATGAACAAACCTACCAATCGGGTGGCGTCTTTACTTGCTGGAGATGATAGTCCTTACTTCTATCAACGGCAAGGCTGAGGGTAGATCTATTGCGCAATCCGATCATACCCCAAATTTATCAGCGGTTGATTATAAATATCGTTCTCCTCGTCGAGAGGTCAAACTCGTTGGAATGTCAAATTTTTGGTATATATAAGCAGGTCCCTTGGCCCGTTTTCGTTGAACAACACTCACCACAGATTAAATCGCGAATCAAGAAGCTCCGAAGAGCAGAATCATGAGCCAAATTAAGGCAGTCTTCTTTGATTTCATGGGAACATGCCTAGACTGGCATAGCAGTGTGGTGCAAGCGTTCCCTCCGGAAATAAACAAAAAAGCGGCATCGGATCTAGCCCTCGAGTGGCGAAAGCAGTATTTTATTGCAAATAACCAGCGTTACCTTCAGGGTCTCGCCCCTGAAGATATCGACATAACGCTCGCTCGTGTTCTCGACCAAGTTCTCGATCAATTTCCCGATGCCAAGCCTTACCTCAACACAAACGCTAAGACACGACTTATCGAAGCGTGGCACTCGCAACCAGCTTGGCCGGAGGTGCAACGGGCAATACAGAGTATACGAAAGGACCTCGGATTGGAAGTATTTGTTCATGCCAATGGAACAACTCGTCTTCAACTGGACCTCACACGGTCCTCTGGGTTGACCTTCAACATGTTATTTTCCAGTCAGCTCCTAGGCGTGTATAAGCCCAGTCCCGAGGCATATCAAAAGGCACTGCAACTGGTTAAGCTTCAGCCTGAAGAGGTGGTATTGGTTGCAGCGCATGCCTATGACCTACGAGGTGCTCAGAATGTTGGGCTCAAGACCATATACGTCCATCGATGGACAGACGACATCGACGAGGACATGGAGAAAGTGAAGACCGAGTTTGATTTTTACTTGGAGAATATGGAGACTCTGCCAGATGTTATTGCGCAGCTCTAAAGCAGGAAGTACATACAGAGAGTTCAATCAGATACTCTTTGTTCTACACTGGGTGTGTTCAAGTTGGGTTGCGGATGATTCGTCACGGTCGGATCCCTGCGTTTTAGATTTTTTTTTTGTTCCTGGATCTCTGGATTTACAGGAGGACACAGTCCCAAAACGATGTAAATAAGTCTCGTGCGATGCTGTTATTTATGCTCGTATGATTCACAGTTAGACAGGTTCGCGCTAGCGAGTGGATATGTCTCTGCTAGGGAGCTTCCATCGAACAACACATTGGATTTGCTTCTGACTGTTTTATTAGCTCATTATTATATCAAATCCCTTCGTATGAGAACTTCCATGCAATGTCTAGAATACCTGCGCTAGTGGTAGGCGAAATGACCGAATAAATTAAACCCGAAAACGCTAAGGAGAACGCGGAGGGTCGGAAATGAGACCCTTGTCGCGCCGCCGTAACAGCTTTGATGAGCCCCGAGAATCGGCCCTTTAGGGCTATCGACGGGTCTCTTATGAAGGCCAATACCCTTGGGAGACTTAGAGTCATCCATAGTCAGTGTTTTCTTGCCACTCTTGACCATCCTGACTGCCATGGGGAACTTCACTATTGTGAACGGCCAAGTGTACACGCCTGGCCTGGCAATCATCGACGCCCCACAACCAAACACGCCGCTCGGAGGAGGCAAGCCGACCTGTCAAATATGCTCGAACAGACGAGTGAGACTAACACGAATGCCCAGAAAACCTTCAAGTCGCGATCGACGTCTCGGGAGATGGCAAGCTCCCATGGCCACCATCCACGCAATCCGCAGACTCGCCGACGCTCTTCCACAACATCACCCTCTTCTTGACCTCCGAAACCCTGTCGCACAACTTCACCATTTCCAATGGCACTGAGCCAGCGAACAATGGCACCGGCTATGTCGGACCTGTATTGGATTTGGAACCCTCGTCCACAGTGAAGCACGTCAACTGGGTGTGGCCCAAGTGCCTTGTTGGCGACGGCACGAGCAGCGATGGATCGGCCCGAGGCGCCTATAACATTTCCATGCACCAGTCTTTTCGCTGGAATGGCACCGATTATTATACGGTGTTTGACCTGCCCATCTCAGTGACGAACAGCATCCCCGAGAGCTCCGACCGGGTGGACTGCGCCTCGCTGGAGAACCAAGTGCTCAGCATTGCAGAGGTTGAGAAGAGCTCCGACACGCTGCCGGGACAACCATGGGTTCAGAATGGAGCGAGCACTGAAACCAGTACTGGATCGAGCGCATCCTCAACAAAGACAAGTGCTGGGGTGGGCATGACGAGCCAGAAAAAGAAGACGATGCTACTTCTTGCGACCGTCGGAACGGCTTTCAGCGCGCTGCTCCACGCGCTGTGATGACGCGGCGAGTAGTTTTGCCCCTTGATTTTTACCCCATTTTCTATTATTGTTTGGAGACCAGTTTTTTGGCATGTCTGCCTAGTCATAGACAGGATGGTTTATTCAAACGTGTTATTATCATCATGAGCATTAATCAAAAGAACATGAAGCGACAGGAACCACCGATCGTCATCCTTCGGCTCTATACTGTAGATCTGATCTCATCCCATGGGCGATCTCCCTTCATTGGGCGTCGGATGTATGAAGGGCCTCTTTCAACCTTGGGGTTACCCCTTGAATTGCTACGCCTTTGACACGCCAATCCACTGGAGTCTTGGATGTCTGGGCATTTTCTAGGCACAAAGCATCCTCCTCTTCTCCTCCCCATTCTTCTTTCCGCCCATATCCGACCAGACCATCCTCTACAATATGCAACACCCCTCCGTATCTTGAATCGATCCCAGTCCAGCTAACGACGCTGTCGCCCTTTGCAACGTCCACTCCTTATGAAGAACCCCTTGACATCCTATCCGCGGACTCTGCGCCGGACGCTGGTCCGAACTCGTATCGTGCGCTCGCTACTTATCCTCTTCATAGCTTGGAATCTCGTCGAGCTCCACCTGATCCTACGCCGCATTTCCGCAACAGACATCATCTACCGCGAACAACCCCGCCGCCATGAAAGGATATACATTGCGATGGTCAACTGGAACAATGAATACATTCTACGAAGCCACCTGAGCAAGGCCATCACCGAGCTTGCCTGGAAATTGGGCCCGGATAACGTATATATCAGCATCTACGAAAGTGGCAGCTATGATAATACCAAAGGCGCCCTGGTCGAGCTTGATGCGGAACTCGAGCGTCTCAATGTACCGCGGAATATTACCTTGTCTCCCATCACACATGAGGATGAAATAGCAGCGCCACCCAAGGGCGAGGGGTGGGTTGTGACGCCGCAAGGGAAGAAGGAGCTCAGGCGGATTCCATATTTGTCGCGCGTGCGAAATTATAGTCTGGAACCGCTGCACGAGCTGGCGAAGCAGGGAATACATTTCGATAAGATATTGTTTCTCAATGATGTCGTGTTCACGGTTCGTAGGCTCGATGCCAATTCTCTGAAGTCTTCTAGATAGTACTGACCAGCGGGCTAGTCAAATGATGTCTTTGAGCTCCTCGATACGAATGATGGGGACTATGCTGCAGCTTGCTCTTTGGATTTCTCTAAACCACCGTACTATTATGACACATTTGCTCTCCGCGATTCTCACGGCCATGAGGCTGTCATGCCTACCTGGCCCTTCTTTCGCGAAACTTCATCGCGTTATGCGATGAAGAACTTGCTACCAGTACCGGTGAAAAGTTGCTGGAATGGGATGGGTATGATATCCCCGTTTGACTTACATATACAAATACTGACTGATGTTGATGTAGTGGCAATGCCTGTCGCGCCTTTCCTGGCGAACCCGCCCCTTCGCTTCCGAGGTATTTCGGATTCTCTGGCATCTTCTTACCTCGAGGGCTCTGAGTGTTGCCTCATTCATGCAGATAATCCTCTTTCCGCGCACCATGGTGTCTATCTCAATCCTCTTGTTCGCGTTGCTTACAGCACTGCTGCTTATGTGGCCGTGAATCCCACTTTGAATTGGCTATCTCCGAAGACAATCCTGCAAGGGTTGTGGTTGAACAGAATACGTCGCTGGACGACTTTCCCTCGTTTCAAGGAGAGGATGATTCATAACCGGATAGCCCGTTGGGCTAGCTTGTCTCCTGATAACACAGAGCCTGGGGAATTCTGTGTTATCAATGAGATGCAAGTCCTCGACCCTCGGGGTTGGTACCATGTATAACCTCTATATACAACAAGATTGAACTCGGTCAAATCATACATTAAGTTATCAAGTAAATGTCAAAACGTACATGCTGCCTGACTCGGCGCCACCGTGCTGCATTCACACCCTTTTCGGGGCTGTATGAGTTGCAGAATCCCCCCGAACCGAGTCGCTCCGAACCTTCTCATATTCAGGAATAGCCCACCGGACCATCCACTCCGATTTCAGCACCTGTCTTGCAGTGACCCGTCCTTCAGGGCGGAACACCAACATCGATCGAAGCATGGAGAGAAAGGCCTCTTTCTCCTCATCTCCCATTGCCTCCATATCCCTATCTCTTCGGGGCTGTTGTACTGCATGCTCAAACCGTGTTTCCATGTCCGGGTACCGCACCGCTTGCATCGGCCTCCCTTCCAGGGTGAATCGTTTACGTTGAGCATCAAACTTTCTCCCCCAAGTGGACCACCATCCTACAGGTAGTCTTCCTAGTGTGGCAACCTGCTCAGCGGTGATATTGTCCTGCGCTGAGAAGTAGCTTTTGAACAATGGGAACCACGCAACCAGATCCCACAATGAGCACGCGAGTGTCCAGATATCCGAAGCAAATGTCATTGGTGTTCGGGTGTCCCAAAGAGCTTCCGGGGGTTGGTAGGCGGATGGGGCATTTGACTCGTGCCGTGCTTGAAGTGAAGGAATGTAAGATTCTCCAAAGTCGATGAGCACTATTTTGGCCTCGAGAAGTGCTATCTCATCGCTAGTCTTCCCCAACCAGACTGGTTGGACGCAGTCGCGGGGTACAGCAGAAGTGAGTTGCTGGCCATCCACGCGTACGACCGGTGTGCACACCGGTGCTCCGTATTTCTCGTAGATAGCCTCGATCGAAAGCTCATTAATGTCAAATGGCAGGTGAAGAAGCACGTTCGACAAGTTCACGTCCCCGTGAACATAGCCTTTCTCGTGAACATGCGCCACAGCAGTAACAAGTTGAGCCGCCATCGCTCGAGCAACGTTAATGCGAAACAGACCTTTTGAGACTTCATTTTTGCGCGTTCTAGACATGCACCAGCCGCAGTAGTAACATAGCAAGGGTGCTTGCCATTAGGTCCGCGGGTCTCGAACGCGTCCAAGACTGGAGGAATCACAGACCTCATCGTGTCTGCGTCAAAGTTCGGGGACATTTGAAGACATCTTATCACATCCATTTCGAGTGGGTTCGAGTATCCAGCACCGACTTTGATAGCGACGTACTTTCCGGAGGCTTTGTCAGCCGCCAGCCAGGTTGTCGAATACGTTCCAAATCCCAGCTTGTGTATGACGCGATAATGTTTACCCAAGGTGTCCCCGATTTCCAGCGGGTGGTAGCCGCCAGTTCGGTAGCGTTCAAGCTTCTCGACCGCGTTCAGTGGGAAATAGTCAATCTCGGCGCTATCGTCGTCGGTAGGATCGGTAGAGGGCCTGGGGACTGGCATTTTGGTATGTGTGAGGAGGTCCTGGAGTTGATGATTTGAAGATATTCCGTTGTAGAACGAAGCAATCAAGACTTGGATAATTCAGGTAAGAGATAGAGAACGCGGAAGGTATGGGGGGAGGAAGAGGTGTTGGGTAGGTGAGTGTATCAAAAACTGGAAGTGTATCTCAATAGGAAGCCATGGCAACCCCATCTCTCGAGACTCTCGTCACTTTCGGAGATCTCCATGTAGTTTTAGGCTTTGAGATCCATCGCCATTTAAGGTAGAGCGAGGAGAAGCACTGTACAGCTTGAATTTTATAATCACACTTGACACTTGCATATAAGAGCTATTTGAGCTCAGTTGATCACAGAGCACACCAGTCTAGATAAACACCACAATGCATGTAAACATTTGGCATCATCCAAGAAGGTTATACCTCCACTACGGCTGTAGAATCACTTAACTAATTCTTCAAATCCTCGAAGGAGATCCGCTTTCAAGTCGTCCACATGCTCGACTCCGATACTCACGCGAAGAAGATTCGGTTTAGCAGACGGGTCAACCAGCCTTCTCTACTCAATCTGGCTCTCGACACCTCCAAGGCTCGTTGCATGTTGGAACAAATCGAGTAATTCAGTCAACTGGCGACTCATCCCCTCAGTCTTCATCTACAGCGCAAACACGGGTCCGACTCCATTCGGCATCTGCTGGCAGAGCCAATGCATATCCTCGTTCTGCGGACTTGCATGACGAATTGCAGCGACAGTCTGTTTGACGACATTGTCGGTTTCACTTTGAAGACACTCGTCAATCCATCGCACTAACTCTGTCGCATTCTCACTTTGCCTTTGCACGCGCAGTTCCAATGTTCGCAAGCTCAGAAGGCCAAGCCATACCTCCATACTTATACTGCTTGCTTCGCCAGTGGGGTTGACCGGTGTTTCAAGATGGACGACGTCGCCTTCTCGCAATGCATCCAGATCATCAAGACCGATGACTTGAAATCCAGTCAGTTGTTGGTACAGCTCAACGACTTGGCGACTCCCATAATATCCACTGCCAATCGCAACGCGCTTTGGTTTGAGGAAAAGCAAGTAAGCATTCACTGCCGCCAACCCCGATGCATAGGTCAATGTTGGACCTCGAATGAGTGCTGAAAGGACTGTCTCGACTCGCGTCCGTGTTGGAGCGTGTGTTCACGAGTAGACGAAATCGCCAACCTACTCATCGGCTACGTAAGCATCTCAGAGCAAATTCCTTCAGCGGCAGGAGTTTCGACGCACTGCAGGTCCGGCTGTTTCGCCGTTTTCTGTGGTATTTAGGGAACGGAACGGTACTGAGATGGATCGGGGGAGCGACATCCGATTCTTGAGGGACATCATTGTCCGCGTGGAGAGCCAAAGTGGCAAGGTTCTTGTGCGCCATCGTGATGTATCGCCCCAATAATGCTATAGAGGAAAGGATGCATATGACTGCTCTGCTTTTTATCATATATTCCGTTGCTATACACTTAGCCGCCATACTACGTACGTCAGATCGAATTAAACATTTGGACTCCACTGAGTCATGCTAAACGGCTATTGTCGGTGGCCCCACGTTCTTGAAGTGCCGATCAAGTATCAAGCTGATTAGAGATTCCAAACCCCCTCATAGAAAGGGTTGATATGACAGAAAGTGATTAGACTTATTGTCAATGAGAAATTGAACATTAGCGAGCTGGCCTACATAGCACTCTATACATGATATTTTTGAGTCGTGTCAAGCATTCGCTTGTCCGCAACCGACCACTTGAACCTCTCAGAACTTCGAGACGAGAACATTAATTATTCATGAATTATGTTAAATCTTGGAGAAGGCCCGGAACTATATACAATGGCAATCTCCACGATGCGGTAATAATATCCTTGCGGTGAGCGTGGATCCAGACACGTTAGCTGCCACAGGTGAAGAATAGCATGGCCATTAGGATAGAGCGATTGACTCAGGATCTGTGCCAGATTGAAGCTTGTATACCCTCTCTCTATTCTCCTGGAAATCACCCTAGCACCCCTAAATGAGTATACTCGTCTGTCAGCACTCCGTTGGTGGAGTGACAGCCACTGCCAGGAAACATATATTGGTGACCCAGGGGATCCCAGGCATAACGTTCCGGCGGTAGGTCTTTAGATGTCGCTAGTGATCAAGTCTTCGGCATACTATACTGAGTGTTTAGGCAGCTTCTCGTCTGAGGATGCTGGCTCCACCATCAATGGCGCTCCGGGAACAGGGCCAGGGGCAGGCTTTGGCGGTGTAGGTGGTGTAAACCAAAAGGTCGGATACCGCCGATGCATGTTGTTATTAAACACCAGAGCGCAGCACATGAGCATAGTAGAGGAAAGCAGAACCACGGGTAGATAGTACCATGAGAGATTCCAGATTTCATCATTAGTGGCTGGGAGCAAGGCAGTAGCACCGGCAGGTGGGTGGGTAGTTCCAGTGAGCTGCATCACAACAATGGCAATAGCGGTTGACAATGAGGCTGCGAGCCAGCGCAGGGATTCAAAGCGGGCTTGGTCGGGCATCAGACTGAATAGCTTTGTAACGCAAACACCGATCAATGCGCTGAAGAAGTGGCCAAAAATTAAGGAGCGAGGTTGAGCAAGCGGGCTTTCAATAGCGCCAAATACGAGAACTGCGGATGCACCCTATACGTTCCAACACGGGCCAGTCAGCAATCGAGGGGGTCAATGCAGGCAGGTTGATGAGTCAGACGATGAATAGATTTTAAACTCACATAGGAGGCGATGATGCCAGGCACATGACGTGAGGTAAAGTAATGGGAATAGTTGAAAATGCTCTGGAGAACGGAGAGGCCGCAGAAAGCTGTAATGAAGGACCATGCGGCGACCTTCCAAGTAGCCAGTGGCTTCGGAGTCTCGGCACGATAGCCAAGCCAGTGGCTGATCCACGGCGGAAGGCGAGAAAGACGTGACGGCGGCATCAGAGTGTTGCGAGAGAGCCAAGATATGAAATAGAAGGTCAAAATTGAGAATATACTTGCGGTGCCATATAACGAGGAAAAAGAAATGAGAATTGAGTTATGAATTTCAAACCAGCCCTGGGCTTACGTGATATAGAATGAGGAGAAAAGAAAAGTTCGTGAGGAGAAGGCGCGCGTGCGGAGAAACGCTCGTTTTGGGGCATCGAGTGGGTCGCGCACCCTTTTTCTTCACGTAATGGCAGCGGCTGCCATTAGCAATAGCGTTCGCTCTCTCCAACTAATGCGGAGTAGGCAGTGTTTCCACGGAATGAAGATGGTTCAACAGCCAGATCGTGATATAAGCCTTGCAAGTAGATGTCGACTAACGGCCGTCATTGGCTAACTGTAAATTAGACTTATTTTATCAACCAAATAAGGCCTACGAATCCCAGGCCGGCAAATCAATGAATACCCTCCGACTTGCCTAATCGAGACAATTGGACTTTCCCCACACAGCGAAGGTACTGAGGATCGAGCTAAGGACTAACTAAAGTCGATCCTGACAGAGCGTATGAAATTTTTTTTTCTACTTCGGTAGTACCTTCTTTTCAGGCTGTGCCTCAAACAACAAATTTGGGATTTTCTGGGAACGATAGCCGCATGCATAAACAACGTTGCTAGAACATTATAAACCGCTCCAGATTTACCGATCGATTTTGTTTTTGTCACCGTAGGTAATTTGTGGCTACGAGAAATCTTTAATAGGAGAAGCTGCTGAAGGATCTTCTTATGGGGTTAGAGAGATGCCTGCCTGGAGTATGTTTGATCGATCCGGTCTTCTCGCCATGGGGTCGAATCCATGCATGATTTTGTGTCTAAATGGTCGTAGTTCTGACAATCGTCCTGACTAACTGGCATCTTTGCAGAATTGGCGATCTGCTCGGCCATTCACAAATGACGAGGCGAACACTATGATGAAATAGGAAAGGCTGGTCAAAACTCTATATGTTGACTATGATCACAGACAAATCAATGCGTCTGGACTGAATGGCTCATTAATTAGAACCCCAGAAGCCTCATTCATCCGAGATCCATGATCTAGGATGAAATTCACACTGATTGTCTAAGTGGGTATTTACAACTAGAATCTGAGGACCTGTGAAATTGGCGCCGAAAATGACAGCCTCTGGCGCCAGAAACGGCCGCCTTTCCAGCCGTAACTTTGGACGGCGAGCCGTCGCTTGGCCGCCCACCACCTTGTACCGCCCACTATTCTACACTCAACTAGTACTGTTAGTTATCCTCTGGTCCTAATGCTGCCGCTTTACTTCACTAATTGTTCCTCACATTTCTACTAGCGACCAAAATGACGCCGAAAATGGCTCCCTTTTGCAGCTAAATCCAGGTCCCCTCTCTTTTCGCCTAGCCTAGTTAGGCGCTTATAAGATGTTTTACTACCTTCCTATGTTTTCCTTATCCTAACTCCTACAGCCTACTCCTCCGACGAAACAGCGGTGGAAGGGGGGTGAGAGATCACCGAACTGGTGCGTCATAGCCAACCTCATGGGTGGCCTCAGGCCGAAAAGTGTGAATAGCCTCCGGGGGGGGGGCCAATACCTTAACACTTAGGCTTAGGCTAAAGAGCACTAGTACTAGACCGATCCTATCCTTTACGAGGAAACTCGAGCTAGACTAGAATATTTCTATAGTCTTAGATAGCTCCCTCTAAACTTTAAGCTAAAGACGCTGTTAGGTATTCCCGTCGTTAAACGCTACCTATTAGCGAAAGTAAGTTTACCCTTACTCGGAAATAGCCTCATGATAAGGAAGTAATAAGCGGCAATTGTGAAGGGCTGAAGCCGAATTGATTCAATACTGACTAGGCCAACATGCTGTTTACAAAAAGCTTGAAGTAGGGAAGGAGTGGATCAAGCTGAACACTGGTAGAAATAGGGGTCCCTACAGGAGATAGTTCCCTACAGGAGATAGTTGAGCTGAACAATTTCATGATCCACCATCGACTCTTGGCACTTTGCCATCACATATACACTCGGGTCCCTAGGGCAGTGGCGGAACGGAAGCGTGTGGGGAAAGCGGCTATATGGCAGGGCCATATAGTGAGAAGCGGGTCTGGCCCGTTACAGGAATAGATTTTATATTTACTCGAACGAGGACTATATAGACTATCTTCCTATAGAGGATTAAGCAATATATATGAATTTTTTCGCCTGGATATTTAAAATATCACGAGGGAAAGTGCTTTAGTCGTATAACGATTACTGGCGCCGCCTTTATTAATACTTCGAGCTATTCGCCCGTCGCCGCGTCAGTTGATAATGCCCGTAAATAGATACGACGAGTAAGGGGTGTTCCTTTTGTCCTTAAAATAGGAGTAGGCTAATAATAGTATAGTTTCTTATAGCTATATTTACGGCCGAGCGTAGAATCCCCCGACGAACGACGGATAAGAATACTCTAGATATCCGAAATTGCCAATCCGGGCTATTTGCTACGACCGCTCCTTGGGGTCTCGTTGCCTTCACCGTTTGGACACAACAGTCTACTGCAGCCTCAGTTCAAATTGAGGGAGTCAAAATCTGGGTTACTGTCTCTCGGAAAAATACATATGCCATCTTTTCCACAGTCTTTCTGAAAGTTGCATGTGTAAGCCCCATCAGGATTTCATCCAGCGAAGTTAACTTATCGGGTCTACGGTTCTATGAGTCCCCCCAGTCCTGGGAAAAATCGCCACCCATAGTCCAGAATCGATTTTTGAAACGACATCGAATGTGGGCAGGCAATAAAAATGTATCCATCCATCTACATCAGGTGACTCCAGCCGGACTGGTGACTACCATGCATCAAGCCGGCGCATCCGCAAATGCATCCCCTCAACAGGCTTCGTCGTCAACGCGCCAGTAATATGAATTTCCTGCTTCGGATCCTGCATCTCAAATGAAAACCGGCCAACCACACCCGCCACCGCACACCGCAGCTCCGCACGCGCAAAGTCCTTCCCAATACACGACCGCTGACCATGTAGGAAAGTAATCTGCGCGAAATTGGTTGATGCACCACCATGGTTGTTCGGCACCAAGTTACCATTCTTGTCCTTGTCGATCCACCGCTCCGGCAAGAACTCCTCGCCGTTATCGCCCCAGAAGACTGGGGCTCGATTAATTGCCCACGGGCACAAGATCACACGTGTGCCCTTAGGGATGTGAATACCAGCGATTACAGTATCGCGTATAGATTCTCGAAGGGTTGCGGGGACTGTGGGGTAGAGGCGTAGGACTTCTTGGCAGACACCGTTTAGTAGAGGTAAGGATTCGAGGTCTTGATAAGTTATTGAGCTGTTGGCGCAAGGGATCTTTGCCCGGATTTCAGAGCGGAGACGCTCTTGGATATGTGGGCGTTGGGTTAGTAGGTAGCAGGCCCATGTGATAGCACGCGCGGTGGTTTCGTACTAGAAGCGTTGGAGTTAGCAGATATCATAATGTTGATTTAACTAGCTGGACAATGTAATCAATCACATATCGATTTGAACATTGAAAATTAAAAGTGAAACTTACTCCCCCAGCCAGGAATGTTAACATCTGATCCACAAGCTCTTCGTCCGAAAAGTCTCCTCCTAGCATCATCGTACCAAGGATATCAGCCTCAAGATCCTTGACTAAATTCTTAGATACGTTCAAGGCTTGTCGCTTATCGCTGACAATATCTTGACAGAGATCTCGAAGGAAATTAGTCTCGTTGTCGATTACTTTATTCATGCGCAAGGGCAAACGCCGCGCCAGCCACTGTGGCAAGATGAAATTTATGGCAAAAAACACCAGCTTCTCGAAGCTAGGCTCACGAAGACGGAAAAAGCTTTCCGCCACAGGATTGTCATTTTTCTGTAGCGAGCGAAAGTCTCTTCCCATGGCAGCAGGGCCGATGATATCGAGAGTTAAACGACTAGAGAAACATCATCAGTATGCCGAACCATCGCGACAATTTCCCCCCTCTGATCAAGCATTTGCATTATTTTTTTAGGTGCCATGAAAGGTTTTAGATAGTTCAGTATAGTATGAATCCCTACACAGTTCATTATGAGCAGATAGGTACCAAGTTACCTACCTACCAGGGTACCCAAAAATTCATGCAAACATTTGGCCAGAGGGAATAGGACAGCACATACCTCCCCCACACCCCCATCTCGAGCGTACCCTCCCCATCAGCCAGGTTAGTCCCCTGCATCGGACTAAGTCTCAACTCTTTTTCCATCTCCTCCAAAAGCTGGTTGGTCTTACCCCACATCAGGGAGTACATGGCGCGAATCTTTTTGATATTAAAAGCCGGAGTCAGCGCCCTCCGTTGCTTCTTGTGGGAAGCGCCCTCAGACATGACCAGACCAAAGCCCAGGATGCGGGCGATGAAGTTGCGCGCACGCCAGGGCTTCTCAAAGTCATAGACATTTGTGCTCATGACATCTGCCAGGGCCTGATGGTTGGTGGCAAGCAGATAAGACTGGCCGAGGATGTCGTGCAGGTGGATTAGCCCTTCATTTGGGATGGTCTTCATCCAGAGGAGTGGCCTGCACCTACGGGGGAAGTCAAAGAACTTGAGATTGCTCAAGAAGCCCTACGAATCATTTCTTAGTAGCGATTCTTGATGTGTTTTGATAATGCTCGCGCGGAGTAATACTGACCGGAACCTTTGGCAGATGACGCAGCGGGTTGACGAAGAACGGCCAAATGAATATGGTATAGAGGCATTTGAGAACAATATTGACGACAAGCAAGCTGAGAAGTATGGCGCGGAAGGTCTCGTGGGTGACAAAGGTGCGATGGAGGAAACAGGCCTCCGTGATGGTGAAGGCCATCAGAGCCAGATAACTATCACCGACTGCCATGATGGGAATTCTCACACAAATAACCGCCAGCAATCCAGTGGTGATAACTCGACTGAAAATTTTAAGTATGCAGAAAGTAATTGGTCTCGTTTGGAGGAAGGAAACTTAAGAGAAGTTGCTTACTGCCTAAGTGATCCATTTTCAGACTTTGCTAATAATCATCTCGTACATGTGGCCAAAGAACAGGCTACAAGAAGACTCCTGAGGGATCTGCAGCTGCATCGGACTAGATCGGCCAATTGGAAATTCCAAATTTTGTTCAGATAAGATCGACGATGCTCCTATCACCATCGCTTTAGCTAGCAGCGCCAGTCGTCGCTAGCGGTAATTTTGAGGAGATCTTCCTTGACCTTCTCAGTCCTGACCGCTTTTTTATTACTCGGAAAAAGCTTCGGAGGTCATTTCTTTACGCTTGTCTCCTCTCCCACAGTAGGTCGTGCATGTATGACAGGTCTTACCTGTGGGCCTGTTGCGAGACTCCTGCAAGACTATACTTCTGCATATGCTCCCAAAGACCTCAGAAGGATTCCGAATTGCTCAATAGTATTTCACAACACTCAAAGGAAAAAAAGTAGAGAGAGAGGAATTTCGCGAAGAAAAGAAAATCAGGTACAAATGAGGTCTAACTTGAGTTTGTGTTTTCCTCTTTGCCACATGCAATATGCTTGACTCAGTGCCGCGAATACGATTGTATTGATACTGCTAAATCACCTAGGCGCTCAGGCAGAGTCATAGACGGTCGCTCTTCGCATATCGCGGACATACCGTCCCTGGTATGAGCCTCCGGATGATCGGTGCATTACACACGTGTTATCCTGTGGAAATGAGCATCAGATATTGCTCTAGCAGACCGGATAGTTCGATATTGCGTACCCATATAATCATATCCCCGTTGTTTTCCCAATCCACTTTGAAAGTATATTTCTCTTGACTTGCATGCTGCATTAAAGCCTCGATCACAGGTTTGCTAGCTGATTTGGTCCACCCGTCTATACGGTATGCATGCGCCGCAATGTACAGGTTTATCCGGCTGCTCGGTTTGTGTACTTGTACTAGACGATGAGGAGCGCGCGCAACTAAGGGACGCGGTGCCAGGCGCAACAGAAGGAGCCGGAGTAGGCCGAACAAGCACATTGAAACCATAGTAGTGTCTGCCAGGCGAACCCAAAATCCCAGGAAGCGAATGGTTAGCAACTAAAAACGATGAGCACAAGGTATCAGCCACAGATAAGTATGAGTTTTTGTGACTCGGTATAGAAAGGTAGTAACATACTAAAATAATGAGATAGGGAAGACGACGGAGACCATGCATGTCCAATGTCCAGTCGACAATCTTGAAGATCCAATTATCCGGAACTGCCAAGATTCGACTATGCAGTATAGAATGCCACAAGACATAGTCATGGATCTGAGTCTTCATGTCATCATCCAGATCCTCATATGCGCTTCGGGTATCAGCGAATTCGGTCCCGCCGGCACTCCCTGGCGGAGGCAACTGGTGGGCGCGGAGGAGAGAATATCCCGCTCGACGGTGGTTGAAGGAGCAATCCACGTGAAAGAGACCATTTCCCCGGAATGCTTGCGCTCGTAAACTATTCACTGACTCGATATTGCCATTCTGGTCCACATTCCCAACGTCAGTCAATTGACTTTCGGGACCGAGTCGGTACAGCGTCCCGGAGTTCCTCACCACCGTCGAAACATCTAGCTTGCCGAATTGACGCGCCAGGTTCGTGTGGCTCGTATCGTCGAGGGCAGTATTGCGAAAGACCAGGACTCCATATTTGGCCATCGCGGCGCGAATATGGTCAATGGTGTCTGTAGACACTGGCTGAGAGAAGTCTACACCCTTGCATTCGGCTCCAAATGTGGGGTGCAGTGGGTTGAAGGTTAGACTGGGTTTGCTGATGGCCATGGCACAAGACTGAATGTTAACGGAAGAGGAATCACTGTTTCACAAAGGTAGATTGTGCACTAAGTGTACGTTGAGAAAAAAAGGGCCGTGGCTCAATCAATCTATCTGTTGTAGTATGCCTGGTCGTCGGATGATCTCTTCCAACGTTGTCAAACGCAGCCAAAAATGTGATCTTTGGGAAGATTCAACCTTTCGCGTGCTAACTCGATAGCCCTATGTGACCCGTGGCAGTGAAGGGAGAGCTGCCATCTGAAAAGCGGAAATATTCCTTGTTTGAGGGTTATGTGGGCTGGAAATACGGCTTGTAGGTGCTGGATGGCCGCATTACATAGATTACCAAGAAATCGAAGCCAACATTTGAAATCCACATAGTATCCAATGATATTCAAAGTCTAGCGAACTACAGTATTGAATCATGATTCTTGGCAGTGTGCGAAGATCAAGTTAGAAGGTACAAGATATGGCTCCACATTCTCCACCTTATGGGATCGACAGGTGCCCAGGTGGATCATGTCCAGGCGTACTCTACAGCTGTATTAATACGAAAATTAGGCATTGGAAATGATTCCTAGAGCCAGGGCACTAACTGCGGCGCCGGCTCCGGCGACTCTCGCGGTTCAAACCACGCAAAGTGAGCTTGGCATCATCGCCGAGGCTCCTTGCCGGCTCGTTCTTTCTTATTCTTTCTCCTTTCCAGACAACAATCTATATTCAAGCGCAAAACATTCAGAAATTTCATGCCGATGTCTCGTTTCGATCCCTTCACCCTCTTGGATCTTCCTTACCGCGTCGTGGAAAACCATTCGCTTGACGCTACGCTCTTCATTCCAACTCATTTCTTATCTCGCTCCAATTACAAGCAGAAATGTCCAGTGATGGTCCATTTCCACGGCGGTGGCTTCATTCTGGGCCACCGCCGCTATGAGCCCTGGTTTGCACAATGGTTTCTGGACCTCGCACAAGCCCATGACGCGATCATTATTCGCCCCGACTATAGACTCCTTCCCGAATCCAGCATGGCCGATATCCTCAGTGATGTGGACCATTTCTGGCGCTGGGTGCAGTGTGATCTGCTCCGAATTGCGGAAGAACATTCGTGGGGGGTTATTCCTGACCTCTCGCGGATATTGTGCTGCGGGGAGAGCTCCGGGGGCTCTCTGGCGGTGTATTCGGGCCTTGAGCTATCATCTATTCTATCTGGTGGGACCGGGCATGACCAAGAGGCAGCTATAAGCGGGTGCACGGATGTTCAAGTTGTCATCCAGGCTGTCATTTCCACATATGCGCCACTTGATCTTGATGTCCCCGAGCTCAGGATCCCGCGTCCTAGGACCATTATGGGCATGAGACCACCTCCACCCAGGCAGGCCGAAATATTAATCAGGAAATACATGCAGAAGGTACATCAATCGGGCAGCATACGGACATGGCAAGAACCGACTCCTGAGATGTGGGAGCTGTTCCTATGCATGACACAGCAGTGCTACTTTAGCCGGTTGCTCAGGGGAAAAGGTGGAGGCAATAAAGACATGTTCAATATGGTTAAGAGGATGGCAGCAAAAGTTACACAGCAACACAACAACCCAGAAGGAAAAATGACTGGTATTATTCCGGTTTGGATAATTCATGGGATGAATGACACGCTGGTCAGTCATCTCTTTTGTAATCCTTGATGTCTGCATGCTAATTATGGATGCTTTCGTTAGGCCCCTCCTCTTTGTTCATCGAATTTTGTACAACGGTTGAAAGAGATTTCTCCAGCCAGCCCAGTCAGATTTGATCTATTACCTGCGGAGCATCTATTTGACGTTGAAATGGGTTGGAATGAGAATTGGATAGCAGAAGGAAGACGCTTTTTCTTGGAGAAATATTGGTCTTGATGATATGTGGTGGAAAGGCTAAATCTTCTACACGGAAAAGCAAATCGTTAGCCTCTTCATCGGGTATCCACTTCGGCGATCTGTACCATTAACAGACTTCGATCCTACTGTATGTATTACGTACGTGTCCATAGGTAACGTAGTCAACGGCCACCCTGGCCACCCACCATACTAAACGCGATTGTTGAGCTGTTCATATCTCAACAACGAGAGGAATTTTTTACTTTATTCTTAGTATGCTATAATTCCCTAGTTTCATAAATAGTTTACCATAACTAATATATTCAGAAAACGATTATTTACTTACATTACCAAAAATACGCACGAATCGAGCGACATAACAATATACATCTCGATTATCACTCTCTAAAATATTTCTCGAGCTTATAAAAATACCTAGTATTATACTAGCGTTATATATTTAACACTAGATACTATAAGACGATATAATTAGCCTTAAGCGTTGAAATATGACGTTGAGAAATCTTGCATTTTGTATGGTGATTTGGGGTGGCCAGGGTGCGTTATTCAATGGAGACGCTAAAACCTTACACAGGAGCTAGATCAGGGTAAGATAAGCGAGAGCTGATTACGTTCCTCGATCGCCCTTCACTAGGTTAGAAGCCGCATTTATCGAAGTTGTATACTAGCCGTAAGGGTACACTATAAAGCAGCTACGGTGACACCTCATAAGTTTTAACAACACGCCGGGACCCACTAATCACACCGCCCACCTTTTGCTTTACCGCCTACCTAATGGCTCACAAAGTCACGGTACAAGGGGTCAAAACCATCTATGTTACTGCTTGAAAATCTACTCTGAGATAGGGGGTAGATCTTCGAATTAGTGAGCAAGTTTCTAGAGTGATAATCGTGCCATAATAGCTGTATGGTTAATCTTTCTTGGGAGGAAATCTTACCGGCAGAATATTATGTAATTAATGGGAGTGGGGCTATTGTTGTTTAACACTTACGAGGCTAGTCCTACCAATACGCGAGGAAGCCAGCATCTTCAGCTTGGATTCGCTTCGATTTTTAGTCTTTGCTTTACTAGCACAAGATATAGGTGATCTAGTAGACGTGCTATAAAGCGATATGCCCACATCTTGCTGACCTACTGATCCGGCTAGCCCGATCGGGCGAGCGTGCGATTCGCCCACGATTGTGCGATCGCTACAGTAGGAGGAAGGTTCCAGCTATACATTTTGGCAATCCAGCTAATCAAGAATTTCTCCTGGTATGCGCAAAGGGTACTCGATACGAATCCTTCGGTGTAGTAGGCGATTTAGCCTTTTTGACGCGACTGGGAAGGGTAGGATAAGACACGTCGAATTCACGCGCTATTTTCGCGCTATTGGGTTTTTTTGTGGCTCACTGTGGCTGCGAACGCCTTAGCCATGCGATCTTCATCGAAATTGACATATTTAGGCATGTTGGGTGGTTGAAATGGCTGATTGTGTGGTGTATTCGAAACTCTATGAAGAATGCATGGCGCACCCATCCGCTCCCGTGTATGGGTGGGCCGCAGCGTGGCGAAAGGCACTATGATCAACATACTCCGCCCGTAGTACAGTACATACAATCCACTACGATCACGGAAAGAGGAAAGTAAACTTTGCATAGAAGAGCCATGATGAAAGCAAGTACTAAGGGGCGGGGGAGCACATAGTCTAGCTTTACCCAACTTCCAAGTTTGTTCAGTCAATTGAGGCTATAAATACTGACTAGTATATTATCACTTAAGGTGAACTATCAGAGCACTTGAGCGTAACTCGAATTCTCATTGCCTCCGCTCAAATTCTTGTTTCCAAGACTCGCCACCCATTGACCCTCTATTGACTCTCCAGACTCTCAATATGTTCCAGCCAATACCCTCAGGGTCGAGTGTCCCTATCGCTATCTGCGGCATGGGAATGCGATTGCCTGGCGGGATTCACCACGAGGAAGAGCTTTATAATTTCCTCATCGAGCAGAAAGATGCTCGCTCTATTGTTCCCCCCAATCGATACAATGTCGACGCCCACTTCAGCCCTCATGGCAAAAAAGGCACAGTAATCACGCGACAGGGCTACTTCCTTGACGCCGATCTGTCAAATTTTGATCCCACTACATTCAAAATCACGGCGACCGAGGCTTCTCACCTGGACCCTAATCAAAGACTGTGCTTAGAAGTAGTTCGCGAAGCTCTCGAAAGCGCCGGCGAGACAAATTGGCGGGGAAAGAAGATTGGAACATATGTGGGCTTGTTTGGAGAGGACTGGCAGGATATGCGACAAAAGGATGCCAGTTTCAACAGCTCCTACGGACTGATCGGCGCGCTGGATTATGCAATCGCCAATCGGATTTCATACGAATATGACCTAAAGGGACCCAGGTGAGCCATATCTCGTCCCTTTCCCGGAAGCGTATGTATATTGACCACGTGCAGTGTGATGGTGAAGACCGCATGTTCGTCAGCCGCAGTTGGCCTACATGAGGCGATGCAGGAGATCCAAAGAGGCAACATCACTTCGGCGATCGTGGCAGGAGCAAACCTGATCTTCGCACCTGGAATGACGGTCGCCATGAGTATTCAAGCAGCACTATCCCCTGAAGGATCGTCCAAGTCATTTGATGCAGCTGCAGACGGCTATGCTCGCGGAGAAGCTGTCACAGCAATATATATTAAGCAGCTTGACGAGGCGATTCGAGATGGGAACCCCATACGGGCTATTCTTCGAGCATCATCCAGCAATTCTGATGGAAGGACACCCGGATTCAGTACCCCGAATGCCGACTCTCACGAGGCAGCCATGCGTGAGGCATATTCGATTGCTGGCCTAGACTTCTCTCAGACCGCAATGGTAGAGGCACACGGCACGGGGACAGCCACGGGTGATCCAATCGAGGCAGAGGCAATTGCTAGGTGTTTCGGCAAGGAAGGAGTGTACATTGGCGCGGTACGTATTTTTTAGTTGATAAATGGATTACCATGTAGCCTTATGAAAACTTATCAAGGTCGCAGGTCAAACCAAACCTGGGTCATAGTGAAGGCGCCGCAGCTCTCACGAGTCTCATCAAAGCGGTGGTCTCGCTTGAACACCAGACAATCATCCCGAATATCAAGTTCAAGACACCCAATCCAGCGAGTAAGTTGCTTTATGCCTGCTTTTCCATATCCTGCTAATAGTTATAGTCCCATGGAAAACGGCAAAGCTACAAGTCCCGGTGAAGGTTTGCCCATGGCCCATGGATCGTGCTGAGCGAGTGAGTGTGAACTCATACGGCATTGGTGGATCTAACGTCCATGTAAGATGAATCTCTGTACTAGATAACAACCGCCACTGACTCTGCCATCCAGTTTATTCTGGACTCGGCTGCCTCCTTCAACCTTGGAAGACCAAAGTCAATCCCACCAGCGGTCAATGACCACAGCCAGACAAAAGAACTACTGATTTTCTCCGCTGGTCATCCGGAATCTGTAAAGTCGATGGTGAAAAACCATCAAAATTATCTAGCCAAGTTCCCCGATCGTTTGAGAAAAATTGCTTATAATCTCTCTGAGAGAAGAGAGCGACTGAAATACAGAGCTTTCTGTGTCTCAAATGGGAGTCAGCTGCTGTCTGAGACTGCCCCAGCGCCGTGCAGGAATTTGAACAAAATTGCCTTCGTGTTTACAGGGCAAGGAGCCCAGTGGTATGTCTTCCTTCCTTTATTCGGTCTTCCCAATGTTGTCATCGCGTGTCATTGCTAAGGAGTGTAGGGTACATATGGGACGTGATTTGATGTTGGAGTTTCCATCTTTCCTAGAGAATATTCGATCCATGGACCGTGTATTAAAGACCCTTGAACATGCACCCTCTTGGTCTATTGAAGGTAAGTTGACACATATCAAGCCACTTACCAAAAGTGGACTATACTTATAGAAACAACAGACGTTCTTTGCCACACAGATGATGCAAACGTCTTGTCACAACCAGAATATTCTCAAACAATCTGTACTGCTCTACAGATCGGACTTGTAGACCTGTTAGAATCATGGGGTGTCAAGCCATTCGCTGTCGTTGGGCATTCCAGTGGCGAAATAGCCGCTTCATACTCAGCCAGATCTTTGACGAAGACAGAAGCCATTATCATTGCCTTCTACCGCGGTCATGTCTGCAAGGACCCGCCGCAGAAGGGGGGGATGGCAGCCGTTGGGCTAGGTAAGGCAGAAGCCGCTGCTTTCTTGCTTTCGGGAGTTAGTGTTGCTTGTGAAAACAGTCCATCCAGTGTGACTTTGGCAGGGAATGTGGATGCTCTAGAGACGGTTATGGCCAAGATCAAGAAGGCGAATGAGGACACATTCGTTAGAAGACTGAAGGTGGAAATGGCTTATCATTCCGGTATAGGCTTCAATACCCATTTGAGCAGTCTCACAAAGCTTGATGCTAATACCGAGAAATTAGACCACATGGGTGATTTGGGAGACAAATACCGTGACCTGGTCGCTAGCCACCTTGACCCTCGTCCGCCCAGAATCCCATTTTACTCTAGTGCGTATGGCGGAACGGTACTTTCCGAGGCGTCTCAATTCGGCCCGCACTACTGGCAGGAGAATTTGGAAAATCCCGTTCTCTTTAACGCCGCTGTCAAGTCTATGGTTTCTACAACACCTCAGTTGGTTCTATTGGAGGTTGGACCACACTCGAGTCTGCGAGGCGCACTAAGCCAAATCACACAACCACTTCCCTCCACAGTCATTTATGTCCCCACGTTGGTCCGCGATAAGAACGATACAGAGTCGTTTCTTTCAACGATAGGCCAGCTCTTTACAGCAGGTGCGGATATCAGAGCTCATTCAGATCCTACCGATGCTATAGTGCTACCAGATCTGCCAACATACCCATTTCATTACGAAAAAAGTTACTGGGTTGAGTCAAGAGTGATGAGCAATTGGCGATTCCCGAAGCACCTTCCACATGACTTGTTGGGTATTCGGACTCTGGAAGGAACTGATATGGTCCCAGCTTGGCGAAATAATCTTCAGCTTTACGAACTTCCTTGGCTGAGGGATCATCGGGTTGGGAAGGATATCGTATTCCCAGCTGCTTGTTACATTGCCTTAGCTGGCGAAGCCGCATTCCAGCTGACCGAGGGCGATGCACGGGACTATACTGTGAAGTCTGTGGATCTTCATCAGGCTTTACTTCTTCAGGAAGACGCCGCGACCGAAATTGTTACAACTCTTCGCCCTCAGCGCCTGACAACAAGCCTCAATAGTGACTGGTACGAGTTCCTGATCGTATCGCATGATGGAGAAACGTGGAAGAAGCATTGCTCTGGATTAGTACGAATCGGTCGTGCGTCTACGCCACCTCCAGCCTTCAAAAAGGTAGCGGAGACCCTCCCCAGAAAGGTCTCATCAACCCGTTGGTACGAAGCCAGTGCCCGTGTCGGACTGAATTATGGCCCTTGTTTCACAGGCCTCCAAAAGATCACCGCTGGCGTTACCGAGACCAGGTCCGCGGTGGATATCATTGATAAACCTGAGACAGCATCCGAATCCATATACCCTCTCCACCCAATCACTCTGGACTTGGCCTTCCAGGCACTGACAGTAGCCATCTTTAAGGGTGACTATCGCACGGTTGAATACCTCCCTCTACCCAAATTCCTCGGAGAGATCTATGTCGGCCATGGCACAGGTAAGAAGATCCATATCTCCTCCACGAGCGGCGGTCAAAATTCGTCTGGTGGTCATCTGTACGGGATCGGGGAAGACGGGGACTTGCTCCTCTACCTGAAAGATCCGGTGCATATATGCCTAGAGAAGGACAGTGATGGCCCAGAGCCAATGGCTGTCACTTTGGAATGGAAACCCGACTTTTCCCTCCTCGACAGTGGCAAACTGACCAGACCAATTTACGATATCCGAGAACAAGTCATATTGGGCGAGAGACTCTACGTGCTCTGTGCTCTTGAGTCTAACATCGCCTTACAAGGCGTCTCAACAGCGCAGCCACATCTTGAGCGGTATAGGCAGTGGCTGGGGATTCAATGTGCGCGATTGGCAGAGCCCGGCTACATTCTGGCCGAGGATTCGGTTGACTTGGTCAACATGGCTTCCGAAGATCGCCGCAAGCTGATTCCCAAGATTCTTGAGCAATGCAAGGCGATCGGTTGTGGTGATATTGGAATCGCAATCTGGAAGGCATATGATCAGCTGGTTAACATATTTGAGGGGGAAACGGACTTCCTCGACCTCGTCATCAATGATGGGACATTGTCAAATGTATATAATTGGGCCAACGACATGTGGGACGTCAGCGAGTTTTTCCAGCTCCTCGGCCATATGCAACCCCAGATGAAAGTACTCGAGATTGGAGCTGGCACAGGTGGGCTGACTGCCAAGGTTCTTGAACACCTTCGCTCGTCGTATGGGGAACGGCTTTATTTGCAGTACACCTTTACAGATGTGTCGTCTGGTTTCTTTCCAGCTGCAAATAAGAGGTTCGCAGAGTACCAGGCTATCGAGTATAAGGTTCTCGATATCTCAAGACATCCGCTGGAGCAGGGGTTCCAGCGCGAGGAGTACGACCTTATCATTGCCTCCAATGTGAGAACTGCACCACAACACTCTTTTGGAATAATCCCGCTAAATGTCTTGCAGGTTCTACATGCCACTCCCATTCTGCATGATACGCTTGTTCATGTCAGAACTTTACTGAAGCCTCAGGGCCGGCTATTCTTACAAGAGCTCTCTCCAGGTAAGTCTTAGGCTTCGCTTTCCAAGGTTGTGACAAAAATATTGACTAAGCTTTGATAACTGCAGTTGGAAACAGCATGGGCTATATCATGGTAAGTCCTTTTTTCATTTATGCAAGTGAAAGAAATCCTGACTTGAAAAGGGCATCTTCTCGGGCTGGTGGCTCGGGGCAGCAGACGGCCGCGACGAAAAACCTTTCATTTCGCCTGAAGAATGGGATACAAGGCTGCGTTCTGCAGGATTTAACGGGTGCGAGACGGTCAAGTTTGATAATAAGAAGCCGTATCACCTCAATGCAAATATCGTGGCCCGGCCAGCAATCGAGGTTGAATATTCCCGAACTATTACGCTCCTTTCTGGCCCATCCGCAATCCATCCGCTGGCATTCAAGGTGGAGACACTGCTACAGCAAAAAGGATACCAGACGATGCACTGCCAATTGGGTGATGAGCAGCATACTATCCCGGACCAGGATCTGATATCGTTTCTTGACCTTGATCAACCTTTCTTGAAAGCCCCAAGCGAAGCAGACTGGGATCAATTCCTTCATACAATTGGGACTCTGCAACAGGCATCTGTTCTTTGGCTTTTACCTCTGACGCAGATAAAATCGAACGATCCGCATACAGCATTGATTCTTGGGGTGACTCGAACCATCCGCTCGGAGCTCGCAATGCCCCTCAGCACTCTTGAAATGGAATCTCACACTAGTTTGGAAGCGGCAGTTGCTGTGGTTGATGTCCTCAACAAATTGCAACAACACAATGAGGATGACGGGGACCTCGATCCAGACATGGAGTACTGTTGGGCTAATGGTGCTGTGCATGTTGGACGGTACCACTGGTACCCAGTCAAGAAGGCCTTGAAAGAAACGGCAGCAGAACCTGCCACAAAGGTGTTGAGGATTGGGACCCATGGACTGTTACAATCTCTGTATTGGAGTGGATGTGCTCTACCTGAGCTTGGAGCAGATCAAGTGCAGATTCAAACGCAAGCTGTTGGATTGAACTTCAAAGATGTGCTTGTTGCCATGGGCGTGGTGGATAATGCCTCAAAGGATGCTATTTTTGGCGTGGAGGGGGCTGGATACGTTAGCAAGACCGGCGCAAACGTTGACCATCTCGAAGTGGGAGACAGGGTTGTATATATCGGAGCTTCCACGGTTGGTCTGGCGACGGAGGTCCAGAGACAGGGATGCTTCACTCTGCGGATACCGGACCGCCTCAGCTTTGAGGATGCGGCGACCATGTCTGCCGCGTATGTCACGGTACTCCTTGGTGTTGTTGAAAAGGCACGTCTTGAACGCGGACAGTCTATCCTCATCCATGCAGCCACGGGAGGTGTCGGCATTGCGGCTGTCAATGTAGCACGGTGGCTTGGACTGGACATTTACTGCACGGTGGGTAGTGAACGCAAGGTGGAATTCTTAGTCCAAGAGCATGCCATTCCTCGCGATCGGATTTTCCATTCGCGTAATACCAGCTTTCGAGATGACATCATGGCAGCGACTAATGGTGTAGGCGTCGACTGCGTACTGAACTCTCTCTCGGGGGAGTTGTTGCACGCCTCATGGGAGTGTGTAGCCGCATCGGGCTGCATGATTGAAATCGGGAAAAGAGACATGATCGGTCGAGGCCAGCTGGCTCTTGATAGATTTGAAGACAACCGCACGTATATCGGGATTGACTTGAGCAGATACATTGTCACCAACCCCACCAAGATCATGAGGCTAATGAACCTGATGTTGCATCTCTACAATGGGGTCCACATCCGGCCCATCGATCCCATCACTCTCTACGGCGCCAATGAGGTCCAAGACGCCTTCCGGTACATGCAACAAGGGTCCCATATCGGAAAGGTCGTCATCAAGTTTCCGGAGGATCAAGGAGCACTTCGATGGACTGTAGAGACACCCACGCCATCATTCAAACAAGATCGAGCTTACCTCCTGGTCGGTGGAATGGGCGGGTTGGGACGGGCCATTGCTACATGGATGGTTACTCATGGCGCCAGGTATCTCATTTTCCTGTCGCGCTCTGCGGGGACGTCAGAAAATGACAAGATGTTCATCCAAGAGCTTGAAGCAAGGGGTTGCACAGTACAAGCCTGGGCGGGAGATGTCGCCGATCCCGTACTCGTCAAGAATGCCATCCAGCAAGCGCCAGTGCCAATTGCCGGTGTCATGCAAATGGCGATGGTCCTCTGCGACGTGGGAATCTTGGACATGAGTCTCGAGGATTACCACACTGCTCTCAAACCAAAGGTGCATGGAACCTGGAATATCCACAATGTATTGCCAAACGAGTATCTTGACTTCTTCGTCATGTTCTCTTCTGTCTGTGGTCAGATGGGATACTATGGACAGGCCAATTACGCTGCTGCCAACACCTTCCTCGACGCTTTCGCGCAGTATCGACATTCTCAAGGATTGAAAGCATCGGTCCAAGATATCTGCGCAATCAATGATGTGGGGTTCATCAGCCAAAATCCCGCTGTCAAAGTCTCCATGCAGGCCGGATCAACCCGACTGATCACCGAACAGGACTTCCTCGATACACTGCAGTTGACTATTGCGAAATCATCCAGCCCCTCAGTCTCATACCCTGCCAGAATGGAGGACCTGGGAACTGGTCTTGTGTTTCACAACCCAAGCCAAGTCACCCAAATGTCGGAGTGTCAGTTACCCATCATGCACCCAGAGAACCACATCATCTGGAAACGTGACCCTCGCATGGCCATCTATCGGAACATCGAGACAACCTCTACAAAAGCCGAGACCACGAGTAACGGACTGAGATCATTCCTCTCGGAAATTAACGATGACCCGGCCCTACTCCAGCAACCTGCAGCTGCAGAATTTCTGGCTCGAAAGCTCCGAGACCGTGTGGCAGCCTTCCTGATGCGGCGAGAGAGTGAAGAACCGCTGGACCTTGGACTCACGCTCACAGAGGCTGGTGTAGATTCTCTGGTAGCAATCGAAGTACGGAATTGGTGGAAACAAAACCTTGGAGTGGAGATATCTGTGCTTGAAATGAAAAACGGAGGCAGCATGCTTGATATTGGAGGGCTGGCAGCGAAAAGGCTCCGGGAAAAATTGAGCAGCAGTGCGAAAGTTGACTGCGAGTTCAACTATACCTGCGCGGGTCTCAATTGATAATTATCAAATCAAAAAGTCGAATGTGTCCTAGTTTTGTTTATTCCAATTTGAGCATTTGAATTTGGTTACAGTGCATGTATGTACCTGGCTATTTTCCTAGTAATTGTGCCTGAAGTGTTTCACAGAAGATATGTGAGCTGGTATGACGTTTGGGGCATTATTGGAGTGCACGGGAACAGCCAGTTGAGCTTTTTCTGGGCCTCAGCACTCCAGTGGTGCAGAGGACATTCTTACCGCAGTCAAACACCGAGTATACAGAGGAGTTTTAAAACAGTTTACTCCCCAGACACACACGTTTCCTAGATTTCTTTGTTCGATAGCCTATTTAGGCTATCTCTTGTTTTTGCTTCTTCCTGTTCCTTAGAAGATCTCGAGATAATGATTAATAAATATTTACCCTGCTTCCTGGCTTCCTGTCCGTAGCGACGTAGTTTCGTCGTCAATATCTATATCGATACCGAATACGATGGCTCTAGAACAGCTGTAATGAATACCTTCACCTGATTTTATATTCCAAATGTTAATTTCTCGAATCAAGATTTTGTCGGTCGCTTCACCCAAACCTCCTTGTCTGCATTTGAAAGAATTTCCCCACTCCCTCGAGTTGGAGGATCCCGTAGCTCAATGTCCCACAAGTTTAGCTTATGACTACCACTGTCTCCATTTCCAGTGAAAAGGTCAAATTTCCAACCATGTCTGAAACATCTGATGCCGGCTCCGTTGGAATTTCCTAGGTCTTCAATGTCAAATACGTTGCCTTGCTTCAGTGGGAAGGATGAGTGTGGACATTGCTAAACATAGTCAGCATTAGAACCAAGCCAACAATCCCAATCTTCAACGTACATTGTCAATGGCATGAATGAATCCCTTGTATTTGAAGACCAGTACCTGATCATTTAAATCCGATAGTCGGTTCAATTTAGCTTGGTCGGCATGTTCTGGCTTGGGGATGCCAAGAGTCTTACACCCTGGTAAGATTTTGCAGCCATTACCTAGGCTGATATCTGGAAATGAGGATACCAGTCCGACTAGATGCCAGGAATTCATGTCATTTGATTGTCTTGAGAAACTCATATTCTGTAGGAGGTCCTGCGTTCAGACATGATCGAAAATTTGGTGGGTCGGCAAATGCTTTTATAGCCGCGCCGATGAGCGACGGAATTCGAATTCCAGGATCTTAGTACGTAGTCCGCATAGGTGGGTCGAAAGTGCGGCTGGGGAAAAAATATATGCACTCAGAAATGCGCAAGCCGAATCTTGAAAATTGAACCCGCATCATCTTGCGTTAAATGTATATTCATGATACTTGTGTGATCCGACTAGATTCACTTTCGGCAAAGAAGGGCCAGCCTGAGAATCGGCCTCGAGGGTCGCTTCTAGGGACTTTATATGTCTGACGGTATGATTGAGCTTTCAACTCTCGAAAATGGCATACTCTTATTTTGCTTTATTTGTCTTCATTGGCATGGCGGGAAATTGAGACCCTTTCGTCAATGTTTCCTGCTTGCGAGCAGTCTCTTAATTATTGAAATCACTCGCAGGCTGACTCTCCACAGAGAGAATTTATATACTACGGACATGACGCCTTGTTGGGTGCGCGAATACATCAGAGAAATGGTAACGCAACTGCAGATTGACTTATATCTGCGCTAGTAGAATTGCACATCGCTGCGCCGAGTCCTTGGTGCCTGCGAAAGACATCCCAGGATCGTTATTGAGACCTATTTCGGCAAGAGTCGGGGCTGAAACAATATTAGAAAGCAGATTATGCTGTCTGAGTCCTCTTGGGCTCACCTTCTGGGTTGTAAGCTGGCCATCCCAATGCCTTCAATCCGTTTTGAGGATCGGCAATGAATGCGCCCCAAGTCGACCGCATCTTTTCCTGCAGCTGGGACTGTGCATCGGACTCGTCAATGCCAGTGATTTCAGCAGATTCTCCAAAGATCATGTTAAATTCAACACCGTGATACGCTCCACTAGTGGGGTAAAGACGAGTATTATCCCAGTCTGCGTTATATTGAAACCGCCAAGTGGGTGTGTGTCTGCGACTTCGGTCTGCGGCTTCGAGATTAGATGGACAGAAGAAAGTCTGCATATTGAAGTCATCCCATTGCTGATCCGCCAATATAGATCCCTGTGCATAGGCCGCAATCTTGTAGAATCCCGCCTCGTTTGCGTTGTGTCCGACCAAGTAAGGCTGCGTGGGGGAATGGAGCAGTTAGCAAGGATAAACCCCAGTCGAGGTATATTTCAGATTATGGAAGCCAACTCACTACACGGGCAAATTTTCCTTGCTGTGAAAGAAGAGTGTAGTTCTCAAAAACAGTCACACCATCTACAGTAGGCTGGAATGCTGGAGTTTTCCTCGCAGGGTTTGTGGTCGGAACTTTGACTGCACTAGCAGCAGCGAGCATGGCAATAGCATTCTGCTTTCTCATGCACGGTAAGACATCCCCTGAAGATCCACAGCCGAGCTGGGCAGCAACTGTGTACCAATGTTGTGCGGCAGTTGTTTTGTTGTTGGTCGGGAAGCTGAGAGCTGTGCCGGAATGCGAGATGAGACCGGCAACCAGCGGATCGGACTGGTAGGCATATGCCCAGTAGTCAACAGAGGCACCTCCGCAGGACTGGCCAGATATGATGATGCGGTCCGGATCTCCCCCGAATGCACGAATATTTTGCTTCACCCATTCAACCGCCAAGCGTTGGTCCAGTAGGCCCAGATTCGGCGTGTGTCCAGGTAGACCGGGGAATCCGAAGATGTTCATGCGGTAGTTGACCGTCACGACGATTACATCCTCGGCATCGGCAAATCCGCCTCCATAATAGAAAAGAGTATCGGTTGTGCCACTCGTCCATCCTGTAGTAAGTGTTAGAAGTATGAGCCGAGATGGAGAAGACATGATCAAGGCCATTGCAGGCAGTAGAACGAAGCAAAAACATACGGCCACCGTAGAAATGAACATAGACTGGCTTGAGTTGACTTGAGTCTGGCTTGGACCAAATGTTCAAGGTCAAACAATCTTCACTCTGGGTTTTGTTGTTGATGGCTGCGAAGGCTTCAAATATACTGTCAAATTGCGGGGTTTTATCGGGATAGTCGACCAGCTTGGACACCGAATACATGCATTGGCTATAATTTTCCATTAACTGCAAACCCAATCCTTGGTCGAGAGGGCACTTACTTTCCCTATATGATATTAAAGTTAGGACATCATTTTGGCAGTTTTGCGGACTCTGTAATGAGGCTAAGGCTCATCGAAATAAGGAACAGGGAAGAGTGGGATCTCACATATTCCGAGGCAACGTGCAAACCCCTGGGCGTGTATTCTTGGGGCGATGTGAATCGCAATTTGCCGACCGGTGGCTGCGCATAAGGGACCCCCAGCCATTCTGTAACTCTGGGGTTCTGTGAAGCCTTGTGGCCCTGAATGACTCTACCCGATCCGACGTGAGCCTGTTGCGCGACAGCAACCGCTACTATGGCCAACCAGGCTACCTTCATGTCCCTTTTCAAAGATAACGCAATTGAGTACGAGATGCAAGAGGACAGGAAAACAGAGTGAAAGACGAGTCGGGCATGAGAGATCCTTCAACGAATCTAAAATAGCGCCGAAAGGTACATAAACCAAGTGGGGCCGTTTGAGCCGTGGAAGCCATAGACGGTCTGTGGTGATAATATGAAGGTGTGTTAATATAATTTCACATCCATGACAATCGCATTTGGCCCCCGACGGGGTCCGTCTCAGGTCGCATCGAATAACTAACCAGCATATGGACACGCACAAATTCTTCACTGAACCCAGAACCTCTAAAACTTAAGAAAGTGCCTTTGATCCCCGCACGGATTAAGCGCAGATAACTTTTAAGTGGCCTGACTTGACAATGATGTTCAGGGTATTTTTTCAAACAATCGACGGCATCGCCGATCGGGGCTATAAGCTATTCATTACCGCACTGGTAATGGTGCTTAGTGAACTAAACACAGTCAAGAACTTTCTGTTGCATTCCTTATGACTACTGCTCTCTCCTCAGCAGGTTCAAGGCGAGAAAATTTATCATCTGTCAACCATGCAGTGTCGCCACTCCATTATCCGCTGTGACATTCGTGAATCTTTTGAATGGTTTCAAAGGATAACCAGACATATCTCTCCACTAGTCCCCCAGTAGGCTGAAACCCCTGACAATACCCGCCTTCGTGATACGGGTCATCCATGCCGTTTGGACCAAGACGTGACCGAAGTTCGTTCGTGCTCAGTGGGCTCCAGATCAGGCGTTAATGATGCATGGGTCTTATCCCAGTCCCCAATAACGGGAAACCCAATATTTGGATTGGTGATATCAAGTCCAATTTCCTTAGCTCGATTCTCCAAATCATTCCGGTAGAAAGGATTTGCCACAACACGCAGCTTCCCAAACACACCACGTGAGCTTGATATTGAGCCTTTTGTACACATTGTAATAGTCATGAAAGACTGCAGCAGTGGCTATTTGAACGTGCATTTTCGTGAATCTCTGTGCGAGTTGCGCGAGAGCACCCTCATTTGGATTGAGAGGCCACCAGATAAGCCATGGAAGCCAAGGCGTGTCATCAGTGAATTTGCAAGTATCATTAATCATGATCCGACGGGCATTAATGGCTGTGCATATATCGCCCTATCGTCTCTTAATCACCCGAGTATGTATCTTCTTCTGCGAAGTCGGGGTTCCAGATACAATACGGCTGGGGTTCAGGGTTTTCCATATATCATTAGGAATGTTATTGCTCATGATGAGTTGGGCGTTTCGGGACCTATGTGCTAAATCTGCATCTATAGAAGCCGTAACATATCCGCAGCCGTATTTGACCCTGAGTACTATCGAGCTGACCATCAATCTTACATTAGGCCGAGCCCCTAGATGACTTGCTTGGGCCATGGCCCTAGCAATATGCCACTCCTCGATCGCGATATGCAGAAGCCGCAGACAAACGAGATTATACAAACCAATGTAGCAGCATCGACTAAAATCATCGAGGAAAAAATATGCTAAGTGCATAGAGGAACATTTTTCAACTCTACTTACGTCCGGGATCTAAGAACGGCGAATGGACAGCGGTCTAAGGAAGACAGAAAAGCGCTCAAAGTAGAGACTAGAGGCCCCATTGAAGCCGGTCGAAAAGCAGCTGAAAAGCCTCTAGAAAACAAACTATGGAAATTCCTGATTCGAGGATTGTCGGGGGTTCTGCGAATCTGGAACATGTTCTCGACAGCTATGTTGCGAAGGGCATAATTACTCTTTTAACGGGGGATTTGATTGATTTCTTTCTCATATTCTCCTTTATCAAATTGTGAACGATAATTAAGCAAGAGTTCCCCATCAATATTATACACTTGAATCAGGCATCAGTTCTCTTCCCACGATATGTGACTCTCCCAATGTACCCTTCATCACGAGCACCAAGTCATCGATCGCGCCCAAGAATTTGAGATAGGCAGTAAAGGCAACACAGAAGCGGCGATAGCTCTCGTCCCTAATCAAGTCCGTGGTGAGCTCTATTTCAACCTGGTGGACTTGCCAGAACTCGTAACAGCGCTTGAGTAATGGTGTGGGAAGGACCTCGGGAAGAGGATCACCAGTCTTAAGAGCCTGCTCCACAATACCCAGAACCGCCATGATATCGCCGATATTTCGGTGGTCTAGAAGACCAGCGCGACGCGCAAGGACACCTTGGAAGTGTTCTGGCAGAGAGGCTGATAGGTACAGCAACCGTCCAATGTGTTGGTTCAATTCTTGACAAAGGGACTTGACTTGGGCAAGGGTATCACTGTCGAATGGAGAGCTGGAAAACTCGAGGCGAAGCAGAGCCACAGGACCATCAAGGGCTGAGAGAGAATCCGCAAGGTCGATTACAAGCTGTTCAGCCATGAGGCCTTCATCACGATCTGGTTGACCCCAACATGACAGGAGGAGTGCGTAGTGATCAGAGAGTGCTCGGATGGAATTTGACATGGACTTGCAGATATGGCGTGCTGCAGAAGGAGGTCGTGGGAAGATTTGCACTATCAAGGCCGCGGCAGAGCCGAGCAGCACAAGTACGAGTCTTCGCCAGAAGACATTGTACCCCCAACCAGGGTTGCCGTATGAAGGAATATGCCTAGTGAAGATGTTAGCCTCTCAACATAATATAGTGGGAGCAACTATGCGATAATTGCACAACTCACGTATCATCATAGCTATAACCGATCACCAAGATGCAGGTCGCACCACCCATGATTGTGGCCTGCAGGATCGCAGGAGGCGCGAAGAGACGTCCCCACATGAGAAGCATGAGGACTACAGCCATAATTGCAGCAAGGCCGTATGGATTTCCAGAGCCATCGCCTGATCCGATATACCAAGCCACCAAACCCACGACGCCACCGACCACAGTTCCCACAGAACGAGAGGCTAGCGATAGAGTGAAGTCCGACATGTATACGACAACAGTTGTCTGGCCCATGATCAATGCCCATAAACCCTTCTCGCGATAGTAAAAGCCTGCACTGGATGGTATCACTGCTGGAATTGCGAGCGCAATGGTGACAACTACCATTCGAATGGCGTACATACCGTCAGCGTTGATAAGCCAGTGATACGTGCCGAGTATAATGCGTCCCAGGCCGCTGCGTCGTTTGACTTTGTATCCTCGGCTCATGTTGAGACTCTGCTGGGCCGCTTTTGACTGCTCCTCGACCACATCGGGGTCAACCGCCGAGGACTGTGCAGCAAGAACAGGGGCAACCGCGGCTCTCTGAAACACCCAGTTGAATGCATAGCGCAGTCCCCGAGGAAACCAGAGGCGTACCTTTTGGCGTTCCTTCATCAACGCGACAATCTGTTCCAAGACTTTCTCCCAGGCGTCTGCGACGCCAAGAATTTGGTCTTCAAAGACCATTCCAATGGCAATTCCTCGCACTTTATGCATTGTAGGATCGTCGAGGTTCTTCAACTTTCCACTCTCATCAAAGATGTCGGCATTTGTCTGGATAAGGAGTTCAGTTGTTTCTGACGCAAATGAGACACGCAGATCTTTAAGGCTCTCTAAAGAAGATTCACTGCGCTGGAGAAGCTCATCTAACTGAGTCTTGGATGGTTTTCCAAACCATCGCGAGCAATTCACCGCATGAATGCAGTCGGCAACTGACGTACTCGCTTCCTGGCAGACCGGTAGAATCTTGGTGCAAGGCTGTCGAATGGCCTCTAGCATCTCCTGGCGAAGAGCCTCATGCTCGGGGGTAGTGAATGCTTTCACAAGCTTGAGGCTCTCAAGTAATTGGCGCATGCCAGCTTCGCGCGGCTTTCCTTTCTTCTTCTCCGTAGTCTCGAGCTCAGAATATTGATTGTACTCTGACGTGATTGAACGGAGTTTCTCCAGCTTCACTTCTCCACCGACGCGAGATATGTGAAACTCTAACAATGATAAAGTACTTATTGCGGCTCGGCGGATGGGTTCCTTTAAGCTCTTGACGTCATCCGAATTCCACCGGCTCACCGAGAAGTCCATTGGCAAAAAGGCGAGCGCTGGATCAATTTTCTTGTAGGTCCCGAGAACTGTTATCTTCAGCTTCTGTAAGTCTCTCAGTTCCAGATGGTCACCGTCAATCAAACTTGCCACGGTCGCATCCAGGGGCCTTTAAGAAGTCGTACTAGTCCTTCCATGCCCTCGAGGACGGTGTGGGAAGTCGACGTTGGGAAAAACAAGATGTTACAAGCCAGTCCAATCCCAATTCCAATGGCTGCCGGTTCAATGAGAAGTTTGGGCATGGTGCCATTGAATGATGGGAGTAGTGGCCCAATGGTGATGAAAAGATCCATGATGATAGTTCCAAAGATCTGGGTCAGAGCAAACTTGGGATTCTTAGCTCGGATGCGTGCCTAGTGAAAGATTAATTAAGAGTCTCAGTATTGGCGAACGCTTCGTTCAAGCTTACCAGGACGTAAATCAGGAAACAGATGAAACAAAAGTAAACAGCCGTGACACGAGCATCCAGCATCCAGCCTTCGTAGATAAGCTGTTGCTGGACCGCTGCAACGGGCTGTCCAGTCGAGTTAGCCACGCTATAAGCATGTTGCCCCAGGGCTTGTAGTTTGGCCTGAGTATCAGCAGCCGGTCGCGCTGCCAGAGCCGCCTTCATCGCGATAACACCCCAGCCCCAGCCGAGGCCCATACCAATGATAAGGGTCAAGGTTCCGAGGATGAAAATGAAGACAATGCCATTGGGAGGCACCATGAAAAGCACCAGTCTGCCCATTCGATTAATGCTATGCTCAATACCTTGCACTACTCAGAATCACTCACGTCGCGAAGAAAGTGGCAGTCCCGATCGTGCGCAAGGACGAGTTGATGAAGATCAATAATGACGCGACCCATGCTGCCACCGTACAGCGAAATAGAATTTTCAGATCGCGCGCATTGAAGTGATCCAGCCATCCAGGCAACTTTCTGCGTGTTCCGGATGTGGTTACTTCCTTTGATGGTATAGGGAAGTCCTCCGCGCTTGGTGCTGGTGAGGCACCATTAGGCTCGGCCTCTGGTCGGGCGGGGTTCGACATCCGGCCTGGTATCTCCTCTCTTGTCGGAGTGAGGCAGATAGATCGAAGCCCAATCCCAATGCCGTGTGCTGAGCGGATGTTTGAGAACGAGTGTCAAATTGAGGAGCGAGGTCTCCGTAGCATTCCGCGCGCTGAGAACAAGGGAGAGTCAAGGTCCAGAGGAAGAGTCACGAGCTGAGTTGAGTTTTTAAGCTTCCAATCGGCCCCGTCGAGAGTGTGGATCGGCACTATTGATGTAATTATTTACATAACTATTAAAAGGTCGCCCAGACTTGGATTTGAGTTCGCATCCTTGGGCAGAACGATGATTTGTTTCATGATCGACGCCTGGCTTGCTGTTGTGGGGTCTTGGCAGCCTTCCGACTGGTGAATTATGCACGTAATTGGGATTTATGCTGGGCGCAGAACGTGTACAACACTCGACAACACCTGTTGATATCTTAAGATGTCCTGATGGATGAGGAATGTAGCTCAAAGTTGATCAGGTATTAATACTATGTCTATTCTAATATAGTACAGGGAGACAATCACAGTCACAGTCCAGTAGTTAGTAGACAATTGAAAATAAGCTGCGTCCTCGATCCAGCCCCTGATTTTGGCCTGGGCAGATTCTGCGGGGCCTTGGATGCCTCAGGCAGAAAATTTAAACATTTCACATGTTGCGGCTTGGCCAATCAGAAGCCGGCAGTCTAGACCTTCTTCGGAACTTCGTTCGAAGTTCGCGCAAACTCTGTTTCTGGGTTTATCGACCACGCTAGGTTTTATCCAGGATTATTAGGGACTTTTTACACCAAGAAAGCATTTGCTAGCACCAATCACGCAGGCGAAAGACACCTTAACCCTTCGACCCTCGTGCCGACATACAGAAGGATGAATTAAGCACATAGAGCGCAGATCCACACCCGCCACACGTTCCTCGCCCGTTAGATCCCCCGCATAATCTACTTCGGGGATCTCCAGTCTCTTATTTTCTTAGGCGGGTATCATATCCCCTGAACCACTCATCATTCACATAGCCAAGGTTTTTTAGACCGTGCTATGACAAATGAGAACGATATCAGATATTTTTTTTTGCCTCCTGTCTCGACGCTCAAGCAAAATTCACCGTTGGCGTCCCGAAAAAGTGGACGGTCCGCGGCGGGTGGCCCAATCGGCCTTCATCCAGTGGAGAAGTTTCCGCAGTGCGAAGGACGGAGCCCCGATGTCGTGATTAACAGCGTGCTGAGATTTCGAGGAAAGAAAAGCAAGCTCGTTCCCACATAAGCTTAATATTCTAGACATCCTTTCTTTTTTCCCTTTCTTCACAGGGGATCATCATATGGGGATTGTCGACTAGGTGGTTCAGTTTGGTTTCTTATACTTCTTAGGAGATCGATCGCCACGCTAGTTTGTTTCTTCCCAGCATAAAAATGGAGAAGTCCACTTTGGCCTCGGACACTATCCGTCCGGATCCCGCCAAGGTCGAAGAGTATGATGCAACTCCTAAGGAGGAGCTTCAGCTCAATGTCGGCGGTCGTGGTGCCACCCAGCGTCGCCTGCGGAACTATCAAGTCACCATGATCGGTTTCTGCAGTGGTATCGGCACGGGTCTGTTCATCGGTACGGGAGCGGCCTACGCGAAGGCCGGTCCTGCGGGTCTGCTTCTCGCGTTTATTATTGTTGGCATGGTTCTATGGTGCGTTATGCAAAGTATCGCCGAGTTGGCAACTCTGCTGCCCACCGCTGGTTCGTTCCCTCACTGGGCGACGCGCTTCATTGATCCATCTGTCGGTTTCTCTCTTGCCATTTCTTACGGATATTGTTACACGATTGCTATCGCCTCGGAGGTATCAGCAGCAGCAGTTGTTGTGTCCTATTGGACAGATATAACGCCTGCGGTTGTCATCACGGTTGGCTTAATCCTGATCCTGATCATCAACCTGATGAGCGTGCGGTTCTACGGCGAGACTGAGGTCGTTGGAGGTGCCATCAAAGTCCTTTGCTTCCTGGGCTTGGTGGTCGTCTCTATTGTCATTACAGCCGGTGGTGGCCCCAACCACGAGGCCATTGGCTTCCGCTATTGGAATAACCCAGGCGCATGGACAAACTACAACGGCATCACTGGACCTACCGGCCATTTCCTGGGCTTCCTGTCATCATTCGTCAATGCCTCATTTAGCTTCATTGGTGTTGAGACCGTCGTCATTACCGCTGCCGAGTCTGTCGATCCCCACCGGGCTATTCCCAAGGCTGCCCGCCGAGTCACCTATCGTATTGCCTTCTTCTACGTCCTAGGTGCCTTGCTCATTGGCCTTATCGTGGACCCACGGAACAAGGCTCTTGTCTCTGGATCCGGTAACGCGAACAGCTCGCCGTTCGTTATTGCTATTCAGGAAGCCGGTATCAACGCACTGCCGTCCATCGTGAATGCCTGTGTTCTCGTTGCCGCCTGGTCTGCCGGTAACTCGTACTGCTGGGTCGGATCCCGTATGATCCTAGCTATGACGACCGACCACCAGCTGCCCCAGATCTTCGGTCGAGTTACCAAGAACGGAGTGCCATACGTTGCTGTCATCGCGGCTTGGCTGTTTGGTCCCCTGGCTTATCTGAGTAAGTTTACCCGTTCTGGATATATATGATAATTTGAACATCTTCACTAACGAATCTCCAGGTCTTGGAAGCGGTGGTGCCGCGCAGGCCTTTACCTGGCTGCTCAACCTTAGCACTGTTGCGGGTTTGATCGCCTGGGCCACTCTCTCATTCTGCTACATTCGCTTCCACGCCGCTATGAAGGCACAGGGTGTCTCTCGGGACTCGCTTCCTTGGAAGGGACCTTTCCAGCCATATGCTGCTTGGGTCGGCTTCATTGGTTCTACCATCATCACTCTGGTTTGCGGCTTCCCTGTCTTCTTGAAGGGCAACTGGAGTGCATCCAACTTTGTTGCGTCGTACATTGGCATTCCCATTTTCATTGTGCCAATCATCATCTGGAAGCTTTGGCACGGTACCAAGGTTCGTTTTCTTTCTCCACTTGTCTTCAATCCCTTTTGAAGCACCGAATAATTCGCTAACTCGGATTATTTACAGTATCAACGTGCTGCCACCATTGACCTCTGGTCAGGCCGTCTTCAAGATGGAGAAATCATGCCTCATCGGAATCCGCGAAACACCCTCTGGGGGCGGTTCCTTGACTGGCTTGCATAGATTACCTAAATTCTGTATATCATAGCATTTTGCATCCTGCATATATTCTAATTCTAGAAAGCGATTTCTGATTTACAGGTTTTATCCAATCGGTTCCGTAGCCGATCCATCGTTTGCTGACATGTAAAACCACTCAATTTTGGAACTGCTCGCGAAGCTTCTTTATGTCGTGATGAGAAGCTTTGCAGCAGCCACCCACAAGGAAATTTTTGAAGGGGCCCTTTGTGCTGGCATCATTCACCACTTGGGCCAGTTGAACTTCCCAGGAGCGCTATCATCCAATTAGTACTGGTCGCTTGTAGACAACCTTGAGATAGAGATAGACGCACCGTGTCTCGATCACCGTTTGAATTATACCCAGCAGGTTTCTCCCAGACTTGTGTCGTCGTATTGTAGACCTCTCCATTTGTTCCATCAGGATACAAAACAAAGCTCGGGGGAGCAGAGCTATCGCCAGCAGTGATAACCGCAGAAACAGAGTCTCCGAATTCCTCGATCAACCCCGAGAGCTTATGCAACTTGGTGCAGTTGATTCCAATTCCCCACGGCACGTATCCATCGTCCATGGGCGCAATAGCAGCCTGCACAACCTGTTCAATCGAGCTTCCATCTGGCAAACTGTCGTCCTCACGAGGAAAGACACAAGCAACCCAGAACGGGACCGTAATCCCTGCATCGTGAATAGCTCTCCTCACTGCTCGAATCTCGTCGAGACGGGGCAAAGTCTCGAAAGCGACATACTGCATGCGCGAGAGCAAATCCCCTCCGCCTCCAAGAAGAGCCGCAATCGATCCAGGTGCCAGCGATACAGCGCCTCCTCACTATCATGCTCAGCATCATACGCGCCGCTGTACTCCTGTCCAGGAATCATGCATGCACCATACGGACCCAGACTCAGCGCGATCTTGGTACTATCACGGACCTTGGCTCTTTCCGCGACGTCCACTGCAGTCCGCAGATACTGCCCTATAGCATTCTTGGGAATACCACTGGGATACTCCGCAGTCTTTGTGCGGGCAAACCCCTCGGGTGAAACTTGGTATGTAGCTGTGAGAAGCACGTCCACCCCCGCGGTGCCAAAGTCCTTCTGACAAGCATGCAGCGTTGTGGGATCTGAGACGAGCAGATGGGTTGACCAGAGAGGAGTCGTGGTACTGTCAAAGCTCACCCCGTATTGATCTTGGAGCGAGGTTCCAAGACCACCATCTAGGATCTGTACCGAAGCCATTGCGATTTGGGAGCTTTGTGTGTTTCTTGTGAAGTGGGGTGTTTCAACTGTGAACTGGTAGCTCCTCCAGCAGTCTTCAGTGGTCCATCCCGCCGAATCGGTCTTGTTACGTAATCACACTGCCACAGAGGCATCAAAGGCCGTTGTCGGAAGAGGGTATAGTCTCAAATAGACATTGAGGATTTGATCTATTAATGAGAGCTGTAGATTGTCAAGGACACATATCTTTCCGCATATACTTTCGCAAGAACAGGTGGATTTGACAAGTCTCAGTTCAGTAGCAGAAAATCAGTAGGTATCATCACGCATCTACTAGTCCATGAGAGCGACGCACCAAGTATACGTTCTCATGTAGAGGGTTCATTTTCATCTCAAAAGAAATTTTACGGGAATTTGGGGTGTACTCGGGCCTTTTTCTTCCGTTTTTCAATTCATACAGTATTAAATTCAACAGCCAACTGCTAAAATGTATAAATCCAAGGCGTTCCCGTGTCCAATGTTCCCTGGTTTCAAAGATCCGTTTGAAATTATCACATCAACCGAATTCTAGATTCTTGTCGTATATGATATATGAAATTCTACATAGTAATCAAGCAAAATTAGGATGAATCTTCCCACAGGCTCTCTCAGCCAGCCTCTCCTTCATAAGCACATCATACACATGAGACGCCCACGAACAACAAACCTGTCTAGTATCCTTTGGATCAATAATCTCCTCCACGCCAAACGCATTCGCCGTGCGCACAGGGTTCATCAACCGCAGATACTCCTCTTCTAATTCTTTATATCGTTCCTCTTTCTTACCCACTTTCTCTGCCTCGCGCAGCTCATGTCTATGTCCAACTTCAATTCCACCATCAAGTGGTAGAGAGCCCCATTGTCCAGATGGCCATGCTACTTGCATGACGGGATCACGACTGCCAAGCATGACGCCACCCGCCACGCCAAAGACGCGACGTGTCACGACGTTGAAGATTGGGATGGTGGTAGTGTAGTATGTCTTGGCTAGCTCGACGCCCCAGCGCATTGTTGCCGTGCGTTCGGCGACAGTGCCGATGGCGTAGCCGGCTAGAAGGGGCATTAGGGCTTCAATGGAGAAAAATGAGAAATTGGATCGAAATACTTACGAACGTCAAGGAATTGCAAGATTGGCAGGTTCATCACATCGCACATTTTCAACAGACGAGTGAGCTTCTGGCTGCCGGCAGCATCAAGTGCACCGCCATTCACCTCACAGTTGAGCGAAATAATACCAACGGGATGACCCCCAAGGCGAGCGAGACCACCGATAGCAGTTCGACCCCAGAGTGCACCAATCTCGAACCATGAGCCCTGGTCTACAACGGAGGTGATAATAGTCCGAGGGTTATACATGCGTGCCTGGCGACGCGGAATTATACTCCTCAAAGCCAGATCTTCCCGATCTTGGGGATCATCGCAGGGAATAACCGGTGGGGCCTCACTGCCAGAATTCGGCAGATAACTCAACACAGTACGAAGTTGCTCAAAGCACTCTGCTTCATTGGCGGCCAGGTTGTCGATGGTGCCATTGGTGCAGTGAACCATGGGGCCGCCCAAGTCTTGAAAGTCCAGTCCTTCTTCAAAGGTTGCGCCCTCGACAACTTTCGGGCCAGCATTGAACAACGAGCCAATATCAGCTGCCATGACGGAGAAATGGCAAGATACAACTCTTGCAGCACCCAGCCCAATCTACACACGCGTCAGCATCATGTTATCACTCCCCTCACCCAGAATGACTTAGGCAATTCTGTGAGTACATACCGCAGGTCCAACTACAGCCCCCAAATTCGGGATCCCCATATTCAACTGCTGAATCACCGGCTTAAAAGGCCTCACAAGCGGCAAATAACTCCACCCCTCCTTCTTAATGGTCGTCACACTTCCACCCCCCGAACTCCCGTCAACAAGCTTAATAACCGGCATCCGCAGCGCAATCGCCAACTTCTCCACATAAACCGTCTTCTCCGAGCTTGCCCCGTCCGCATGGCCCGATCGAATACTAAAGTCGTCCGCCGTGAGTAGGACCTTCCGACCACGCAGCAACCCCGCGCCCTGGACGTTATTGCTGGGGACGAAGGAGATGGGGGTCTCGCGCATTGGCGCTGTCTTTTTCCATGTCACCGTGCCAGAGACCGAGCCTATCTCGGCAAAGCTTCCTGGGTCGAGGAGGGCGTCGATGCGCTCACGGACCCAAAGCTTGCCGGCTTGCTTTTGGCGCACGTAGCCGCGGTGATTGGGATCGGGGGTTGCTGCGATTTTGCGGAGAGTGGCAATTTGGGAGAGGACGTCAGAGTGATCTGCTGGTAGACGAGAGGTTGCATTCTTGGACTTGGACTTGGGGTTGCTTGTTGGAGATGGTTGTGCGGAGATGTGTGAGGAGACCTGGTTGAGGCGCTGAGCTGCAGTATCCTGACCTTTAGACGCGTCTTGCGCGTCACTGTCTTTTCCCATTTTGATCCTTGTCGTGATGATATGCAGATAAGATCTCTTTATCTCATAGTAAATTGGGTATTTTAATTGATGGTTAAGAAGAATGCTCGGCTTTGCTTTCTGTGGGGTGAGGGGTCAAAAACAGTCCAGGGGGGGGACCATCCGAGGGCCGAGGCGTTTTTCCTAGATGCTACAAGTTGGTGATCAATCGTTGTAAAGATTATGACGAGTTCAACTCACCAAAGCTCTTTCTCAATAATAGAAGTCTGACAATAATCCCTGACGCTTTCGTGAGTTTATCGACCAGTCTTCAACCTTGTCTAGCTTGTTACCCCAGATTTGCTGCACCCCATGCCGTCATTCCCGCATTCACCGTCTTTTAAGCGACTGCTGGTCGCCAACAGGTACGACTCTCTCCAGCCTTATTGGGCACGAGATATGTATTGACATACAATAAATAGAGGCGAAATTGCCGTGCGCATACTCCACGCTGCACGAGAATTGCCCAACCCAGTTGAGACATTCGCTCTCTACACTGCTGACGATCGGTCGCATTGCGATTTGGGGTATCCACAGCACGCTATCCAGATACCCTCCGCATCATCCTATCTAGACATTTCCCTGCTTGTTGAATTAGTCCGCAAGCACTCCATCGATGCAGTGCACCCAGGATATGGCTTTCTCAGTGAGAGCGCCGAGTTCGCGCATCGCATGTGGACCGAGGCCGGCGCCGTCGTGATAGGTCCTGGCCCAGAGAATCTCGCCCGGACGGGTGATAAGTTGAAGGCAAAGCAACTAGCACAGCAATGCGGTGTCCCTGTCTTGGAGGCTATGACTCAGCCGACTTCTAACGAAGACGAAGCACGGACGTTTGCTAGACGGGTTGGGTTTCCTGTCATGATTAAAGCCGTGGATGGAGGAGGTGGGAGGGGAATTCGTCTTGTCCGTGAAGAATCAGAGTTGGATAATAGTATCCAGCGTGCTATTGGCGAGTCACCTTCGCGAACAGTCTTTGTTGAAAAGGCTGCTGTGGATGGATTTCATCATGTGGAGATCCAAGTCATTGGTGATGGCACTGGCCAAGTGCGACATCTCTGGGAGCGAGATTGCAGCGTGCAGCGGCGATTTCAGAAGGTGGTAGAGTATGCGCCAGCCTTGATGTCTAATCGAAACTTGATTGCTCGAGTAATTGACTCGGCACTGAAGATGGCAAGTGAAATTCGGTATCGCTCGTTGGGGACTTTCGAGTTTCTGGTCAGCCAAGGCAAAGGCGAATTCTATTTCTTGGAAGTCAATCCGCGGCTGCAGGTTGAGCACACCATTACCGAGTCTATCAGTGGGATCAACTTGGTTCAGACGCAGCTTCTTCTGGCACAGGGATGGACGTTCGCGGAACTGGGCCTGGGATCTGAAGTGAATGCCAGCGCTCCTTCGCCAGCGAATTCCCACTCTATTCAACTGCGTCTCTGTGCAGAAGACCCCAGCAATAATTTCGCTCTGAGTATCGGCAAGGTAACCGAGTTCGCCGTCCCTAGCGGCCACGGCATTCGTGTCGACACCAACATCAATGCCTCCGGGGCTTCTCCATTGGTTGTGGGCTCGAACTTTGACAACCTTCTTGCAAAAATAATCGTCACGGCATCCACTTGGGAGGCCACCGTTCGCAAGGCTCAGCGAGTCTTAGCCGACTCGAGAATCTCCGGTGTCAAGACGAATCTCAATCTTTTGCGGGGCATTGTGGCACATCCCGATTTCATGACCGGTCATATCGACACGCAATGGCTTAGCATCAAGCTCGAGGAGGCCTACCAGCTGGGCCAAAGTATCGCCAAGGACCTCCAAAGCCAGCACATCTCCAGCGGCTCCTCCCAGCAGTCAATGGCACAGAGTGGACTGCCCTCGTCCAGCCTGCTCTTCCGCAAAGGGGACGCGTGGTCCATTACGCTACAACCTCTCGAGAACGGGAACCCACAAGCATCCGCCAACGTAGCGCATCACCTTAAGCTATCGCGGGTCCTGCGAAATGAGTTCCCCACCTCCCTGGCCGCCGAGATCGAGTACACGACACCATCCTCCAAGACTGCGATTCCGTATCGTATGCAGCTGGATACGACTACGACAGCGGCATCGGCATTGGTCTCCTCGTCGCACCGGCGGGGCGACCCGAATAACCCGCATCACATCGTGCTCCCGCTGTCAGGCAAGTTAATCGAGATTCTGGTTGCGAGTGGGGATGTCGTTGCAGAGAATCAGGTCTTGGCTTTTGTCAAGCAGATGAAGATGGAGCTGGAGGTACGTAGTCCTCGCGCAGGGACGGTACGATGGGTGCACGAGATGGAGGATGAGGATGAGGATGTTGCGGAGGGGATGTTGTTGGTGGAGTTGGATGAGGAGCTGAAAGTTGAAGGGCAATTGAAGGGCAAGTTGTAGATATAGAGATACAGCAGCCATCGAATGAACTATGCGCCGAACAGCCAAGGTCACCCAATTGGACAAGACAGTTTTGATTAGAAGCCATTTATAGAGTCAAATGGGGAACTTTCACCATAACAAGCAACAGCATCATTGGTCTAGTGGTAGAATTCGTCGTTGCCATCGACGAGGCCCGTGTTCGATTCACGGATGATGCACATCTTTTTTGTCTTTTTATCTTTTGGCTCTCCACTTTTTTTCTGGATTGTCCAGATCAGTGATTTTCCCGCTGGTTTGTGTATCGATGCTTATCGCCGAGCTCCGCTGATCAACTCGCGCACGTGGTCATCGCGCACGACGTCACCGCTCTCGAGCTTCCCTGCTCGAAGGTCTCCAGGGTTTGAAGGTCCAAGGAGGGCAGTATTCTCATATCTCCAAAAATGGACGAACTGAGTCTCTACATTCTAACCTCAAACTGTGCCCAAAACCTGATCGATGTCGACCTCGTCGCAGCCCACTTCTTCGATGTCCTCCCCTCCTCGACGCCAGCTCCAGAGCTGATCGTTCTTTCACTACAGGAGCTCGCTCCGATCGCATACTCCTTTCTTGGCGGCTCATATCTACTCCCATACTTTAATGCATTTATCAAGGCTGTCAAGCAAGCAACTGCTAAACAATGGAACGAGTCTTATGTCAACCTAGTCAAGGATCACATCGGCATGACGGGGTTGATGGTCTTTGCGCGCTCTGATATCGCGAACAGGATATCATGGATAGACACCGCGCATGTCGGAGTTGGATTACAGGAAATGGGCAACAAGGGTGCAGTTGGAGCTCGGCTAGGATATGTTGTGGAAGGACGACAATCTCAAGAGGTGGATTTGACATTCGTTGCAGCGCATCTAGCGCCGATGGAGAATGGGCTGGCGCAAAGAAATCTGGACTGGCAGAGTATTGTCGAGAGATTGGTTTTCTCGCATGGACAGACCTTACCCCGGGAGGTGGAAGGAGACAACCGGAGTTCAGACGAGAGTACCTCGCTCCTGAATGAGCATGCCCACAGCTCGTCGCATCATGCCCAGGGCAGTCTATACAACCTCTCCGCTCGTAATTCCTATCTCTTCCTAGCCGGTGACCTCAATTACCGCACATCCGACACAAGCCCACGGAAGGAAGATATCCTACGCTTCCCCAAGCGCAACGCCGATCCCAGCAGTCCATCCCATTACTCCCACCTCCTCAAAGAAGACCAACTCATGCGCGAGATGCGCGCAGGCAGGGCCTTCCACGGCCTTTCCGAAGCCCCCATCGACTTTCCCCCAACATACAAGTTCTCTGATGCCGCACAACAAGCTGCCCGACAAGCCCTGGAGAACGGGGACGAGGATACAGAGTGGAAATGGTCGACACACCGGTGGCCTAGCTGGTGCGACCGCATCCTGTACCTGGACAATACAGCAGCGTCAAGTGATACTAGCGAGGCCGCAGCACGCCGGACGATCAAACCCGTCGTGTACAATGCGCTCCCGCTTTTTCCTCACTCGGATCACCGCCCTGTCGCGCTGGCTGTGAGTGTGCCTTTGAGGCCTACTGCTGCCTCTGTAGAGGCGGATCACATGGTTGGCGATGCGAACGGTACGAGCAAGCCGGAGGTTCTGGACCCGTTTGCAATCGATCCTACATGGCGGTCTCGGCGGGATGCGGCGCGGCGGAAGGAAATTGTCGTCGGTGTGTTGGCGTACTTGGGGTTGACATGGGAGGGTAATGGAATGGTGCTCGCGTCTGTGGTGGGATTGTTAGGTGCATGGGTGGTGCTGAGGTCGATATGGGGAGTGTAATGGGAGCAGGGTGAGGGTTGAGGGGTGGCCTGATTCACCCCCAGTAAGATGATGAACAGCAGGGATGGACATGTATAGGTGTTTCGGGTTATTTCCTTTGGAAATGATCATGCAATGAATGATATTGGGTTATACGACAACCCCCAACCCTCTCCTGCCTGTCTCGGCTCTTCCAAGCCCCATCCACGGCTGTGCATTTTGTCTTGTTTCATCTGTATCCCCGGGTTGATACCCAACTCCCTCGTTTTCACCGAGATCTCGACTGCGCCGTCACTGTCCTGACAGTCCAAGGGAAATACGTCAGCCACCAGCCCCTCTTCGGCCTATTCGGGTCTCTGTGCTATGACGAAACACCATCAGATAAAACCGAGGAATACAAATTGCGGCTAACAGTGTCAACTCGTCCGAGCGGGCCGTCATCGAGCAGGGTTCGACTGGGGCCCTTGCATCGAATCGGCGCAATCGGCGTAATCGATACACATGCAGTCCATACAGAATTGAATATACGTACTCGATGTATTCGCCGACTCCGGACTGACCATGGCGCAAAGCACTGGCCACTTCAGCCAGGGTCTAGTCCTGTATAGTATTTGGTAAACGGAAACAGGAAAATCCAGTCCAACAGTCGATTCCCGTATCCGATTTGGTCACCTGAGCCGCTCCCAAACGGTCTGGCCGCGGAACGTCGTGCGGCGTACTTCCTACTGTACTAGTTAGTCTCTCTTCTTAGCGTCTTCCATACTGCACCCTAATCAAGTCACTGGCGGGACCCGCCGCCGAAAAGAATAACCTTTGACCTTGTCTTCTAATTTTATTTGGCTGCAGAGCCCCCTTTCTGGTATCCTTTATTTCGAATCATCCTTGAGTAAGCCTGTGCATTGGCAGTATGGCCGTGTTAGGGAGGCTGAGGGACCTCCTCTCTGCCTCCACCAGACTCAGCCATGCCGTGTCGTGTCGTGCCCGGTCATCGCATTGCACTGCCGCTTCTTGCTGTCATAGTAAGGTTTACAGTGTATATCCTAGTTTCCTTCCCCACTCAGGCGCGGTCACGCGGGATGAAAAAGGACTGCGTCACGATGGAGGGTGGATCCCCGGGTTTTTCTCAACGTTGTGATAGTAATACAGTAATTAAATCATATTGTAATAAACTTCATACAGTACTGTACTCATATCAGAGCAGATGAGATTTGCTAACCCCCCCCCCCCCCCCTCCTCTGAAGTTGCTATTTCTACGCCCCCATTTCCAAAGCTAGTTAAGCGCTTTGATTGTTTTACTATCTTCTAATAATACCATCTTTAACAATTGTAGCAATCTACCACCTACGCCTACGCCCTCGCTGCTGATTTTGCTACTAGCGAATCCGCGACTATACAATATTAAATAGCGATGCAGTCGGAATTGTTAAAATTAAGGATATTAATGAATCTAAAAGCTATATCAGTAGGATAACACTACTATACTTACGGGATTTCGTAAAGAGAAGGGCGAATCTAAGCTACGGAAATACGCCTGTATGCCGAATCAGTGGCGTGTTGGAAGAGGTAGTATGGTTACAGAATCTTGAGATCGTTAAAGGAGGGGCTTAGAAGACAGTAAAACAATTACTACCCTAGCTTAATTTGGTAGTGGGGGTGTCGATTTAGCAATTCTCGAGCAGATGATAACAGGTATCAATTGTCAATGCTGTACAGAGAATCTTGCCCAGGCCCTGGGCTGTGATGGTCCCGGTCTAGATCCCGAGGCTGCCGCCTTCCGGTGGCTGTTGGTGCTTCTTGCGCTTCTACGGCTTCTACAGTCTTCTAGACTTTTACTTCGCCTTGGATGAATTAGAAATTTAAATTTTTCTATTGCACCCAGGTTAGCCCAGGGTATATACTTCTCACGGGTTATCATGTAATCACAGGCGCCTTTCGAAGGCCTTTTGAATGGTAGTAGAATACCCGGGTGGCCCGATTGCCTTTGCCCTTTCACAGATGTTTTCATTCTTTCATCCTCTGCTGACTATCACCACGGCAATTGCTGGCTAATTCCTGGGGCCCACAGTGTCTTGGTTTATCCCCAACCCGAAGTTGTTCATTCTTAGAGCCGGACCGCGGCATACGAGCTGCGGCTGTCCGTGAGACTCAACCTCATTCCGTGTTTTTGTCACTGTCGTGCATTGCATCCTAAACACCTGAACCATCGCTCTTTCCTTTCTGCCTGTTCTACAGTAGAGAAAGGATACAAAATCTCCGAAACGGACCTTCTCTCGTGCCAACCCTCCGCCTCGTAAAGCTAACCCCCGCGCACTCGCAGAGCCATCCAGGCTGCCGAGCAGACGAAAGGTCTTAGATATGCAGCAGACCACATGAACCAGTCAACTGACAAGCCACAGTATCTCCTCTTTGAGTGCTTGTTGCTGACTGGCGATGTGAAACGCGGTGCTGACGAAACCGTAATTTGCGATGGGCTGGGCAGTCTCGGCGGGGTGGGAAAGGTGGAATGCCCAGAGCTATTAGGTCAGGAAGATGTACGGGGAAGGGGTTTCTGACCTTGGTGATCATATCTTAAGTAAAGGCCTAAAGGGCTATTGAGGTGTTACCCAAGCAATACTGTTTGACATTGGAGGTCAAGCTTTATAGATCGATTCGCTAGCTTAGGCAAAAATTACCGAGTACCTGAATTCGATCTAGTCCAGGGAATGACGAAGTGGACGCTTCTATTATTCGAGAAAGCTAAACTGAAAGGACTCACACCTCATTCCATGCCAATTTAGAGCTCAGTATACTCCAACTCCGATCTTTAGAGACCAATTATTACTTGCTCGGTACCCATCTCTACCTGTCAGTAAAAATTTTCATTTTCTACCTTTTCCGGCGGGCGCCATCGATCGGGCTCCACCCGCCAGGCATGAAGTAAAAGCGCGAGCTGCCGCGTCCGGCCCATGTGAAAAGCGCGCCAATGAATGCATCAGATCAGAAATTCAGAAAGAGAGGTCAGATTTCTTGCTTGATCTTTGTTCTATGAAGATCTCTTCCTATGGTTTAGTCAACGCCCTCGATTACATTCCAGGGCGCGAACTAAACAGAACAACGAGATTGGTGCCTGACCCAGGAATGCTCGGACTTTGAGCCTCGGGAAAAAGTGACAGGGCCCAGGCACAGCTGACCGATCAATGGACAGGACTGATAGAAGCTTTGCTAGCTGTCACCTTGAGCTGCAATTGGAAACGCGCAGGCTATTATTGACGATGGAAAGCATGGAACGAGCTTCTAGTCCTCGACCCAAGATCGGACCCAACCAAGTTGAACCATCAACCCTAGCTGCAACGGTTATCAGTACTGTACATAAGTGTAGGCAAACGGACCCGAATGGGTAAATCCAGAAATCCATCGCTCGGCGATCCGTGGGCGAGCAAAGTGGGCAGTGGAGAACTTCCAGAACACTGCCCGATGCAAAGCATGAAAGGGGAAAAAATTTTGAATATAACCAAAACAAGATCATATCCCTTGGAATAATGGATAATGGACTGGGGCCTGGGCTCGGGCTTGGGCAAGCCTTGGTGCGAAGGTCTGGAACCTGGAAGCCTCGGATCACGCCCACGTTACGGAATACGGGCGGCAAACCCACCGGCCATACCCCATTGAAAGGGGGGTCTGCACGAGGATCGAAGAAAATAAAAGGGATCGGTTGGGTACTGTACATGCTACATGGTTGAAATTATGTTGAGCGGATTGGGCAGACATCAAGTTGATACGGGGGAGGAATGATTGGTGATGACGAAGAGAAGAAAGGGGGAGGAAATTAAAAAAAATTAATCACATAGTTCAAAGTCAAGGGTATGGAGGAAATGTAGGGGGAAGGGTCTGAGTGCAAGAAGCATATTGAGATTAAGAAAGGGATTCTACGGAGAACGGACGGGATTCTCTACTACTGTACAGTAGTAAGTACTCCGTACAATAGTTGAATGATCATGGAGGCGAAGAAGAAAAGACTCAGGCCTCCTCGAGCCCACAATTCAATCGATCCGTACCAAACTGAAGCCCAAGCGCTGTCAAACACATATGGACCAAATTTGTGGAAGGGATCGCAGCGGAGATCTTTACAATCAACGCGATCGCTGTGCATTGCCAGCATCCCCATCGGCAGGTCAAATCCAGGGTCAAGATAAACATCCTGATTCTATTTACATACTACTTTTTTTTCCATATTCTCTGAATGTCAAGCCAAAAACTCAGCGACCCTAGAACCTCCTCGGAAGGACGGTGCTAAAAAAACGAACTAGGGCCCACATCCACATCAGCCAGGCACTTAATCTGAATCTCTAGCGACCCCGTCAGGCGCTGTTTCGAAAACTCCGCGAGCTTCCATGCAAGCCCACAACCCGCCAACCTCCACCGTGTCGGGTGCTCCACCCGGCCCTGCAATAAGGCCAAAGCCAGCTGAGACTGCCCGTCAGGTCGAAGATTGCGATTTCGTATTCCAACGCGATCCGGGCGGGCTGCTCGATGATGTATCTCTCTATCGCTCTCTTCCGTACTATGAGTACGGACTATGTACTGTAGGGTATGTTCTCCTGGCTACTAAAACTACAGTATCGCATCTGCAATCAACCGGTACGCGCATTCTTCATGCCCAGCTTACACTTCTCATTGGCCCGTCCCATTCCACCATGCATGAATGACCAGCATTCTCTTCAGATCCGAGACTCGCATGGCCAAATCGTGGGCAAGGGGGGTGGGATCGACTGATCTGTGCATGCGCGAACGGGAGCTGCCAGGTGCTCTTTTTTCCTTTCTGCGGTGGTGGGAGGAGAGAGAGAGAGAGAGACAGCTTAATCCAGTTCAACAAACCATGGATTGGGTTGAAGGGCATCGGAGGCCCAGATCCTAGGCAGGCATCGGGTCGGCACTTGACTCCCAACCTGTCAACTGCCAAAACAAGGGAAGAATGGGGTCGCCTCTCGGATGGAAAGAAAAATTAGATGGTCGGGCAGGACCGATGGTAAGAGGGATAGAAT